GTTATTTTAGAAGTAGATAAAGAAAGGTTTAAAATTTATTATAATATAAAGATTATTTATAAATATATTTATACTTTAAAAACTATTTTTTTTCTAAATATAAATTAAACTACTTCAAAGATCTAGATTAAATTAATAAAAGCTTTGATTAATATAATATATACAAAGTTATACTATAAATTAAAATTAAAAAATATTTTTAATATTAGTTGGACTTATATATTACTAATAAAAAGAAAGCTTTTTTAAAATATAATAAACTAAAGAATTCATTTAAACAAATATAATTTTAATCTTTATTTTAACTATAAATTAAATAGTAAAAAAATAAAAAAAAATTTTTAATTTTTGTAATTTTAGTATAAGATATTTTTTTTATTTTTATTATTAAAATAAAAGTAGAACAACTATTTAGTTTTGTTTACAATATCTATTACTATAAATATAGATTATTAAATATAATTATTATATAAAATCTAATAATAATATACTATATAATTTAGTTTAATATATAATAGGTTAGGATCTAAAATATTACTAAAACTAAAAATATAGATAGATAAATAGTAGCTAATAAAAAAGAAAAGAATTAGTTTAATAACTATAATATAATTGAGATTAATAATAATAAAGAGAAGAATAAGTTTATTAATAATAGTAAATTTACTAATAATATTAACTTTATTAGTGATAATATAGAATATAGCAAGAACAATAGAGATACTATTTATATACTTTCTACTTCGCAATAGAATCTTACTATACAAGACTTTATTAACTAATATAAAGATAATATACTTCTACTTCTACTACTATTAGTTATTATATCCTAGATATAGTTCTTCTGTAATTAGCAGCTATAGTAAGGAACAAAGTGTTAATGAAATATCAATATTTATAAATATATAATACAAAAAAAATAAATTTTATAATAGTTTAATATTAGTAATTTTATTAAATTTTATTATTAAATTCATTCCTAAGATTATTTTAAAATATTATTTAAATATACCCTGAATACCAAAAAATATATGCTCTTTCTATATATTTTATACAAATTATATGTATTTGTAAAAATTAATATGTTTATAGTGTTTACAGTACTACAGGAGTACCACAGTATGAATGTATAACAGTATCAGGGGTCTGGTATTATCTAGAAGGTACTATAGGTACAGTACCAGGCTCCTGGTACTGCAGTGTGAGTGGTACTGTGGGATTGTACTGTGGGATATATCCAAGCCTAAATTTATTTTTTTATAGTTGCTATTATAAAAGAATATTATAAATTAAAAGATTTATAAAACTTTTATTTAATAACTATTAGATTTTAAAAGAGGAATTCTAAATTTTAATAAGAAGGTTTTAAGGTTTAATAAAAACTTTTTTATAAAGAAGAGGCTATTATATATTAAAATAAATTATATAAAAGATTATAATAATAATTAATTAATATCTATACTATTATTATTTTTATTATTAATTTATTTTTTATTTTTATTTTTATTATATTTTTTATTTTAGTTTATAAAGTTATTTTAATAAAAATATTTTTATTATTTACTAATATATTTATTTATTAATTTTCTTTTTAAAATAAATTTTTAATTTTAATAAATTTATTAGTTAATAAAATAATCTATAAAGATTTATTTTTTAAATAATTTAAAAAAATAAATCTAAATTTCAATTAATTTTTTGTTAAGAAAAATTATATTATTTATATAATTAATTAATTAAATAGAATCTTTTATATTTAGATTTTATTATATTTATATAAAAAAACTTATAATTTAAAAAAATTATATTAAAATATTAGAAATTTTAAAATATATTTTTAAAAATTTAAATTTTATAATTAATATTTATATTAAATTTTTTTATTTAAAATAGATTTATTATAAATTTAATATCTTTTTTATTAAATTTTAATAATTAATATTTAAAAAAAATAATAAATAAAAATGTATTATTTATAATTTTAAAATAAATTATTAATAAATAATTTTATAAAATATTAATATATTTTAAAAGTTTATTATATAAATATTATATAAATATTAAATCTATTATTTATATTATTATTATAATAATACCAATTATTTAATAAAAAAATTATTTGTTTTTTAATTAAAGATAATTTAATTATATTTTATTATTTAAAATCTTATTTATTAAATATTTTTTATTATTTAATTTAAAAAATAAAATATTTTTAATCTAAACTATAATTAAAAATATTTTTAATATTTTTGTTATTTATTAAAAATTATAATTATTAGAATAATAATAAAAAAAGAAAATTATTAATTTAAATTAATAATCTTATTTATAAGTTTAAAAATCTTTAATAAAATTTTATTAAATTTTATTATAATAATTTTAGAATTAAAAATCAATATTTTATAAATTATAATTAAACTATAAATTAAAAATTAAAAATATTATTATTAAAAAATTGTATATTATTAAAAAGAATTACTAATATTTTAATAAAATTTAATAAAACTATATATTTTATTTATTTAATTTAAAAGATTTATAATGATGTTAAAAAAAATATTATTTCTTTTATAATTTAATTTATATATTTTTTTATAATTTTTAGTTTATTTTAGTTAAAGATTTATATTCTTTAAATTAGATTTATTAATTATATTATTCTATTTAAAAATCTATATTATAAAAAATATTAAAATATATTTTTAAAATCTATAAAAATTTTAATATTATATAAGATATTATTAAAAATTTTATTTTGATATTTTAAAAGACTAAAATATTATTAAAATCTTAATTATTATTAATAATACTTAAAAAAATCCTATTATTTAAAAATCTTTATAATATATTTCAAAATAAATTAAAAATTTTAAAAAAATAAATTAAAAAAAGATTATAATTCTATATAGATTATTAAATTCTAAATATAATTATTATAAAAAAATCATTATTTATTACTCTTAATAAAAAAATATTAAATAATTTAAAAAGAATAAAATATTTTTTCAAAATTAATATTATTTTTATTTTTCATAATTTATAAATAAAAAAGAAATAAAAATATTTTATTATTTTTTAAATTTAATTAAATCTATTTAAATCTTTAATAATATTATTTAGATTTATTAATATTTTAATGTTATTCTAAAGATTTATTAATAAAACTTTATATAACTATATAACTATTTTTTATATTATATATTTAAATAACATTTTAATTTATAATTAAATTTATATTAAATATATTTATTATATTTAATAAATATTAAAATATTTATAAATAATAAGATTTTATATTAAATTTAATAAATATAAATTCTTTATATATAAAATAAAATTTTTAAAATTAAGTATATTAGATTATAAAATCTAATTTATTATTATTTTTTAAAAATATTTAATATTTTATTTAAAAATCTATAATCTATAATCTATTATTTATTATTTCAAAATTAATAATATTTATAAATATATATATTATACTTATAAAATAATTAATTTAAATAATTATTAATAATTAAATTTATTAATAATTCTATTTATTAATAATTCTATTTATTTTAAATTTATAAAAATATTTTTATTTAAAATTAATTAAAAAATTTATTTAATATTTAAATTTAAATTTAAATATTTTATTATTTATTTTATTAAAAAAAATATTATTTAAAAATATAAAAATATATTTTATATTTAATATAATTTTACTTTATTTTATTATTAATAATTTTTTATCTAATTAATATTTTAATTTATTATTATTTATTAAAATTAAAAAATTAAAAAAAATTAAAAATTAAAAAAATCTTTAATTTCTAATAGATTTATTAAAAATATAATAAATTCAAAATATAATATATTATTAAATAAATTCAATATAATAATCCTATTAAAAAATCTATTAAATATCTAAAAAATATTCATTAACTAATAAACAACTATTTATATTATTATCCTAATAAACCTCAACTATATTTTTCCTAAATTTCAACAAAACTCAATCTTAAAAAAAAAAATACTATTACAATATAAGACTACAATATTTCTTAGCCTAAATTCTGCTATAACTATTCACCTCTATTCCTATATTTAAGCCATACTGTTCCTCATCCTGTTGTAGCTCTTCAAGCTACGTCCTGTCTCTATCCCATACCCTACTGTCTGCTATCTGTCTGTCTGTCTGTTGCCTGTCTGTGTCTGCTCCTAGTCTTATCCGAATCTGATCCTGCTCTGCCCCTTAACATAAGGTATCTGTCTTTACAATATAAACTATTGGTAAAGGTAAGTGTTTATTTTGTAGAATTACAAATTTTATTATATCCATATAGACTGCATTGTGCAATTTGATCATGACACTGTTGCTTTTTAAATATCACTTCCCATAGACATTTTCTCTTATCGCATTTTCGATTCCTCTTTCTATTCCCCTGGGCCCTTTCTATAACCATATCCTTATAGTTTAGAAGTTTTCACCGCTGTGTTGTTTTAAAGAACCGACTTTGTTTACTCGACTAGGCTTGCTTCTTTACTTTAAATAACCCGTGGGAAATCTGGCAGAATAACTGATAGAGATATTGATGCCTACTATGAAGGGCATCAATATTAGAGTCAGGCCAAAGTCATGCACTAAGGGTGTTGTATTATCCAAAGGGGTGTCATACTATCCGCGAGGATGTCGATGCATCAATCCCCTAAATTAATGAGCTTAAGTCGAAAGGTATCCTTCCGGAGACACCGGTTACTCCATAGGCTTTGAACAGTCCCAGTAGTAAAAATTCGGCAATGGCCCGAAAACGCAGACGCATATAGAATCAGAGACCCTTTTCAAAATTATATTGAGAAGTGCCTTGGTCAGGCTGTCTGAAATTGGCCAGGATACTCTGCTCCAACTTGCATACTTTACCCGCATGCTTTTAGCATTTCCCGCAATATGTCCCATAATGAGCGACAAATTCAATTCGTCATTGGGCAGACCCCGAAATTGCATCAAATTCAGTTCAGGACATATCACCCATCAGGTCTTCATCAATTTCAAGACCGACCGTCTCCGTAGGGGTCGGATTGACTCCACCAGAGGCAGCCCATGCTTGACCTCTTTGAAGACTATCGAGACATTCATCGCTCATGCCCAGTGCAGTATTGATTTCTTCAAGATTGCACACTAAATGCTCCATCAGCTGGCGTTCTTTCTTCAAACAAGATTGTACTTCAAGCTCGTGTGAGAGCCGAGGGAACGAGGGAACGGCCGAGAAGCGTAGGATGGAAAGTCCCGCGGGATCTTGTGTCTGCACCAAGGAGGCGTCCAATACACCAGACATGATGAGTGAGGATACGGCAGACTCAGTCACTGTTTCCTCCGCAGGCGAGGGCAATACTTGTCTTGCAAGGTCCGCTACTGTTAAAGCAGCGAAGGTCCTCCCAAGCTTGATGACACTTTGCCTGAAAAAGGCATCAAGTACCTGGGAAACAAGACCGAAGTTGTTGTCCTGGTCAATGAGATCAGCCCTGGGCCCACCGACCTGACAAATCCACTTCAGTAGAGACTTACCGCACACCAAATATCTTTCGCAGCATCAACTTCGCCCTGAAGCCGCTTCAGATCGCCACGCTCGAAAGCCTGAGCAAGTGAAACATATGGCCTCGCGAGTGATTGATAAACCCTCATCACGTGGGCCGCCGTGATATTCGGCGGGGCGCATAGCTAGCAGTGACATGCATTAGTTCATTGAAATTTGTACCTGGAGAGCCCATACAAAGGCACATGCTCCACCCGATGTTCCCTTTCTTCTGTCGGTAGGTGCTACTAACCTTGCCCTTTTCAAGTAACCCAACCAGCACCCATTTCTTGTAGGCTTCCACCATGATCGCGCTCACGGAATTGGCCGTTGGCATGGAAATGACAACCCCGAGGAAGTGAAGTGCACTTTGCCATTCCTTGAGTGTCATGTAAATCATCCCGCCATAGACAAAGTACCGCAGGTAATCCTGATAGGTGAGCTTCGCTGAAAACCCGGAGACACCCGTGATGAAGGACAGACTTGAACCGGGCCCCACGCAGATCGCAGACGGCTCCGAGGAAGATCGTTCAGGCAAATCTGGAAAATGACAGATATGCTTGTTCAGGATGGGTAGCGCGTAGGAATATGCCTTTGCCTGGAGACAAAGTTTAACAAGCAAAAGATGAGTTGATGTCAGAACGGCAGCGGATGGATCCAGACGAAGCATCGCATCCCGAATCAATTTAGCACCCAGAAGTGGCTACAACAGAGTAAGTAGTTGAACAACACCATGGCTGACCATAGTGGACTTGCCTTTGATGCCGCCAGCGAGGCCTGCGCAACAATCTCGACGAGCTGTCGCCATTCTCGTCCAGTGTGCCTGACTTGGATTCGATCAAATCCCGCTAGGAACTGGGCAGCGCGCGCCCATAGTTTCCCCGCGGGGCGAATATCAGCCGGACAGGTGTTGCCGCTTCGCTCCTGCGCGCTCTGAATCTGCATGCCAAGGACGAAGAGATATGTGATTGAGTCTTTTGACGGGTCGAAATGCTATTTGAGGATTGCCTATTAGCCTGTTGCTCCCGGGGTTGACGCGACTCGAAGCAGGCGGTCTCGGCCCTTACATCAAGAAAGGATTCATCATAAGCCGCAGGATCAAGGGTCTTGGTGGATGAGAGTCGTTTAAGGTAATCCACGAGTTCGCGAATTCGACGATCGTACTCGTCGTTGGGCATAGGAGCTTGTAAATGCGCCCCAGCGGACAGAAGATCCGACATTAAGGCCATGCTGTCGGACCTCTCCTGAGAATAGGTCGATTCACGTTATCTTTGAGGCGTAGAAAGGATGGGAGACGGAAAGAGATAGAAAAGAGTAGTAAGTGTTGCAAGTGTTGCAGGTGTAGAGTAGAGGTGTAGGAAGAGAACAACAGAGTGACGTAGAAAGGTGATTGATAAAAAAAACCCGATAACGTGCCCCTCCGCACCTTTTGACTCATTTTGCCCTCGACACCTCTACACCTTCACCTTCACCTTCACCTTCACCTTCTTATACCTTCTTCACCTTCGCCCTTAGCCCCTTTTACCCTCCAACACCCTGTCATTATGGCATTGACTGATTTGCCGGCCGATGCGGTCGCTCAAGATGCATCTCTCGCCTCGCGCCGCCTCGCAACGCTGTCCAATGCCGACCGCAGTAACGCCTTGACGATACTACATGAAGCTTTGGCAAAGAAAGAAAACCGACACTTTATCTTGGAGGCCAATGCCAAGGACAGGGAAAACGCCGAAAAAAGCGCGGCCGCGGGGAATGGCCTGAGCGACAGTGTGATCAAAAGACTAGATTTGTCGCATGGGGAGAAATATAACGACATGCTTCAGGGAATTCTAAGCGTGCGAGATTTGGATGACCCCAGTCAGTGTATTCCATTCAGTGGATCTCCACCACACTGTTGACATGATGAACTGTAGTTGGAAAAGTGTCTCTCCGAACCCTCCTTGACGATGGACTCACCCTCGAAAGAGTCAGTTGTCCTATCGGTGTGCTTCTGATCATTTTCGAGGCCCGGCCGGAAGTCATTGCCAACATTGCCGCATTGGCTATCAAGTCGGGCAATGCTGCTATCTTGAAGGGTAAGTGTGCCATTCCTAGGGAATCCCCCGGTATCATTCTCACACATTGCTCTATTTAGGCGGGAAGGAGTCTACGGAGTCATTCAAGGCGATCGCAACCGTTGTCTCTGCTGCTATCAAGGCAACTCAGGTGGTGCCGGAATCGTCAATCCAGCTTGTCCAGACACGCGATGCCGTATCAGCTCTGCTAGCTCAGGATAAGTTGATCGACTTGGTCATCCCCCGAGGTTCTAACGAGCTCGTGCGGTTTGTGAAGGACAACACGAAGATTCCCGTGCTGGGACATGCCGACGGTCTGTGTTCAGCCTACATCCACGCTGACGCCGACGCGGAAACGACCGTGAAGGTCATTGTGGACTCCAAGACGGACTATCCAGCGGCATGCAACTCATTGGAGTCTTTGCTTGTCCACGCGGGCACTCTCGAATCGATTTTCCCGAAAGTAGCCGCTGCTCTGCTGGCCAAAGGCGTTACACTGCGCTGTGATGACCTTTCAAAGAACGCCTTGACCGAATTCCTGCCAAAGGCCCTGCTTGCCGAGAAATCGTCTCTCATCCAAACGGCCATCGCTTCCGATTATGAAACGGAGTTTTTAAGCCTGAAGTTGGCAGTTAAAACAATCCCTGCCTGCGATTCCCCGACTGCCGCTCTACAGACTGCCATGGAACATATCAATTCGCATTCATCGAAGCATACTGATCTTATTTTGACCGAGTCCCAAGAAGCAGCGAATATCTTCACTAGTGGGATCGACAGCGCAGGCGTCTTCTGGAACGCTTCTACCAGGTTCGCCGATGGAATGCGGTTCGGGTTTGGCACCGAAGTTGGCATCAGCACCAACAAGATCCATTCGCGTGGACCCGTCGGACTGGAGGGACTGACGATCTATAAATACCTGATCCGGGGAAATGGGCACCGAGCATCGGACTACGGCCAAGGCGGACGGACTTACCGCCATACAAACCTACTATCAACGGGTATTTAATTATATGCCCCGAGACAGTGAGTAGATAGATGATTTTAAATATGATTTTTTTCTTCTTCTCTTTCTTTCCTCGTTGTGATATTCGCATAAGAAAAAACTTAGGACAAAGCCTGATTCAATTTTTTGCCCCTTTATTCGTAAAATTCTCATTTCCACGTCCAACCAAAGACCCCCCGCCTCTCTAGTTACAGACTTGAGATCTCTGGCTAGATCTGGAATGATTCCAGGCACCAAATCAATGCGACTAGTGCATATTCCATGACACAGACACACCAAATTGTCCTCCCCAGGTCCCTTAGACCTTGAAACCCTTGGAGCGTCTGCGACCACGGGCACGCTCGAACTTGCGGCCCTTGCTGCCAACGTAGGGCTTCTGTTTTGAGTTAGCAACTGTAAATCCAACCATCCCACGGTCCGAGTGTAGAAACGAACCTTGTCGGTGTGGGGACCGAAGCCGAAGTGCTTCACGGCCTCACGGGCGTTCTTGGGGCCACGGAGGAGGAGAGTGTTGGCACCGGTGGGGGCGCGGAGAGCAAGCTGGTCCAGAGTCAGAGTCTCACCACCGGCCTTCTCAATGCGGGCGCGAGCGGTAGCGGTGAAACGGAGAGCGGCGATCGACAGCTTGGGGACGTTCAGAAGACGGTTGTCATCGGTGACGGTACCGATCACAACAACGGTCTTGCCCTTGTGGGTCTCGCCAACGTTGGCAACGGCGCGGGACAGGGAAACAGGGGGGCGGTTGATTCTGGACATGAACAGGCGGCGGAGAACGGCCTTGTTGAAGTTGGACTCGGTACGGCCTATTGTGCATCCGAAATCAGCCTCATGGAAAATTTCACAAGAGAAAAAAAAAATCATCGTCATCGAACTGCGCATGGTGTGATTGCGCTGCGACTCAAAATCGGGTATTCGCTAGAGGGGGAGTCATACGAGCCAAGAAGCGGTACAGCTTCACGAGAACCTGAAGGTAAACGTTGTCGCTCTTGGGAGCCTTGCGGTGGGTGCTCCGCACATGGTGGCGGTCCAGGTCGATACCTGCAAGTTTCGAATTGTCAGTGGACTGGGTTGAGAGATCGAAATCAAGCAATGTGATCGTGTAGACACTGCTAGATACAGCGATTGAGGATGATTGAACATACCCATGGCTGTGTATTGAGATCGACTACCTGGGAAATAGCTTGCTGTCGCACTGAGAAGGGCAGGAGATTTTTGATCCTTGAGTTTCGCCTGGACAGATGGTGTGGGGTTGAGCCCTAAGCCTAACTCGCATTGGGAATAGCGAGCACGTGACCCATGACGGGTGGCAATTGGGTCACGTGTACCCCTTTCTGCCCCGAGTCTAGCCCCGGCGGTCTACCACATAAGCCTCATCTTCGGAGTAAGTAGTCACAGTGGACACCACACTGGGTGCGATCTCATGGTGGATCATTGATTTGGGACAGAACATTCCGATGGAAACAGAGTGAACTCTAGGTATAATGGACTATTCTTTATCACTCAAGCTAACCAAGAAATCACGAGTCATCTCGAAGCTCAACCAGCTGCTGGCCATACTGGGAGCAACCTTAAGAAGATTAGGCCCGATACCTTTGAAGAGGCCGCGCATTCCTTCCTCGGCCACAATCACTCTGACTGCGTCCCATATCGAGCTATATTGGTAGCCCATTCCGGACATTGTGTTAATTTGGAAGCGACGGCGCAGTACATCACTAGGTGAGTGTCAGTTCCACAGGCTTCAAAAACGCATCCAGACCGGGGAAGAAAAAAGACGAACAATGGATATGTGCATGTTTGAGCTACTGCTCCTGAGATGGCACCAGCCAGTAATTTTCGATAGGAGTTGGGGTTCTTTTCCCCGTCTGGGGTCAGATACTTGCGCACCGATTCGTAGGTCATGAAGTTTAACCCGACCTGTCACAGGTTAGATCGCATTGGACTGAGAGAGGGAGGGACTGACGTAGGGGGCCACTCCTGCCACGGTGGGTGCGATTCCACGATATAAAGCTCGGACTCCACCTTCATTCTTGTGAATCGCGACCATCGTGGTGAACATGCCCGGCAATCTTTGGGATGGATCTCTCACCCCCAGATCGGCAAACGAAGCTGATTGAATCGAGAGTCGAGTTCGAACAATATCTAATGGATAGGTAATTGTCACCGAGGTGATGCCTGCTGCACCTCCGCAGACAAGGCGCCGCATTGGACTCATCTCGCCATCGGGGGATTCTGCGAACTGAAAGATAGAGTCAGCGAGATCCCGGGCACTCTGCAAGAGGTTGGGGCAAGTACCTGCTTGTAGAAGTTGTAGCTTCCGAATTGAACGGCCGAGTATGGAATGATGCGGATGCAATTCGTCCCATTTCCTCGCATAAACCCGCGCCAGCCTTCCTCTCGGCCCATCTTTACCAGCGCCTTCCAAGTTGACATTTTATATTCAGTTCGACCCACGCTTTGAACCTGGAGAAGAATCTTCAATCGTTCCAATGGCGAAACTATGGTCCTAGAGACAGCTCCCGCTACTCCGCCAGCCATGAATGCGGCCACCACGGGCTCGGCAAGATTCTTCCTTGTTTGACTCCAGAGTGTGGGAGGTGGGCTGCCAGCGGATTCCTGGTTCGTTGATACCTGATTAGTAGAGAGCTCACTTCAGGCTAGACTGCCGGCTCACCTTGACTGCGGTAGGAGACAATTGAGGTAGGCTCTGCAAGCCAGATTTTGTTGTACCCTCCAACTCGTCCTTGCGAGCGGCGTTCTGGCGATCCAAGCTCATTGTGACGGCTTGCGCATTAGGCCCCGCAGGTTATGGCAGTATAGAAGTCCGGAGCTCTGAGATCTGATGTTCCACAATTCTGGATCGCAGAGGAAGAAGCGCTGTAAAACAGGTGTACCCTAGGATTAGGTAGATTCGGTTCGTCTAATGTATCAAGGAAAGCACCAGAAGTCTGTTTCGAATCGTTATAACACTAGCCATGAAGGTTGGCCGTCTTCGCGAGGCTTGATGACTTAAATGCACATCATTGATCTTAAACGCAGGGGAGTGTCGCTTTTGGTGGTTCTATAAATCAGGGGGCGAAAGGAGATATCGACAGCTCCAAGGTGGAGGAGGGCCCAGCGGGAAGGGTTTTGCCGGGATTGAATGGCTAGTGCCTTTGCAACCAGGAACTGAAGGACAACCAGAGAGCTCACAACCAGAAAGCTCACAAGATACCAACTGAATGCAAAGAAATGACTGGGCGGAGATAGGTAGTGGTCGAGGTAAGGTTGCGATCGAGAACATCCGACTTGCCGACAGACACGGTACCTCCCGATGGTCCGCCACTTACAATTACGTATGTATCGAACTATGGACTTTTGCTCTTTACACCTTCCCTGCTGCTCTGGGTGATTATCTCTCAGTGCATACAGATTGTCTCTAGTCATGGAATTGTTCATTTCACAGAGAAGTAGATGCTAACCAATGTTAATACCAGTAAATACAAAAATGACACTAGTACCTCACACATTACCATATGTGAAAGGTAATGATGTGGTATTATCATTACTCCACCCAATGACCTCACCGCCTTTCGTCATCGGGAATTGCGCAAATGGTCGTTCACATCCACCGTAGCTCCTTCATCACCTAAATCTTTCCACTCGTCAGGGCTCTTCGCTCTGTTATCCTCTTGAAGCTTCTGAAGCTCCAACTTCTTCATTTTTCATCCCCCATCTTTCTTTTAGGGCACCATGTCATCTCGTTCAGGTACCACCCTATATGTTACTGGTTTCGGCCACGGAACCCGTGCTCGCGATCTTGCCTACGAATTCGAACGGTACGTGTGTCGCCTATACCTTCGCTACGACCTCCGATTCCCATTCCGACGACGAACCGAGACCACTGGCATTGAATGGCATTGAACCGCATGGCTTTTTATTTCCTTTCTTTCCCAAACTAGTATGACATGCGCATGGAAGCTTTTGTCGCATCTCACCAACTGCTAGTCTTGGTCATTCGTCATTATCTCTCTCTTACTCCTATAACCCCCCTCTCTCCGCCTGTCATTCGACCTCGCTCTCTCCAATTGGCGACTTGGCTCTAGCAGAAGCTGACAATTCATTTAGATACGGTCGTCTTGTCCGCTGTGACATCCCGGCCCCTCGCACACCCTCCAGCCGGCTGTAAGTCAGACCTGATATCTGGAGACTATTTGGAATCCTCTGACTCTCTGAACTAGCTTCGCCTTTGTGGAATATGAGAGTCGTCGTGATGCCGATGATGCTTACCACGAGATGCACAACAAGCGTATCGGCCGTGATGATCTGTTGAAGATCGAGGTAGGCATTCATTTGTATCCCGTCCTGTGGTTTCAGTATTCTAAACTCCTTCCTAGTGGGCACGTACTCCCCCCTCTGCTTCTTGGCGATTCGACTCGGGCTCTGGTCGTGATGCTGGCCGTGACTCTGGCCGCGACTCCGGCCGTGACCGTCGCCGTGATCGCACTCCTCCCCGCCGGGGCCGCTCGCCCTCCCCTCGCCGCAGCCGTGGTGGTGACTATTCTCCTCGCCGCGACGATCGTTACGAACGGGACGACCGCGCCGACCGCGACTACGACCGCCGTGACCGTGACCACGATCGCCGTGATCGCGACCGCTCTCGCGACCGCTCTCGCAGCCCCGATGACCGTGAACGCGATGTCAAGGATGACCGGGAAAAGCGCGACGATGACCGCGAGCGCCGTGAAGATGACCGTGACAACGCTCCCAACGGTGACGATAGGAAAGGTATGATTTCCAACGCCTCTTCCGCCGAACTTTGCTGATCTGAGACAGTACCCTTGGATCCGATGCCTTCTGCTCATGATGAACTTGATACCGCTGAGTAGATCAACTCGGCATTTCATCCTCTCACCCCTGATTTACTTCGTCCCGTCTTCGCGTCTCCTGATGTCATTGTGATTCTGCCAGGGAGGAAAAAAAGAAAAAGAAATCGAAAAATCGAAAAAAAAGGCACCCAAACGAACAACACACCAAAATCCTCCCACCAAAGACATCACTGGCCAGACTCATTGACGATTCTCACCGTACGGCACATGTCCATCTCTGCCTCTGTTGATTTCCAATGCTCGACGACCACCCTGCTGCAGTATGGGAGGCCGAGGAAATTGTCCCCCGCTTTGTTTTTTTTTTTTGCTTCTATTTCACGTTTTGATCCCCCAGTTCATCTCTTTTTTTCGTGCTGGTAATTTATCCTGGTCAGCAGCTCGGAGACCGAAGCGAACGCCGAGCGATCCCAGTCGAATCCGATCACATCCGTCTCGCCCCTTCGAAATTTAATTTGAAAGCGGTTATCCGTCGCCATTTTCGATCGACCAGGAAGGAGGGCAAAGTAGTGCTTTTGTCGTAGTTATGTAGGTAGTCACAGCGGTCACAATATTCATTCTTCACTTATGACGTAAACGCGGGGAAGTACATCCCTCCCTCCCTCCCTCTCTCTCTCTCTCTCTCTCCTTCTTTTCACCTTCAGCTATGGTATCGCCAAAAGGAATCAGTATTGCAATCGATGTAATGCCTTCGCTCCTTCTCAATAACCTATACTAACCTGGTCTCAGAGAGGCGGGACCTTCACAGATTGTGTGGGCAACCCAGGGTCTGGCCGTCTAGAGGATGATATTGTGATTAAGCTACTATCAGAAGACCCGTCCAACTATGAAGATGCGCCGCTGGAAGGGATCCGTCGCATTCTTTCCAGGTTCACAGGCCGTGAAATCCCTCGTGGAGAACCGATTGACACATCGCTAATCGATAGTATTCGCATGGGCACTACGGTGGCAACAAATGCACTTCTTGAACGAAAAGGGGAGAAGATCGCACTCGTCGTAAGCAAGGGTTTCAAAGATTGTCTTCATATTGGGAATCAATCTCGCCCCCGGATATTTGACCTTGCCATCAAACGCCCAGATGTGCTCTATGAGGAGGTGGTGGAGGTGGATGAACGTGTTACCCTGGAAGATTATGCAGAAGACCCACAAAGAAACCTGACGAGCACAGTACCTCGCGAACAAAGTCCACCAGCGGCTGATCTTGTGCGCGGGCTCTCTTCGGAAGCCGTCCGGATTCTCAGGCGTCCCTCCGAAAGCAAGGTGCGATTGCAACTGCAGGAGATATATGACCGTGGATTGAGAAGCATAGCCGTATGCCTGATGCATGGATATACCTTTCCAGACCATGAGGCCCTGGTGGGGAGAATTGCCACGGAAATTGGTTTTCGCCATGTCAGCTTGAGTCACCAGCTCATGCCTATGATCAAATTAGTGCCGCGAACCACGTCAGCTTGTGCCGATGCGTATTTAACACCCGCGATCAAGAAGTATATCTCCGGGTTTCAGGCTGGCTTCAAAGGGGGGCTAGGCAGCGCCAGTGTCAAGGAGCAGGCAGGCACAAAGGGAGCACGCTGCGAATTCATGCAATCAGATGGTGGCCTGGTGGACGTAGATCAATTCTCCGGTCTACGGGCCATTCTATCAGGCCCCGCCGGTGGTGTGGTGGGCTATGCGTTAACATCCTATGACCCGGTCTCCAAAATACCTGTCATTGGCTTTGATATGGGAGGAACGAGCACGGATGTTAGCAGGTACGGCTCCGGTCGATACGAGCATGTATTTGAAACAACCACAGCCGGGGTAACAATCCAGTCTCCTCAGCTGGACATCAACACTGTGGCAGCAGGGGGTGGATCAAGACTCTTCTATCGCAATGGGCTCTTCGTTGTTGGGCCCGAGTCCGCTGGCGCACATCCCGGGCCAGCTTGCTATCGTAAAGGGGGTCCGTTGACAGTGACCGATGCCAATTTGTTCCTCGGACGACTGGTCCCGGACTTCTTCCCGAAAATCTTCGGTCAAGACGAAAAGCACGGACTGGACGAGCAAGCAAGCAGGGTTGGCTTTGAGGAACTCACCAAGGAAATCAATGCCGAGTTGGCCAGGGAGGGGCAAACTCGAGAGATGTCCCCTGATGAGGTCGCATTTGGCTTTGTCAAAGTAGCCAATGAAACAATGACTCGCCCAATCCGCTCGCTGACAGAGACCAAAGGCCATGATACCTCCAAGCATCGACTGGCCACATTTGGAGGTGCCGGAGGCCAGCATGCCGTTGCCATTGCCGAAAGCTTGGGCATTCAGCAAATTCTTATTCACCGTAATTCCTCGGTGCTCTCCGCTTATGGCATGGCGCTGGCAGACGTGGTTGATGAAAGTCAAGCGCCGGAGTCGAGGACATGGACCCCCGAGGATAAAGGAGTTCGTGACGTGCTTGCATCACGAATGGAAGAGCTCAAGAATCGATCGATAGAGAGATTGCGAGCACAAGGATTCGAAGATGACTCCATCGTGTTTGAACACTATCTCAACATGCGTTATCGAGGTACCGAGAGTGCTCTGATGATCTTGAAGCCAAGCCGAGAAGATGCAAATCATCATTTTGGAGGGGACGAGTGGGATTTTGGGCAAGCTTTCGAAAGACAGCATGAGCAAGAATTTGGCTTTACTCTCCCTGGTCGAGACCTCATTGTAGATGACATCCGGGTCCGGGGCATCGGCAAAGGGTTCAAAGTATCCGAAAAGACCGTTGACCAGCAGCTCCAGGAGTCCCGACCACGCGACGTGGAAACGGGTCGGGAGTACCGTAGGGATCAGATTTATTTTGAGGGTGGCAGACAGGATACACCGATATACAGACTGGGCGATCTCGGCATTGACGAGCGTGTGAGAGGCCCAGCGATCCTGGCAGATGATACACAGACCATTGTGGTAGCGCCGGGGGCTTCGGCGCTGCTGACGAAAACTCACGTTGTCATCAGTGTTGGCGACTCAGACAACCACCTCGAGCTGAGCACCCAAGAAGCAGATCCAATCCTGTTGAGTGTCTTCTCGCATAGGTTCATGGCGATTGCCGAGCAAATGGGCCGTGCCTTGCAAAAAACCAGCGTGAGCACCAATGTCAAGGAACGACTGGATTACTCATGCGCGTTGTTCGACGCGGACGGCGGGCTGGTTGCCAACGCACCGCATCTACCAGTTCATCTTGGGAGCATGTCGACCTGCGTGCGAATGCAATCTCAGATCTGGAAGGATAATCTGAAGCCGGGAGATGTGATTGTCTCCAATCATCCAGAATTTGGTGGGACTCATCTTCCAGATATCACGGTCATCCAACCCGCGTTCAGTGAAGGGAAGATCATCTTCTATGTAGCCTCCAGGGCCCATCACGGTAAGAAGCCCCATGTTGAGATATGTGAGTACAAAGATGCCAACTCCCTCATGCAGCCGATATTGGAGGAATACTCCCGGGGTCCATGCCCCCGCATTCAAAAGAGTTGTATCAAGAAGGTGCCGCCATCAAAAGCGAGAAATTGGTTTCGGAGGGGGTTTTTAACGAGGAACGGATCACAGCTCTGCTGTACACGGAACCAGCCCAATATCCGAACTGCAGCGGAACCCGTTGTCTAGCAGATAATTTGAATGACCTGAAGGCCCAGATTGCAGCAAATAAGAAAGGTATCAACTTGATCGGGACTCTGATTGAGGAATATGGCGAGAATGTGGTGCAATTCTACATGCATCAAATCCAGGAAAATGCAGAGCTGAGCGTGCGCAATTTGCTGAAGGAAGTCAGCTCCAAATTTGCGGGTCAAGATCTCAGCGCCATTGATTATATGGATGATGGAAGTCCTATTCAATTGAAGATCTCGATAGACCAGGAACGAGGCGAGGCAGTGTTTGATTTTGAGGGAACTGGGCCAGAAGTATATGGTATCAAGCGGTCTTTGATCCAAGAGCTGAAACGGTATAATTTGCTAACAGGGACAGGCAACATTAATGCGCCAGAAGCTGTCACATACTCGGCAATCATTTATTGCCTGCGCTGCCTGATATCAGCCGACATCCCCCTGAATCAAGGGTGCTTAAAGCCGATTGACGTTCGAATTCCACGCGGAAGTCTTCTCTCTCCATCGGAATCTGCTGCTGTGGTGGGCGGCAATGTTTTGACAAGCCAGAGAGTGACGGATGTCATTCTAAAGTGCTTCCAGGCCTGTGCTGCATCACAGGGTGATACTAACAACCTCACATTTGGATTTGGAGGCAACATGCTGGGTGAGAAAGAGACCAAAGGATTTGGATACTACGAGACCATCGCTGGCGGTAGTGGTGCAGGCCCGTCCTGGGAAGGTACCTCAGGTGTTCACACGCATATGACCAACACCCGAATCACCGATGCAGAGGTCTTTGAGCGGCGGTATCCCGTCATACTCCGAGAGTTCAGTCTTCGACCGAACTCCGGGGGTAGTGGCCAGCACCGCGGTGGTGATGGTGTTATCCGAGACATTGAATTTCGCATCCCAGTGCAAGTCTCAATTCTTTCGGAACGCAGGGTTTATCATCCTTATGGGCTGGATGGAGGTGAGGATGCCCAGTGTGGTCAGAACCTCTGGGTTCGCCGAGTGGCCACCCCCGATGGGAAGTGGACGGAGCGGTACACAAACCTGGGTGCGAAGAATTCCGCCCAAATGCAAGCAGGAGATCGAATCATCGTCCGTACCCCTGGTGGCGGAGGATGGGGCCAGCCTGGGCAACGGACGCGACTTCTTTTCCCGCAAGATCATCGTCATGGTTGGAGGGGGGGATCCATTGCACATAACCTGGCCACACAGGAGGCGAGTATGTAGAGAGAGGTGAGATTTCATTTTCATGTTGCAGATCCAAATAGTAAATATCAAAGCCGAAGGTACTTTAGCGATGGGACAACCGGTTCTTTGGGGATTTCACAGCTTGTGAACCTGGGAAGAATACAGATTCCGCATCTTCATAGGTCTTCCCATAGTAGCTTAATCACAATATAGACCCTGGGTTGCCCAGTCCGTGAAGGTCCATCTCTCTGAGATCAGATCCGTACAGGTTGTTGAAAAGAAGCAAAGGCATTGCATCGATTGTAATATCCCTTTTGGCGATACCATAGCCGAAGTTGAGAGAGACATGAAGTTGAGAGAGACAGAGACTCCAGACTCAGCTATACCTCAAGTCACGTGCACACGCGTCACTGTCGCGCTTCTGACATCACAGCCTTCTCCCTTTGCAACACCTCACCTTTCAACTGCCAAAATGACCTCCAGAAAGCGTGCCTCTGAGTCCAGCCCCGGGCCTGAATCCAAGAAGGCCAAAGTCAGCGGCCAAACCGACTCAAATGGAGATCGCTACTGGGAACTATCCAAGATGCGCCGGGTGACCATTTCCTCTTTCCGGGGTAAAACCCAGGTGAATATCCGAGAGTACTATGAAAAGGATGGACAGCAGCTACCGGGCAAGAAAGTGAGTGACCAGCGACGGTTACACGGACCCTAGACTCACCCGGTATAGGGCATCTCGATGCCAATAGATCAATTCTCTGCCCTGGTCTCTTTGCTCCCCGAGATTGAAGGGGTGCTGAAGCAAAGTGGAGAAACCATACCACGACCATCCTATTCAGGAGAAAGCCCATCTGGTCATGAGGAATCGGGCAATCAGAGCCCAACCAAGCAAAACATTGACGCCACAAGCGACGAGGACGAGGGTGAAGAGTGAGAGTGTTCAGGTGTGCCATGTGCCCTTGAAATCTCATAGAAATCATATTCGAGCCAGGACCTTTTTCAAGTCTAGGAATATTTGGGTATCCCCGGGGCTGTGAATACGAACGTCGAGATGGACCCGAGAGCATGAGACAAAGAAATCATTCAAAGTTACACGCGCTGAACCACAGTGTGTTGACCGTGTTGGTTAGGTGCAGGGTCATTCCAGGTCAATCAAGCGTGTCGTATTAGCTGAGACCTCCATGATTTAATGAACCAGTTGACTTGGAATTTAGGAGCATATTCTTCATTGAAACATTAAGTCTATTGCATCTCAAAGGGTCAATACCCTGAGACCTTGTAGCAACACCGAAAAGACAAATCCTCGCGCAACCGTTTCCACTTGGAGACTGTCGAAGATCTTCTCCAGTGCTTCCCGGCTAGCAGCCGCTCCCATCACACTTGTCAAAGCTTGTGGGATACCTCGCTGCACAAAAAGGTTACGTGCAGTCTCTCGGGTACGAAGCTTCTCTTCTTCGCTGGGTGGAGGGGGCCAAGCTTTGAGCTCGTCCTCCGTTGGAAGCGCATTTTCACGAAGCTGGGAAAGATAACCCCCGAGAGCATCGTCAGAAGTATGACCCTGGATCATGGAATCTTGCAAAAGAGTACGAATGGTTTCCAAGGTCGGGCTCCCCGGACGTAGAATGTAAGATTTGGCGGCATTCAACAAAGTTCGACGAATATTCCACGCAGATGACAATGTATACAATTCGTTGATCACAGCGAAAATCAGCTCCACTGCAATCTGTGTCTCGTCCGCCGAGATAGGACTGTCTTTCTTGCGGGGTTGGTTGACACTTTGCAAGGTTTCTGATCGACGATGTGTAGAGGGCTGTTCGGTTGGCTCTGTGGGCTTTGCAGCATCGGCACCCAGATCGAGCGAGGTTTTAGAAAGTAAAGACTCGGTGGCCAATGTATCTTGCTCAGTCGCAATGGATTCCTTAGCACTATCGGCCGAAGGTGGCTCGGAAAGTGACTCGGAGGACTCGCTCTGAGGGTTTGGAGAATTACCAGGAAGTATCGCAGAGTCGCTGGTTTCATACACTGCACTGGTGCGATCATCAAAACTCGACCGCGTCTGAGACAGGCTGGTACGGTTGGAGCCACCCGTCTTGGGGTCACTCTGGTTCGCCATGACAGCCGATTTCCTGTTGTTAGCTGCGCCTCCAAAAACCCCGGTCACTCCCTCAAAGACAGCTTTGCCACCTCCTGCCACCCCTTTGGGTGCATTGGCCAGCGCGCCTAGCATGCCCTTGCCCATGTTCTCAAATGCAGACGGACCTGGGAAGGAGAATGCCGACTTGTTCGAGCCAGCTGCCTCAGAGGAGCCGGCGTCCTTTTCCAAAAACCGGCGCATTCGGTCATTATCCACCAATGATTCGTGCTTCATGGCATCTTGTAGGTAATGTTCCAGGTCCCTAGCCAAAGCTTGTCTAGTCTTGTTCTTCCAAGGCGGCAAAGTTGGGTGCCGCTCCGAGAAGCTTTGAATAAGATTTAGACGAGAGACAGTCCCCAACATTTCGTGAAGCGATTGAAAGTCCGAGTATTTGCGAAACACCATCCATCCGGTTGACCGTGTAGACGCTGGCTCGACTTGGAGTAAATAATCCCATGTAGGCCGTGACTTGATCGGTCCCTGGTCATCCCTCGATCCATCATCATCGACCAGAACCTGTGCCCCATGAAGAACCACGGGTGGTGATGAGCCTTCCTCGGAGCTCTTTAGTTTGTCGAATGGCTGTATTCCAGTCGTCGCGTCGCGGCCGCTCTGTTCGTTGCCATGAACCGTATTTGTGGGTATATCGGTGGACGAGGTTGGGGTTTCGGTGGTTTCCTCTGGTTGGCGCGGTGAATTTGATCCCTGCAAATCTGAATCCAGGTCTAGGGTTGGTTGAGAGGCAATCATGGCACTAAGACGTTTCACCTCCAAAATCGCAGCTTCCTCCGAGTCCCTCGCAGCCTGCATGGATTGCCTACTTGGGAGTTTGACAGAATCTACAGTACCTGCAACGGGCTCCTCCGGGGCCTTGGGTGCACTAACACCCTGGTTCCGAGCACCTTCAACGCCTGCATCAATGGCGTGCATGATTTCCGATTCACCATCCTCCAGCAGGTGAATGATCCAGCCGTTGATGAACTCGGGGCGTGCCAGGCTAGTGATAACGGACTCTAGCACAACCCCCGAAAAGATTTCGCGAAGGAAGTCCCTCACAGGTTGACAATTGTACGCCTTTTGATCAAGGTAGTTCGCCAGGATATCGTCTGCGATCATATTGAGCTTTTTCTTCTGCTGTGTACCTGATAGAACATTCGCCAGACTGCTATCTGGGCACTGTTCCAAGTACTGCTCCACGGTCTTCTGGGCCTCCGAGGGGGAAGCGCCTCCAGCAGCGAATGCCGCAGCAAGCTCGTTGAGGAAAACAATGACGATGGATGAGGAGTTGGTGAGGAATTGGAGAAAAATGTCTTCCGTTCGCTTCCGCGATAAGTGCGAGGAGACAGACGTAACGAAATGGACCAATATATTGCGACATGACCCAGGAAAGCTTGTTTCTGAGGGTAGAAGTGGCCCATACCAATATCATTGGGTCCGTCAGCTATGTATATTCATGGTATGGGAGGGGATACGGAAATACTTACTTGATATAGTCCCTGACGACAGCATCGGTGAGAATTCTCAGCGCATCCGCAGTGGCAGGCTGGAAAGTGGCATATTCAAGGTCTGCCAAGGACAACTCTTCCGGTGCTCTTATCGATTCCTCATGGTCACTCTTGGCATCGGAGGTCATCGCTCGCTTCGGCCATTCTAACAACCTACTGGAGACTTCCAGCGCTAATTCTTTCCGTCTCGTAGGTTTGTTGTGTGACGCCTCCCCGGTATGCTGGTCGAGCCCTTCCCATGAGGCATGTAAGACGACACCGACGGCCACTCCAATCAGGAGCAGCCCGATTCTTCCCAAGATGATGTAGGTGACAAGGATCAGAAGAGCGAGGACGCCCAGGAGGGTTTCATTATTGGCGGTGGCGAGAAAATTGAGGGTGTGATTGATGCAATCTTTCAGAGGGTCGACATCTTGATTCATTGTGAGATGGCCAAGGAGTAAATGTAAACGATAGAGACGATAAGGAGAGGTGCTTGGCGTGGTCTGTGCTGCACATCCTCCGCAACGTACGGCAGCCCGCAGTCCGCAGTCCGCAGTCCGCAGTACACAGTATGTACGGCAGTATGCACTGCAGAGTATCGATTTTTGGATTATGGCGCTATTGGTATTTATTCTCATAGTTTAATATCAAGTGCCCTAATGTTAGCTATCTATGAGTATTATTGATAGGATCCATTGTAATATATACTAAATATATTAAATTACTATTTTAAGGTCAGGTAAATAGAGTGAACTCGATAATTCGAGAACTTGAAGATTAAAAAAAGGATTAGAGAACAGATAGAGTATGTAGAGCATGGCACGGAGTAGAGTATAGTTATAAGCAATTTCATTGTGATTCTAGATGTATCCAATCATCATTTCCTCGCAAGCGGAAGCTAGACAGCGAGGAATCTAAAGCAAACAGAGAGGAGTTAATCTCCGCTATCCGAGTGAATCTGAGCATTCAAAGTGAATGTGCGTCATGCCAGATGTAAAGAGATTGCGGGAAGTTGTAGGTCTACGGTGTCCAAGATTGGAACCATAGCTTGATTCGGGACATCTGCATTAAGATGAGCCGAACATTGGCTTTGGATCACTTGGATGGCGAGGGGAAATTGAAATTCCCAGGGGATAAGCACAACTGGAAGAATGAAGGACGAAGGAAGAAGAGAAACCAAAAAGGATTTTATAAGCGGGAGGTTACCTAATCTTTAACCGACAGACGCTAGCCCCCTTTGAGCCTGTCTTGTTAGTACATCTGTCTACTGATGAATTTCTAGGTCTATTTTTTCATCCTATGCCGATGTCTCCGAGACAAAATTTGGGATAACATGAAGTGATTGACATCTTCATCTCCCCAGTATGTCAGATGACTGGCAATGCTGGCAATCAGCGAGATGTCGAATGCGCCCCTATCTTCAGGTTAGTTGAGAGCTTCGTCAAATTGGCGTGGCATCTTACTCTTGTATGCTATAGTCCACCCGGCCGTTGGTATTCATGGAGCGGACTTTAGCATCTTCAAATCTCAGCTTCCGCTCTTGGTCAGGGTCGGCCTCGGGATCGGGACTTTCTCCATGATTGTTATCCCGACTCTTCTGGAACCCATCATAGAGGGTTTCCAAATCGGGTTCAATCAAGGTCTGATGGTGATCATCGGCCTCCGATCCATGCTGAGTAGAGCCAGATTGGGTTCGCTTGTGGACTGAATCCCCGGCCCCTTTGCCTGTGGCCTGGGAGGCCGAAGCTTCTTCGCTGGTCAACCCCAAGCTGCGATTCAACAGGCTGCTCGCCACACCCGTGGTGAAGTTGGTCCACATAGATCCTACACTTTGACCCATACGACTCCCAAGGATGGATAGACTTTGCCCCGAGGTCGTCCACAGACTCTTCTTCACCGAGGGTAGAGGCTGGGGTTTCAAGCTGGCCATCGCCGGGGATATGAGAGGTTCAACACGGTAGCTCACGGGGTCAGAAGGGTGGAAGATATTGTAGAGATCCCGACATTTTGGTGTCGAAATAATGGTGGGACTATCATCCAGCCCACGCCCACGTCCCGGTCCATGAGGGTCTGGATTAACTTCGACATCCAACGTATTTCTGCGATTTCGAGGATCGAGTGCAGAGTACCCACCAATTGTTTTTCCTTTCAGCATTTGGAACAGTGCAATGGGAGACCCAAGGCAGAAGAACTCCTCGCATTCGAATTTGAACGCATTTGCTTTGGCATTTTTGGTCGGCTCGTCGCTTTCTTGGGGCTTGCCGCTCGAGTTGCCACTCTGCTTTGCACTTCCTTGCTGATGACACAGAATGTCAAACAAGATTGCACTTCCCAAGGAATGCCCAATGAGACTGACTGAGCCCTTGAACGAGGGGTTTTGTGTCCGGTATAGTTCAAGGATCCTATTGCACTCTTGCACGACAACATTGGAGATGTGCTCGCAATACCCGCTTTGATAGAGAAGTACATCCATAGCCAGATCTGAGATGAGGTTTCGCACAGCAGGGACACTTTCCAGTGTGATATCTGCCAGGCTTGGATAAGCCTCGTCCTCAAGAGCATCTGCATCAGTGAGATCGAGTTCTTTTCTGTTCTGTCGAACACCCCGATACGGGAAGTCAAGAAGATGTCGCCAACACCTGGTTCCATTAGCAACAAGGAGACGACGCTAGCCACAGAAACCGATCTTACACTGGTAGCACCTGAACACGGCAATTCTTATCGCTGTCTGGGAACGCGGAATTCAAGGCTTGAAGATCAGGGGAGCCCTTGTAGACTGTTTTCAATGTTTTGCGAAGCACATTCACGTCGTGGATAAAGTTGATGCTTTCCAGCCGCAATCCGAGTCGCTGACCAATACCATGAGTGACCAGAATCAGATGATCCACCTCCCGTTCTCTATCCTCGCCTTCAATTTCTCTCGCATCTTCCATCTCTTGCTCTTCCTGCTTGCGGGCCTGCTCTTCGAGTTCGGCTGGGTTTTGCAATTCGCCTGCAAGGGACGACATCTGTCGTTCTATGGTGGACCTTGGCCTTTCTATACCTTCGAGGCTATCTGCTTGGGCTGTTTTGGTGGGAACTATTGTGGATGGATTGAATCCTTCTTTCTGGGTGTCTTTCATACCTGTCGCAGGCAAATCATCGTCTTTCTGTTTTTGTTTGGAGCTCTTTCCTTCCGCCTCCTTGGGCTTTTTGGGCTCGAACCCACGAACCAATTTGGTTCCCGGGACACCTCCCAGCTTTTGGTAGACCGATGTGCTGAAGCGAGACATGAAATCATCGTTCATCAGCCAAGCGGTTGTGGAATCTTGATAGGCAACCACTCTGTTCATATAAGCGCCAAATAAGCGATACTGTTGGGGCTCTGTTCCAGGTCCATTGGAATCGTTCCCTGTACCTTGCGAAGAGGATTGATTGGTAGTTTGCTGTCTCGGGGTTTTTGGGTCCTCCGGCGCGGACTTGGCCTGAATAGATTTCTCTTCGCCTGCTTTCCCAGCTTGCTCCGTGGACCCCGTCTGAGTGGATTCATTCCTCCACGGACACATTTTGATGAACCCCTCTTCCAGCTGGGTGGCCAGGTTCTCCTCACACGGTTTCAAGTTGGACCCATCCTGTATAAACCAGGTTCCCCGACGCACTTCATAGACGGGGGCAATCCAGTATGTCGGGCTCAATTCTCGTTGTTCCACATCCACGTTGAACAAGAAATCCTCATTCACAGGCACCTTGGAAACCACCGGTTCCTCGGATTTAGATTCATTTTGTCGGTGAAGCTCTTCGATATCTGAGAGTTTTTGAAATGTGCCTTCGATGGACTGTGAATCTTTTTTGGGGAACGGAACAAACTTCTTGGGTGGTGGCAACGGCTTTTGGTCTGCCTTCTTCTGCTCCAGCGGGGAAGGTTTCCGCTTCGGTGAGTCCACAGCATAGAACCATCTCACTTTCAACGGGGGGCAATCTGACGGATACCGGCGCATGCTCAGCCGATTTCGATGGGTCACTGTGTGATCTTCTCCTTGGGATCGCTGCAGGGCCTCTGGCTTTGGAGGATCGGCCGGTTGCGGCGTGACACTTCTCGGGGTACTCCATGGAGATAGAGTCCCTAGGAAGGACTTTTGCTCTGTGTCCATGATCGGGCGTACCCGTAAGCGAATCAGTGTGGATAGGGTTGAAGAGCAGCTCTAGAGATGGGAGCTCTGGTGATGTGTTTGTTTTGCCGGGAATGATGTAATCCACTCCGCCCGCGACAATCAGTGTAACTATACCATGTAGTATCTCTAGAGCTATTCGTGTCTACTTGAGTATCTATTTCTCCATTATTCTCTACTTAGATACTTGTCTATTCTTCACATGCCGAGTCTGCGTATGTTTTGCATTGCATATATTTTGTACTTTAGTACTTAAATACTTAAATAGGCATCCTAATTAAGGGTACGAATACGAGATTTACATTTATACAATTAAATACTATGTTATTGCCTATATAAAAGATATAATAGACTAATAGACACCATCAAGGTGAATAGCAGTGCCTAACAACAGGCAGAACAGTAAAGGCGACGTCATTCCCGCCTAAATTACATAGAGTACGTAGATTACGCGGTTTACCACCGCATTACATAAATTACTCCCCCGTGGCGTTCCTTCCGGTTAATTACACGCCCCTCTGGACAGGCACTGCCCACCTTTTTGACCTCGACCCTTTAAGATCTCCCCTTCTCTCTCTGGTGAGAGTCATTATACCCCTTTGCATTGGAATTTCTGAGGCGATTGCCCCTATATCTCTAGGGGTGCCCTTTTCAAAATGAACGCTCTCAAGCTTCAGAAGTATGTCGCCTGGTGATGGGGTTCTTGACGCTGATCACTGATGTTGGCTACAGGCGCTTCCCACAGCTCGACCAGGGTGCGATCTTCTCGCTCCAGGACGCATTTAACAGATTGGATGTCGAAGACCGAGGCTACTTGGACGAGTCCACCGCAATCAAAGCCGCTCAACAATCCGAGCGCCAGCCGTACGATGTGGTGCGCGCGGCACTGAAGGATGTCGAATTGGATAGCTCCCGACGGGTAGAACTGGAAGACTATGTTGATGTAAGATCCCACCTTGCACGTGCTCACCTACATACTCATACTCCGATAGCTCGTCTCGAAACTTCGAACAGCGCCGAGTGGAGGCGCCCCGGCCTCCACCCCCGCGGCCGTGATCCAAGGGGCCGGTGCCGGTACTGGAGCTTCCCGCCACGTCTCCAAAGGCAGTGTCGGTGGGCGCATTCATGTCCAGGGATCCTCCTCCAACGTCACTCACACAATTAACGAGGATGAGCGAACCGAGTTTACCCGCCACATCAATGCCGTCCTGGCAGGTGATGCGGACGTCGGAGATCTGCTGCCTTTCCCCACGGATACATTCGAGATGTTCGACAAGTGCAAGGATGGTTTGGTTCTCGCTAAGCTTATCAACGACAGCGTGCCGGATACCATCGATGAGCGTGTGCTGAACAAGGCTGGGAAGAAGATCAAGCAGCTTAATGCGTTCCATATGACCGAAAACAACAACATTGTCATCAATTCCGCCAAGGGTATTGGTTGCTCCGTTGTTAACATTGGAAGTGGGGACATTATTGAAGTGCGCGAGCATTTGATTCTGGGCTTGATTTGGCAAATCATCCGCCGTGGTCTTCTCGGAAAGATTGATATCAAGCTCCACCCGGAGCTTTACAGACTTTTGGATGAAGATGAGACACTGGAGCAGTTCCTACGCCTGCCCCCAGAGCAGATTCTTCTGCGCTGGTTCAACTACCACCTCAAGAATGCCAAGTGGGACCGAAGGTATGTCCACCAAGACCCGCCAACACGATTCAATTACTAATGATCACAGGGTGACTAACTTCTCGACCGATGTCAAGGATGGAGAGAACTACACAGTTCTCCTCAACCAATTGGCACCCGATGTTTGCTCCCGCGCTCCTCTGCAGACTCAGGACCTGCTGGATCGCGCTGAGCAGGTTCTCCAGAACGCCGATTCGCTTGATTGCCGCAAGTTCCTGACCCCAACTTCATTGGTTGCTGGAAACCCCAAGCTGAACCTTGCGTTCGTGGCCAATCTCTTCAACACACACCCTGGACTTGATCCAATCACCGAAGAAGAGAAGCTCGAGGTTGAGGACTTTGATGCCGAAGGTGAGCGAGAGGCCCGAGTGTTCACTCTGTGGTTGAACTCCCTGGATGTTCAGCCCGCAGTCAACTCGCTCTTCGACGATCTCCGTGATGGCGCTGTCTTGCTCCAGGCCTACGACAAGGTCATTCCCGGCAGTGTCAACTGGAAACACGTCAACAAGCGTCCCGCTTCTGGTGCCGAATTGATGCGGTTCAAGGCCGTCGAGAACACCAACTATTCTATCGAGCTTGGTAAATTCAATGGCTTCTCTCTTGTGGGAGTCCAGGGCGCGGATATTACTGACGGTCAGCGAACCCTGACCCTCGGGTTGGTCTGGCAACTCATGCGCCGTGACATCACCAACACACTCTCTGCTCTGGCCCAACGACTGGGCAAGCGCGAGATTACTGACTCTGAAATGATTAAATGGGCCAACGATATGTCCAGCACTGGCGGACGGTCATCTACGATACGCAGCTTCAAGGACAAATCCATTGGCTCTGGTATCTTCCTTTTGGATGTGCTTTGCGGTATGAAGAGCAGCTATGTGGATTACGATCTGGTCACACCTGGTCGGACCGACGAGGAGGCCTATGCCAATGCCAAGCTCTCCATCAGTATCGCCAGAAAGATGGGTGCCACCATCTGGTTGGTTCCGGAGGACATTTGCCAGGTCCGCTCTCGTCTGGTCACCACGTTCATTGGTATGTTGTTCCTTGTTTATGTGTGTTGGAAAGGTTGGCAACTAACTCTCAATAGGTTCTCTTATGGCTACTCACGAGAAGATGTAAGGAATCCAGCTGCTATGCTGAATGTTTATGGTCTTGCATATTTTATTTTGTCTTTTTCAATTTCATGTACATCCGTCACCCAATTCAAGAGAATCCAATCAACCAGTTTTGGTCGGAGAGACTGTTCAGATTTGCCATACAGGGGCAATGGTACGAGTGTGATAACTCCAGTAGATATGCAAGTTGACAGATAGCACGGTAGCACTTGAAGCATCGTTTATGCCAAGCAGGTCAGGCAGTTTAAGAAAGCCGTCAAATGATGAGATACAAACTGCACAACAGACTCGGAGCTGTGAAGATGCCTAGCCAGAAGAAGATATTACCTAGCAAGTGACGGTCTCGCATTAGACTGGTACGGCTCAACGCCACCAGCGGGAGTTGTGACATCTGCAAAATGAGCAAGTAACCCCGAAGCCGGCGGAAGATGCATAGCATGATCAATTCATGCACACATGCCGACAAGAGGAAGGTGATGAGGCTGGCCGAGACACGCGACAGGCGATATGCCCTGATAGAACTATGGTATACATGCCGGAACAAAAAATCATGGACCGGCCGATTCCAATCTCGCGCAAATTGATCCCACGAGACCGAATTCCACCAGTCCGAGTAGAACTCTCGATCTGCAAACATGGTGATTTCCGCCAGGGCATTGAGCTACACAGTCAGTACAGGCTTCACCATGAAGGGGCGTCCAAGGGAAACTCACCACACACTCCCAGATCACATAGAAGGCCAGCAGGTATTCCATCATAAAAGGAAACAGTAGATCACTGAGAACCCATGGGAATTCCCTCAGTCGCTGTTGAACCGTCAAGCCATGCTCTTTCATCTGGACCGTGTGTACCACCACGGGATAGATCCACGACTGAGAGACTGCAATCATGACCACGATGATACCGAACGTAGCTGCTGTCTTCTCCGCCACATAGAGCCAATTGATTTTCTCTGTGCGCGGGTATTCCAGCTCATATACCAATGTGGGCAATGAAATGAAATCAGAGAAATTCTTGACTGTTAGGTTTCGTGGATGATAATTGTCAGTTTGAGAGCAACGGCCCTTTAGCCCCTCTGAGAGAACATTGATTTCCTGCTCAATCAATCGGCAAAAGGATTCCACCTGATCGGGTTCTAGTTGCACGCCTTTGTCGATGGTTCCGACCAGAGACAGGATTTGATCAGTCTCACGGGATCCAGCAAAGTTCTGGAGCTTGGAAGACCGTTGACGTCGACGAAGGTCGTTTTCCTTCGAATCCGCAATCTCAACGTTCCGATCATGGGTTGAGGTGGTATCTGCTGTGCTTGTAGCCCCGGCATGGTTGGGGTCTAATTGGCCCAGTCTAATCTTGAGCGTCTCGCGTTTGTGATACAGCTCGGATACTGCTTTTATTAGCCTAGGTGATCAGTGATCACTCGAAAGGGACCTGGCATACAGTAGCCATTGTACGAGGCGTAGCTATGCTGTTTCATCAACATAGTCAAGCAATGTAGCATGATGAAGACCGTATGTGTCCAGGGCCAATCGCGATGATATGACCACCAAGTGACAGCTCCCAGATAGAATGCTTGCCAGACCTGTCAAGGTCAGCGATGGACTGGATCCTGGGCACGCCAACTTACATTTTGGACCAACCACCCCAGGTTGTTCCAGCGCACAAATCCGCTCAAGATGGCTCGCTGAAGCAGCAGACCAAATCCTGTTGAGCAGCATAGGGCCAGATCAGTCAGACCGAGAACTGCCACATCTTTGTCCATCATGAGACGGACAATCTCATTCTTGCCCCAGATACTGCCGTACACTCTCCAGTTATTGGCTGCCACTTTGAGCAGCATCAAGGCCACGCCCATCCAAAAGAGAACAAAGAAGCCATGGAACTGAGAGGATGTTGGCAGGGCAGTCAGTGTGTTCGCTTTGCGGGTGAGCTTGACTTCTTGGAACCTGAAGCTCCGTTTGCCTCGGCTCTGCTTCAAGAATCCTTGTAAGAGCTGGGCATCCTCTGCGGTGAGGAGACAGCCGACTTGGCCGTCCTTGAACTTTGGGAAGGCAGTGAGCTGGATCGAGTCCTCATCATTTGATCTGGATGGCATGTTGGGAAGAGTGTAGAGAGAAGAACAAGAAGAAGAGGGAAAAGAAAGACATCAGTGTCCAGTGCCAAGTGGGTAGTTATATATATAGTGACTTTGACTCTCCGAACATGTTTGCCACGGACTTGTGATAGTCGTTGAGAAGGTTAATTCCTGATGAGTTCTGATGAGCTCTGATGAATCCAGATGAATCCAGATAATATTTGAGTACCCTGTAAGTAGTCTGTTGTTAAGTCGAAGTTCAGATTGGAGAAGCCGAAGTGTTGTGCGGAGTAAGCTGTTTCTCTCCGCTTTCACCTCTTCACATCATGGACTCTCCCCAAGTTCGCGTCGACAAGCCCGAAGCTCAGCCAGCTCAGCCAGCTCAGCCAGTTGAGCCAGCTCCGTCTGCTCCGTCTGCTCCATCTGCTCCATCTGATCAGATTGTGCAGCCTTCGCAAGATGCCAGTGCCAGTGCTGTGACGGAGGTGGAGATGGGAGCCACGCAAGAAGATGCGACAGACGTGCAAGAAGTAGCTGCCCCTGCTCCAGCGCCTGTCAAGAAGTCTACTGGTATCCACTACTTAGAGTAAGAACCCTTTCTCTTTCTCTTTCTACCTCTCTACGATTCACCCCATCTTGCGCCTCGTTGCGATGACCACCGAACTCACCTCCCTAAGCTTCATGACCACTTCAGTGGTCGAGATCATTGTCGGAAAAGGCGACAAAGAGACCTTGATGAAGCCGCATCAAGGCTTGCTGATGCAGGTGCCATTTTTCGCAGAGCTATTGGATAAATTGGAGGAACCTGTGAGTTGATGCTCCCGCTACTTTGACAACACAATCTCACCCACTCCGATCCCAGCGACGAATTGATCTCCCAGAAGAAGACGTCGATGCCTTCGCCTACTTCCTGGAATTCCTGTACACTCGCGACTATACCATCCCAGAGTCCGACGCGGGGGCCTCCGAAGCAGACAAGAGTGAGGAGAACATGCTTCACCATGCGCGGACCTACACACTGGCAGAAAAGCTCGGTCTACCAGCGCTGAAGAACCTCGCACACGGCAAGATTCACAAAATCAAGGGAACACCTGCAGCAGAGCTTGCCTATGCCCGATACGTGTACACGCACACTCCAGCGGACGACACGGCCATCCGGAGGCCAGTGGCCTCTCACTGGGCCAACCAGAGTCACGCTCTGCGCCACGAGGTTGGTGACGACTTCCAGAAACTGTGTATCGAAGTTCCTCAATTCTCCTTCGATGTGTTGTCGATCATTCTGGATCGGAGGGAAAAAAGCAACGCCCATGATGATATCAAGGGGAGTGCGCGTAAGCGCACCAGAAGGGAGATTTAGTCAGGGTCGTATGTACAATTGCAATCAAAACATACCCCCAATGGAGAAGATCTACTCAATGTGACTATATGAAGTATTAAACTATACAAGCGAATACCTAGAAAGTAGTAAAATCCGAGTCTATTCTGTAAAGTAATGGAAATTCATAAAGGATATTGCCGTACTTCAGACTGTAGTCCATTCTATCTAAGATGCCAGACTCTCAATCTCTGCAATGACCTTAGGGGCGGTGGTCAAGTTCTCATAACCATCCTTGAGGATGTGGATGTTGTCCTCGATGCGCACTCCTCCAACCTTCCAGTACTTATCCAAGACCTGGGCGTCGATATATTGACTGGTCTTGGGGTCCTTCAGGACGGGGTTCACAATGAAGGGACAGAAATAGATCTAAGGGTCAGGTTAGCAGCGTGTACCGAGTAGTCGAGGGGTTCAATATCAACTTACACCAGGTTCCACAGTGACCACAGAGCCGGCAGGCAAAGTCCCGCGAACGCGAAGATAGCGGAACATGCGATCCTTATCCTCATAGTTGGGGTTACCGCCGGTATCGTGGGTGTCCATACCGAGGTAGTGACCAAGGCCGTGAGGGAAGAAGGCCACACTGACCCTCTTCTCGAACAACTCCTCTGCAGATCCACGCAGGATACCCAGTTTTAACAAGCCATCGATGGCAATGCGGTGCGCCAGAGCGTGGACATCATCCCAGCGCACACCTTCCTTGAGCTCGTTGATACACTTGGTTTGCATTTCTAGGACAAGCTCGTAGATGGCGCGGGTCTCGTCTGAGAATTTCCCGTTGAGAGGAATCACACGGGTGATATCAGCGCAGTATGTCTGATATTCACCACCGGCATCGATCAGAACACTGTCTTTGCGCTGCTTGGTTTTGGGATCGACGAGGTCGACATCGTTTCCGACATAGTGAAGAGTAGCACCGCCCTCGCCGCCAGCAACAATGGGGTGGTAGGACTGCTCGCGACATCCATTAGCGATGCAAGCGCCAATAATGGCAGCTTCAATCTGACGCTCGTTAGTGGCGGTTTTGGCGGCCTCGATGGCAGCGAGGTGAGCCTTGGTAGAGATCTCGTTGGCCTTTCGGAGAAGCGCAATTTCATGCGACGACTTCACGACGCGAGTATTCTCGATGGCGGTGTTCAGGGCCGAAATGTTGGTTTCAGCAAAACCGTCGAACGTGACACCCTCTGAAAATCGGCCGGCAATTGAGAACGCGGCAGTCTTGCCGTTGTGGGTCGCGGCGATCGACGCCAAAGTCGCGTTGACGTCGGTTGTGAATAGAACGCGATCCACATTGTAGGTCTTCACAGCCTCCTCGGGAGACAAAGGGAGACCGGACCAAATGACAGATTCCTCGTCGATTGGGGGAATAAACAGCGTGAGTTCATCCTGGGCTGAGTTGTATACCACGGCGGCGTCGGGCAACAGGCATCCAGTCAGATAAAAGAAGGGACGACGTTGTCTTGGTCGAATTAGTGTGTATGTCAAGCTTCCAGTAGCAAGATTAGTACCTGAATAGCATAGCCTCGTCGCTGTCCTCAATCATGCGAGTTTTTTGAGCTTCCAGGTAGATCACCACATTATGGTTGTGTTCCTCGCCGTACTTCTCAGTGAGGTACTTGGACTTGAGGTATTTGGCAACGTTGGAAGCATGTTCCTTAGCTGGGTAGTCCCTGAAGGGAATGTCGGAAGTCATCTTGAGAGGATGAAAAGGGGAGAAATCACGAATGGGGAAGAAATGGCTAAAACCCTCGGTTGCATTGCGGGGCTCAAATAGGGCGGCTACAGCCGGTGTCAAAACATCCACTCATTACTCCGTACACACATTACATAGTATCATTCTCCAGAGCTTCAGAGCTCCGAAGCAGAGACATCTTCGAACTCCATCTTCCATTGATCCACTTCAGCGAACTTCTTTAATGCTGCCCGTAACTCATCACTCGTGCAGCGAGGGTGTGGGACAGTTTCGGAATCGGACACGTCGGACTCCGGCGGGGAGGACAATGGGGAGGAAGATGGGGAAGACATAGCGATCTCGTTTTCTTTGTTGGCAGTGGCACGCGAACGGGAATAGGTAGCAGCTTCCCTTCCCGCCTTGCCAGTCTTCTCGGTCTTCTTTTGCGTAGCATTGAGGGCAGTGGCCAATGGCTTGGGCTTGCTCTTCCCTGCCCGTCGTCTGACTGGCTTCCGACCCTGTGAGGGATAGTTCAATTCATCTTCATCGCCAGAGGCGGCGTCATGTTGATCATCACTGTCGCTGAGATCATTACCGGCGCGGCGGCGTCGGCGTCGTGGCAGGAGTTTGTCTTGTAGGTTGGCCGTTGAAAAGTGAGTCAGGGCTTTGGAGCGTTTACTGTTGACGGGTTGTGGCGTAGATTGATCGGGTTGTGTAGAACAGGCTGGACTGCTCGCCGGTGGTAGCATGGTCTGGCTCAAAATATCTGGGAACCGTTCAGCCCGCGGCGTAGATTCAGCCGGTTCATCTTGGGCCTCTTCTGCAGACTCTGGATCTTCAGCCTCCAGATCTTCATCTGCCAGATCTGAAAGCTCTGATTCTGATTGTTCTCTCTCGTCCTCGCTTTGGGGTTCTTCGGCAACAGTAGCAGGGTCCTGAGATTCGGCAACCATTCCAGGCTCTTCGTCCCCCACTGACTCTGCGCGCTCCAGCGGTGTCGCAGTAGGGGTGTCTTTGACTATCTGAACTGGTGTGGCCGCTGGCGTGTCTTCCACTACCTCCACGGACGATTGTGGCACTTGAATCTCCTGGGTCATGCGCCGACGTTTACGCGACTCGCCAGGTGAAAGCGGTGATCCCGGCGAAGGTGACTTCTCGCCTGCTTGTGCCAGAAGCGACTTGCCCCGGTTGAGGTTCAGGGGGGTCGATTCATCATTGGGACTCAGTCCACCCAGGAAGTCATCGTCGTCCAGCTCGGAAGAGCTCTCATCCGCTTGGAGGTGATGGAGAATACTTTGCTGTCGCGGGCGTCGCCTGAAGTTGCTCAGAACTGAGTTATCAAACCCAGGCGTGCCCGGTATCCGGGAGTTGTCGCCTTTGCGCCCTGCGAAAGAAAGTGTAGATGAATACCCTCGAGATCTTGTCGGGGGCCGACTGCCAGTTCCCGGTCGGCTTCCAGTGCCTGGTCGGTCCCCCGGGGATGAATCGATCGCGTTCTCATAGCTCTTCGCCAAGGGCGTTTGTTCGCGCAGCGTCCTTGGATCTGGGCCACGCTCCGGTGATTTGGCATCCGGCGCAGACTCTGCAGCTTTTGGTTTCTGGGGCTTTCCAGCCGTACGGCTTCGTTTCGGCGCAGGACGAGGCATTGTATCGGAGATCGAGAGTTGCGCACAAAAAAATCAGACGCGTTGTTTGGAACGCGTTCTTGTGGACCACAGCGCGGCCAAGATATGTTTTGGTGCCTGAAATTTAAGGCCTGAATTTGAGTGCCTGAATTATTTACCTCGACTCCTTTTAAGCAAAGTAATACCTTGCCTCTTCGCACATATACTGCTTTCGTCGCTCTTTTTTGTTTCTTCTTTTCTTCTCTTTCTTATTTCTTTTCTTCCTTTGGACTCTTTCTAACATGTCATATCTTCATCACATGCCCAACTCGACACGGGCTCATACCGTGTCGAATCAAGTTTACCTATACCCAGTGACAGACTACAATCTAAGACATAGGACATTTGTCTCTTCTACATATGAGGGCCTATGCCCAATTTCTCTACTTTGGAAATTGAGAGAATTCAAAAAACAGTCTACCCGTTCTCTACAGAGCAACATTGTACTATTCCACTCACAATCTAGTATGACCTGATTCCCACATGCGCACACCTGAATTGGACTGGCAGATGGATCTGACTCCAACGAAAGGCAATGTCTGTGCGAGAGAAGGAGGGAGAGGCGGGTGACTACCCGCACAGTGACGATACATCGGGCAACAAAAAGCGCTCAACCTCGGAGAGTGTCGAGTACCCGCGAAGGCGGGCAACAATAGCGGTAAGCGCATCTTTGACACCCGGATACAGCGGGATTGACGGTGACATAGTGTCAGATATGCCGACTGCGCAAGACTAGATGCAACGGGGCTCGGCCCAAGTGTCAACTGTGTTCCGATTTGAATGCCGAATGTGTTTACAGAGAACCAGGGATCAAACTGGACGCTGGAGACAAGTTGATACTCGACCAGTTGACCCGGATTGAGAGCTTGCTCCATTCGAGCCTTACAAACCAGCCGCATGCAGCCTTGTCGACGACATCTCCAGCCACCAGCAACGAGACTAACATGGGCAGTGATGATCTATTGGTCCGAACGACTGGATTGCCAGCTCATGGAAGATTGTCGGCTGTAGGACTTGGATCCTGGGTCAATCCGCCTGCCAGTATCAGCATTTCTACCATGCCCAAAATGCATACCACCCCGGCTTTGCATCTTCTCAAATGGCCGTTGATCCGAGACTTGGTCCCCGAGGCCTATAACCCGCAACATCTGCTCCGACTGGAAATGGCCCGGGAGCCCCTGCGGCTGACTCCGAATTCGGGGTTTGATCTGACCAATGCATCTACATATGCCCAGGCATTTTTCAACCAGGGCAATGTTTGGTATGCCTGCGTGAATCCTCATACCTGGAATCAGTACTATCAATCAGCGCTAGCACAGGGGTTTCAAGGAGGCCCGATGAGCTGTCTTGTTCTCCTAGTATTGGCTCTTGGGAGTGCTGGCCACAGTGGCAGTATCTCGTTTGTACCGGCCGATCACGAGCCGCCAGGGCTTCCTTATTTTGCTGCTGCATGGAGCTTTCTGCCATCTGCCATGATGCAGAACACCGTTGTTGCGGCACAGTCTATGGTGCTGGCCGCTGCCTATCTGTTTTATCTAGTGCGGCCTCTAGAGGCTTGGACTTTGCTGGCTAACGTGAGCTTGAAGTTACAGTTGCTATTTGGTAGCCCGGATCGAATTCCTCCCCGATGGAGAGAACTGAGTGTCAGGGTATACTGGAATGCTCTGCTGTTTGAAAGTGATCTTCTCGCGGAGCTGGATCTCCCGCATTCTGGCATTGTCAACTTCGAGGAAGTAGTAGACCTCCCAGGCGGATTTGAAGAAGAGGAGAACGACGGGGATGGGGAGGATAGAGAATGGAATGAACAGAGCGGGACCAGGAATCGCCCGTCGGATTCTCAGCTTGCCAGTCGGAATGATGAGCTCTGGTACTTCCTGGCCGAGATTGCGCTACGAAGATTGTTGAACCGCGTCAGTCACATTATCTACCAAAAGGACAGCACGCACACTCTCTCAACACTGGGACCGATCGTCTTCGAGCTTGACTTTCAGCTGTCTCAATGGTACGACAGTCTTCCTCGACCGATTCAGTTCCCATTGACATCGCCCCCTCTTTCCAATCCAATTCAAACGGTGCTTCGGCTCCGCTATAACGCATGTCGCACTATCATCTATCGTCCTTATATACTGGCAGTCTTCGAAAACGAACAGGCTGGATCGGATGCCGGGGTGAAAGAGTGCTGCCGGCGATGTCTCGACGCAACCATCCGTCAATTAGAGCATATCACTAGTCATCGCGAGGGTCATCTTCCCTACCTTTGGCAGGGTGCTCTTTCTATAGTCTCTCAGACACTGTTGATCATGGGGGCCTCTCTCTCCCCGACCCTCTCGGCCCTACTCCCACCCGCACCCAGGACCGATGCTATCATCGCGGGTGTTGTCTCAGAAGTCGAACGATACGCACATCTTGCACCTAGCTTAAAGTTATCGGCTGAGATTGTTCGAGATGCAGAGCGGCGGAGACGAATGCGTCTGCGGCCGAGTTAATGGCTTTGGTGCTCTGTATTATATTACAGTACAAGTGATATGGTATGATGACTATTCAACTTGGATTTATAAATGATTCATGTCTGTGTTTTTGAGATTGATATTTCAAACTAGTGTTAGAGAAAAGATCGTAACTTGACAATGGACGTGAAACATTGGGATAGGCAAAGTGTATGTACGTATGTTAACGGGGATAGGAATAAACAGTAAGTACAAGGTCCTCATCACAATTATGTTCTTAAATCATCAAACATTCCCCAAATGGTATCTCAAAGACATGGGAAGATATGAACAGAAATGGCAAAAACTCCAAGGTAATTATCGTATGGCTTCATATACTCCCTAGACCAACACCCACTCACTACCACGCTTGATGAACTTGTCCAGCATCAAGCTCACATCAGCCAGTGCGAAACGGCAGATGTAAAAGCCAAAGAACTCGGCAGCATGGCGCGTGCTAAGTTCAAGACCAACGTGGGTTTTGGAGGAGTGTTTGAGTCCAGGGTCCTCAACTTGGTGAGCGATTTGTTCTGTCAAAAGGGTTAGAATACATCGAAGCGCGTCCGGAGTAGAAGAGTCTCACCTAGTACTTGGGCAGCATCAAACAGGCGAGCCAATGCCCCCATGTAGTTGGCATTGGGTCCTGAGAATTCAAGCTCTGTGACATTGCGCTTCACCTGCCCTCCGTTCACGGAAGTCATCGGGACCGAGTTCAGAGTCAGGTTATCTTTATTGCTCTCTCGAGCACTGGGAGTAGGGGTGGTGGTCCCGAGCCCAGATGTCTTTGCACGGATTCTTTTCCAGGTGAGGTAGGATTTGTTGGGGGCGGCTTCGGCATGAGCGGGCTCATCGGGGGTGGAAGCTGGCTTAAACAAGGGCATTGAGGCCTGTACGCCAACATCATTACCCAGTTTCTTAGACAAGAAGCTTTGAACCTGGTCGAGAACACCCTCAAATGATTGCATCTCTACCAGAACGGCGTCGGCATCGTATGAATCAACCTTGGCTAATTTAAGCAGGGCAGCTGTCAAGAGATCGCAGTTAGAAACCTTATCTTCCAAGGCTTTCAATTTGACATTCTTGACGCGCCAGACATCCCGGGGAATGAAAAGCTTTTCTGATATATAGCCTCCATGTGGGTTGGCGAGAGTCTGATATAGACACCGCATCAACCAGAATGGACGTAGAAGGAATGACTCAGGGCAAGGCTCGAGAGGCATCGGTGCATTTGCGACCATCGAGTTTGGCCGGCCAAGAGCGGAAGGAGAGTGGATGTTGCTGCTCAATAAGTTCAGTCCGCCACTTGGCAGTCCATTCTGAGCAAAGTTGAAGTTCGCAAGAGTTGGGGTGGGCATGATAGGAATACTGCCGGGCAATGCACTCCGTTGAGTATCCGGGAACCCGCCACTCCATGGTGTAGTAGGGGATCCCGGTTCGGTATCTGGTATTTGAATGGGGACTGACGCATTCCGAGACCGGAAAGCCTTGGTGTTGGAGTGCATCTTATCAAATCCATCTGGAGCGGAGGGTACTTTGCCCATGGGCCGCGGCAAAGGCGGTAGCTCGCTCTCGTCATCTTCATGGGTGCGGGCCTGGGAAAGATTGACATGCTCCAGAAGGGAGCCCATCGATGGGTTGCGTTGTGTTGGGTGTAGATTGGAACGTGTGCCAGAGAACAAAGAATCATCCTTTGGCACCGGTGGAGGAGCGTTTGCGAGAGGGTCCAGAGCCGATGACGCATTGGAATTGGCTCGAGAAGAGCGGGTATTGGTCTCGATCTTGAGTTCACGAGTGCTCGAAAGTCTCCGTGCTCGAACCCCTAGACCGGCGGAAGAAGCCAGAGAGCCAATTGACCCGGCGCGGCCAGACACTGAGGTCCGCTTAGAAGGAGTTGGGAAATCAGAGGAAACTGGAAGAGGTGGCAAAGCCGACGATGGAGGAGAGCCAGGCCTGCTGTAGGGCTCAGGCCTCATGTCCCCTAGTGGCAAGACATCATCCTCGGCCAGGGTAGACAAGGCTGCAGCGCCGCCAATGCTTGCAGGGTTGGACGTTGCAGAATCCCAGGTCTTTCCAGAGACGTTGCTTGAATCAGACTCACGAGGAAGAGCTGATTTGGACTGAATGCCAAATTCAAAATCATCCATTATATAGCCCTTGGTCATCTCCTCCAGCAAACGTTCTTCCTCCTCGGCTTCGTCATCCAGATAAGCCGAGCTACGGGTAATTGGACCATCATCACCCGGGTGTGTTTGCTCATGGATACGGCGCTGCTCGTGGTCCCGGTTCATGGCCTCGGCCTCCAGTTCAGCCTCGCGCACTCTTTGTTTGGCTAACTCGATATTCCTGCGAGCGTTTGAAACAATGTCATCATTCATTTCATCCTCCTTATATTCCAATACTGGCTCCAGGCCCTCGTCGTATGCGGCCTCGACAGCTGCATCCAGAGCGGCGTCGAATTGCGCCTCGGTATCATTGCTGAGACGCCGACTTGTCCGGCGGCGAAGATATACCGACGAGGCTTTCGAATTTGCGGATGAAGGCGACGAGGCCCCTGATTCATCAATTGTATCCAGCCATGAGGTGGATTCTTGGGGCTCCTCTTGGACCATCAAAGCGATCGATCGGGGTTGATCTTCCATCGCAGATGGCTTCAAAGATTGACGCCGCGGGGGAATTGATTCTAGAGAGAATGCTTTGGTTTCTTCGAAAGGCATTTGATGCAATCCAAAGCTAGAATGGGCAGAGCTCTGCTGGCTCTCATCGTGGGAGTCATCATGCGTTAGGTGGAGCAGCTCTCCATATGACTCTTGACTGAGCGGTCTGTCTGGGAGGGCTTTGTCGTCGCTCTCTGGGACGGGAAAGTCCATGCGGTGCAGCTCTGTCACTCGTATCATATAAGTATCCCGAATTTCTTGGAGTTTGTGTTTCTCCTCATCTCCGCCATTACTACGCAGCATGACCAGCTGTAATAAATTGCAGGCGTCCGTATAAGCCTCCATAGCCCCCTCGAAATTGGCGGCATTATCCAGTAAAACTGCCGTGTTCGCTTTTTGAAGTGCCTTGGACAACATCGCCTTTTGCGTTTGTCCGTGTTGTCGGCTTTCCGGGCCTCCCTCTTCGTTAAATACAATCGGTCCATTGGCTCGAGTCATCGGATGATCCTGGACGTCTATATCTGTCTGGCCATTATGCACCGAGGGCCGAAAGAGACTGTTTGATGCCGTAAATGAAAGGTCCAGTTGGTGTGATGTCGAGTCCGTGTTAAATATGGCCGAATTCTCCAGCTCTGGGAGGTTAAACAGTGGCAATCCATTGGCCCCGGTCGTTCTTTGGGGACTTTGCGCTCCCAATGGACGATGGTAGCCCGTGATGGACAGTTTCGAGCTCCCCCGCCGATGGTGGCCGTTATACTCCGATGGGCTGATGCTCGATGCGGTGGACTGAGACCAGCGATTCAAGCTCCCTAGTCCTTCCTTAATCGGGCTCGTCGGCCCCATGGTGTCTGTGGGCACATTCACTACATTCTCTGCGAGCACCCCCAGGCCGGTGGGGGTGACCGCCCCTGACGGCTTCCCCATTCGCGCCCGTGAACTCGGCCGTGATGAGCGGGAAGTTGGTCGATTCGTGGGTAGTCCCGGTTCCGATGAAAAAGGTCCGGAGGGTCGGCGCATATAAGTCTGATCGTCGTCCATTGCTGTATGTTGAATCATGTCTGCCCTGGCTTGAAGACCCCGGCTGAGGCTCACAGGGGATCTTGTCCAGGGGAATTGTCGAGGGTCGAATCACTCAATCGGTCTCGGTAACCACGTGTGGCGTATGCGGGTTCATTCTTTGTGTCGTCTCAAAACATTTCGCAATCTATCCTGACATTGTCCCCCAATTGACCTTGGGCGCGTTAGACAGCATGCGCAGTGGGATAACTGCACTTACAAGTCCAAATGCACAGACACTCTGGGATCACTCAGGGGGGGGGGGGGGTGGTCCGAGCTGGGCGGTGGAGGGAAAAATCACCAATTGCGGGGGGACCAAAGACTCCGGAATGCGAAGAATGGAGGAAGTAAGTATATAAGGGTGATGGGTGAAGGGTGAAGAAAAAAGAAGTGAAAAAGGGGTAGTGTCCCTGTATAGGGATGAAAGCTAGTTTAGACCTATAATATTCTACACAATACAATATACTATAATAATAGTACTTATTATAATAATAATACTTATAATAAAGAGAAGAGAATAGAAAGAAGAGATATAATATAGAATATACTAGTTAATATAATTTAGTATAGCTAGCAGTAAGCAGTTAATATAGTACACTACTACCTAGGTATACTGCCTGAGGCCGGCGCGCTTAGTGACGGAAAAAAACACACCCACTTCAGTACAACTGATGCATCTCTTAGGCTCGGCTGCGCGGAGCTTCAACTTCTCGGCTTTGCGTTCTGCGTCAATTACTGTGCGTTACGCTTCAACTCGCAACATGGCGATCATTAATCCGCGGGATCCGAACACCCTGAGCAACTATAACAACTGGCGCTCGACCCATGTCACCGCGAACTTCGAGATTCTGTTCGATCAGAAGAAGTTGGTGGGAAATGTAGTCCATCGCTTCAAGTCGATCACCGATGCCGAATCCCGAGAGATCATTCTGGACACCAGCCATCTCGACGTTGGCGCGGTCAAGGTGGATGGCCAGCCATCCAAGTGGGAGCTGCTGCCCCCACTGGAACCCTTGGGAGTCCCACTGAAAATCTTCCTGGATCAAGGTGTCAAGTTGAATGACACCGTGGAGGTCGATGTATGTATGGCAAGGAGTTTATGCAGAAGCAGTGGCTCATAGATCCTCTAGATTGCCGTCAAGACCACGGAGAAATGCACGGCGCTGCAGTGGCTGACACCCGCGCAAACCTCGAATAAGAAACACCCTTACATGTGTAAGTGCCTAGCAGGGAGGTCCCCCTCATGCATTCGGCTCAGCTAACATCACTGCCAGTCTCGCAATGCCAGGCAATTCACGCCCGGTCTATCTTCCCTTGCCAGGATACCCCGGATGTCAAGGCCACCTATGACTTCAACATCACCTCCCCACTTCCGGTCATGACCAGTGGTCTGCCAATCCGGGAGTCCGCGGAGGAAAAGACCCAGCTGTACCGATTCCACCAGTCGGTGCCCATTCCTAGCTACCTCTTTGCTATTGCCAGCGGGTAATGTCCCCTTACTTCCTCATCCTGCAATATAGAGACTGACTATGACCCAGTGATGTTGCCGAGGCTCCAATTGGACCTCGAAGTGTTGTCGCAACTAGCCCCGACAAGCTGGCAGAGTGTCAATGGGAGCTCGAGGCCGACACGGAAAACTTCATTACGACCATCGAGGTACTGCAATCAATTCATCTTATAGGACGAAAACTGACCTGGCGCAGAAAATCGTTTACCCATATGCGTGGGGAGAATATAATGTGTTGATTCTGCCCCCCAGCTTCCCCTACGGAGGCATGGAGAATCCTATCTTCACCTTTGCAACCCCCAGCATTATTTCCAAGGTACGTCGACAATTGACTCGATTAATAGGCTTAAAGTGACTGCCAAGTGGCGACTGTATCGCCCTATTACTCGAAAATCTGATTCACTTGACTCATCACTTTCATAGGATCGTGAGAACATCGACGTTATTGCCCACGAGCTGGCTCACAGCTGGAGTGGTAATTTGGTCACCAACGCCTCATGGGAGCACTTCTGGTTGAACGAAGGTTGGACCGTTTACCTTGAACGAAGAATCCTGGCTGCTATTCACGGCGAAGCCTACCGCCACTTCTCTGCCATCATTGGATGGAAGTCCTTGACTGACGCTGTGGAACACTTTGGCAAAGACCACGAGTTCACCAAGCTCATTGTTGACCTCAAGGGTAAAGATCCCGATGACGCCTTCTCTAGCGTTCCTTACGAGAAGGGCTTCAACTTCTTGTTCTACCTTGAGAACCTTGTCGGAAAGCCCAAGTTTGACAAGTTCATTCCTCACGTATGTTGCGACCCGTCCTCTGACCGGCCTCTGTTGCTAATATACCCGCTAGTACTTCACGACATTCAAGTGCAAGTCGCTTGACTCTTATGAGTTCAAGGCATTGATTCTGGACTTCTTCAAGTCAGATGCCGAGGCGTACAAGCTCTTGACCGAACTGGATTGGGACCAGTGGTTCTATGCACCCGGATTGCCACCCAAGCCCAGCTTTGACACCTCGCTCGTCGATGTGGTCTATGAACTCTCCAAGAAGTGGCAATCCCTGCCTGGTTCTTCTTTCCAACCCGATATCAGCGATATCAAAAACCTCACCGCGAACCAGTTGGTTGTTTTCTTGGAGCAAATCCTTTTGCTGGAGAAGCCCCTCACCCCGGAGGTCTCTAAGCTGATGGGTGACGTCTATGAACTGACCAAGAGCGAGAACATTGAGGTTTCGAACCTCTATCTCCAGGTCGGTATGAAGGCCGGAGATGAGAGCGTCATTGAGCCCACGACTGAGCTGCTCGGCCGCATCGGCCGCATGAAGTTTGTCCGACCTTTGTAAGATTCCCTTTCCCTGGACACATTGGACTGTTCACTGATCTTTTCTCCAGGTTCCGTAACCTCCAGAAGGTTAACCGACCCATTGCTCTCAAGACATTTGAGAAATACAAGGACTTCTACCACCCCATTTGCCGTGGTATGGTGGAGAAGGATCTCTTCGGCAAGAAGGACTAGATTTGGTTTCTTGACTACATACCAGCTAACTCAGCATAAAAGGGGGTACCACCTTTGAATGGATTTCGGTTTATCATCAAAGATACATGTCTAGACCACGGGAACACTCTGCTCGAGATGGCCAGATGTACTTAGATCTCGCCTCTCGGCCACTCTACCAACACCCTTGCGAGGTCCCTGCATAGCTGTAGCCCACGTAGGGTCTTCCCAAAGACTTTTCACATCTTGAATGATCTTTGAGATTTCCATTATGCAAAGAGAGCAGGGAAATTAAATATTGTACAAATCTTGATAACCAATGGTATACATAGGATAAAGCAGACCCTTCCAAAACACCACGCCCAATGCATCCTTACTGGCTTCCAACAAGCTTCCGATCCGACTCGGAGTACTGGAAGATACCGGCATCCTTCTTGTCGCCCAGCGCAAAGACAAGATCAACCTCTTCCTTCTTCGCTAGCTCTGCTAAGTTTCGGCGCATGTAGACCACCACCTGCGCGACCTTGGCCCAGTCGATTTCTTCTCCATCCGGTCCAGTCTGGCCACCCTTCCAAAGGTTCCTCCAGACAGCAGCGCCCAGCACTGCGTCACCCTTAGCCAACCCCTCATCATATGCGGCAATGATTCCACGCCATTGGATGAAGAGATCCTTCAAGTATTTGTTGCGAATAGTGCGACTACCCAGGTCGTGGTACACGTCCATGCGGTGCTCGGCTTCGTGCGAAAAGTGATCAATCAGGTGGCGAGAGTAGGTAGTGACGCTGTCACGGTAGGGGAGGGCACGGAGACGAACAGTCAACAGGTACATATGAAGCAGAGTGACCTGGGACCAAGTGGCAAAGGTTGGTTTGAGGCCGAGCTCTATAACATGCCAATGGTTAGCAAGATGTCTTCATTTCAGGACACAGGCGCATAATTGCGACAATTGACTCACCTGTATACCACCAGCTCTCACCCACACCCAGATCCTCTCCTGCCTCTGTCTTGGGCACTTCCACGCCCTTTTGCGACGCTTGGGGGATCTTGTAGTCGGCTTGGGTGGAACAGGACTCGAACAGCTTCTGCGTCATACCATAGGCAACATAGGTCTCTGCGGCATTTCCCGGCCGCCGGAAATTCTTGGCTAGGTTAGACACCTTGCCTTGAGCATATGACCTGGCGATGATCGGGTTCACTGGAGATGCCCGAATGGCGGATGCCAGGGTTGGGAGACGGCTGCCTGAAAGACAGAGGCGCTGAGACCCGCAAGCCTCACGCGTCCATAGTAGTGATAATCTTCTGGATGCCATTTTGGAATTTGTGTTCGTGAATCGGTCTATCGTGATTGGCGTTCTGGATCTTTTTTCGATTTATGTTTGCACTGTTTGTCTCCGTGCCCCTGGAAGTATATCTCCCTTCTACGAGGTGACTGGAACGAGGATGATCTATTTCTGCATAATTCTGCATAAGTAAAGTGGTATGGGTATGATCTTTAAATAGGATGACAGCCATGGTAGTTTTCAAGACCTCGAATCTGGGAAAGTTCCCACACCCGAATCGTTATGGATGAGGGTATCGTTTGAAACATCGCTTGTAACGGCCGTGAAGTTCCTGGGTCACTTCCCATTCCCATTGCTAATGAGAGTCACAACTGGCCCGAGTTCCGGGTATAACATGGAGGTGCTGACCGGGGTATGAAGCGGAGCCCTTTCATTAATCCAGCACCAAACGCTCGATGCGCTGTTCTACCACTGGCAGGATCTCGGACAGTCGGTTTGCATCTCTCATGAAGGCGGGAATATCGTCCCTAGTTGCAGCCAGTTTCTAAAGATGATTGTCAGACCAGGCTCGGTGATTTCTGTAAGTAAACTTACCTCTCGAATCGTTTCATATTCGCATTCTTTAGAAAGATATTCTCGGATGACTTCCTTGGTCTCAAAGTCGACGTAAACCCGGGTGTCTCGAAGTCGGATCAAGACATGATCCAGTCGCATGAAGAATCTGGTCAATAGAAGAAGTCTCCCCGGCATCACTCGAATCTTGCAAGAAAGCATCGTGATTCCATTGTCCGCCAGTTCATCTTCATAGAGCACAACTTCGTCGAAAAATAGAATAGGGTCTGGGCGTTTGAGCAGTTCGATCGGGATGGGCTTGGTTGATGGCTCGAATGGCCGCGCATTAGGGTGGAGGGTGCCTTTGTAGTCGGTACTGTAGGACCAGTCGAATGGCTTCACAACTTCTTTAATGCCTTCATGTGTTTTTTCCCTACTCCATGATCAGTTCCGGGTTTCAACATCATTTTATTCTCAGATATATGTTCATACCTGCTCTTCTGCCACTCTCGCGAGTATGCGACCTGCAGCATCGATTGGCCTGTCTTGTCCACCTGGTCCAAAGCATCGAATGCATTGAACTGAATACCCCAATCACCTTTCTCATGCTCGATTGCAACGTAGTTATCACCAAAGATCATTTCGGGGGGAGCGATCCCAAGCTTCTGGGTCATTTCCTCAATCGGGTCGGCCTTGAGAATGGGGAGTTTCTGGGTGGATATCCGGAATCCATTGATGGTGAGGGTATTAGGCTTTTTTGCCTCTGGGCTGACAGATGCGCATGTAGTCATTTTGCCTGCTTCTGAAGAACTGGAGAAATGAGGGCAGACCATGTCCCCTCGGCGATAGCGATAACCCCGCGACTGGGAGGCGGTCTGAATTTTGCCAGGCAGAATTCTGCACTCTGGACAAATGGTACAGTTTGCTGTCTTTTAAGACTTTCTTTGGAAGGGAAAGAGAGAAAAGAACAGAATCTGACATACTAAATACACCTATGAATACTTTTTCCTGTGCCAAAATACTAATTGGAGCACTCTATCAAGTACTTCCACTGAGTTCTCCGTCCTGAAGTATACAAAGCGGAGAGCCAGGCGGTGTGGCTAGTGTGGTTACCTCAGCGTTGCTGGGGTGACGAGCGGGAGATTTCCCCAAACACTTTCAATGCTGAGCTTGGATTCCTTCTCCATCTTTGTGATCTCCCCCAAACTCTACTAACCCTGACAGTGATCATGATTAAATTGTGCTAGACACAATCATCTTGTTTGTTTCTCTTATACTACCTTCTTCTTTCCTTCATTGGCCCTCTTTTACGGCTGTCTCCCTCACACAATTCAACCATGGCGACCTCTAAGACACTCGAGGCTCGTTTTGAGCACCTTTCTATGAAAGATGAGAAAGAACATGGTCAAAATGAGCGGGCCTATGGCAAGCAAAAGGTACATGACAGATCCTGAAGATGAACCGCTGAACTCGCTAACATCGTCTCGAGGCCTCCGTCCCTACCAACCAAGCAAGCAACTCCAACCGAGCGCAATTGCTGAAGTTGGCCCTCCAAAACACCAATGAGAATAAGGCCAATGCTATGAATATGCCCGCCTCGCCAGGGAGAGGCTCCCACGGCGCATTGGTCACCCGGGCAACCGATGAGAACGGCGACCAGCGCACATCGTCCATGTTGTGCGATCAGCCATCTGTTCCCAAGGATTTGCACCTGGGAATGTTCGAAATTGGCAAGCCGCTCGGAAAGGGCAAATTTGGTCGTGTCTACCTGGCCAAGGAACGATCCTCTGGCTTCGTCTGCGCGCTGAAGGTGCTGCACAAGTCTGAGTTGCAACAAGGCGGAGTCCAAAAGCAAGTCCGACGTGAAATCGAGATTCAAAGTAACTTGCGACACCCCAACGTCTTGAGATTGTACGGTCACTTCCATGACAGCAAACGAATCTTCTTGATCCTCGAGTTTGCTGGCCGTGGTGAGCTGTACAAGCATCTTCGCAAAGAGCACCGGTTCCCCGAATGGAAGGCCGCGCAATACATCGCGCAAATGGCTGCTGCATTGAAATATCTGCACAAAAAGCATGTTATGCACCGTGATATCAAGCCCGAAAACATCCTGGTCGGCATTCACGGAGAGATCAAGATCAGTGACTTTGGTTGGAGTGTTCATGCGCCTAACAACCGCCGCCAGACCATGTGTGGAACTCTCGACTACCTGCCCCCTGAGATGCTCAACCCTGGCTCTCAGGTCAACTACTATAGCGAAAAGGTCGACTTGTGGAGCTTAGGTGTCTTGACCTACGAATTCTTGGTTGGTGAGGCACCATTTGAGGATACACCTGTCATGACTCAACGCAGGATTGCCCGGGCAGATATGTCCGTGCCATCCTTTGTGAGCCCCGAGGCGAAGGATCTCATTAAGAGGGTAAGTTTACCTGTCACCTCATTGTCTCTCACCTCTCTAACAACTCATCTAGCTTCTTGTTCTTGACCCTGCCAAGCGTATTCCGCTGGAGGAGATCTCGCGACACCCATGGATTGTGAAGCATTGTGTGAAAGACGACAGGAATGTGAAGCGGAGCTCAGGCTCCTCTAAAGATGGCAAAGCATGAATAATGGCTGGCCCTTACATGATGACATTTTGGAGTTGGCATCCTTTTTTGGTGGCATTTTTTTTTTCTCGCGGAGTCTATGGCGTTCAGCTTTTTGTTATAGCATTTCCAAGGCGTGTTGTGTTGGCTTAATCTCGGGAGTCAAACCGAGAGGTATTCGTGATATGGCGGTATCTGGTTCTTGATTTCTTTCTCCAGCACCGTCGATGACATATGGTACATCCAAATAAACAAAGTTTCTATGATACAAAAGGGTGGAGAATCGTATAACGCTGGGATATTTGTGGTATCATCGGTAAATCTCATCAAATGGGCGGGTGTCCCTAAAACAACTATCCCAAACTTCATCGACTACCCTGGTAGCATGGGCTTCGTCTTTGCAAGTTGGGCGTGCTCTCACAGAAAGAACAGCTCTGCGTCGAACACACTCTTGATGCTGCTGCGTGAGCTTCCATTGTCCTCTGCGGAAGAACTCGCGCGCCCATCGGCATTCTCCACTCAGTGAACTCGCTCGAATCTATACAATGATTAGTCTCGGTTGTCTTGTCAAGAGAATATCCAACTTTACCTCAGCACAGGCCGCATGTCGTAGGTTGTCGGTCCAATTGACCTTGAATCTCAGGTGGTCAAACGCATGGACCATTTCGTGGGCCATTGTGTCTTCGAGCTGTCCCTGGTCCTTCATCTCGTTGGCGCAAAGCAGAATGCCATATTCCGGATCGAAGCCACCGCCCTTTCGGTCTGTACAACGGCGACAATGGATGTTGTGCTTATGAAGATCACCTCCTAATTGTTGAATGCTCTCGCTGAGGAAACGAATCGTAGGACCTTTGAAGATTGAAGATTAGCTCCGGTCTCAGCCTCATCCCCAGACCCACGACTTACTGTATTGCAGGAGGTAGTCGCGCTGGTCTTCACAGCGCTTGCAATCTGCGACTTCATTGCGATCGTCTCGAGCCACACGGAACTGTTCCATTCCCTCGTTGGACATCTTGCCCGTGAGGATGGAATAAATATTCTTGAACTGGGTCCAGGTGTCATCACCAGGGATGAAACCGGTTATTTCGGGCTTGCCATCTGAAGGTGCACTCGCACCCGGCGATTGAGAGTCTGTCATTGTTGGTTGTCAGGCGAGCGATTCCCTGCGTCCTGACCTGCGATAGAGCGAGATCCTCCGCATAAGGCGGTGTTGATGGGCAGAATCGAGAAATCGGTGACTCCGTCACTGCGGGCAACACCGAGCCATTTACCAGTTGAAACTCCTCGTGCAAATTGGTCTTGGTTGGGACTTGGATCTTTCTTGGAAGAGCAGACCCTAGATTCAACATGGTGGCTCACTCAGGTCACACCATTGTGATCAAACTCGGTGCGGGGATCTATATTCTGGACTTGAACCCAAGTACTGACATCCCACAGGAACGAGCTCCATCGTCGACGAGAAAACGCACGAACCTATTCTGTCAATCTTAACCCTGATTGTGGAAACCGCTGCCAAACTTCACAGGGATGGACACCGTGTGGTATTGGTGTCCTCTGGAGCCGTTGGCGTCGGTTTGCGGAGAATGGATGTAGACCAAAGACCGACATATCTGCCCAGGATACAGGTATGTCCAATTTCATATATGCATATTGGGCATATCAATCTGCGAGATGGATACTAATTGAGATACAGGCTCTTGCTGCGGTAGGCCAATGTCGACTAATGAGTCTCTGGGACAACTTGTTCTCCCACCTCCGCGTCCCTGTCGCTCAGATCCTTTTGACAAGGAACGACATTGCTGATGTACGCCTGTGACAGTATTATATACGAGAGGGGATCAACTGCTAACACTTTCTCAGAGAACCCAATATGTCAATGCCCAAAACACATTTGGACAATTGTTCGACATGGGTGTGATCCCAATTGTCAACGAGAACGATACCTTGGCTGTTTCTGTAAGCGCAACATTCTCACCGCGAGCAGAGGATCACTTCTAACCTCTAATTGATGTGCAGGAAATTAAATTTGGCGACAATGATACCCTTTCTGCAATCACAGCGGCGATGGTCAAGGCCGATTACCTTTTCCTCATGACCGATGTTGACTGCCTTTATTCAGAGAATCCTCGAAACAACCCCAATGCGAAACCCATCGAGGTCGTGACTGATATCTCCTCCTTGGAGGCCGATGTTTCATCATCGGGTTCCTCACTCGGTACTGGAGGCATGAGCACGAAGATTGTAGCCGCCAAGCTTGGAACCAGCGCCGGTGTAACAACCATCATCACCAAAAGCTCGAAACCAGGGAATGTGCACGAGATTGTGAAATATCTACAATATCTCGAGGCGCAAGCCAATGGTACCGGAACCGAAGGAATTGAGCCACCGACTGCCCCTCTTCATACTCGCTTTATCCGCTCGCAAACCCCCATTCAATCGCGCACTTTCTGGCTTCTCCATGGACTGTATCCCCATGGTACTTTGTACATTGACCATGGGGCTTACAACGCACTTTTGAACAATGCCAACCTACTTCCAGCTGGAGTTGTCGGGGTTGAAGGCCACTTTGGACAGCAAGAAGCTGTGCGGTTAGTGGTTGTTGAAAAGCCTTCCCGGGACGCCTTGAATGGCGACTTTGTTCATCACAGTGATGAACCCAAGGAAGTCGGCCGGGCCCTTGTGAATTACGGAAGCCTCGAGATTGCGCACATCAAGGGTCACCGCAGTACCCAAATCGAATCGCTCCTCGGCTATGCCGATAGCGATTATGTGGCTATGCGAGAGAACATCTCCTTCCATCCCGAGGAGCACAGCCCTGGCCATACCTCGACCCCCTCATTAACACCGGCATTGGAAGCCTGGAAGACGCCATGAAAAGCACCGCATTGAATGATTAAACGCATGTCACGATCAACATGAGATGAAAAGTTCCCTGCACTCAACTGCTTTGAATAATAGATATTTGCATTATATTCTGAAGGCTTCCTGCGATATATTCCTCATATACGAGTACCCCATTTCAATTAGAGCAAATGATCATTTGGATATTCCCACATAGGCAAGAAATGAAATAACTCCAAAAGTGCAAATTCGACAGTGCATTGGAACAGCCCATTACAATTAACGCTGCGGGGAGCCCGAAGCTGGGCCGACAATCAATCCTTCCAACGGTCCAGCCACTTCTGCATTCTCTTGTCCAATGTGGGTGTAGGAGCTGCAGGAGCCTGGGAATACAAAGTTAGCAATCTATATTGCGAGGGGTCCAGCCGTGCAACATACTGTATTTTCAATGGTGTTCGCAGTCCATGTGGCATAGGCCATCTCGGTGTACTGCACAGTCGCCGCACTCAAATACGCAGTGGCAATATCAAATGGGAAAGGTGGGTATTGAGGTGTAGCCGATCTCGTGGCGATGGTACTACCAGCCTTCTTGGGCATGGGCGCATACTTGGTGAGCCCGGTTTGATCACCATACGGGACCGTGTGTTGATCAACGGCTACTGCAGCTGCTGCAGGGGCAGCAGCGGCGGCAACCCCCGCGGCGGCCACTTGTCTCTTTCGAAGCTCGTGTTCAATTCCACTCCGGGCGGTTGGGGTCGGGAATTGTAGGACCTTCTCGGCTGAGGTGCTTGGAGAATTGGTGATATTGAAAGCGGACGCAACTTCTTCGGCCTCCAGAAGGCGATCTTCATCGATTGGAGGCCAGGATGCCATAATCGCTGGTCTGGGCTCCATTGTCTTGAGAGCAGTGGTCACTTTTTCCGAAAATGAACCTGTCATGTTGGTCAAAGTAAAATGCGAGGTGAACCCAGACCAGTAATCGTAGGGGTCGGATAGGACGATCTTGAGGAAGCTATTTGCAGACTGTTAGCGAATGGTCAGACACCGTGGAAACTCAGTCTTACTATGCATCGGGGTCATTTCCTCCCATATTTTGGTCGACTGCGAAGGTTACCATGTCGCCCGCGGCATATACGCCATTCTTGATCACTTGTGACAGAGATTCCTATGCATGGTTAGCCTGCGCCTCTCCTGGAGGAGATAGACTTACATATTTATCTGTCGTCTCATCACCGGCACAGAGATAGAAGTCATAACGAGAGGTGGGCGCGCTGTCCATGCCCCAAAACAGACTCACGGCACCTGCGCCATCGAAAGTCAGACTGGACACTGGAGATACAGCCTGGCCATAGGCAGTCCATACAAAGGAGGCCACTGAAAGCCACTGAGTCCGCATGCTGTGATGGTTGTGCAAGAGAACAGCGCGCCGATTCGAAACTCATGGAGTGAGCCATCCCTTCATAGCGGGAGACATTCCAGACTCCTTGTGTCCTCGTAGGGAGTGGTCCGTGCTGCCCCTGGGAGTTGAGACAGGGCCTATTTTTTGTACAGAACGTATGAGTAGTGTGTTAACTTATTAAGGGTGTAGAGGAAGGGAGCAGGGAGTAGGGAGTACGGTAGTGTGTGGGTAATTCAACCCATATGCGGAGTACATGATGCCCTAGGATTGACACCCTATCTAGGAGTATTGAGAGAATACATTCGGATATACAATTCTGGAATTGAGCAAATAGAACCGGAAAACGAAGAAAGACAACTAGAGAGATTAGAGTGAGAGACTCTCTAGTATAGGAAGCTTGGAGGTTAGCCCTAATGTATACTTACCTCCTTCAACCTATACTTTCAGCTGCATTTATACTCTATTCTATTCTACTTAAGTATATTCTATACAATAATTACAACTATTATAACTACTCTTAACATACTCTTAACCCACTACTTAACTATATACTGTATAGTATATACATAGTAAGTACTACTAGTACTGTGTAGTGCAACGGCCATGGGCCCACTGCGGCTATCACCGGGCGGGGCGCAATGGCGAAAATCTTCGCCGAGATTTGCATTTACTTTTTTGTCTGTCTTTTCTCTCTGTTAACTACTATACACCATGGCCTCAACTACTACCCCCGGCATCCCGCCGGTCACTCTCGACACCATCACCCAGCAGATCGGTAACACCCCTCTCGTCCGATTGAATCGTCTGCCCCGCAGCCTCGGAATCGATGCGACGGTCTACGCCAAGTTGGAATACTTCAACGCCGGTGGCAGTGTCAAGGATCGCATCGCCTTGCGCATGATCGAGGAGGCCGAGCGCTCTGGTCGTATCAAGCCTGGTGACACCCTCATTGAGCCCACCAGCGGCAACACGTATGTCCCTCCCCGGCGCTTGCCCGCCGTTGGATGAGTACTAATATGACACTACAGTGGTATTGGTCTGGCACTGGTTGGTGCTGTCAAGGGTATGTCAACGATCAAAACTCTTTATTTCGACAATTCAAGCTAATCTCGTGGGTTCAGGCTACAAGACCATCATCACACTCCCAGAGAAGATGTCTGCCGAGAAGGTTGCAGTGCTCCGTGCCCTGAATGCTACTATCATCCGAACCCCCAACGAAGCCGCATATGACTCCCCCGAATCACACATCGGTGTCGCCAGACGCCTCCAGAAGGAACTGCCCAATGCGCATATCCTGGATCAGTATGAAAACGTGAACAACCCGCTGGCCCACGAGCTCGGAACCGCCGAGGAGATTTGGACCCAGACCAACGGACAGATCAATGCTATTGTGGCCGGTGCTGGAACCGGTGGTACTATCACTGGTCTCGCCCGTGGTCTCCGCAAGCACAACCCCGATATCAAGGTGATCGCTGCCGATCCCTTCGGCTCTATCCTGGCTCTTCCCTCTTCCCTGAACGAGGCTCGGGCCAACGAGCCTTATAAGGTTGAGGGTATCGGATATGATTTCATTCCCGACGTGCTCGACCGAGAGGCTGTGAACGAGTGGATCAAGACTGAGGACCGCGAGTCTTTCAAATACTCCCGCCGTCTGATCGCCGAGGAAGGTCTGCTGGTTGGTGGCAGCAGTGGCAGTGCCGTTGCCGCTCTGGTCAAGGCCAACGAGGCCAAAAAGTTCTCCAAGGATGACGTGGTCGTTGTGGTCCTTCCTGACAGCATTAGAAGTTATCTTTCCAAGGTATGTTTCAATTGTCCCCTCAGGCAAAGTATTAAAAAAAAGCTCACTCTCGCAGTTCGCCGATGATGACTGGCTTGCGGCCAACGATCTGCTGCCTTCCCTCCCGGCCGTTGCATCAACAACCCAAACGCAAGAAGCCGATGCCGACCCTCTGGCCAACGCCAAGGTCAGCGCTTTGCGTCTGAAGCCCATCACTACCGTGACCGCCAGCTCTTCGTGCGAGACTGCCATCGAGACCATGCGCGATCGCGGCTTCGACCAGCTCCCCGTTCTGGCCTCCTCTGGCCGCAAGCTCGTGGGTCTCGTCACACTGGGCAACGTCCTCAGCCGACTGACTCACGGCCGTGCCACTGGCACCAGCCCTGTCTCCGAGGTCATGTTTGACTTCTCAAAGATCTCTGAGGTGGTGACGGATCCCCGCGATCTGACCAAGATGGGTTCCAAGCAGCCCCGCAGCCGTGGTTTCATTGAAATCACCATGGAAACCCCACTCAGTGTTCTGAACCGCTTCTTCGAGTGGAACAGTGCTGCCGTGGTGACTGAAAAGGACGCCAGTGGCGCCATGAAGCCCTTGGCTGTTGTGACCAAGGTGGACCTGCTCTCCTGGATGCTCAACCAGGGCAAGGCCACCAAGGCCTAAGCTGGAGGCCTTGGAGATGCATACTTGCACACTTTTGGGTATAGTTTCAACATTGGGGCATTTTGTGATCTAGGCGTTTCGTTGGCATCAAGGCTTAATGAAAGTTCAACACATTAAAGACCGTGCAACGCAAAATGCGTTGAATATGATAATGAATATATAGAGAGTATATACCGGGGACTATACATGTTCCTTGATCTTTTGACATTGATATTCCTGAAGTCCGAGATACTTTGCTTAAGTAGTACTGGAGTACTTTAGTACTTATTTCATTATCGACTGGGGCCATGACGTTGACCTGTAAACCACCTCCAGCGACCAAATATGACGGGAATATTGACAGATCGACAATTCTCACTGGACAAACTCCCAGATCTCCAGGATAGAATAGCAGTGGTAACGGTAAGTGGTATCTTCTTGTACAACTCAACTGTCTAACACCTATAGGGTGGCCACGCAGGTATTGGGAGAGGCAAGCCACCCCTCAGCCAAGCAATTCAGACGAATACTCATATACAAAGTACAGAAATTACCGCCCAACTTCTTTTACACGGGATACAGAAGGTATTTATCGTCGCCAGAAGTCAAGACAAGTTCACTGCAGCTTGCGAGGAATGGAGAAATCGAGGCATCTTCCTCGGTGAGCAGGACAATCGAGTGATCTTCGTCCGATGCGACCTCGAAGACATCAAAGAGGTTGCAGCAGCAGCAGATCAAATTAAACAAACGACAGATCAAATTCATATACTGATCTGCAACGCAGGCAAGTCTCACGATGATATCCATGGATATTCACTAACACCAACACCAATTCAAAGCCATCGGGGTCCCAAACGAATACAACCGTTCACCACAGAATGTGGAGCGTGTATTCGCAACGAACTGCATCGGACATCAAGTTCTGACTACTCTCCTTCTCCCGCTTATGAGAAATGGCGTGGTGACAAGCAACAGCGATGTACGCATCGTGGTAGCCAGCTCGTCTCTTCACCATACATGCCAGCATATCGATCTGGATCTTCTATCGTCTGCGTCGCGCATCAAATGGCCTGCATTGTATGATGGGGTATGGCGATATGGACGATCCAAGCTTGGGAACATCCTCTTTGCCAAAGAATTGAGCCGTCGGCTGTTGAGCGACGGTGATCCAGTCAGCAACCGTATATATGTCAACTCTTTCTTCCCGGGAATGATCGTTACTGATCAGTGGCTTGGATGGGATACGTATTTCGGGAGTACTCTTGGTTGGCTGATGAGAGCGGTTGGGTCTTGGGGCCAGACGTTAGAGGATGGCGCGACTACGGCTTTGTATCTTGCTGCCAGTGACGATGTACGCGAGAAGAACCATCGCGGCCAATACTTCATTCCAATTGCGGCAGAGTACGAGCCGAGCTGGATTGCAGGTAACATGGAGCTTGCTCGAGATTTATGGGTAAGTATGTTCTCGCCTTTTGCGTGCTTTAGCTCACGAAACAGGACTGGATCGATGCCCAGGCAACAGAGACACTAGGATTGGGCTGGCAAGGCTAGGATAGTGATAAACATGGGATTCTTCAGATCCAACTTTTGGACGCATGTACAGGCGAACAGCAACTATTTACTCCTGAAATCCAAGTCTTCCTTCACAGACACATACCCACCCACTCTTCCCAGCGTCGGACTCCAGATCCAAATTCTTCTTCTTGGTCGCCCTTCACGGCACCACCAACCACCTCCACCTTGATGCCAGTCTCGAACTCCAAAAGCTTGAAGGAGAAAGTCTCCTGATCATCATTTGCCAGAATCTCCTCTTCATCTTCCACTTCGGTCTCCGCTGCATCCAACAGACCCTTATTCTTCGACTGGCGGATGCGATCGATCTCCGCTTCCAACTTCTCCTTCACAGCTCCGGGGGGCAGTGCCGTGAACAGATCCTGCTTGTTCGCAGCCACGAGGACCGGAATCTCCGTGGTCCGCTTGCTGGACGAGCCATTCTTGGCGCGCTTCTGGAGCACGAGCAGGACGTCATGCAGGTAGGTAGCAGTATCACGGAGAGTCGACTCATCCACTAGAGCCGCAGTATCGACCATGAAGAGCACGCCACGGAGTTTCGTCTTAATGTCCTTGGACAGAGCCATGGCGCGAAGCTCAGCCAGGCCCTGTGAGACCCGCAACTTGCCATGACCAGGGGTATCGCGGACGCGATAGCGGATGGGGTTTCTGATCGCCTCTTTCAGGGAGGGATCATTGTCCGAGCGATAGCGGTTTGAGGCCGTGGGGACGGTTGGTGGGAGGGTGACTGTTGCTAGGGTGGATTGTTGGGAGGTGTGGGTGGTGTGCGATTTATTCGATGCGGGGGAGGACTTGGCTTCCAGCTGATGGGTGTCAGATGGCTATCATGAGGGGAGGGTTGGCTGTGTCATACCAGAGTGGTGAAAGCGGTCTTGCCAGCTCCGCTAGGACCCAGGAGCAGGAAATTGCTTGAGGGTGGAGAAGCTACAGCTTGGAAGAAGATGATGTGGAGGGCGATTGGTACACCGAAAGTAAAGAGGACAGCGATGGCAATTGCCGTGAGGTTACCATCGAATAACAGTGTGGCAATGCCAGTGACTGAGTTCCAATTTGCTTGCGACGACATGGTGTGAGGAGGAGAAGTTTGGAGATCTGATAACGTACGATAACTACGGAGTACACTTAGTGCAAATCCCGTTCTCCGAGACCCGGGATCTATATTTTGGGATTTATTTCTATGTATATGTTTATATGTTTATATTTCTATATAATAGTATATACTTGAGAGTTGGACACTTCTAGGATCAGAGAATATTACACTTGAGTGCAAGTAGAGTATAGACAAGTAGTATCTAGTATGAGAGAATATTACTCAGTTGACATTGTAAGAGTACATGGTACATGGTTGGTACTTGACTACCCACACAAATCCCGACCTACAACAAGTACCTCGAAGTACTTACCATCAAAACACATTGTACTCTGTCCCTACCCGTGGACCCAATCAAAGCTAACTATACATTTAATTTATTGTATACATAGTACTAACATCTAGAGATACTCTATAGTACGGAGTACTCCGTACCCCGTACTCGTACTCTATTTACTGTAGAGCATTCCATCACTCTAACTATCCAGTCAAAAACCGACTCACCGACTTGACGATCTTGATCCACTCATCGATTGGCTCCCAACCTCCTCAACCACACCGATCCAGCAAAATCAAGCTAAACTAAGCTTACCCAGCGTTGCAAGAAGGTTCAATCGCCCAACAGTCTCCAGTGATGCGCATTCCCGGAACAGAAAAGCGCTGAAATGCGACAAGTCTGCCGAGCCAAGCCCCGGGGCTGTGCAAGCTGAAATGGGCATTCTCCACCAAAGGGTCAGGGCCTGGTATCCTTGAAGCCAGGGAGGCCAGCTGAGCATGAGAAACCAAGCCCCAAGGCGCACATGAAGCAGAAATGCAATAATCACAGGGTGGTATAGAGTACCAGGTGGGCGACGATCTCTGCATCAACACGGCATCAGCGTCGGCTGGATACACGCCAAGACCTCCCTGGCTCCGATGCCCCATGATGCATGGGTTTAGGCATCGGAGACACGAGGCCTGATTGGTGGGCACAGCTGCCAGCACATCCCACGGTGGTGGTTGTTTTCATTTGCCTTCTTTAGTGCGGGCTAGAGCTGTATACCATTTGTCTTTGCGCTACCCAGCCCTTTATTTTTTTTTCTTCAGCGTTTCTCCTGATCTTTGTTTCTTTTTTTTTTTCAGGGATCAGGGATTCGGGCCTTTGGCTTATTGATCATTGACACCGCGATTATCGAGATACCTTACTATCAATCTCACTTTTTGTGCATCTCAGGGTCAGGTACCCCATACTTTGTCCTTACTTCTTTGCATCTCCAATCCCCGACTGAGAGATCGCAATGGGCTCAATCAGGTCAACCCATTCGCAAAATGCGGAGCTTCGATCCCGCGGGAACGCGGAGCCATCCAAGCCGATCCAGGAAAAGCGCTCACAGAACTCGATCTTACCCACAAACTCGAACACTTCCAAGAGACGCCGTGGACTGTTCCGCGTGGATACAGCTGGAGAGAGTGGGCGGAGGGGGGTGCACCCGGTGCATCTCGTCAAAGTGTGCTTCAGGAGTGTCTGTACCCTTTCCATGGTCGTGAACATCCTCTGGCCATTTGTCCCTGCTGCGATTGTCATGCACTTTGCTCGACCTGACCTTCACGTCTGGGTCTTCACTCTCAACTACATTGCGATGGTTCCCTCGGCCAACCTGCTTGGATTTGCAGGTGGTGAGCTAGCCAAAAAATTACCGAAAATGTTTGGCATCTTGGTCGAAACAACCTTGGGCTCTGTGGTGGAACTAGTGCTGTTTATGGTCCTCTTGCACAACGATGACCCTGCGCATCACAGGAACTATATTCCTGTTATCCAGGCCGCTATTCTTGGTTCGATCATGGCTAATCTTCTCCTATGTCTGGGCATGTGTTTCTTTGTTGGCGGTCTCAGACGTGAGGAGCAGGTCTTCCACGAGGCTGTGAGTGAAGTAGGCACTGGACTACTCCTGGTGGCTGGCTTTGGTCTGCTCATTCCAAGTGCATTCTATTCGGCCCTCCGTGGGAGTGTAAATGAGGAGTTCACGGCGCAACTTTTGAGCCAATATGCCCTGACTATTAGTCGTGCCACTGCAATCCTTCTACTGGTGGCCTTTTTGACGTGAGTAGCCCCCGAACGATCATTTGCGGCCCTGGAAATCCTCATCGCTGACTGTCATTAGATACCTCATTTTCAACCTCCACAGTCACAACTCCATCTTCGACGAAATCCTCGAGGTCGATGAACACCACGATGAAGACCGACACGAAGAAGCGGCCCGGGCCAAACTCACCATGACCGAATGTATCATTGTCATCGCCATCTCACTGGCTTGCGTCTGTATGTCTGCAGTCTTCCTGGTACAAGAGATTGAGCACATCGTGGAGCGCGGCGTGTCGGACAATTTCCTCGGTTTGATCCTCGTTCCTCTCGTGGAGAAGGCTGCGGAGCATCTCACGGCTGTGGACGAAGCCTGGGACAACCAAATCAACTTTGCGCTCTTCCACTGCTTAGCGCCCTCCATCCAGACGGCTCTGTTGATTGCACCACTCACCGTGATCGTCGGATGGGGCATGGACAAGGACATGAGCTTGAACTTTGAAATCTTCATGGTTGTTCTTCTGGTGCTCTCGATTCTGGTGGTTGGCAATTTCTTACGAGATGGCAAGTCCAATTACCTCGAAGGTGCACTTTGCGTCCTGGTGTATTTCATTGTGGCTGTTTGCACCTGGTACTATCCCAGCGTGGAAATCACCTCGACCAACCAGGCCTGACATTTCCTTTGTTTCATTGTCACAGTGAACACTCGATAGATATCAAATTGGATATAGGCTCGAACGATAAATACGTAGACAATAATCCTAAATTTCATCAGAAAACCCCGTCATTCTACAGACTGAGGGCGCAACGCTTCATCCATCAACATCCGCTCATCAACTCGGAGCTCAAAATCCACCAGGAAACAAAAGCTGATCTCCAACTTGGACAACTCCAGTTCACTCACACCCCCGACTTTCGCCACTCGGCTATGAGCATAACTGAGATCCTCCAACGCCTTGCTAGCAACCCACACGCCGGCAAGCACCAGTCGATGCATATTCTTAGGCAGCACCTGCAAGACCTTCTCGACGACAGTCATCTTCGCGATATAAACACTGGCAGCGAGATAAACAGCCGTAGACATGGGACAATATTTATGCAATCTGAGAAGATAATCCCGCAAAGCGATGGGGGGCACTTTCTTCGAGAGAAATTTCTTGGCGAGGATCGCCATCTGGATCGCCTCGCCTGTCGCACGTGCAGGATCGACGACATCGCCATCCCCCTTTACATGCAGGCCAACGGTTTCTATTTCCAGCGCATCATCTGGGGGGTCCAGGGTGTGTGAACGCTCGTCCGTTGCGGGGTTTTCTGCAGCTAGACGCTCGACATTCGTGCAGAGCAGGTGTAATGCAGTCTCGGGTGAAATGTCGAATACGGCGGCTGGAGGCGAATCGGGGTTGATGTCTGCGCCGAGTTTGATTCTGGCATTCGCGTCGCGATCTGACATGATGGTGGTTTGTGTGACGGCCATGTTCACTGACCACAGGCGCGCGATGATGAGAGTGGGCACCTGGTCCTTGTAGGTGTCGCGATTTGGTATCTCATTTTCCAATGGGGGTGGTCTCTGGGTTGTTGCTCGATTGGGGGGTTCGGTAGAGAAGTTCTCAGGGGGTTGTGGCACTGGCCAATACAATTCGAGAATCAACAGGATCAGCCGGATTGACAGATGACAGATGAACTGAACTGCTTAGAAGAGAAGTCGAAACAGAACAGAACAAAACAAGGAAATGTCAGGAACAAGGCCCAGACCAAAAGGGGAGATAAGGATTTGCCACTTATCGTCTTGTTAGGCACTTGTAGTTGACTACAGTACTCAAGTATGTGCCTATTTACTCTGCATTTATTATGGTTTACTACATAACGATATAGATCATACGACTGATTATTGTCAGGATATTCAAATACTTGGCAATCTGCAATAAAGAGTGCATATTAAGAAGTACAGAGTACGGAGTACAAAGTACAAGTACAGCGCATCCAATCCCACGCTCGGAGCATGTGTGAAGTGGAAGAATAGCTTCACGAGAACAAAGCCATGTAAGTCCTTAAATGCACACAAGCATTCAAATAATTAGTATTCTATTCTAATAATGTAGTCTACTGTAGTATTTACTACGAGTAGTACTCGTAGTATACAAGTAGCCGAGAGCGGGAGCGGTGAACCAATGACTAAGCCATCAGGGCTTCCGCGTCACGTGCACCACTTTTTCGTAACCCACAACCTTTTGAAACTGATCGGTCTCTTCAGTCGACAACCACTCCACGCCCACCAACCGCCGTCATGGTATGTTCAAGACCTCTCTACGCCAGTCTATCCCAGTCAATCTGCACCAGCCTCTGCATCCTCATTTTCATCATCACAATCACCGTCCTATGAGCACAGCGCTCCAATATCGAATCGCGAATCTAACAATATGTAGTCCGCTCCCTCCAAGGCCGATAACCCCAACCGGGCGCTGCGTCTCAGCAAGCTGACCCTCAACATCTCCGTCGGAGAGTCTGGTGATAGGTAAATCGCTATCGAATCCAAATTGCAAGTTTTCATTTTTTTGGCTAACCCAATCGCAGACTCACCCGTGCCGCCAAGGTGCTTGAGCAGCTTTCCGGTCAGACCCCCGTCTACTCCAAGGCCCGTTACACCGTCCGTACCTTCGGTATCCGTCGTAACGAAAAGATCTCCGTCCACGTCACCGTCCGTGGCGCCAAGGCCGAGGAGATCCTCGAGCGTGGCCTCAAGGTCAAGGAGTACGAGCTCCGCAAGCGCAACTTCTCCGAGACCGGTAACTTCGGTTTCGGTATCTCCGAGCACATCGATCTCGGTATCAAGTACGACCCCGGTATTGGTATCTACGGTATGGACTTCTTCGTCTGCATGTAAGTGAACCTGGGAATTCTTCGAAAGACCCCGAAACAGAGATTAACCCACATGTAGGGACCGCCCCGGTGCCCGCGTTGCCCGCCGCCGTCGCGCTCAGGCCAAGATCGGTGTCAACCACCGCATCACCACCGCCGAGACCATGAAGTGGTTCAAGACCCGCTTCGACGGTATCATCCGCTAAGCGCTTTTAGCCTACAAGCTTCAAGTGTCAAGAGTTGGGAGGGGCCTGTGAAGTACGAAATATGACAAGAACCAAAAAATTATCTTGCGTGCTTCCCGGAGGAAACAAAATTTGCGCATGGGCACACCGTCACCACCCGGTTCCCTTGATTCACTGCGTTACATGTCTTGATTTTGTACTCTGACAACCAGGATAGGCGTGGGAGAGACATGAATTCACATTATACCATTTAACCGTTGCTTTCCCTTTTCACAATGAGGCTTCACGAGAGGTGATGTTTTCCGCATAACCATTGTTGAAAAGGATGGCAGGCCTGGATCTCGATCCAGTGTCTCGCCATGGCTCGCTTGAGAATGCTTCGGCTTCATCAAAGAGTCGGTCCCTCGGTGTCTTGAGACTGTTCTCAGATGCCCTGGGTACCTTTGGCCTATCTTGTCTTTCTCTCTTCCTATCCTTGTAAAGGTACCTGTAGACGTAGCATCGTAGTCTGTAGAAGGGTTGTTCGACAACAGTCCCAGCAAGGAACGCGTTTCAAGCAGAGTGGAATATGAGCACACAGCTTATACCCGGGCATGCCATACATCGTGGACTTTCACAATAGCATTATGCGACATGTATTCTAAACATTCGCCATGGCCGAGGTTTTATCCTATTTGCCTTTCAAGGTTTGAACCACACGGCGAAACATACTCTGTACTGAGTACGGAGTAGCAAATATTCAATTCAATGATTTCATTCAACTCTTTTGTGTCTACTGAAACTACCGTATCGTGGATATACAGACTTCTGTATGAGACAACCGCCCTAGCACCTGTAAGTTGAGTACAATAGTCATATCTGCACATCACCAACTACTTAAGTATACAGAAAGATATACAGTCGTTGCACACATTTGTTGGGTATTCAAAATCAACTGAGCTTCTAGGGCCTCTAAGTATAGACATCCTCCACTCCACGATCCCAAGTTCAACTTGGACTACCAGCTAATCATTAAAAGAGCAAAAGGAGTCGTCAAGAGTTCGAGCAGGAGACCAGAGAGAACGAATTATTTCTTCTGATCAGGCAGCTCAATCATCTCATCATTTGTCTTGCCAGGGTCCTGGCCAGCAGCCTCCAAGTCCCTAGCTTTGGCATCAGCCACTTCATCAACTCCAGCAACGACACTCTCAAAGCGGCGACCACGCTTCTCGGGGCCAATGGCAGTAGTAGCCATGATTCCAACAGCGATGATGGCAGTGGCAACTCCCATCACTGGTCCATAGGCATTGACCCTGTGACCAGATGCACTAGTCACCGATATCGACTCAGAGGCGGCATTCACAATCTGGGCAGACGGAGAGGAGATCATGTTTCCGAGCTGGTAACTGAGACCAGGGAATGAGGATCGGAATGCGGGAGGGGAAAGCTCGTTCAAGTGGATGGGGATCACACCCCATGCACCTTGAACGAAGAATTGCATGAAGAATCCAGTCACACTCAGGGAACGCTCACCCTGGGGGAGAATCCATGCTGGGATGAGTACTCCAGACACGAAGGCGGCGACAATGATTGCCCGTCGACGGCCGACAAACTGAGAGAGGTATCCGATGATAGTTCCTCCTACACAGGCTCCTGTCTTCATCAAAATCGATGCTCTCGAAGCACTGGTGTTGTTGAGCTCTTTGGAGGTGAGCATGAAGGTGGTGTAGGAGTCTTGGGAGGTGTGGGAATAGAAGTTGAACTGTTCGAAGTCAGTGTGATGGACTTTGAGAGACATCGGGTGGGAGATATACCCAGGTCATTAGAATGATACAATAGATGCACATTTTCCACTCCTTGCCCAGCATGGCTACTATCTCTCGCCAGAATTCTCCTGCAGTCATCGTGCGTTTACCAGACTGCTTGGCTTCGATGAAAGACTTGGACTCGGGAAAGCAGATTCGGACCAGTCCGACTGCAATTGAGATGCCAGCTGGGTTGAAAGATGTCATTAGAATAAATGACTATCATAGTGGATGCGCAGTTAGTCAACTCACCAGCGATCCAAAAGACGGTCTTCCAAGTTTCTGTACCTCCTCCGACACCAAGGTTGGCACATGCTGCAAAAACATAGCCCAAGGAGTATCCTTGCTGAAGAATTCCAGACATCAGTCCTCTGGCGTTGACACTGATTCAACCTGGTTAATAATTTTCCTGAATTCTTGCGGTAAACACTCACGGGCAATGTTCTAATGCCATGGCAATAGCATTTCCATACACACCACCCATGAAAAGACCAAAGAGACTGCGGACAGCCAGGAACTGCTGGAAGGTTTTACTGTAGATTGTCGCAATCTGCAACACTCCCAGGATAATCATGTTCAGCACCATGGGCCATTTACGGCCATACTTATCACCCGCGAGTCCAAAGCAGGCGGCTCCCACACTTCTTAACAACAGTGTCAGGGTGATTGCAGTCGATATATCGGTCTTGGATCTGCCGTAGTAGTCGGCCAACTTGACCGTTTGAATGGACAGTGCATGGAAGTCAAATGCATCGGCAGTCCATGCTGTGAGTCCCACGAGGAAGAATATCCAGTCACGAGCTGAAAGCTGTGCCATCAGACTGATAGGATTCTTGATTGGCTCAGGGGCCTGCCATTCTGTCCGAGATTCACCATGTTCGTTGGTGACCTCGACACGCTGTTTCCAGATGAAGAGGTCTCCAAAGGACTGCCGGGCAGTGGCAAATATCCCATTAGGGATGGGATCTGCCGGCTCGTTGGAGGCCATCGTGATCAGGTCTCAGAAACAATACCAACACCAAAGGACAAGCTGTCAAAGATTGCCCAGAAACTCGACTGTCAACGTCAACAAAGATCTTTAGGGGCTTCTGGGGGATGTATTTCCCAGTTTTCCATGTCGATACCCCGGATTTTATATGGGACGATCCGGCCTGACCCCCATATCCCCGCAAAGGCAACCCGCATTTTTCTCGTGGGGATTGCAATAAATGCCGCTGCACCCCAGGATAGTCCGATGGTTGACGCGGGGGTATACCTCTCCGCTGACTGGGCCAAGCAGATGCCAAGGGGAGGATGGCCCCGTGCCCTCCAATCGTCGACTGCCATACGACAGAGATCCCGCACACACGCTTTGGAGGCTGGCTTGGCGGGTAGTGTGGCCATGCCGAGAGCGATCCTTCCGGGCTTGGCTCAATGGACAAAGACAAGCACCATGCCGAATGACGCTGGGCGCATAGCCATTGCTCCCTTGCGCCGAACGTCGTCAGTTCCAAATGGGCCGATTTGCGTCTTGACTCCGGTCCGGAACTTAGGAGATTGTTGGCTGCGGGCAGACTTCCTTGACGGCTCTAGCGGGCTGGTCGGCTTGATTGAAGCGGGAGTGTATTCTTTGTCTTTGGCCGAGGCGAAACTCGGCCAAAGCCTTGGAAGACATGCATATTTACAATGTCATGAGTTTATGAACTATGAACATCCCGGACTCGGTAGGGTGGAGGTCTGTTCCTCGAGTGGTTCTGTCAGCTTTGTCTAGGGTTCACAATTCTGCCTGAAGATGCCTGATTATACTATTTCCAATCCCTTTTTGAACTCTCCTTGGAAACTTCTTTTCAAATAGGTTTCAGCGTCATCTTAAGTAATTGGCCGAGTTCTTTTAATTCGTGTTATTTCTATGTTTCTCGCTTCTTCTTGTTGACATGTCTATTACGACCAGGTTACCATTAGCCAGATCGGGAATATATAACTGTAGAACTTGAGAAACAGTAAGAGAACTTTCCAAGGTTAACATTAGAAGCTATGCAGAAATTAACCACTGGATACTTCAGAACTGAAAAGCAATCAGATGTTAAGAGATGCCATCAATACGAAGTAACTATATACTAGTACTACTATGTACGAGTAAATAGCTAAGTGCAGTGGATACATATGCCGGATGACGTCCGAGTGGATCTTATTAAGGGGCCATTCGAGTTATTTTGGTTTCTTTACTTAGTTAACTAGTTAACAGTTAACAGTTAACTATTACTTAAGTAACTAACACGGTCTTGACATGCACGTTTCCCTTCTCGCTTTCTCTATAGATCTATAGATTGCATTGGCATATACACAAGCACAGCTAAGTCGGATGTCGATAGACATACTTAAATATACTTCGGAAATTGGAAATATCCAAAGAGAAAAAGGTAAAAAGAGAAACGAAAAGAGCAAAGGTAAGACACTGGACATCTCTGGTTGTAATACTAGTAGAGTAGTGTTGGGAGTAAACAACGGAGCTTCCAAGGTTACTTAAGTAGATACCCAACTTTAGAAGTAACTCACCCTCACCAACCCAACCCTCACAGAACTGAAATTCAAAATATCTCTTTCAGTTCCCTTCTCTCTTACTACCATCTACTGCACTTTACTTCCAGAATCACCGGAACTGCCCTCGACCCCTGTGTCACGTGATCCCCCATAAGCGACACCTCAGCAACGTCAACAGCCTCCTGAAGGTCACTTCCGCATCTCCCCCAATCTAACCCCCCTCACTCCGTGACTTCTGTTCTTTCTTTCTCCCCTCTTTCTTTCCTCACCACTCGCGATTCTCCTCCTTTTTTCACCCTTCAATTCTTCTGCTCTCTTTGCGTGGCGTCTCATCCGGTGAACTAGGTCGTACTGCGACCAACGCAAACATGGCTCCTCTCCCCATCAAGTTTACAGAGCTGGTCAATGTATGTGAAACCCACCCGGTGATGAGAAATGGAGGATTCTGAAGCTAACCTGCGCTTGATTGTCACAGTTGACCTCCGTCGGTATTGCGGTATGTACACAGATGCCCGATGCCTCGCGACAAGCTCCGCTCCTCGGGACGGATGCATCGGCCGCGCATGGCAACATTCTGGACAAACTGGGAAAGTTACTAACACTGCTACCTACAGCCGGCTTCAATTGGCTTCACCTCATGTGTAAGTAGTTGATGGTTGCCTTGCGACTACCCCTCAAACCTACGATGACCAGACTGGGCTAACCCGAAACCTCACCGCCAGACACTAGAATCCGATCACTATGTCTGTGTCCGCCAAAAGCTCGACGAAGACGACAAGCCTCAAGTTATCATTATCGACCTTAAGAACAACAATGAGGTCCTCCGGCGCCCCATCAACGCTGACAGTGCCATCATGCACTGGAGCAAGAACATTATTGCCCTCAAGGCGCAGGGCCGCACCGTCCAGATCTTCGACCTCGGAGCCAAGCAAAAGCTCAAGTCCGCAGTCATGAACGAAGATATTGTTTACTGGAAGTGGTTCAGCGAAACCTCTTTGGGTTTGGTCACCGACTCAGCAGTTTACCACTGGGATGTTTATGATGCAACACAACAGAACCCTGTGAAGATGTTTGATCGACTTCCCAATCTCTCGGTATGTGTCCATCGAAGGAAAAGCAGCAATGGCTCGGGGTTGAAAGATGCTAATTTACCGACTTACTGTAGGGATGCCAAATTATCAACTACCGGGTCAACGCCGAGGAAAAGTGGATGGTAGTGGTCGGTATTAGCCAGCAGCAGGGCCGAGTCGTCGGATCTATGCAGCTCTTCTCGAAGGAGCGCGGCATCTCCCAATTTATCGAAGGTCACGCCGCCTCCTTCGCCAACATCAACGTCGAGGGCTCCCCTCTTCCCCACAGCCTCTTCACATTTGCCGTGCGCACCCAGACAGGCGCGAAGCTCCAGATCGCCGAAATCGATCACCAAGAACCCAACCCGCGATTCCAAAAGAAGGCCGTCGAGGTCTACTTCCCACAAGAAGCAGTCAACGATTTCCCTGTCGCGATGCAGGTGTCTAGCAAGTATGACGTGGTTTATCTGGTTACGAAATACGGCTTCATCCACCTGTATGATCTCGAGACGGGCACTTGCATCTTCATGAACCGCATTTCCAGCGAGACAATCTTCACCACCGCTGCCGATGGCGAGGGTGCCGGTCTTGTTGGTGTGAACCGCAAGGGTCAGGTCCTGTCTGTGAGCGTCGATGAATCAAACATCGTCCAGTACCTCATGGAAAACCCCGCCATGTCCGGTCTGGCCGTCAAACTCGCCTCGAAGGCCGGCCTTCCAGGCGCGGACCACCTGTACCAACAGCAGTTCGATTCTCTCATGGCCGCTCAGGATTACACTGAAGCTGCCAAGATCGCCGCAAACTCTCCCCGCGGTTTCCTCCGCACCTTGGACACTATCAACCGCTTCAAGAACGCTCCCCAGACTGGTCAGATGTCAGTTATCCTGCAGTACTTCGGTATGCTTCTGGACAAGGGCTCGCTCAACCGCTATGAAAGTGTGGAGCTTGTTCGACCTGTCTTGCAGCAGAACCGTAAGCATCTGCTCGAGAAGTGGATGACAGAGAAGAAGCTCGAGGGCTCAGAGGAGCTGGGTGACATCATCCGTCCTTACGACATGTCTCTCGCTCTGAGTGTCTACCTTGATGCCAACGTTCCCAACAAGGTTGTTGCTGGATATGCCGAAACTGGCCAGTTTGACAAGATTCTCGCCTATTCCAAGCAAGTGGGATACCAGCCCGACTACACCCAGCTGCTCCAGCACATCGTGCGAGTCAACCCTGAGAAGGGCGCTGAGTTCGCCACCCAGCTCGCTAACGAGGAGAGCGGTGCTCTGGTCGATCTTGATCGCGTCGTCGATGTCTTCCTGTCGCAGAACATGATCCAGCAGGCCACTTCCTTCCTATTGGACGCTCTCAAGGACAACAAGCCAGAGCATGGCCATCTGCAGACTCGTCTCTTGGAGATGAATCTGATCAACGCCCCGCAGGTGGCAGATGCCATCCTTGGCAATGAGATCTTCACCCACTTCGACCGTCCTCGCATTGCCCAGCTTTGCGAGAACGCTGGTCTCATTCAGCGTGCGCTGGAGAACTCTGATGATCCTTCTTTCATCAAGCGCAACATTGTCCGCACCGATAAGTTGAGCCCCGAGTGGTTGATGGCTTACTTCGGTCGTCTCTCTGTGGAGCAAACTCTGGACTGCTTGGACACCATGCTAGAGTCTAACATTCGCCAGAACTTGCAGTCGGTGGTCCAGACCGCCACCAAGTTCTCCGACCTCCTCGGCTCTAACCGTCTCATTGACCTTTTGGAGAAGTACCGCACCGCCGAGGGTCTTTACTACTACCTTGGAAGCATTGTCAACCTGAGCGAGGACCCTGAAGTGCACTTCAAGTACATCGAGGCTGCCACTGCTATGAACCAAGTCACCGAGGTTGAGCGTATTTGCCGTGAAAGCAACTACTACAACCCCGAGAAGGTGAAGAACTTCCTGAAGGAGGCCCGTTTGACCGAGCAACTTCCTCTGATCATCGTCTGTGACCGCTTTAACTTCATTCACGACCTTGTTCTGTACCTCTACCAGAGCCAGCAGTTCAAGTCCATCGAGGTTTACGTCCAGCGCGTCAACCCTGCTCGTGCCCCTGCCGTCGTCGGTGGATTGCTCGATGTTGACTGTGACGAGAGCATCATCAAGAACTTGCTCTCGACTGTCGACCCCTCCGTCATTCCCATCGATGAGCTGGTCTCCGAGGTTGAAAGTCGCAACCGCCTCAAGCTTCTGTTGCCTTTCCTCGAGGCCACTCTTGCAACGGGCAACCAGCAGCAAGCTGTGTACAATGCTCTTGCCAAGATCTACATTGACAGCAACAACGACCCCGAGAAGTTCCTCAAGGAGAATGACATGTATGACACTCTCACTGTCGGAAAGTACTGCGAGAAGCGTGATCCCAACTTGGCCTACATCGCCTACCGCAAGGGCCAAAATGACCTCGAGCTCATCAGCATTACAAACGAGAACTCCATGTACCGCGCTCAGGCTCGCTACCTTGTTGAGCGTGCCGATCCCGAAATCTGGACCTTTGTCCTGAGTGAGAACAATGAGGGCCGCCGTTCCCTCGTGGACCAGGTTATTGCCACTGCAGTCCCCGAGTCTACCGAGCCCGAGAAGGTGTCTGTGGCTGTCAAGTCCTTCCTTGAGGCTGATCTGCCCGGCGAGCTGATTGAACTGCTCGAGAAGATTATCTTGGAGCCCTCGCCTTTCAGCGACAACACCAGCTTGCAGAACCTGCTGATGCTGACTGCAGCCAAGGCCGACAAGGCTCGTCTGATGGACTACATCCACCAGCTCAATGAGTTCTCTGCCGACGAGATTTCCGAAATGTGCATCAGCGTTGGTCTTCACGAGGAGGCCTTTGAGATCTACAAGAAGGTTAACAACCAACTGGCCGCCGTGAATGTCCTCGTCGAGAACATTGTTAGCATTGACCGTGCCCAAGAATTCGCTGAGCGTGTTGAGCTTCCGGAGGTCTGGAGCAAGGTTGCCAAGGCCCAACTGGATGGTCTTCGTGTGACCGATTCCATTGAATCGTACATCCGCGCCGAGGACCCCTCCAACTACAACGAGGTGATTGAGACTGCCACTCACGCTGGTAAGGATGAAGACCTAGTCAAGTTCCTTCGCATGGCCCGCAAGACCTTGCGCGAGCCCTCCATCGATACTGGTCTTGCCTTCTGCTTCGCTCGTCTGGACCAGCTCGCAGAGCTCGAGGACTTCCTCCGCTCCACCAACGTTGCGGACATTGAGGCATCCGGTGACAAGGCTTACGAGGAAGGTTACCACCACGCCGCCAAGATCTTCTTCACTCAAATCTCCAACTGGGCCAAACTGGCTACCACCCTGGTGCACTTGGAAGACTACCAGGCTGCCGTTGAGTGTGCCCGCAAGGCCAACAGCGTCAAGGTTTGGAAGCAGGTCAACGAAGCCTGCGTCAGCAAGAAGGAATTCCGCCTTGCCCAGATTTGCGGTCTGAACCTCATCGTTCACGCCGAGGAGCTGCAGAGCCTTGTGCGCCAGTACGAGCGCAACGGATACTTCGACGAGCTGATCGCCGTCTTGGAGGCCGGTCTCGGTCTTGAGCGTGCTCACATGGGTATGTTCACCGAGCTTGGCATTGCTCTGTCCAAGTACCACCCAGACCGTGTCATGGAGCACCTCAAGCTCTTCTGGTCTCGCATCAACATCCCCAAAATGATTCGTGCTTCCGAAGAAGCCAACCTCTGGCCCGAGCTTGTGTTCCTGTACTGCCACTACGATGAGTGGGACAACGCTGCCCTTGCCATGATGGAGCGTGCTGCCGATGCCTGGGAGCACCACTCTTTCAAGGACATCATTGTCAAGGTTGCCAACTTGGAGATCTACTACCGTTCTCTCAACTTCTACCTTCAGGAGCAGCCCCTTCTGCTCACTGACTTGCTCCAGGTGTTGACTCCCCGTATTGATGTCAACCGTGTTGTGCGCATCTTCCAGAGCTCTGACAACATTCCCTTGATCAAGCCCTTCCTGCTCAACGTTCAATCCCAGAACAAGCGGGCTGTCAACGATGCTATCAACGAGCTTCTGATTGAGGAGGAGGACCACAAGTTGCTTAAGGACTCTGTCGACCAGAACGACAACTTCGATGCTGTGGAGCTCGCCCAACGCCTCGAGAAGCACGACTTGATCTTCTTCCGCCAGATTGCTGCCAACATCTACCGCAACAACAAGCGCTGGGAGAAGTCGATCGCTCTCTCCAAGCAGGATAAGCTCTACAAGGATGCTATTGAGACTTCTGCCATTTCCTCCAAGCCGGAGGTTGTGGAAGATCTCCTGCGCTACGTAAGTTTTCTTCCCTTCTTTTCCCCCCTCTCATTTGAACCCTTATTAACCATCACTAGTTTGTTGATATCGGCAGCCGAGAGTGCTACGTCGGCATGCTCTATGCCTGCTACGATCTCATCCGCCCTGACGTCATTATGGAGATTTCTTGGCGCAAGGGTCTGCACGATTTCACCATGCCCTTCATGATCAACTTCCTCTGCGAGCAAACCCGATCCATTGAGCTTTTGAAGAAGGACAATGAGGAGCGCAAGAACCGCGAGAAGCAAACCCGCACTGAGGAGGACAGCACTCCCATCCTGCAGGGCTCACGGCTCATGCTGACTCAGGGTCCGCAATCTGGCGGCGGTCTCACCCCCCAGGCCACCGGTTTCCGTGGATTCTAGACTCTTTCCGTTTCCTTTTTGCATATGTACCATACAGCGGAGACCCGTTGCAAAAGACACGACTTCATATGGGGAGGTATTAGGTCCTGGGTTTGACCTGAGGAGGAATTCATGATTAATCTGTTTGTTTCTTTTTTTCTCGCATGTATTCCATAGGCTTTTGTTTATGCTCTCCGTATCTGGGTCGACCTCAGTAATAGCATTTCTTTTTCAGTTTTCTTTTTTTCCAAGTTTTTTTTCTTTTCTCTTTCTAGTCTTTCTCACCGGTGGAAGAATTCCACAAAATTGAGGCGTGTCTCCGCCCTTGGAGCTCGGTGAAGAAAGGCCCGCCAAGATGCCAAGGGAAATCATCTGCAACGTGAGATATTGCAGATCGGCCTTATCAGCTCCATGAGGGAGCATGGGGGCCTGGCATTGGAGGAATTGAAACACCTTGCCACCGTCGATCTCACGAGTTCACCTGACTACGAACTACGAGTTGTAGGCTATTGAAGTACCCTGCATGCCGAGCTCTGGAATTGATTTTCCGGTAATAACGAGGGCCATTGACCATGGCATGTCCTACTCTGTACAAGCTTGTACAAGCTCGTACAAGTACAATTATGAATCTTCATAGGCATCCTAGGTACAGACCTAGAGGACCTTGGACGTACTCGGCATTGCCAGCTCACAGCCAGTGTGGGGAGTGATCTACTGAATGAGATCCGCGCTTCGGGCGGGGGAGCAGTGCCGTCAGAGGGGAGTTCCGTGTAGCGTCCGGAGTCGCCTCGGCGGGTAACCAAGACCTTGGCGGACTGGCATGCCGCGCTCTTGGCTGTGCCAGGTGAAGTTCAGAAGTCCAGAAGTCTAGCTCGGTTCTACAAGTGCCAAGCGGTAAGGGATGAAAACTGGAGACAAATGTGATCGCGTCACAGATAGTCAGGCAAGTATCGGAGAAGAGATGATCCCTTCCTCTAGAGACAGGAACACATGACCCGGAAACGTAAGTCTGGACCCGTCCGGTGAGGGAAATTGCTGAAGAAGGGAAGTGCGACCTGAATGGGGGAATGAGAAAAGAAGAAAAGAGGGAAAAGAAGGAAAAGAACATAAAATCTTGTCATCAGTCGAATAATGAGAATTGAACCCGGGAACCCAGCCGTTCGGACAAATCTTCCCCGAGGTGAACTTGGGGACAAGCCCAGCATGCGAAGCGCATTCTATTCATCAGACCGGCGATTGGTCCGATCCACTGCATGTGTCGAGTGTTCTCCGAATCTCCCCCGGACTGTGACAGTTTCCCGCGAATATCCGCATCGACATGCCTCAAGGGACGATGTATATTCCCGAGGACCCGAGGTCTGAGGTAGAGAGGGAGGACCCCGGAATGACTTACCTAAATCACCCGGGGAAGCTGAGAACTGGAGAATAGTAGTTAGTAGTTAGTAGTCACCACATAGGGAGTAGTAGGCTGGAGAAGAGTATGACAGAGAGGAGAGCGTAATAAGCCCCGCAATATTAATGGAATCGCATAATTGTCTCCGGTGTACCGGTGAGCCTCCCGTTTTATTGAGGACAAGGTACCGGTTACCTCATTGATGCAGTCAATCTGCCCTCCCCGGAAAGTATCTGTGACTCGCCCTGTCTCCCCTTATCTATCGCCCTTCCCCCCCCCAGGTTCCTCTTCGTCACTCTCTGCCTTTTTTTTTCTTCTTCTTCTCTTCCTCTCCTCCTCAATCCTCTCAATCCCATCCCTCACCCTCTATACCTCTATACCTCTATACTAATTCAATTGTGCCGAAGTCGGCCTAAGGAGGATCCGGAGAGAGCTCCCCCCAGCTTATAGTGAGTCACCGCTTTACCTAACCCCACCATTACAACGTTAACCCCAGCTTCAGCCCCTGTACGAGACTCTCGATTCACACAAAATGGCCAACCGGGACTCTGCCATCGATGAGATTGAGATCATCGAAGATCACAATGAACATCACCAGGATTCAGTTCACCGCCGGTTGCGCGCCAACTCCACGATCATGCACTTCCAAAAGATTCTAGTGGCCAACCGTGGTGAAATTCCCATTCGTATCTTCCGTACCGCACACGAATTGTCCCTCCAGACAGTTGCCGTCTACTCCCATGAGGATCGTCTCGGTATGCATCGTCAGAAGGCTGACGAGGCCTACATGATTGGAAAGCGGGGTCAATTCACCCCCGTCGGTGCTTACTTGGCCGGTGATGAGATCATTAAGATTGCCGTGGAGCACGGCGTACACTTGATCCACCCCGGTTACGGTTTCTTGTCCGAGAACGCGACCTTCGCTCGCAACGTTGAAAAGGCCGGTATCGTCTTCGTCGGCCCCAAGCCGGAGACTATCGATGCCCTGGGTGATAAGGTCTCCGCTCGCCGAGTGGCCATTGCCTGCAATGTCCCCGTCGTGCCCGGTACCCCCGGTCCCGTCGAGACCTTCGAGGAGGCCAAGGCCTTCACCGATACCAACGGCTTCCCCGTCATCATCAAGGCCGCCTTCGGTGGTGGTGGCCGTGGTATGCGTGTGGTCTGGAAGGACGAAGATCTGAAGGAGTCCTTCGACCGTGCTTCCTCCGAGGCTCTCTCGGCCTTTGGTAACGGTACTGTCTTCGTCGAGAGCTTCCTCCACAAGCCCAAGCACATCGAGGTTCAGCTTCTGGGTGACAACCACGGCAACGTCGTGCACTTGTTTGAGCGTGACTGCTCCGTGCAACGTCGTCACCAAAAGGTCGTGGAGATCGCTCCCGCCAAGGACCTCCCCGTTGAGGTCCGCGACAAGATGCTGGCAGATGCCGTGCGACTGGCCAAGTCTGTTGGCTACCGCAACGCCGGTACGGCTGAGTTCTTGTACGACCCGATTCGCAACGAAGCATACTTCATTGAAGTGAACCCCCGTATTCAGGTCGAGCACACCATCACCGAGGAGATCACTGGAATCGATATCGTCGCCGCTCAGATCCAGATTGCCGCGGGTGCCACCCTCGAGCAGTTGGGTCTCACCCAGGACCGCATCTCCACTCGTGGTTTCGCCATTCAGTGCCGTATCACCACTGAGGATCCCTCCCAGGGATTCTCCCCCGACACTGGTAAGATCGAGGTCTACCGCTCTGCCGGTGGTAATGGAGTCCGTCTTGACGGTGGTAACGGTTTCGCCGGTGCCATCATCACTCCCCACTACGACTCTATGCTGGTCAAGTGCACTTGCCGTGGCTCAACCTATGAGATTTCCCGCCGTAAGATGCTGCGTGCTCTGGTTGAGTTCCGTATCCGTGGTGTGAAGACCAACATTCCTTTCCTCGCTTCGCTGCTGAGCCACCCCACCTTCATCGACGGCACTTGCTGGACCACTTTCATTGATGATACCCCCGCGCTGTTCTCGCTGGTCAGCAGTCAGAACCGTGCTCAGAAGCTGCTTACCTACCTTGGTGACGTTGCTGTCAACGGCAGCAGCATCAAGGGCCAGATTGGTGAGCCCAAGTTCAAGGGCGAGATCATCAAGCCTGTCCTCAAGGATAGTGCCGGTAAGCCCATTGACGTTTCTTCCCCTGCCACCAAGGGATGGAAGCAGATCTTGGACAGCCAAGGCCCCGAGGCCTGGGCTAAGGCTGTGCGTGCCAACAAGGGTTGCTTGATCATGGACACCACCTGGCGTGATGCCCACCAGTCGCTGCTGGCCACCCGTGTGCGAACCATCGACATGTTGAACATTGCCGCCGAAACCAGCCACGCTCTGAGCAACGCATACTCGCTCGAGTGCTGGGGTGGAGCTACCTTCGATGTCGCCATGCGTTTCCTCTACGAGGACCCCTGGGACCGACTCCGCAAGATGCGCAAGGCTGTTCCCAACATTCCCTTCCAGATGCTGCTGCGTGGTGCCAACGGTGTTGCGTACTCCTCTCTCCCCGACAACGCCATCTACCACTTCTGTCGGCAGGCCAAGAAGTACGGTGTTGACATCTTCCGTGTCTTCGATGCTCTCAACGATCTTGACCAGCTTGAGGTTGGTATCAAGGCTGTGCACGAGGCCGGTGGTGTCGTCGAGGCCACCATGTGCTACAGTGGTGACATGTTGAATCCCAAGAAGAAGTACAGCTTGGAGTACTACATGGGTCTGGTTGACAAGATTGTCGCCATGCGCCCCCACGTTCTCGGAATCAAGGATATGGCTGGTGTCCTCAAGCCCCAGGCTGCCCGTCTCCTGGTTGGTGGTATCCGTGAGCGCTATCCCGACCTCCCCATCCACGTCCACACCCACGACTCGGCTGGAACCGGTGTCGCCTCTATGATTGCCTGCGCCGAGGCCGGTGCTGATGCGGTTGACGCCGCTACCGACAGTCTGTCCGGTATGACCTCGCAGCCCAGCATTGGTGCTCTTCTGGCTTCCCTCCAGGGCACCCAATACGACCCTGGCTTGGACCTTTCCCAGGTCCGCGCTCTTGACGCCTACTGGGCTCAGCTCCGTCTGCTCTACTCTCCCTTCGAGGCTGGTCTGACCGGTCCCGATCCCGAGGTCTACGAGCACGAGATCCCCGGTGGTCAACTGACCAACCTGATCTTCCAGGCCAGCCAGTTGGGTCTTGGACAGCAGTGGGCTGAGACCAAGAAGGCCTACGAGATCGCCAACGAATTGCTTGGCGACATTGTCAAGGTCACTCCCTCCTCCAAGGTCTGCGGTGACTTCGCTTCTTGGATTGTCAGCAACAAGCTGTCTGCTCAGGATGTGATCGACCGCGCCGATCAGCTCGACTTCCCCGGCTCCGTCCTCGAGTTCTTCGAGGGTCTCATGGGCCAACCGTACGGCGGCTTCCCCGAGCCCCTGCGCACCAAGGCTCTCCGTGGTCGCCGCAAGCTCGACAAGCGCCCCGGTCTGTACCTGGAGGACATGGATCTCGCCAAGATCAAGAACGACATCCGCGAGAAGTTCGGTGCCGCCACCGAATGCGACGTGGCCAGTTACGCCATGTACCCCAAGGTGTTCGAGGACTACCGCAAGTTTGTCCAGAAGTTCGGTGATCTCTCCGTTCTGCCTACCCGGTACTTCCTTGCCCGTCCCGAGATTGGCGAGGAGTTCCACGTCGAGCTGGAGCAGGGTAAGGTTCTTATCCTGAAGTTGCTCGCCATCGGTCCCCTCTCCGAGCAGACCGGTCAGCGCGAGGTCTTCTACGAGGTCAACGGTGAAGTCCGTCAAGTCAGTGTCGACGACAACAAGGCCTCCGTCGAGAACGTTGCCCGCCCCAAGGCCGACGCCGCAGACAGCAGCCAGGTCGGCGCTCCCATGAGCGGTGTCGTGGTCGAGATCCGTATCCACGATGGCCACGAGGTCAAGAAGGGTGACCCCATTGCGGTGCTGAGCGCCATGAAGATGGTAAGTTTTCATGTATTCTGTTTTCTTTCGTTGAATATAATTGCTAACAACCTTCTAGGAGATGGTGATTTCCGCCCCCCACAGCGGTGTGGTGTCTGGCCTCCAGGTTCGGGAGGGTGACTCGGTCGACGGCCAGGATCTGATCTGCAAGATCAGCAAGGCGTAAAAGCATTGCTTCTTCTTTTGTACTAAGACCGGTCATCTATGATACGTGATGCGTGATGTTCTTTCAATGACTTTTCTAGCGTTTTTCTGTTTTGCTTTATTGTTGGATACTTGGATTTCAGGAATATCTTCAAGCTTACTCTTGCTCCATCGTTTCATCTTAGTATTCCGTAAGTTTCTGGCATTAAAATCATGTTCGAATGGTGGAGTTAGACGACCATACAAAACTATGAGTATAGATGAGGCAGAAATTAAAGGAAAATCTTAGAATAGAAAATCGCCTTTAACATCAGTTCAGGTACGAAGGGACAGAGAGGTCGGAGCTAATTTATGCTGTAAAGTACCGTAAGATGTCAGTAATTTAACTCGGACCCATATTAGATTCCTGCCAAGAGCTTGGGTTCCAAGGTTTATGCAAACCATTGAAGCAGCTAATTGGCTGTTATGTGGCACATACCCATAGTGGATTCCTGCCAAGAGCCTAGGTGGTCTAATGGTAGGGCGCTCGAGTGAGTCGCGACCTCCCTCTTCCATCGGGCTGAGCCGACATTTGGGTGGGCAATAACTCTGACGGAGGATGGAGACTCGAGAGATCCGGGTGAATCTCGGTCTAGGCGTTATCTTTTTTTCTTTTTCTTTTTGTTTACTGTTTGTTCGTTTTATGCTGTATATCTAATACAGATCCACCTGTAATAAATATACAAAGCCTGGTTGGCCGAGTGGTTTAAGGCACTGCGGGGATGTACCAACCCGGGAGTGTGTCACCGCATAAGCGTGTGCTCCGAAGGTGTTGGCGCGTCCTCCAGAGACCCCTGGTTCGAATCCAGGATCGGGCATTTCTTTTTTTCTTCCTTTCTTCTTTTTATTGATGGCAGTAAGAAGACAGAAGTGAGAAACATTGAACAGAGCCAGCATAGACTCCAAAGGATAATTAGTAGTTCATTTGGCACATTCTATGCGCTGGTAATACAGATTATTTTCTGCCTGTCAGAATAGGCACCAAGGCAGGTCGTTCGGCACCCAAATCTGGCAGCCGGTCTCCCCGCAAAAGTTGCGACTCCAAATTTGCCGATCCTCACTCTCATCTCGTCAATATGACCCAATCGCTTCCCTGCATTTGCTATCTCGGAAAATGCGGAAAGATACGATGAGGGGGATCGGGCCCTTTTTATCTGGATTATATACTCCGTGAGGCGCTGTCATGGCCCCAATCTCCAGTCCAAGTTCACAGCCAATATGGAAACAACGCGCCGTCCTTATTTAAGATCACTAGCCCATCGTGGGACAATTCAAGGTGTGACGATCTCGACAGCGTCCTCATCTCAGGACCTGTGTCACTACTTCGGCGGTCTCCGCTATGGACTGGCCCCCTCCCAGCGATGGCGCCGTGCGACTCCCATCCCCGCATCTTTTACCTATGGCAGCACAGATGCGCCAGGTCGCTGTGACGGGGGCGCTGGGTTATGTCCCCAGCCGGGCTTTTTGAATCTATCGCCCGAGAACCCAGATGCCTGGAATGAGGATTGTTTCCAATGTAATGTGTGGACACCTCTCGGGGAGCCGCCGGCAGGAGGATGGCCGGTGTTTGTTTATATTCGTGAGTTTTCTCCTTCAGATTGGCGGATCCAGCGGTGGTGTCGATATTAATTGATTTCACAGATGGCGGCTGGCTTCAGTTCGGCACCCCCAATTCCTTCAACGCTGCTGCCCTGATTGGGGAGGCGGGATTCAAGGCCGTTGTGGTGATGCCTGCGTATCGAGTCAATCTGTTCGGATTCCTATATTCCGCGGAACTAGAACAAGATGCAGCTTCGGTTGGGGAGACGGTTGGAAACCACGGATTTTGGGATCAGCGATTAGCATTGGAATGGATCAAGGAGAATATCAATCTCTTCGGGGGCAACCCGAATAACATTACGATTTCAGGGTATTCAGCCGGTGCAAACTCCGTTTTCCACCAATTGGCCTATGACCTGCGTCAGCCAGATGAAAAGTCTATCATCCGCCAGGCTTGCATTTGGTCGAACAGTCCAGCCGTGCAGCCCAAGTATCCTGCTGAAACGCAACATCAGTTCGATCAACTCCTCGCTGCACTGGACATTCCGCTCTCTCTCCCCGCCAGTGAAAAGATTGCCCGCCTCCGAGTCATTCCCGCAAAGAAGCTCCTCGACACGGCGAAAACCATCGAGGTTCATCAATTCCGACCCACGACAGATGGCAGTTTCATCTCGCCATCCCTGTTCCAATCTCTCGACAACGGCGAGTTTGCACGCAAGCTTCTTTCTCGAAATGTGCGTATCATCATCGGTGAATGTGCCGATGAACGATTCCTCTATAGTACTTGGTTCCCCCCACTGGCAGACACTCTGTCTGCACTCCGAACCCGTCTGATTGCGGATTACCCTGAGCATATTGTCGACGGTGTCATTGCCCACTACTACCCTACCGGCCAGTTACCGAAAGACTGCAAGAACTGGGTAGATGATGCATGGGGGAGGATTTATGCCGATATGCAGGTACACCAGATGCAGCGGGGACTGGTCTACGCCCTGAGCCATAATTCAGGTGGCGTTGATGCCTCTCGACAGGTATATCGGTACCGGATCGAGTGGCGGGCGAAGTGTATGGATGCTGTTATGCCTGTTGAGTGGGGAGTCACTCATTCTTCTGATTATCCCGTTTGGTTTTTCGGGAATGGGAAATTCTTAGAGGATGGGGAGAAGCGGATTATTCGGGAGTCTTTTATTGGACCTTTGGGTCGGTTTATTCAAGGGCCCGGGGAGTTTGGATGGGGTACTTCTGGGGCTCGGCAGGTTCGGACGTTGCAGGGGAGTGGCAGTGTGGCGATTCGAGAAGATGGAGGTTTTGCTGCGGGAGTGAGGGTTTGGCAGCGACTGCGAGATGTTGATACTGGGAGGATTGCTCGGCTGTAGAGCTTTTATTCTCTCTCGCTCTGTTATGGCTGTTATAGCTCTGCTTACAGCTTTAAGAGGGCTATTTCATTCGCCACAGCTTTCCCCGCAGTGTAGATCTATAAAGTACGTAGTAATCCTTGTGCGACTGCTTATAAGACCCCTCTTTTCTCTTTTCTCTTTTCTGTTCTCTCTTTCAAGTTCTCATGTAAGTATATTTCTCTTTGGAGGTTTAGGGCTAAATCCGATGTGAATCTCGGGAATGACGTCGTTGACTTTTGAGCTCATCATGACCTCCCTTTCTCTTCTCTCTTCTTCACTGATACCTTGAATTATCCAGAATATACAGAATATCCAAAACTTCAACTCCAATTCAACATGACTGACGACACCCGCCGCCACTGGCACGGAACCTCCGGCGACCGCCACGAGCACCACAACGTCTGGATGAACGGCGGCGCCAAAGGTCCCAGCCCTCGTGCTGCATGGGCCATGCCCGTGGGAACAGAGACAGCCAGAAGAGTATGTATCCAGTGTCTTGATCGAGATACTCTGCACAATATCCCCAACTTCTACATCAATTCACATCCATTGAATATCATTAAAACAACACTAATAATATACAGGATTCCAATACCTCCAACACCTCCAATACCTCAAACGCCTCCCCAGCCATGCCAACTCTGAACGAGCGTCGTCGCTCGAGCTCCGGGAGTGCAGCCGGTGGCATCTTTGCCAACCTGCACAGCCAGAAGCGGGACAATACAGATGCCGAGCACAACGCCCGACGCGCCAGCTGGAACGAGCAGAGTGCGAAGGGGGGTATGTTCTCTAAGTGGTGGGAGGGATACACCCGCGGCACTGGTAGCAAGTAGGCTGGGAGATTATGAATCATGCGCATCGAATTTGGAAAAAAAAACGAAATATTCGAAATCAGGGCCTTGTGTTTTCCATTGATATTGGTTTAGTTCTGGTATTTATGAATTTAATGAACCTTTCGGGTGCAGGATTGGATTTAAAATACTCTACACTCTATTCTCCTTGAAAAAGGAGAACGTAAAGCCCTCTGGATATCAGTCCATGATCTCAGTCTCAGCCCATAGTTGTCTCCCATCCCTTCTCGATCATCACATCAACCCAGTAACAATCATCTTCTCCAGCGTCCAGCCGTCTCCATACTTCATTCACCAATTGAAGGCAGACATTGATGGGTTTCGGTGGCAGGACATGGAGGTAGGAAGTGAGACGACCGAGAATGAATTTCCGGGTGCGGGAGACTTCAATTGCTTCCATGGAGATACTGGGCATGGAAGTTGGATTGGAAGGATTGTCCTCGCTTTCGGGTTGGACATCGGAATCTGAATTCAAAGGTGGGAGACGGAGTTCCGAGCAGGATGCTACGAGCAAAAACGGCTGAAGACAGCGGGTACGAGATTCCAATGGAATGGTCTTCAGACGGGAAAGGGTTGTCACGGCGAATTCGGTAAGCCAAGTATTGGCAAGTTTGTCGGGATTCGGATTGTCTTCAGGTTTGGTTCTCTCGCGAGTGTGATTTGTGTAAAGGCTATGTGTAGATGGCCGTGGGGATGGAGAAGGATTGGTGTTTGTGTGTCCTGCCGGGCTTGGGTCTCCAAACGCAGTTGGCAGGTTCATGCTGTCTAGATCGATGGGGAAGAACGGGTCTTGGGTTGTTGGTCCTGCACTCCCTGGGTATTGAGAAGTGCTAGACTCTGATCCAGGGAGGCGGTTATGAAGTAGATCTGGGAAGACACGGTATAGCTGCATGAGCCCAGTACATCGGTAGGCCTCTGCCATTGTGAGAAGATGCCAGACTGGAGTATCATCATCTCCTGGGCTGACAATCTCGGCCTCAGAGGGATGGGCCAGTGCTAGCAGGCGTTCTTCCAATTCCCGAGACTTGTCGATCGCTCTTTGAGCATTGGCGATATCATTTTGAGAGGTGAACTTCCTGGAGCGGATGCGTTTTCGCTCCCGGCGAATCAACTGGCCAACCTGGTGCACCGTGAACTGGGTGTCGCGTGCGATACCAGTCCATGGATGGGGGACTCTCTGTAGAACGAGAGACTCGCCCATCGATGAAGTAGATTGTGAGCTATTGGACAATAAGCCTTTGTCGTTATCTGCGACAAAGGAAAGTAACATTTCCCAATATATGAGAGCTTCTTCGAAGAACCGATAGTTATTACTGTCGCGTTGGGGGAGTCCAAACTCCGAGTTATTCGGCGAAGTTATGGTATTGAGCTGCTTTCGAAGAAGGTTGAAGAATGATATACCTAGGTCGGTTGGATCGTGCCAGCTTGCCGTCTGACCCAGCATCAGCAGTGCCAGTAAGGATTTGTCGTCTATTACTGTCTCGCGCGTGATAATGTCCACTGCTTCATCCCGCATCTTTCGACCCAGTGGTCCAAAGTGCGGAAACTCATTGACCAGCGTGGCTGCAGCCATGCTTTGCATGGTGCGGCACATGGCCAGCGAGGAACCCCAGAGACGGGAGACGGTGGTTCTGAATGGGTTCATCTGACTATCGTAGCTGGAGAACAATGCCGCTACTTCCTTGAAATAATACTCAATCAAGGTCCAAGAGGGATTATTCAACGATCGAGACATGGTCATGAAATCCCGCGGGGTGGACCGGCGGGATGCAGGCGGATAGCTTCGCACAATGGCTGATGGAGAGAAGTGTCGGTATGCAGGGTCACTTTCTTCCGGACCAATGAGTGACAAAAGGTGAGACAAGTCTGCTGCCGCCTCTCCTGAATGCCCAAAGTCATGAACAAAGTCCCTCGAAGGCGAAAACGATGCCGTTCCTGCCGGCATCGACGGCTCGCATAGATCCGTCAGTTCAGGCAAAGATGCATGACCAGGCAGATCCCATAGATCATCACAGAGGGTACTCGGTACATCTAAGCCCGATCCTGCCGGCGTATGCTGATTCGAGTGGAAGTTTGCCGGCAATGCATGGTCGATCTGCGGCTGAGCCGGAGCCGTTGAGGCCGAAGCCGCGGGGCTTGGGACTCTGGCCTCGGACGCCGCCGATGCCGTTGGACTCGCTTGCTCATGTCTAGTGACCCAGCGAAGTGACTGTGCATAGCCAGGACAATGGACTCCTAGCCGTGTACACCGGCTACAATGCGGTTTCTCTTCGCCGCATTTGACCTGTATTGGTATGAGATGATGTAGCTCATAGAGCGGACGATACTCACTCGTTTACTCTTGCACCTCGCACAGCCATTCCTGGATTTCTTGACACGGCGCATGGTGTGGACATGATGGGAGAAAGTCGAAATGCGGAGAAAAGAGCAATGCGGGGAGATAAGGGGATATTTTTGCCTCTTTGGGCGATTCTCCTCAGTCGACGACGACAGCGAATACAGACGAGACAGAGGCAAAGAAAGAGAAACAGATTCGACAAATGAACAGAAATGACAAGAAAGATAGGAAAAGACAGAACAGACAGAACAGACATTCTCCAGGGCTGATCTGGATGACTCAGCGATGAGCTCTGAGCTGCCGTTCGGTGACTTCACCTGGTGGACTAGACATGTTTCGTGTGAGTGGCTAAATGTCTCCAAAGTACAGCTCTAACATGACAATAGAGACTCTTTCAGTCAAGCCGAATCCTTAGGCCAGTGAGCCGGACTGGTTTGGTATCCCTGTCGGCCCGAACTCTGTCCATTGGAAGACCTGCATTGCGACACACAGTGCAGAGAACTCAACTTGGCATATTCCACTCAGCTCCCAAGAGAATGGCGAGTACCTCGGCGCTCAAGCAAGCGTTGGCTCCAACTCTTTTGGAGAATGTGCACAAGCTGTGGTTCGAACATCTCGGTGATGAAGAGTCCCTGGTTCTGCCCAAGGGAAGTGAAATGGGCAAGTGGTTCGCCAAGAATGAAGAGTTTGACCAGGCCTGTGTGTAAGTTGTCTAGAAAGATTTGCATTCATCGATCTGACAAGTTCAAACAGGACGCAGTTCCGACCTGCCTTGGAAACCATCATTAATTCGGAAGCCTCGGCTTCGGATATCCTGTCTGCAGTGAGCCCTTCCTCGCCCATGGACTGGCTTAGTGTGATTATCCTGCTGGATCAAATCTCCCGTAATTGCTATCGCGGTGACGAGTCCAAGGTGGTATTTGGACGGTTTGATCCATTGGCGGAAGAAATTGCCTTGCAGGCTTTCCAACAAGGGATCCCCACTCAACCCTCCACCAAGCATCGAATGGCCTATCGCATCTGGTTCCACATGCCTCTCATGCACTCAGAAAGTCTGGCTGTGCACGAACAAGCTGTCGAAGTGCAAGAAAGCATCGCCAGGGATATGAACGAGCTGCTGGCCAAGGACCCATCACGTTTGACAGACGAAGAAAGCAAATGCCACAGTGCTTTGCTGAAACAGCGAGATGTCGTTCAATCATTTCTCACGCAAAACCTCGACTTCGAAAAACGACACAAGGTGATCATCGAGCGGTTCGGGCGTTACCCTCACCGCAATCAGGCGCTGGGACGGAAGCCTACGCTGGAAGAGATTGAATATCTGACAAACGGTGGCGAGACATTCGGTTAGTCTGATATTATCCATCTATAGATGTATTTAGTTATAGTCTGTATATCATCGTCTAGCACTTGATTGCTAATCGACAAACTTATATAAGAGCTGTACCTGCTGTTTCCTCTTTCTTCCTTCCTTCTTCCCTCAACTTGACTTAAATCCTCAAAGTAGATAAAGTATCATTTTATTCTTATTCCCTTCCTCTGTATCTGCTCTGGCTCTTAGTATCTATATATGTGAATCCAAAGATATAAAAACAATATGAGGAATAAAGAAAGAAGAGAAGAATAGGAGTCGATTGTATTGTCCGTTGTTGCCTGAGGCCAACACCCCACCTTATATTCCGTTTCTCTTTCACGACTCTCTTGACTCTGTACTCTGTACTCTACGCAACTCAACCTGAATCATGGATCTCTCTGAATGGTCTGATATTACTCCAATCGAGCTGGACGATGGCGCCAGCTCTGCCATGCCGCTGGCCACCATCGCCTATCCGCCCGAGTACCTGGAGGCGACCGCGTATCTGCGCGCCGTCATGGCCGCCAATGAGATGTCCGAGCGGGCATTGAGCCTCACCAAGGAGGTCATTGCAATGAACCCAGCCCATTATACCGTATGGTGAGTGATTGAAAAGCCGAATTCTCAAAACACATATCTGACGTCAACAGGATCTACCGTGCAAAGATTCTATTTGCATTGGACAAAGACCTCAACGAGGAATTGAGCTGGCTAAACGATGTATCATTGAAATACCTCAAAAACTATCAAATCTGGTACAGAACCACTCACGATTCACCTTAAGGCCAAAATGAACAATTCCCAAATTAACACCATCCAGGCACCATCGCCAAGTGCTACTATCATCAAAAGCACATTTCCCAACCTTCCCACCCAAGGAAGCAGATTTCTTAATGGAGATGTTCGCCCAAGACTCCAAAAACTACCACGTCTGGACCTACCGCCACTGGCTAGTCCGCCACTTCAAACTCTGGGATCAACCCCGCGAGCTCGAAGACGTCGAAGCACTCCTCAAAGCCGACGTGCGCAACAACTCCGCCTGGAATCACAGGTACATGCTCCGCTTTGGACCGCGAGACCCCGCCCCCGACGCGGGGATGGTGAACGCAGGAGACATGACCACGGCACCGACCGATAAGGGCCGACTCCCACTTGTAGACGAGGACATGATTGATGGCGAGCTGAAGTTCACGCAGGAGGCTATTCTGCGGGCGCCGGAGAATCGGAGTCCGTGGTGGTATGCGCGGGGTGTGTTGAGGGCTGCGGGGAGGGGATTGGGGGAGTGGGAGGGGTTTGCTGGGGGTTTCGTGTCGGAGGGAGCCGTGAAGAGTTCTCATGCCGTGGAGTGGTTGGCTGATGTGTTTGCGGAGAACGGCGGTGCTGTGAATGCGGTTCAGATGTTGACTTTGCTGAAGGAGAAGTATGATCCTATTCGGAAGAATTATTGGGATTATCGGATTCGGAAGTTGGATCAGGTTGCATTGTGAATATGAGCACTTGTTCTAGGATAAAATATTTGATCTTTGGAGCATTGGATTATTTGCGTCTGAATCATATTTTTGGAAAACACTCGCTGTGTAATAAACTGTATGAACGATGCAAATGCGAAATACTCTATCAAGATGTAAAGAAAAGAAAAAAGAAGAAAACAACAAAAAGGGCTGCACATTAAACATAGTCGAAATAGAGGTATCGAAAAAAAGCAAAAGTTCATAATCAATAAATCATGCCCAACCTTCATCCAACATCTTCCGCCACTCAGAAGCCATATCAATAGTAACATAGCTTCCACCGCAGACGATGATAACAACCCTGCTATTAGGGTTAAGATCAGGGACAAGCTGCTTGAGCTTCGAGTTGAGCTTTCCATCGATCTCATCGATCTCAAGGTCGGTTTCATTATCAGTTGAGATGGACCGGTCATCCCCGTAACCTTCATCACGGTATGTGACAGCAGTATCATTGGAGTCTCTCTTTCGCTTCTTGATGCTCTGAGCTCCGGCAGCGCCCGATGCTGAGACGGCTGGAGCATCGCCGATCGCCGCCTCGACGCAGACACCGCAGGCCAGTTCGACGAGGAGACGCTCGTCGTTGGCGAGGCGGAGGACGCCGCGGGCGGCATCTGCGTCGGAGAGCACGGCGCTGTGGACCTGGATGCCGGGGGGTGGGGCGACTGCGTACTGGAAGGTTGTTTCCGAGACGCGGATGGCACCGAGGGAAGTGGCTTGGGATGTGATCTTGGGGAGGGAGACGAGGGATTTGTTGGCGATGGCAGCGGCCAGGGAATCGGTACCGGCCGTTTCGATGGCGAGAAGGTGGATGGGGTTAGGATGGGTGGAGGAGGTGGCCTGTTTCTTCTGTCGGCGCTTTTCGATGCCTTGGACCAGGCCGTTGAGGAGGCCGCCGCCGCCGACGCTGCAGATGATGGAGTCTAGGGGGAGGGCCCGGCTGCTGTAGGCCTTTTTGTCCTCTGAGGTAGTGGCGGGAGGGAGCTGAGTCTCCAGCTCGTCAATAATGGTTCCGTTTCCTTCCCAGATGGGTTGGTTGTCGAAGGGGTGAAGGGCAATCTTGACGACGTCTTCGTCGTCCCCGTTGCTGGTCTTCATAATGGTTTCCCGCATGTATTCTCCAGCCTCGGAGAAGGTCTCTCCATGACGAATGACGTCCGCAGCACCAGCAGCACGAATCTTGTCCAGCATCAAAGGCTTGGTGGCCATTGGGACCACAACGGTGCAAGGGTACCCCAGGGTCCGGGCAGCACAGACAGCGGCCAAGCCGGCGTTACCTCCGGATGAGGCGTAGAAGTGCACCCGGCGGCCGACATTGGCAGGGTTGCGAAGGTGAGAGAGGATCTGATTTCCCATTGCACGAGACTTGAAGGAACCACTGGGTTGGACATTCTCCAGCTTCAGGAAGATCCGACATCCTGCTGCCCTGGAGAGACAGGCAGACTCGACGAGGGGTGTTTCGATCCACGGTGTCTTCAGCTGCGGGATCTCGCAGGTTGAGATGTCGATGCTCCCCATTTTGATATGTGTTGAACAAATGGAAGAGAAAAGGGTATAGACTTGGGAGGATAAGGCCTCAAAAAGTATCAAGATCCCAAAATAGTATTGAGCAGTCGTTGCACGACAGTTGGGTATTGAACTTGAGACGGAGATGAGTAGAAGATAAAGCAGATCAAGCAAATCCCACGCAATCCCTTTGAACTATTGAAACATGTTTTGATATATAAGATGTACAAGTAGGGCAAATGTTTCCCGGCGGAAAAGTCAAGTTTCCCGAATTTGATAGGACTGGAGACCGCGAACCATGGCTCTGGCCCAGACTTTCCCGATAACCTTGAACGGCCCACGCCAATCACAGTGGAGAATGACATACTTCCCCCAATGTACTCCGTACTGCAGTGGAAACTGAGTGTCTCAGCTTAACAGTGGAGGAGCAAAAGGAGAATAAAAAAAAAGAATTAATCAGCCTCTTCTTGGAGAAATGATGCAAACTGTTATTCAGATGCTCCATTTCATCCAGTGTCATTGGCCCCATGTCAATTCTTGTTATCAAATCGTTCCCAAAAAAGGGCGCATTATTCCTCTGTGAGTAAAGGTGGGAAAAGGATTCCTCTCTGAACACCTTCACCGTAATCTGCATCCGAACCGTATGCCGTGGCCGCGAATGCCCGCTTGGAGGGGTCCGAGGTGTCGACACGGAGCAGGGCCAGCAAGTCATGAGACTTACCGGGCATGAACGGCTGTAGGAGAATGCCGGCGATCCGTAACGATTCCGCCACGTTGTAAAGCACCCGTTGGGGGTCGGGACTTCTCCACGGTTCCGTAGCATGGAAGTACTTGTTGGCCTAGAAGGGTTAATGTCGAGAAGCCGTGCGGGGACCATCCAATCTCACCTGCTCAATTATGCTCATAGTTTCCTGCAGCGCGGCACGGGGATTGAGGTTCTCCATGAGCTCCGCAACCTTGGTGGGCACCTCCTTCAACAGGGTCTGGTGTTCAAGGTCCTCAGGGGTGGCAGCTGGAAGCTTATCGGACTGGGCATCCATGATGTACGAGCGCAAATTGCCACGCGCGCACCCAATGGTGCGCTGTGCCAGGTTTCCAATACCGTGCTGCAGTAACTTCTTGTAATCCCGAATGATGAACGAATTATCGAAATCCGCATCATCCGAAAGACCGCCCCGGTAGGCTAAGAAGAAACGCATGCCATCCACTCCGAATCGCTCAATGGCAAAGAATGGATTCACAACATTTCCCGTGGATTTGGACATCTTCTCGCGGTTCATCGTCCAGTGTCCGTGCACTAAGACGTTCCGGGGCAAGGGGAGGTCCAATGCCATCAAGAAGGCCGGCCAATAAACGCAATGGAATCTGAACAATTAACACTGGCCCCAGGCCGGGAGAAGTCGTAAACGTACCGAACGATATCTTTGCCGACAATGTGCAAGTCTGCAGGCCATGCAGAGGTCGCTTGCTTTCCGGGTGGGAACGGATATCCAGCTTTGGTCAAATAATTCACCAGTGCATCTAGCCACACATAGATCGTCTGCGATTCATCGCCGGGCACCGGAATACCCCAAGTGAGACGATCCACGGGTCTAGAGATCGACAGATCCTGCAAGCCCGTCGTAACGGAGTTGATTACGGAAGCTGTGTAGGTGGTAGGGGTGATGAAGGGGTCCTCTCTCTTATACAGCTCAAGCAACCGGTCTTTGAAAGCTGAGAGACGGAAGTGGTAGTTGGTTTCAGAGGACCACTCAACCTCTTTTCCTGTCTCTATTGAAACCTATGGTTCGGTGAGCTTTGTGTGTGCTGGGCTGCTAGGCTGCTGGGTTGGAGCTACTGACCATACGTTTCCGGCCTGTGGTCGGGTCCAGGGAGTTCTGCACTTGTGTCTGTGGGTAGAATGTCTCATCGCTGACTGAGTACCAGCCTTCGTGCTTTGAAGTGTAGATGTATCCCCGATGTTGCAACATTTCCTGCTGTTTGTTAGGGACGCGAGATCATGACGAGTTGCGGCCGCATACCCAGAAATATTGAACAGCTTCCCGATGCGCCGGGTCGGTGGTTCTGATGAAATGGTCATTGTCGAGGTTCGCAGCCTTTGCTAGCGCCTATACCAATTGAATCCGGTCAGCCATGCGACTCTGTGGAGGATCAGGGCTTCGTACCTCAAAGGTTCGGCAGTTCATGTCGCAAAACGCCTGTGTGTCCATGCCCGCCTGGGCGGCAGCTTGCTGAATCTAGAGATCATGTCAGGGACATTCCCCTATGTATAATTGAGTCAGGTCGCACCTTCATTCCATGCTCGTCGGTTCCTGTTAATAGTTGAGCATCTGTGTTCCCGAGCACGACCTGCCAGCGCTTCATGATATCGGCGATGACCATAGTGTATAAGTGACCGACGTGGGGCGCTAGAATGAGAGCAACAGTTAGCGACCAATTTCGCAACTGCGAAGAAGCCAGACACGTACCTGCATTGACGTAGAAGATGGGCGTCGTCACATAGTAGGGCTTCTGGGACTTTTGCGGCGTCGTCGCAACTCCGCGCCGGAGGATCGACCATCCATTGCAGGACGAACAGGTCCACGGACGCCTGGGACTCAAGAGCTGAGTCGCCCGGGTCAGCGAGCGCAGTGATGTTCTTGCAGCCATTGCTGAGAAGAAGTGAGGAAGAGCGTTGCATGTTATTCCGCGCGGCGATCTCGGGTGGTCCAAGCTTCTCCGCAAGTCTCGGCCTTTTTCTCTTTGATTGTTCCTGCGTTGTCTACTTGACGTTTGATCTCTCTCTCTCTCTCTCTCTCTCTCTCTCTCTCTCTCTCAATACTTACAACTTACAACTTTGCATTCCACATACCGCTTACCACATACCACAATGGCCCCCGCAACTGAAGATACATTGACCAAAGTGTCTACCGAAGGTAAGTCGCAGGAATATCCATGCAATAAGATCTGATCGCAATACTGACTCAACCTTGCGCAGCTGCCACTGAGTTTGTTCAGACCTTCTACCAGGCTTTGAGAGCCAACCGCGAATCCATCGGCTCCTACTACGACGCCAATCCGCAAACCATCATCTTCAATGGAAACCCTGTGAGCGACGGCGCGGCCGTACAAGACATCTTCGTCAACCAGATGCCCCCGGCAAACTTCGAGATCCAATCATACGACTGCCAGATTGTCAACCCAGCATACCCCACCACTCTGCCCGGCGGCGGATTGAAGCCCACCTCCGAGATGGGAGTCAAGGACATGTCCATCCTCATCCTGGTCAGCGGAGCTGTGCGCTACGGAGAAAACCGCGAGCAGCCGCAGCGCGGATTCAGCGAGACTTTCGTGTTGACCCCCAACCCATCTGCCGAGCGCGTGCGAGGCCGCAAAGATTTCTTGATCCAAAGCCAGAACTTCCGCCTCGTGGTTTGAACCCAACGCATATCACTCGACACAATTACCCACGAATGAACGGACTATTATTTTCACGTCACATGTTTCACGGACTCAACGAACTTTGAATACCCAATAGATTCTGGTCAAAACATACAATATGCGCAATATGGGCCACTTGGTATTAAATCGGGGAATCAAACGCCAGGAACGAAAAGGAATCATGAATGCCCCTTGTCAGAGCTCAAGCTGCGGCTGATGTGCGCGGTATGCGCAGGTTGGCCTTGACTCTCTCGAGGAGTTCCTCTCGCGTCGCCCTCTCGTTCGGTAGCAGTCCTCTCTGGGAACCCTCGTCAGTGGGACCTTTGGCAGATTGTGCCGGATTCAAACATACCGCTCGAAGCCATCTTGTTATTTCATCCATTGTCCAATCGTCCGGGTCTGATTATCATTAGTTCCAATGTTGATCTCATTCACTCCTGTTACATACTGCCAGTGGGATCCGCTTGGGCAGGCAGAACATCGCTCCCCCAGATGCTAAACGCTGCCACGGCAGTGACCATTCCTGCGAATCCTGTTTGAGGTTAGATTTCTGTAAATGATTATGTCAAAGTATCGATGTACCCAGGAAAAGATTCTAGAGTTCTGTCAGTAAATACATCTCTGGTAGTCTGTATCCTTCATACCTTGGAGTTCAATGCTCGGTCTAGGGGGGTTGGCATTGTGACGTAATGGGAGATTTCAATGTTGCGAAAGGGAATTGAAGCAGAGAAAGTGAAGAGAAAGTGAGTCAAAGCAGAAGTATATGTAATGTGTTGATCACATAGAAGAGGGAAGGTTGAAGCCAGATATCCCCTTCCAATGCACCGCCTCCGCGGCTGCCTTAACTATAGACTCGCAACTACCCTTCTATGATGTTCCTTCTATGTAGTAAAGTAGTCTCCTATACAACTCTACACTCGTTTCCAATATCCCTACACGTATTCATAGTCTTTGGTCTTCTGCCATGGAGGCCATCATCTTCCTATCCTCAGTGACGTTTGTGATTGCCATTGGGAGTGCAATCGTCCAGGGGTAGGTTGGTCTGGCCTTGGCCCAGGGAAGACTGACTGATCGTGCAGGGTGACCTTTTGGAGACGCTATCGAGTTCGCCTGCACGTTACAAACAAAGCATCTCTCCCCAGCGTGGACTTGGAGGCAGTAGACCCTCCAATGCTTCCACCCCCACCGCGTCTGTACCATTCTCGTCTGGGAAGTCGCAGTTCCCGAGTGTACCCCGAGCGACATTTTGGAACCTCACGGCCAGTATCTGACTACCGTTGGGGACCATATCGCATTGTGGAGGAACCAGAGAGCGTGACAGTGGCTCATCACCCGCCGCCTCTCCACTCCTCACTGCCTGCCCATTTTCTGCCCACTGCCCCCGCCTCCATGCCTGAGGCCACACCCCCACATGACTAAGAGGGCTTTTGCAGCTCCCAGCCCTAACGTGATCCCACGAAAATTCTCCACCTTAGCAGAGTCGACAGTGAGCTTTCCTTCCTTGCACATCAACCCGCAAAAACCGTCATCATGCCTTCCGAAGTCTCCGATATCAAGCAGTTCATTGAGATCTGCCGCCGCAAGGACGCCTCCTGTACGTTACGATTATTGCCCGGCGGTCCTCCACATGCTGACTGTTTATTTAGCTGCCGGTATCAAGAAGAACCGCAAGACCCAGCAGACCAAGTTCAAGGTCCGCTGCTCCACCAACCTCTACACCCTTGTCCTCAAGGACTCCGACAAGGCCGACAAGCTCAAGCAGTCTCTCCCCCCTGGTACGTTCCGATCGCATACCGTCTGAGTGAAAGAGTCGGGCAAAGAAGAAGAGGAAAAACAACCGGATTCTACTCGGGATGACATCAGATTATGCGCTGGACCCCTGCTGACTCTATTCTCCTGTACAGCCCTCAAGGTCGTCGACGTCTCCAAGGGCACCAAGAAGTCCAACTAAATTCGGTGACAATGGAATGAATGGAGGATCGGAGTGCGGCGTGATTCGTTGATGCATGACCAACTGTTGGAGGAAGACAGGGCCCATGGCGTTGTCCCTCTGCGAGCCGACACGGGGATTTCTCCGTGGCGTGGAACATGACTTGTGCGCCGGGGTTATCGTTGCGTCCTTGAAGCCGGCTGCTATTCTTCACCGGTCAGACGACTCGCATTTTCTGGACACACTCGCGGAACGCTTTTGTCGGAGCTTCCAGTCCCTACAGACCAATGAAAAAAACAGTTGAAATCCCATTAGGTTCTCGCAATCCGCCGAGACTTTCCAATCCATTATTTGTATCTTGGAATCATTCTTGGATCCCGTCTCTGAAGTAGACTGGGTAGATTTGGGCTGTAGCTGGGAAATTCGTCCAGGTCAACCCTGGAGATCGTTACGGCCCTCGCCACTGGCCGGTTTGCCCCCCAGGCCTGAAATGGCGCTCATCGGTTTATCCAATATGATACGGTCAAAGGCTCCGAGGTCACATTGGTACATAGAAGTGCTTACATGGCTTTCTTTGGCTTCGCTGACTTCGTTTCTATGTCTTCGTCTTTGTCCAAGACTACAATGCATAGTTGAGACACAAGCCCATTATTCGAAACAAAGAACTCAAGATCGGCATGCGCACTGGTTCAAAGAAACGCCAGTGTAGAGTGAAGTATAAAACTCCTCGAAACTTGGCACAGAAGCCTCACAGACTGACACAGAACTTGGTCCTCACTTACGTTTAAACCGCAAGTAGATATGTGCAATCCTAGTCCCCTTGGCAACCTGGGAGTATGTTCTACCGAACTCCAATTCAAGATCCTGGACGAGATCCTCTGGTCCACTCCTGTCATGACCCACGAAGGCTTCTGCGCCATCACTAAGCTCCTACAGACCAATCAAGCAATGGAACAAGTCGTCCGGGCCTGGCTGATGGGCCGCAAAGTCCGTGGGTATATTAACGGCTGTCTGAAAGACCAATGGTGCAGTCATCCCAGCTACCCACTTTCTGAATCCCTGATCTGGCAGATGCTGGTGCACAAGGAGCCATTTTGTGCCAGGAACGACCTCATCACAGGCATTATCCGGGATGATTGTCTGGACTGCTACAATTTGGTGCGTGATCTCATGCCTGAGGATGACAGATTCTCGGATAATCTTCTTGCTTGTCTCAATGAACAGGGGTGGTCGTTCTGGAGTCTGGCTGTTCATGCTAGGGCCTGGACGGTACTTTCTTGTCATCAGCTTCCGCATTGCTCTCCTAAGGGCGATGAGCACTAACAGTCATTGATATTTGCTGAAGTCGACTATTGGCTAGATGTTATAGATACTATTGTTGATACCCAATATACTATATCACTTAATATGGCGTCCTGATGTGATGGAACTAATAATGCAACCCATGTTCAATCATACCAAATGCATACCTAAGTATCCAGCATTTCACTTCTATAGACCTTAAAATCACCAAGACCGTAGATCATTACTTGTCAGGTCACGGCCAGCCCTTCCACTCCGTCCTCTCCGCATTCTTGGCGTGTTGCATATTCCCTTGGCATCAAAAGGAAATTGAAATGCAATTGAAACGAAATTGAAAGGACTAAGGGCTGTAAGAGTTCCGACGGCCCGCTACCCCGGATCACCATAGATTTCTATTTTGGGCTGTAGAACCCTTTCTGTACATATTCCAGGCTGGCCTCAACCCCTTTCTGTGTTTGTAGTTGAATCAGAATCTATTTGATCTGATCTGAATGTTGCATTTTCGGACAAAGAGGACTGATAAACAGCGAGACTTCGTTGCATATTATGATACATCACGAAGATGAAACATATGGGCTGATTATCAAGCTGGAGGTCTTAGTCTGAAATGACCATTTCCACTGGCAGGACTAATGCATGCCTATAATACCCAGGATATCCGTATTCCCACACGCCGTGGCTCAAATGTATAGAGTAGTCCTCAGATGCCAATAAAGCAGCCTTATACATCCACTGTCACAGCCAAGGGAGTCTGTTTGAAGCTATCCCGCCCTGAGAACGGACTCTCCAGGTGCACTTAGATCACGGACCACAGAGCTACTGGCTGGATAGACTCAGACTACAACATATAAACCCTTTGCCATTTCCAAGTTTCGCCCGCTACCTGCAGACAGACTTCATATTCAATCAAAGCCATACAGACTCTGAACACCATGCCCAAGCTCTCCACTGCCATTGTTCTCGCCTCTGCTTCCCTCGTTGCTGGCCATGGCTATGTCTCCAGTATTGTGGCCAATGGCAAGAAGTAAGCTCATGATAACCACTGCTCCAGATAAAATGCTAACTTGAGACCAGCTACACCGGTTATATTGTCGACCGGTACCCATACATGTCCGACCCTCCCCAGAGCGTCGGCTGGGCCACCACAGCCACCGACCTTGGCTACGAAGACGGCACTGAATATCAGGCGCCGAACATCATTTGTCACCGGAATGGTGTCAATGCAGCGCTGAGTGCTCCCGTCACTGCAGGCTCTACCATCGACCTCCAGTGGACGCCCTGGCCCGAGTCGCACCATGGCCCGGTAATCACCTACCTCGCTGCTTGTGATGGTGATTGCAGCACAGTCGATAAAGAGAAGCTGGAGTTCTTCAAAATTGAAGAAAAAGGGCTGATCGACGGTTCCGTTGTCCCTGGTAAGTGGGCAGCAGATGAACTGATTGCTGCAGGACATCGGTGGTCAGTGAAGATTCCCTCGACCATCGCAGCGGGCAACTATGTGATGCGCCATGAGATTATTGCTCTTCACTCCTCCGGGCAATTGAATGGCGCTCAGAATTACCCCCAGTGCTTCAATCTCCAGGTTACCGGGGGTGGAAGTGATATTCCTGCTGGCACTTTGGGCCAGTCGTTGTATAAGAACACCGATGCAGGCATCTTGTTCAACATCTATACTAGTCTGTCCAGCTATCCCATTCCAGGACCAGCCTTGTACTCTTGAGATTGTTAGCTGTTCTATTGTCTGATTTGAACCTACAGAAGTACAGAAGTACATATTTCTACATCTACTCCGTCCGTTCATAAGGCAGTGCCATAAACCCCTTCACACCAGCTCTCTCCAAAGCCCCATCCACACCCCCAAGACTCAAATCCCTGCGCCGCAATTCAAATTCCCCAAAGAAATTCGGCTCCTCCGCACACTTCTCAAAGCCCGTAGACTCAAACAAGGCCAAACTCTTCCCATTCCCCGACCCAATCTTAACACTCAAACACTCAAATTCCAAATCCGCATCCACCCCGGACCTCAACTTCCTCACCGTCTCAACATCCACACTCCCACCCGCGACAAACTCCTCCAAAATCGACCCCTGTCGCTCAACAATATACCGCATAAACATAAGCAGCGCAGCTCTCCCAAACCCCCTCCGCTGATTCACCTTCTCGGCAATCATGAGCTCCACCTCCCCGACAATCTGCGGGGGGCTGTCACCCTCGTCACCATCGTCAATCCGCAAAAAGAGATTGATATCCCCCACCATGTTGGAGGGGGAGTCACTTTCTGCCTGTAATTTGCGCTGGCTGGGGATATCGCCTTCATCACCAGTGGTGATTGCGCGACACACGATGAAAGTCAATTTATCGGCGTCTTGGCGCCAGCTGCGTTGCATGGAATATTCTTCTTCTATGGTTAATGGCTCTGAGGCTGTGGCTTCCTGGATATCCTGTTGATCTGTTAGGATTATTCTAAAATTCTCCAGTTTCGAAGATGATGGATTGCACTTACTGGGTCTTTCATCCATTCGTGGTATCGGGGGACATGCCATGATGAGTAGGGGACTAAGAGGGCTGCTGAGGAAGAGAGGGCTGTTGGAGATTAGCATTGTCTTTGGATGATGGACTAGATGCATACCGATGTTGGCATTCAGCAGCATTTTGAATACAGGAGCTGGATTGGTGTGATATATACAAACGGGAAGAAGTGGGATGGATTTCTTCGTGGGTCTTGGCATCCGACTTTATACTCCATTTAGTACAGTAATGAGGGACTTCTATACTCTTCACTCCATTTTCATCTATATGCCTAAATCTGCCATTGAAGCTGGAAATGAACTAATTTCGAGGCAGAATACTTAAAGCCGAGTGCCTGACTTCAGAATCTGGTTTCTCGTTCTTCGGTTTCGTATTTTGAATGTTGCATTGTTTTTCAAGATATCTGCAGTCTGAAAGAATACATCGCAAGTAATACTTAAGTACCCCTCTGGGAGATTCCTTTATAACGAAGAATTACGCCTTTGTGAACATGTACCATTTGATGTTGAATACATCATCAAATGTACATAATACTTGAAGGATGAAGAATTGGAGAACGAGGACATTCTAAAAACAACGAAGACCTGGTGATTCTAAACTTGTACTGAAGAGAGATGGGCAAATCCATCTAGGATTCCATACTTCAAGTTTTACTGAAGTAGTCCATCTCAAATCACCGGCGTGTGTGAATTTTACTCTGTACTACAATCAAAATGCAAAGGCCAGACATTGAGTGTATACACTCTATACCCCAAGGTAATTAATATTCTTTTGGTCTATTCATTTTTGTTCTTCTTGTCCTTTGAAAACCTCAAACCGAACCACTTCAACCTCCAATGTCTCAGTGTCCACCAGAATCAACTGTCCCGTTTCATTGAACTTCGGGAGAGCCAGAACCCGGACACCAGGGACATCAGACCCATCGGCGCCAGTCATGTCAGTATCACCGTCCAGACGGAGAGGAACATCGCCTTCAATGGTAGCAGTCTTGAACTCAGGCTGGTTACCAGCGAAGAAGATATGCGGACAGGACTCCAGGATATAAGGATCGTCGGATTGATATGGGTAAGACCCTGGAAAAACGGATTAGTCAATGTTCCAGTGTTAAAGATCAGCAAGTTAAACATACAAATCGTGTCCGGCGCAGTGGGAACACCGCAGCGCCAGCGGAGCATAGCTTCCATAACGCGGATTCGGGCGTCGGAACCAATGCTACCGTCGGGACTGCTTTCACTGCTTTCAAGAGTCATGTATCGGAGGACATCGTCGACATTCTGACCACTGCATCCCCATACTCTCCATCCCTCGATATCGCCATCCCAGGGATTCGTTACGCTGTCGAACCAACCTGCCTCGGGTTTGTCGTCACCTCGAGGCGGGGGCGCCGAGTATGCTCGGGACTGGGGGAACATGGCGCGGTGAATGCCCTGCTGGGGGAGGGAGAAATTGGCAGGGTCCTTCTCACCCGGCATCAACGTGACTGGGATGCTGGGCAAGATCTCGGCAAGGAAATTATCAAGTTGAGTGATGGGGGAGGCGTTATACGCAGAGGCATCATAACCATACTTTTTCGGCTGAGGCTTTCCATCAGCTGTAGCATCTGTAGTGACGCTAGCGCCTAGGGAATTGCCTGCAATGATCAAACGGGTGATTTTGGAGGAACTGGTGGGAGATCCATTCTCCGTTTCTGAGAACCCAGTATATCCAAGGAGATAATCGGTCAACAGTTCCAAAGCAAGTGTATCGCCGGACGTCCCTGTAATCCCAAGACCACTGACAAAGGCGATCTTGCCATGTGCCTTGCCAGTGTCTGGTCCGTTCTCGGGTGCTTTGCCTTCCCAGCGCTGCGACTGAGGAGGCAAGTCTGGCAATTTGATATCAATGACCTCGAAGTCACCATTGGCATCTTCAGTTCCCAATGCAGCGACAATCGCTCCTGTAGCTAGTTGTGTCGATCGCAAGAAGTTTCCAGTCAGTCGTAAGCGACCCGACTCATCTTCCATCATGATCTGGGTTGCCTCCGGGTTGGAAGGGTCGGTGTAAGTGCGGCGCGGAACGGGTGCTAATGTGAAATTCTATGGACATGTTAGCATGCATCGCATGGCGTTGTCCGAAACCACGACACTGACCTCTTTGGTAAGATCCTCCAAAATGTTCGGCTTCATGGGCAGTTCCATGTACACGGTGCCGGCGACCCAGCACAGTTCGCCTTGTCGGACATCAAGGACTCGATCCACACGTCGTACCTTCTCTCCGGCAATCTAGATCACGTATAGGTTAGAGCGAGGTTCTTGGGCGTTTTTGGAGGTGGACCAGAGCCTTACGACTAATCCCTCCCACGCATCCCTGGCCACTTGTTCCACACTGGGCTTCAGTTTCGCCAATCGCAAGAAGTACATATCGCCATATTGCTGCTGGTAGTGCCGTGCTGCCCCGGCGGGTAGATGATATGTCAGGCGAGGGTTGTAATAGGACGGTGTCCGGTAGACTGGTTCTTCCTCCTGGTCGCTGTCACCTTGTTAGTTGTGAAACACGGGAATATAGAGTGAGACCCACGTTGGAGGGCATAGGAAGCCATAGTGGTGAGTATCTGGCGCCATCATGGTTGGCGCAAGATTGTGGTGTGGTGTGAAAGGGAGATTCGACGCGCTCACGCGTCAGCGCGTTCAATTACATTCCCACTTCGGGTTGCCCATTTTGCTGCCATTTTGCTGCCATTTTGCTGCCATTTTGCTGCCATTTTGCTGCCATTGAATTGAGATAATTTACTATTAGAGATTACTTTAGTAGCTGGATTAATTGCATTTCAAGGTTATTCCAATATTAATTGTTTAATTGAAACTATTACTGCGAGAAGTAAAACAGCTCGAGTAATTAAGTAGTATGCAGATGGATTTTATAAGAGTCCAGTGTACTGAAGTAGTCAAGCAGTTAAGCAGTTAAGCAGTTAACAATATAGCTCAAGCTGCTCTGTATACTTTGCCCTTAGACTTAAGTATATTTATGAAAATATGCAAATTCACAAATCACAAAGTACCTCGGTCCGGGCTGATTCCCCGCATTCTTCGATCTATAGCCCTGACTCTATAAATTACATCTCTATAAATTACATCTATGCAGACTTACGCTTTTCTAAAGTTGTCCACGCCATGTCTCTCCAAACACCACTATGTAAACTCCTCAAGATCCAACACCCCATCCTGCTAGCCGGCATGGCGCGTGCATCCAGCGCCCCCTTAGCGGCAGCAGTCTCCAATGCCGGCGGGCTGGGCACAATAGGCGGACTAGGCTACACTCCAGACCAGCTATCTGAGATGCTCACCGAGCTCAAGTCTCTACTCCGAGACCCATCCCTGCCATTCGGGGTAGATCTGGCCCTCCCCCAGGTCGGGGGATCAGCCCGCGCCACAAACCACGACTACACACACGGCCATCTGGACGAATTGATTGAAGTGACAATCTCCCACGGCGCAAGCCTCTTCGTTTCGGCAGTGGGTATTCCACCCGCCAAGACCATCAAGCGGCTCCACGAAGCTGGCATCCTGATTATGAACATGGTCGGGGCACCCAAGCATGCCGAAAAGGCCTTCAAGGCCGGTGTGGACATTGTCTGTGCCCAGGGCGGCGAGGGCGGCGGCCATACTGGGGATGTGCCATTCTCGGTGCTCATCCCGGCAGTGGTGGATGTGGCGCGGCGATACACGAGTCCATTGACCGGACAGCCGGCACTGGTTGTTGCTGCTGGGGGTGTGAATGACGGACGCAGTTTGGCAGCCTCGTTGATGCTGGGAGCGGCGGGGGTGTGGGTGGGCACGCGCTTTGTGGCTTCGGAGGAAAGCGGTGCCAGTCGTCTGCACAAGGAGGCTGTGGTTGGAGCGCAGTATGGTGAGACCAAGAGGACGCTCGTTGTCTCGGGGCGGCCACTGCGGATGCTGCCAAATGATTACATTAAGGAGTGGGAAGGACGACCGGCTGATATTGCGGCATTGACGTCCAAGGGTGTTGTTCCTATGATGGATGATCTGGAGAATGAGAAAGACATTGATATGCCTTTCCTCATGGGGGATGTTTCTGCCAGTGTGACGGCGATTAAACCGGCTAGGGTCATTGTGAAAGAGATGGTGGACCAGGCAGTTGATGTGCTGAGAGTTGGAAACTCATATATCCAAGGGAGTAAATTATAGATCTCAGACCTCTTGTCTAAGGTCATTGTGAACGATAGTCGGTAGAAGGGGACTACAAGGTTATTAAGCCCAAATAACATTTCCAAATTGTACTTGAACAAGGTGTCTGCAAGTATAATAGACCAACATATAGAACAGACCAATGCCAATATCGCCTAAATGTCAAGATCTTCATGTGTGGCATGTGCTGTCATTGATACTATGGCATGTACTGGTACAAAAACAACCCAAAATCGGAGAGACAATCACTCTAGACCAAAGAATGAAAGCCTTCTACATTGCATCGAATATAAACATAGCTTCGTATTGGCAAAGGGCAAAAAAGCTCCTAGCACAGTACTAAGTCCACATTGCCATCAATGCCAAGTCCAGTCAAAATCGACAATAGATTGGACAAATATCCGCAAGAAATCAGTTTAGTGACAGCCATTTAACACCGCGGCGTTGCCATTGGCGCGGGCTTCCAGTAGATTGGGTGGCGGAGTTGGCCCGAAGACGGGCTTCTCTGAGGGCTGATTGACGCGGAGCAGAGGGGGTTCGGGCTCGTCCTCTTCGCTAATACCGTCTTCGTCATCCTCATAATCATCATCGTACTCACTTTCAGTGCCTTCGTCATCCCCTTCCAAATGGTCATCGCCTTCCGCTAGAGCAAGGCCCTCGCCTCGGCCCTGGGCCTGCATGCGTCGGCAGAGAGCTTCCAAATGGTGGCACTTGCGACGCCATCTTTCTAGCTCTTCGTGGTTCCGAGTTCGTTCCTCTGCCATTTCCAGGATGTTCCGATTAGTCTGCTCATGCTTTCGATTCAGCGTATGGTTTTCCTTCTCCAGGCGTTTGGTCTTCTTTGACATTTCTTCCATTTCTTTGCGGAACGTCAGGAAAAGGTCGTTGCTGTTATTCAAAGTATCCTCAACCTGGGCGGTGTTAGCATGGGAAATGCCATTGAAGGATCCACGGGGACTATGGGAGCCTCGGAGTGGCTGGAAGAGTACCTGTTTGAACTTTTCCACGTAGATGTTGAGTTGACTGCGCAACTCGGCTTCCGTATGGGTGAAAGTGGAAACTTGTGAAGTGAGAGCCCGGCAACGGTTCGACTCAACCTCCCCAGCACGACGCTGGTCTTCGAGCCTAGAGGCAAGGCTTTGTATATCCGAATCCTTGTTGCGGAGAAGTGATCGGTACTGCGAGTCTCGCGAATCGAACTGGTCGCTAACGGTCTTCAGCTTGACACGGAATCTGTCATGAAATTAGTATATTGATATGGTGCCTTGTTCCGCATTATTTCGGGATCGTACGCTTCATCCATATCCACATCCACCTTCTCACTGCGCGGGTTGCCCTTAGCAGCCATGACGTCTTGAATGTCATAAAGCAGCGAATCCAGGCGTTCGTTGACAATCAATCGTGCCTTCTTTTCGGTATCCTCCAATTTTTTATTTTCATCCTGGCGTGCAGTTTTAGCGGACATGTCCTCCAAATCGCGAAGCGCATCCCTGTCGCAATGGTGCGGCGCAGAGTGATCGAACCAACCTTTACTTTCTTGTTTTCCTTGGTGAGTTCCCGACACAGCTTTTCCAGCTTATCTTTCATAGTGACTGTCTTGCTCAGATCGGACTTGCCCTTGTCCTGATCCTTCTGTAGTTGATCGGCCCGCTTCTTGCTTTTGGAGTAATCCCGGTCCAACTTTTTCATATCTGCCAACAGTTCGGTGTATTTCTTATGGACGGTTTCCAGGCGGGTCATTGGCGACTCGATGTTGTTCAGCAGCTGGTTGAGATCCCGAGTGGCTTTCTTGACCTCGCGCTCTGTACATCAAAACTCCAGATTAGCGATCCCGATAGCTAAGACTAACCGCAAGGTGCCGGGCCCCAGCCAACTCAAAAACAATGACATGAAACCGCAGAATGCAAAGGGAGTCACGCACCAATCTCCGCCTCTTGGTCTTTCTCGCCGGCGGCATCTTGTTCCAACTGAGAGATCTTGGCAGCGAGTAACTTGGAAGTCTCATTTGGATCGGCGGTCTTCTTCCCCTTGTTCTTTTTTGCCATCGCGGTTGACGACATAATGTTCGGGGATTGAGTTTCAAAAATTTGCGCACAACTAGGTGGGATGAGGGTTGGCAGTAGGCGGATCAATCACACGGGTGAGAGATCCCAGAGACACGGCCGACAGATGAGATCAGAGGCTCTGGGATGTAAGTGCTTGTCTCGGGTCTGAGAAGGACTTCGGAGCAGAACTTCGACGAGGGGAGACTGTCTTAGTCATCGGTTCCAGAAAGGGCAATAGTGCACTTTGGAAGAAGTATGAAGTGTGTAAGTATGAGAGTAGGTAAATAAATGTAAAAGTATTGAAAAGAAGTAAATAGAAAGAGAGAACACAAGGAGATCCACGGGTCTAAGAACTTGGGATATACCTATGTACTCAAGTACATTACCCCAAGGCCCTGGAGGTCCCCGGGACATTTGACGCGGGCTTTATAATGAGTCAGCAATAATCGGGCCTTCTTCCGCTCCGACATCTTGTTCTCTCCAACACATCAACATGTTGCGCTCATCATTGCGCCTCGGCTCGCGGCCTAATTTAAGGCCTTTATCTTCATTGAAGACAAACCTCTCACGAAACTCCTTGAGAGCAGCTTCAACTGTCACAGACTTGGACAACTTTCCCCGAGTGGGAGAGAAGCTACATGGATTTACGCTCCATGAAAAGAAGCATGTCCCCGAGCTGCACTTGACAGCGGTCTGGATGAAACATGACAAGACCGACGCAGACTACATGCATGTCGCCCGAGACGATAAGAACAATGTATTTGGAATCGGGTTCAAGACCAATCCCCCGGATGCTACGGGTGTGCCGCACATTCTCGAGCATACGACATTATGTGGCAGTGAAAAGTGAGCAAAACAAGCTCCGTCTATACTGTCTATGCTGTAACGTGTTACTGACTGGCTGAAGATTCCCCATTCGAGACCCGTTCTTCAAGATGCTTCCGCGCTCCCTGTCGAATTTCATGAATGCTTTCACGGCCTCCGATCATACGACCTACCCCTTTGCCACGACCAATCAGCAGGATTTTTCCAACCTCCTATCAGTCTACCTCGACGCCACATTGCACCCACTCCTGAAGGAATCAGACTTCCGACAAGAAGGATGGCGCTTGGGACCCGAGGACCCGCGCGCGGCGCAACCGGTGGAAGGACAGCCTGAGAAGCAGCTTTCTTTGGAAGATATTGTATTCAAGGGAGTTGTGTACAATGAGATGAAGGGCCAGATCTCGGATGCCAACTACCTCTACTATATCCGATTCAAGGAGAGCATTTTCCCTTCATTGAACAACTCAGGCGGAGACCCTGAATACATCACCGACCTCACTCACAAGCAGTTGACCGATTTCTCCAAGCGCAACTACCACCCAAGCAACTCCAAAATTCTTACCTATGGTGATATGCCCCTGGCCGATCATCTGCAGCAGATTGGTGGAGTGTTGGACGGTTTCCAGAAGGGACAGGCCGATACCGACATCAAGAAACCTCTGGATCTTTCCAAGGGACCAGTGAACGTGACTGTTCCTGGGCCCATTGATACCTTCGCCGGCGAGGACAAGCAATACAAGACTTCCACTTCTTGGTACATGGGAGATACCACCGACATTGTGGAAACATTCTCGGTTGGAATTGTCTCCTCGTTGCTTCTTGACGGTTACGGTTCACCCATGTACCGTGCGCTGGTTGAGAGTGGACTTGGTTCTTCTTTCACACCAAACACTGGTCTTGACCCATCTGGCCGGACCCCCATTTTCTCGGTTGGTCTCAATGGTGTGACTGAGGCAAACGCTGCAACAATCAAGGATGTGATCCAGAATTCTCTCCGGGAATCCGTTTCCGCTGGATTCAGCGAGGAGAAGATTCAGGGATTCCTTCACCAATTGGAGCTCGCCCTCCGTCACAAGACTGCCAACTTTGGTATCGGTGTTATGGAGAAGACCATTTCCACCTGGCTCAATGGCTCAAACCCCATGAAAGAATTGGCCTGGAATGATGTCATTGATGAGTTCAAGGCCAGATACGCACAGCCTCGGTACCTGGAGTCTCTGGTGGAGAAGTATCTCATTAATGACCAGTGCATGACCTTCACTATGGTCGGTACCCCGACTTTCAACAAGGAGCTGGACGACAAGGAGGTCGTGCGCAAAGACATCAAGCTTGCCCAGCTTATTGAACAGCACGGCTCTGTTGAGAAGGCCGTCGCCAAGCTCGGAGAAGAAGAGTTGGAGCTTCTTAAAATCCAAGAGGATGCCCACAACGCCGATCTGAGCTGTCTCCCATCTCTGAGAGTGAAGGATATCTCCAGACAGAAGGAGCGCAAGCCCGTTAGAGAGTCCAAGGTCGATGGCACCGATGTTGTCTGGCGCGAGGCTCCCACCAATGGCCTGACCTACTTCCAAGCCCTGAACGACTTTGCCGATCTGCCTAACGAGCTTCGATTGCTCATGCCTCTGTTCAACGACTGTGTGATGCGTCTTGGAACCGCAAACCGCTCGATGGAGCAGTGGGAGGATCTCATCAAGCTGAAGACTGGTGGTATCTCCACATCTTCTTTCCTTGTGTCGTCTCCCACAGACATCAACAAGTTCAAGGAGGGTATGCAGTTCTCTGGATTCGCTATTGACGAGAACATCCCCGAGATGCTGGAAATGCTCTCGGTTCTTGTCAGAGAGACCGATTTCACGAGCTCTACTGCGCCTGCAATGATCCAGGAGCTTCTACGGATGACCACCAATGGAGCTTTGGATGCCATTGCAGGAACCGGTCATCGATTTGCTGTCAATGCTGCGGCTGCTAGCCTCTCCCCGAGCCTCTGGGTCCAGGAGCAGCAGTCTGGTCTTGACCAGCTGCAGGCCACAGCTAACCTGCTTCGTGATGCCGAGTCTTCCCCCGAACGCCTGCAGGAGCTCATCGAGAAGCTCCGCCTGATCCAGTCCTTCGCGATCTCTTCGTCCAACCTGCGGGTGCGCATGGTTTGCGAGCCGGAGAGCACCAGCCGCAATGAGTCCACTTTGCAAAAGTGGATTTCTGGACTGCCGAAGACTCAGTCTCCTTCTTCCAACCTAAGCACTTCTGCCTTTAAGTCTGCTAGCAAGGCCTTCTATGATATGCCATACAAGGTTTACTACTCCGGACAGGCCTCCCAGACTGTTCCCTTCGTCGACCCATCCAGCGCTTCTCTTAGCGTCTTGTCGCAGCTTCTTACACACAACTACCTTCACCCCGAGATTCGGGAGAAGGGTGGTGCTTACGGTGCTGGAGCCAGCAGTGGACCCCTCAAGGGTCTCTTCACGTTTATGAGTTACCGTGACCCGAACCCCTTGAACTCGATGAAGGTCTTCAACAACAGTGGTATCTTTGCCCGAGACCGTGCCTGGTCCGAACGTGAAATCGAAGAAGCCAAGCTTGGTATCTTCCAAGGTCTTGATGCTCCTGTCAGCGTTGATGACGAAGGTGCTCGCTATTTCATGAGCGGTGTTACCCATGAGATGGACCAGCGCTGGAGAGAGCAAGTCCTAGACGTCACCGCCAAGGACGTCAACGCCGCCGCCGACAACTTCCTGGTGAACGCCTCCCGGAAAACAACTTGCGTTCTCGGCGAGAAGAAGGATTGGACCGAATCCGAATGGGAAGTGCGCAAGCTCTCCATGGATGCCACCGCCTAAGTCCCTTTCTACACTGCATCTTCGGCCTGACATCGTCCCTGTCGAATACTTGTACCATCATATCTTGTGTATTTCTATCTACCTGCCACTGTCCGCAGGCCCCTGTACATATATTCATGCATCTCCGATCTGCATATGACTCCTTTCTTTTCCTCGCCTCTCCCCGGAACCCACTAGAATCCGCGCTGAAGATCTTCACGTGCATTGAGCACAGAGCTTATCACATTTGCAATTGGTTTTCCATTCGATTGTCAGGTGTTGCATTCATTGAATGCTCGCGCAACATTACAGGGAATGTGCGTCTTCGAGACACGCTTCCCTCCTACATTTTTCAGACCCGCCCTGGCCCTATAAGTCTACACAGGACGGACTAAAAATGGGAGGACATGAATAATTTGAGTAGATAGTTTGGTATAGAAGTGACTTGTCAAGACCGAAATCATAACAATCAAGGTTTATCTCAAGTCATGGTCAGTTAGTTGGTAAAAGACGTGCAGAGTTAGGGAATCGGCGTGATTCAAGTTCAATTAATATCAAGGGGTATAGTGTACATCATAGTCGCTCATAATGTCATACAAAAAAGAAGAATGGGCCATAAGCATCACTCAAATCAAACAGAGATGCCACTCTTTCGAGGCTCATTCCCGGGAGTTTGGGGCATCGCCGAGGTGAAATGGAGACATGGTTCTCGGTGAAGCCTTTGAAAGACCTGGGGAGTCCACGGCGAGCGATAAAGGGGACATGGAGAGGGCTGGGAATTGTTCCGGTTGATTTCCAGATAGTCGACGACTGGACGACTCGCTGAATGTCCGTTTTGGGGTATTTGATTGATTGTCCTCGTCTTGTGACAGGATACTTGAACGTTTAGATACCACAACCTAAAAATGAACGGGATGCGCGTTAGTCCCTGCTTTTCTGGAGTTCCAGGTCGTTTCATACCTTGTCGCCTGCTGCATCGAGACCTCGGCTCATAGCCAATTCCTGGGCAGCTAGCCGTCTGCTCTCAATTGCCGCCTCTTCTTCAATAGCTGCGCGCTGTTCTTCTGATTTCAGATCCGCCAAGGATGGAGTGTCGACGTCCTGCACATGTGCATCTGAGCTATTTGCGCGTTTGGAAGAGCGTCTCTTCTTCCGTTTCATCTTCTTGGACGAGTCGCCACCAAGACTAGACGCAGACCCCGATTTAATTTCAGACCTGGGCCCCGACTGGTCATCCGATTCCAAACCAGTCCCACGACGCCCAAAAGCAAGTGCAAATTCATCATCCAGCGGAACAGCATCTTCCTCCTCATCACTGGGGAACAGATCACCACGCGAGCTGAGCGAATTCTCCGTCCCCCGAGAAGACTGCGTCGCACTCCGATTCCTTCCATTGGGCGTAGGCGAAGGAATCTCATCATCCGTCCCTTCCATCAGTGGCTCATCTTCATGCGCATACCGTCTAGCCCCAGGGTGTTCCTGCAAATCCGCCGCAGAGGGCCGATACTTGACACCCCTCGCGCCAAAGCGCCATGGGAATCTCTCCAAGAAACCCAACAGTGACGAACTTGGAATAACAGTGGGATCAGTCCGATTGTCAGGGATGTGCACTGTGCTCCTGCGTCTTGTGTTGCGTGTTCCGTAGCTCATCCGCCTCTGACGGCGCGGTTGGTCAGGCCCACGCGCCAGCCCACTTCCTGCCAGTAGGCGGTCCAGTTCGCCTGTTCCCCAGCCTAAGAGTCCATCGTCTTCTTCTTCGTTGTCCCAGTCATCGTAGAAATCGAAGTTCGCTTCGGCTTGGCCGCGCCGTCGTCGTCGGTGGTCGTCCCGTCCCGGCAGGCAGGGGGCTGTGCAGGCTGTGAGGCAATTTCCAATCGATGAGAAGCAGGGAGAGATATAGTTGTGGGAGAAGGTGTAGAGACCTTCTTGGGCGGTTTCGTTGGCGGTCTCGAGGTTATGGGAGATCTGATTGATCCGTTGTCGGATGCGGGGGTCGCGCGTTCGTATCATCTTGAGTCAACGGAGCAAATCACCCGCGACATTGGACAATTCGGGGTTGTCAACTGTTGAGAGGGTTCATCCAGCATTGAAGTATGAAGTATGTAGTCGCCAGTTGATGTCGATGTCAGTTATGTCAGCCGGCACGTGAGCCCTGGAGATAGCTATCCGGGGGTTTTGAGAATTCGCAGTTGGGAAGAAGTGAAGATCTCGAGAAATATTGCGAGAAAGAAAGATCAGGGTGTTTAAAAGATGGTCTACTATGTGCGGTTCTTGAAAACCCCCCGAATTCAAAAGGGCTCTATCACCGCTCTCATCTGCATCACCACTGATTTGGGAGACGCATTCCTGGCAGAAGATGCGGATCTGGTGTTGACAGTCGAAAAGGACAAGGAGGTTGTTTACAAAAGCCAAATAAAATGGAATGCCTATAATCGCGAACTGCCAATTACTCTGGGTCCTCTCCCGGTCAATTTGATCAAGACTCTGGTCTTGAAGGTTGATGCAGAGGCAGAGCCCCCGTCCAAGTCCAAGTCAATAAGCGAGTCCGATCTGTCTCCCTCAATACCACTGATCGTGGGTGCCATCAGTGCCCCATTTGGACCTCAAAACACCCCAGCCGCGAAGCTTGTCCAGCGGACCATCAATGCCCCCGAGGCAGTAAGGCTGCAAGTATGGGAAGAGACCGGAAATAGCATTGCCCGACACATCTGGTAAGCAAACCAACCCTTCCCTCGGCATCAAGATTCTAAACCAGGCCGTTTCAGGGATGCGGGGCTGGCCACCGTGGTATACCTGGGCGAGACTCTCCAAAGAATGTCCCAAGGAGACGTGAAACGCAACAAGGCTACCAAAAGCCCACTACCAGCACTAGAAAAAGTCCTCAGGACCAGCCGCAGCTCAGTCATCCAGGTGGTTGAGCTGGGCGCAGGATGCGGGATCGTGGGCATAGGCTTGGCACAGATGCTTTCCCACTGCTCGGTCCTCCTCACGGACCTCCCCGAGGTTGAAGAGATTATCACCCGGAATATTAACGAGACCCGCCCGGCCAACGTGTCCAGCGTGCGATATCAGAATCTCGACTGGGAGCAGCCCCCAGACGACCTGTGCTCGCAGCCTATTGCCCTGATCCTCGTCTCGGATTGCACTTACAATGCCGACAGTTTGCCTGTCCTGGTCTCTTGTCTGGATCGATTGGTTCGGACATCCCCGGAGGCGATCGTCTTGGTGTCGCTGAAGAGACGACACGAGAGCGAAACGGTGTTTTTCGACCTGATGCGGTCAGCTGGATTCCGCTCTGTGCAGGACAGTATGGAGCTTCCATCTGAACATGGACAGGTGGATGAGATTGAGTTCTATTGTTATAGCCGTGATGTGCGAGTATAGGCAGAGGACAGAGTACAGAGTACAGAGTATCGACAGAGTATAGACAGAGTACAGTACAGAGTACAGAGTACAGAGTACCTGAGTAGAGAAGTTGGAGCTGATCCACAACCACGTCATTTGGGGTCTGGCCCTGCGTATTTTATGGTATTTTTAGTATGGGGCTGGTACAGCCCTGTACAAGTTCAATACCTGCCCAGTTCTGCCTGGTATCTGGCAGGTATTGCTCAATACAATACTAAGTCTGTGTAGTAGGAGTATAGTAACTATAGTACATACAGACTGACTATAAGTGCTATACGGAGTATAAAGTGCATACTTAAGTAGTAAGATATGCAGTGATCAGCTGTCCATCTTTGTACCTGGATTCGTGTCCTGCAAGGTCAGCCGGAGTATACATAGAGAGCCATACACCGCAATTCGCGGGGACACGAGTACTACACTAAGGAGTACGAGACTAACTCGAAGGAGAGCGGAATGCGCCAAAATAGTAAAATAGTAAAAGAGCAAAAGAGTAAAACAGCTAAAATAACTAAAATAACTAAAATAGCCCAGCTAAAATAGCTCAGACTAAAAACGAAAATAACGGTAACACCAGAACAAAAAATCGCGCTGTCAAAGATGCCGTAAGCAGGGTCTCTTTTTTTTCTTCCCCACGGTCCCGTCATCTTTTTTTGTTCTCCTCCTCATTCTCATTTTTGAGTACAACCAAGGTGAGTCTTTTATTTCTGATTTCTGAGGGTTGTGGTGTGCGACCTGGGATTGCGCGTTTATTCCCTCCCAATGGTCGTGTGCCCTAAACCACACTGCCCCCCTCCAAAATTCTCACTCTTCCCTTGCATCCGTCCCTCTTATATCGCTCATAGCTAGCAACTCGAGAACAACCAGGCTAATCGAGTGAATTTCCCAGTTTTGGTACTACGAATCCCCTCCCCAGCTTCGACCCTGCCTTTGGTACCCAAAGGCAATCCGGTCATCACGGCTCCAGCAGCCTCTATCGTGCTTCTCAGCCAAATTGTATCCACTCAACGTCTCCGCGACACTCTTAACAACATTCCACCTCCTGGTCTTTTCTGAACTTTCGTCCGGTGCGCCTTTTTTCGTCCCGTTGACGTCCCCGGAAATTATTCCCTCGTCCTCTGAGCTGCCGCATAGGACTTCTTCGAAGGTTCTTCCTCTTCAGGGGGAAGGGTCTAGGAGGCTTGGTCCAGTCAACTACGGTTGTGACACATTTCGTCCTCCCTAACGCGCAGTCGCCTGCCGGTTTATATTTTTTACTATCTTCTTTTTCTTTCCCGTTACAATTGTGCTGAGTCGCAGCGGCATGGTTATGGCACCGACTGCGTGTGTATCGACTGCTGAAGTTTCGACTTTCAAGAAAGACTTCACGGCCTTGGACCATCACGGTCTGGTCAGCAGTCATGGCGAGGACACCTTGTCGCAATCTTCGTTGACTGCCAAGGATCTGGTACTGGAGGTGTTGAGGAAGCGTGCCTCCGAGGTGGATGTGGACCACTGTGGTCCAGGTGAGGAGGATGCGTTCTACGTCGCGGATATGGGGGAGGTCTACCGCCAGCATATGCGCTGGAAAATGAACCTGGGCCGTGTGAAGCCCTTTTATGGTAGGTCTTCCGCCACATCGTGTCACGACAATCTGCTAACAAGGATTCAGCTGTCAAGTGCAACCCGGACCCTGAGGTCCTGCGCCTGATGGCCCAGCTTGGAAACGGTTTCGACTGTGCTTCCAAGGCTGAGATCGATCTTGCCCTCCAGACGGGCATCGATCCCAGCCGTATCATCTACGCCCAGCCCTGCAAGACCAAGTCTTACTTGCGCTACGCAGCCGAGGTCGGCGTCAAGCAGATGACCTTTGACAACGCCGATGAACTGTACAAGATCAAGGCCACTTTCCCGGAGGCGGAGCTCTACCTCCGCATCCTGACCGATGATTCGACCAGCCTTTGCCGGCTGAGCATGAAGTTTGGTGCTTCCATGGACCTGGCTCGCCCCCTCTTGGAGCTTGCCTACAAGTTGGACCTGAAGGTTGTCGGAGTCAGCTTCCACGTGGGATCTGGCGCCGAGGACCCCCGGGCCTTCCTCAAGGCCGTCCAAGACGCCCGCTTGGTCTTTGACCACGCCAGCGAGATCGGCCACGAGCTTCACACTCTGGATGTGGGCGGCGGCTTCTGTCAGGATAGCTTTGAGAAGTTTGCTGGTATCCTCGGCGACGCCGTGGACTCCTACTTCCCTCCCAACATCCGTGTCATCGCGGAGCCCGGCCGCTACTACGTGGCCACCGCCTATACCCTGGCTGCCAACGTGATTGCCCGCCGCGACATCCCAGACCCTGTGGATCCCTCGCGTGACGCGTACATGCTGTACCTAAACGATGGCGTTTACGGCAATTTCTCGAACATCATCTTCGACCATCAGCACCCCGTTGCCCAGGTGCTCACTTGTGCCTCTGAGGGCTCCCAGCCTGGCTCTCCGAACTCTGCGACTTCGGAGAAAATCACCTACTCCATCTGGGGCCCTACCTGTGATGGCATCGATGTCATCACCGAGCGCATCGACCTGCCTGGCCTGCTGAACACTGGTGACTGGCTTTACTTTGAAGAGATGGGAGCCTACACCAAGTGCAGTGCCACTCGCTTCAATGGATTCTCTGATAACCATGAGGTTATCTACATCTCTAGTGAGACAGGTGCATCTGCCCTTCTCAACTACTAGTCTCTTGCTACTTGTTTTTTGATTGAATATTGCGATTCATGTCGGGTTGAGTTCTTTTGGATATAATGTTGGTTTGACTGCTATGCGCTGGGTCTGTTGTATCTATCGTGCGTTCTTGCTGCATATGCCATTGTCTTTCTTGCCACTTAGATTCTCAACTAGAATAGAGTCGGTCTTGCGTTGCATATTCCCTGGGTATTACTTACCCGGTCATCCCATATTCGTTGGACCCCAAATATCAAAAGTCTAGAGGTTTCATTTATCTTCTCTATTGTCGTATTTCTCAGGTATCATAACATAGACATCTCACACATCGCTCATCACAGCTGTACACAAGTTGGAAAGGTAGCCTAGACCAAACGCTCCACAGTCAAGTCTGCCCCCTCGGCAGTTTGAATCAGACCACCGGCTTCAAGCTTCTTCTTCCACTTCGTGGACTCATACCGAGCCAGGATCAAAGTGACACGAGCAGCAACGGTCGGATCCGCAGACTCAGCAACCACAGTGGAGGGAGTGCATGTCCAGCGTCCAAACGCCCAGTTCAGAATATAATGCTGAGACCCGGGTGTATCAATCTTCTCACGCTTCTGCATATCATCCGAAGTTTCAACAGGAAGGTCCCCATTCGAGCAACGAAGCGTCCCCTTGATGCGATAAACCTCTTCCCTAGGCGCAATCGCAAGGAACTTCTCCAATGCACCCACATCCACAGCCTCAGCAGACTTCAACACAACAGACAAGACCTCCACCTCAGACTGATGATCATGTTTATGATCATGGTCATGATCATGCTCCTTTTCAGCTTCAGCATCCTTAAACAAAGCCCCATCAATCCCAAGCAAAACATCCATATCCACCCTCCCCTTCTGAGACTTAACCCAAGGCGTCTCAATCTCCAAATCCCCAACCCGATCCAGCGCAATATCAAACTTCTCCGGCAAATCCTCCCATTTATTAAAAACAATCAAATCCGTATACTTCGCCTGAATCTTAGCCGTGTACGAAGTATCCTCATACCCCTCCCAATTCTCCACATCAATAACACTAATAACGCCATCGAGGATAAAATCCCCTCCCTCACGCGCCAGCCGATTCACCTCCATCGCAAGCGTAGCGGGGAACGCACTGCCGCTCGTTTCGATGACGATGCGGTCCGGGTTGACCTCGGTGCGGAGTTGTTCGAGGGCATCGCTGAGTTGACCGACGAGATTACAGCAGATACAGCCGTTGAGGAGTTCGCGGACACCACTGATTGATTGAGTAGAGGCGAGTTGGGAGTCGATGGCTACGTCGCCGAATTCGTTCTTCAGGAGTGCGAGTTTGTAGGTTTTTGGGAGTTGCGGGATTAGGTTTAGGAGGATGGTTGTCTTCCCTGAGCCCAGGAATCCGGTCACTATTGTGATGGGGATAGGCATGGTTGACTGGGTGTTGGGTGTTGTAGTCGCGTTGTTGCGCAGCGCAGTTGCGGGCAGTTGGAGGGGTAGCCCTGGTGTCGGTGCCCTAATTTCCTATTTGGGATTGGAGATGGGAATGATAAAAGATATTCTTAGTTAGGTAGTTAGTACTTATAGACATTTCGAGATGAAGTTGAATTAAGTATTTTGTGATGGTCTTTCATTTCAACGTCCAACCATAAGCTGGTCCACTCAGGTCTTTACAGCATTGCTCTCAACAACAACCTCCCGTTCTTCATCACTACTTTCCGACTCAACCTCCTTCTTTTGCTCCCTATTTCAATATGTCAGTGATGTATTCATCAAGATAAGAATCATGTCTTACTGTCTCCATATTACAATGGAAGCCATAAAGCCAGCCCAGAGCAGGAAGAAGAAGACAAACGAGACAGGCCAGCCTTTTCGCCATCGGGGTGCACCGTCAGGCCCAGCAGTCGGATACGCCAGTAATGGAACCCAAATGTTGAAGGAATATCCAAAGGACATCATGGCTCCCTATATTGGAGTCAGTATCGTGCCAATGTCAATCAGACTGGACCGTCTCACCATGATGAGAGCCCGCTCCTCTGCATCATCTCGACATATGATGTTGATGGTGGAGTATAAGATTGGACTTAAGCATCCAGCGGCGCCAAGAAGATACCATGCCACGAATCTGTTCTTCATTAGTAAGGCATTCATCAAGTCAGGGTCAGACTTACTTCAGCGTGGTGGGAATGTTCCAAATGATCATGCACAAGGTCGAAAAGAGACAGCATACAGACGCGATGGTATAGATGATCCATTCGGGATAGATCGCTGCCAATGTCGTCCCTAGCCAGGAAGCCACAATATTAATGGCATAGGTCACCGTGGGCAGTTGGTTAATCTGAGTTACAGAATACCCTTCAGCTTTGAGCCACAGACTCATATAACTGCTGGGATACGAGCAGATGATCATGCACCTGAGTATGTTAGCATGACACAGTTCCAACTTCGCTGCTCAATACTCACGCATAACAAGAGATGAAGACCCAAATATGCCATCTCTTGAAAGTCCTCTTGAACACGTCCACACTCATCTTTCCAGGCTGGCGAATCTTCGCTCTCTTCGTTCTCTCTTGGGCCAATGCCAGATCCCCTTCTGTCAAGTAAAATGGCCTAGGGGAGCCGGGGATACCAGGGAAGATGATAAACCCAATCAGAGCCACGGGAATAGTGAAGATCCCATCAATGATAAACAACCATCTCCATCCCGGCATGCCCCCTACACCAGAGAGATTGGTATAGGCAGATGCTTGGAGATACCCACTAACCATGGTACCCAGTGGGTTACAGATGAACCAAGTTCCAGCTCGTTTGAATAATTCTGGGCCCGTATACCAGGATCCTTGAGGTTCGTCAGTTACACGGCAGTGTTGAGCTTCATTCGGAGACATACCGAGGATGAAATGTGTTCCAGCAAATACGGGTGCTTCCAGAGCGCCGACCAGGACACGAAGAGCATAGAGCTGGGTTACATCGGTCACTCGGCTTTGGGCGAATGTGCAAATCCCCCACAGGATTTCTAGAGTTGGGAGGAGCCAGCGAGCACTGGGCAATTAGCATGAATGATGTAGACCTTGGGTTTTGAGAACTCACAGCTTTGGTCGTGACATTAACAGTAGACCTGGGATCTGGAATACCACGTATGATGTATAGTAACAGACGTTGAAGTAATTGAGTTCATTGCCATATAGACCAAAATCCTCTTTCAATCCACTGACGTAGGCATTGCTGATATTAGTTTGATCTAGAACCATTAGAATCCAATTCAAGTTCAATCATTGAAATTAGCATACCGAGATATTTGACGAAAACTGTTCAGGGTTGTTAGATGTGCTTCGTATATCTTAGGGCTGGGCTATACTCACAGCATAAACATGCGAAAATCAAAATAGACAAGTCCAGCTTGAACAACAATCTATGTAAGTCAGTATAATCATGCTAACAAGCATACTCAATGCATATTCATTCACTCACTTTCTCTCCTCGGAGGGATACGATGAGGGATACCAATTAAACACCTCCTTAATAAGCCCCAACAGGGACAACTTCCCAGCCTTAGGCTTCTGGTCAGACATCACCAAAGTCCAAGGAATCGAGATTAACTATCCGATCTAATTTCGATTCGACTCAAGTCGAAGCCCCATCAATACTTATATGGGCCGGTTGATCTTCGGGAAGATATAAGGATTAACTCATTCCGCCACCTACTGTCACCATCGCTGTGATCTAGATCGCCTTCAAGAAAATCAGAATGTCAATACACTAAAACGTTCAACATCGGCGACATGCCGTTGACTGATGGCGTGCCAAACGGAAGTTGGCCGTTATCGCAGGCCTCATATGGACTGTTCATGGCGTGCTTCACTTGCGGGGTTTCGGAGTGTTTTCTCCAGTATATTTACTTCCAGGGTTCTCGGATGGTTTTGCTTTGTTAGAATATAATTGCCATATACTTGTGTCTGGGTATACTAAGTATACTACCCTTCTAGAGTCCAACAAGAAATATCCGGCATTTCCTACCCACTCAGCAGTAGGCTACCTTCCAACAGAACTCAAGATGCCAGGAAAATATATCGAAAAATACAACCAGGTCCCTGTGACCAAGGAGAAGTGTAAGGGCAGCTCTGGAAACAAATTCATCGGACCTGGCTAACATGCCTTAGTGGACTGGGCTGAGTTGATCACACTGGATCTCAGCGAGTATGAGCAGCCTGGAGGAAAAGAATCTCTCGTCAAGCAGTTGGACCATGCTGTTAGACATGTTGGTGAGTTGGAATCTAGTTATGTGCCGAAAATTATCTAACGAAGAAACAGGCTTTTTCTACGTTAAGAACTTCAACATCAGCCAAGAAGAGATCGACAACCAATTCGCTCTAGGCCGCGAATTCTATGCGCTGCCCCTCGAGGAGAAGCTCAAGTTCCACAGTGCCAGTGATCTTGCCCGAGGAGAATACAACTCCTACCGTCCTGCCGGACACCGAATGTGAGATCCCTAAGTCTTCAGGACTGCGTAGCATCAGCCCTAACATATCCAGTCTCGGCAATGGAATCAAGGACAACGTCCAAGTCTACAACCTCCCCAAGTTCGATGGCTACCACGAACGACCCCAGCCCTCTGTGATTGCCGACAACATCAAAGAGATCGAAGCCTTCAGCCGGGTAAGACCAACCCAATCCCTCAACCACGCCCACTAACGAAATCTAGAAATGCCACACCGAAGTAGTCGAGAAGCTCCTCCGACTCTTCGCCATCCTCCTTGAGCTCCCAGACGAAGACCAACTCGTCCGCGACCACCAGTACGACGTCAAAGGCGAAGACCACCTACGGTACATGCATTATGCCGCGCGAAGCGCCGAAGAGAACAAAAAGGTCGGCGAGCTCTACAGCCCCGGCCACACCGACCTTGGCACAGTGACGCTTCTCTTCCGCCAGCCCGTGGCAGCTCTCCAGATCCTCAATTCCGAGGGCCAATGGAAGTGGGTGCAGCCGCAGGATGGCACTATTACGATCAACACCTGTGATGCGTTGACGGCGTTGACGGGCGGGTTGATCAAGTCGAGTATTCATCGGGTGCATGCCCCGCCTGCCGATCAGGCTCATATTGATCGGTTGGGAGTGTTGTACTTTGCTCGGTGGGTTTTTTTTCTCTCTTTTCTTTCTTTTGCGGAGGACTAACTTTTATAGGCCTAATAACCATGTTGTTCTTGATCCTATCGCTAACAGTCCTGTTCTTCAGCGGCTGGGACTCACTAGTAATGCCTTCACGGAGCTGGGGCAGCATCTCACCACAGAGCAGTGGGTTACGGTGCGACAGACTCAGCAACAACGCAAGAATAAGGATGTCCAGATTTCGACGGAGGGGAAGTATACTTACAAGCCTAAGGATCTGGAGATTATTCCTGGCTTGCAAGCTGCTATCTACAATTAGTAGTCCTTGAAATGTTATGAATATTCAATATATGTTGGTTCCATGATATACTCTATCCTGTCGAACTTGTACATGTCAGAATTGAGCCTATATTTCGAATATAGCCTCTGCATTCGCACGAAAATGTGGGGAAACCCACATTGAGGCTAGAGACATAGGAACAAACGCCATCAAGTCCACGGTGTTCGAGACAATTCGTGGTTTTGACACAAGTAACCCATTAAATTTTCAATAGTAGTAAGTACTGTGTATTACACTTGGGACAACTTTAGAAGGCCAGTCGAGTACTTAAGTACAGAGGTATGAGAGAGCTGACCAAAGCAGCACAAACCTGAAGATAAATCAGATTTACATATTAAATTTTATGGCTGAAGTATCCAAATTATATTGATCTATACAATGCTTTAGGAATTCAAGGGAATATGACTTTTATAGACTCGTTCTCAACTCATACTCTATACTTAGGTAGTAATTGATAACCAAATGTGTCTTAAGTATGAGATCCCGGAAGCGACGTCATCTCCATAAATAACCGTATGACGGCACAGCAAAGTCTGAAACAAGGCGCAAAACCCGACTGCCTGTCGATCCTCATAAGCCCTCAGCCCTACGTCAGGCTCAGCCCTATACCATGTCGTTCCCCGAATCTGAGAAGTTCTCCCATGCTAAACATCCCAAATACTTCAGAATGGACAACCCCTCCATCGACTCCACCCAAAGAGAACTTCCACAAGAGAGCCAACCTAGCTCCATGGCATCCGGTTCCATGACATCCAGCTCCAAGACAGACTTTGGGAGTTCCGTGACTGCTCTGGCGCAAGAGAGTGCCGATACCGTCAAAGAAACCGTCGTCGAAGGGGTCCCGAAAGCATTGCACGCCGTGCAGGAACAGATCTCCGCGATCGCAGGTGGGGCCAAAGAAGTGGAGGAGACGGTTTCGGACAGTAAGTTTCCCTTTGACTTCGATGATGAAATCGACCTGACTATTTAGGTCTGAGTGCCGAATCGCAGGCCGAATGCGAGCACATCGACCAGATGCCCAACGAACGAGTCTGCGACTTCTTACGCCAGAAACATATGAGCAACACGCATCCACGACCCACGAACTAGATTGATACTTTGATGCATAGGGCAGCAACTCTCCTGGGGATTATAATGTTGAGCATTCTAAAGTTGCAGCATGCATTGATACTTAAGTATAGATATAGATCTACTTGAGTAGATACTTAAGTATCTATACTCTCTTCGCTAGGCAGGATCCTGCGAACAAGACACAGCAAATCGAATCAATTACATACAACTATTCACAGAGCAGCCCGGAATCCCTTGTCAAGCGAGCGATCCAACCCCAAGAAATCAGCCACTTGGCCAATATGATCCACGCCCCAGAACCCCTCCGTCTCACCCCGGGAGTTCGTGCACTCAAACCAAGGCAGTCCAAAAGCACCAGAATTGAAGGATCGATCGGTATTAGAGATCAAAAGAGCCTTGATCTCGGGATTGTTCATCTGGAAACTGTCAGATTTACCACGGTCGCATTTCTCGGATACCTCCACTTACCGCCACGAGGACCTGTTGCGTCTCTTCCTTCCCTAGGATTCCTTCGAGGAGAGGCGTGAATCCCTCAGGCTCACCGACGGTGGTATTTCCCTCCGCCCAGAAGGCGTGGAACAGAGCGCCGATCACATCGGCCAGCTGGGCGGGGTTGCGTTGCGAAATGGCGCACAGGGCACGTTGCACGTATAATGTGCGGATGGGGAATCCCTTTGGGAATCCCTCGATGATGGGCACAGAGAAGTACTTGGCCCATCGGACCCGTTGCTGTCCTAGGTAGTTTTTCTTGTCTATGGGGGATTAGTACGGAGTATCTATATATTTAGTGCAGTAGTGGGCTCACTCTTAATGTTGATTGGGGGATTGTTGCCACAGGCTTGCATCAAGCCTCCCAGGAAGATGGGGACGTAGCTGATTTCACATTTCGCAAAGGCTGGGGAGTTCTGTTGCTGTTAGTCCTGCCCTGGGGTTATGGAAAGAGACATACCCGGAGGACGTGGAAGGCGATGTAGGCAAAGGGGCTGACGATGTCAACATAAAAGGTAATACGGTTCGACATGATCTAGATGTAGTTGTTTCAGTGGTACTTGTGTACTTGTAGGATTATGAATCCGCAGAATAGGAGTTCACCAGGCGGTTCAGTTCCTCTGGGCCGAGGTCCAACTCTCGCCACTGTCGATCCGTCTCCACTATGATAAGTAGACATGAACGTAGAGTATTCAAGAACGAGTGTAATATCACAATATCCATCTAGACTTAAATATCGGTTTTCGAGAATCTCGCCAGTGTTGATTTTGTTTCATGAGTATGCACAAGTGAAGAGCAGGCATTTAGGGCTTGTTCCTATGCCTAAGTCTCAGGCTGTAGTTTACCTCGGGACATCCATAGATGAACATAGATATGTTGTTTCAATGAAACAAAATAACCGGCACCAGGAACATTCTCAGACTTGAGATAATACTCAGATCATTAAGGTGGCTCTGGATTCGCCATTGCGTTCACCATGAAGTAACAGTGCCACCGCCACCAAGTATAAAAGAACTCACCTCATGCTTCACTGCGAAGAGATCTATACAACCATACCAACTAAATTCCAATGGATTCCATCGAAAAGCGCTCCCGATCTGCCAGCATGTCCTCCAACAACCTCCAATTCAGCAGCGATGCCGAATCGGACCACCAAGTCGACCACTCGGTGGTCACCAACCGCGGTGCACCCGCCCGCCATTCAAAACGAGAGCGTCGGTCGTGGAAAGAAACCGAGAAACCGAGACAGGGAACGGGGTCTAAGGGTCGGTCGACTTCTAGACATTGAAAACAGCCTGTGTCGTCGTCAATGTCACTACAGTTACAAAATCGGAAGTTGAAACCATCAGATAATCTATCCGGTGCTATACAAGCAGCTTAGCTATTTGTTCGATAGAAACGGGCAGACAATGGACAATAAACAATGTCTAAATCACCACCCTTCATCTTTCAAAGGCCCTCATGACGGCCAAACCAGCCACCGAGCCGGATGCAACGCGGTTGTGACCTAGAAGGTTTAGCAAAGTAATAGAAAAATAAAAGAATCCCAAGAATACCAACTTACCTCCGTATCGAACCCGCTCCCATCGGACGGTCTTCACAATCGAAGTGCCGTCACCCTGGACGATCTCATTTTTCCAAATCTTGATCTGACTGGGATTGCCATCGTCCGCCTTGTAATACGTCAACTCCCCAGGAGCGCCTACGACATCCTCGCCGGTGGCAGCCTTCCAAACCGCACGACTTTCATACCAAGGGATCTCGACATCATCGAAAGCGTGTACAATGGTCAGATCCAGGTTTCCAGGTGTGTATTTCCCTCCCGCATCCGAGTCAACAGATGCAACGCCAGTCAGACGGGCTAATCGACCCGCCGTATCCCACCCATCCACAATATGGCTCATCAGCCATGCCTGGAAGCGGGGATAGCCCATAAGTGGGGATAGCATGGGTGGTGTGAAACCCTTCAAGCTATATGATTGAATGACATTGGCCAAGCTGCTAAACGAGGCCAGCAGTACGACACCGGCAAAAGGCTCCGGGTTCTTGACAGTTGGCTGCAAAGCTGCAGGATCCGGGGACCCAAAGGCAAAACGCTCGGCAACTGCTGCAGTCACGGCAGTGCCGAGACTTTGGCCCACGAGGACGATTTGAGAGGGGGGAATTGTCAAGGGTCCTGCCGTGAGGAAATTCAGAAGTGACACACCGTCTGTGATGACACCTTCTTCGGTAGGGCTTCCCGTACTCACGCCGAAACCACGGTAGTCGATGGCAAAGACGTGCACAGGCTTTGACGGGGTCGAAAGGCCCAGTATGGTGTTGTAATTGTGAGGACGCTGGGCAGAGCCCAAGTGTGCTGCATTACCGTGGACTAAACCGTATCATTAGGTCGATGTAGTCTAGATGGGCTCTCCACGGGGTTCTATCACGTACAGCTCACCACCACTCGTGCATTGGGATCGTTCGCGAGTAACTTGTATGCAGGCGTTGTCGTGTAATCCTCAGCGGGACCCGATGGAGGGCTTTCCATCAGCTCCTCCTCATGTTCCAAACACAGGTGTACGGGCATCAAATGCCACCCATAGAGCGTTTCATTGTCCGGTGTCACCAAATGGAATGGCTGGACTTGGGTTCCTAGGACTGAATCAGCCAGGCTCTAGCAATGAATGCTCTCGACATACTCAGGAATCCAAACTGTTCCACTTGATTGACATCTTGCCAGATCGTGGGATTGATCTTGTTGGCGTACAGTACACTACTCAGTCAGCGGCGAGTTTCAACTTCTGAGCATTGCACGCACAAACGCTGCACCTCTGGAAAGGTTAAAGAGCAAACAAAAAGCACATAAAGCAGACCTCCAGCCGCCAAAGACCAGTAGGCCTTTCTGAAAATCGGCAGGAGTTCCATTGCGGAGGTGGAGGAGATAAGAAGTTTATCGCGCGTTCCTTTCTTCTTTTCTCATCTTCCGACTCAACTTGCCTCTCTTTTCTTTCCTTTCTTCTTCTTCTTTTTTTGCCCTTTTAATTATACAAATTCACTGCCATGGCTGAGAAGCGCAAGCTTCCCCCGCGCGAGCGACGCGAACCCGCCAAGCGACGTGTCTCCGAAGCCACGCCGCAATCTCACAGAAAAAAGGCGCCAATACCACGCGCTCCATCGGTGGATGCGCCATTGCCAACACAAATCAAGGATGCAGATGCTTTACCCATTGTCCGTACGAGGCAGCCCGCGACCCTGTCAGACAAGGAGTATCAATCAATCGCCGAAAGGTTTGACACCGCCATCCGGGACGCGATGGATGCCTGACTGACCCTTTTCTGTCTCTTAGTGCGGTCCTCCTGGCCTCTCTGGAACGCTCAAAAAAGAAATGGCTAAGCGATGGGATTCTCGTTCGTTATTACACAAAACCCAAGAAGACCAAGCGCGAAGCGACCGAAAAGAAGAATCCATCAAAGGAATCCATGCTCAAAATTGGACCATGCGACGTCACCATCGGACCCCATTTGTTTGATGCCATGATCTATGTTGTGAAGGATCCCAATGCACCCCCGTCGCTTCAATACACAGCCCCTCAACGGCCAACGGGCGTTCAATGGGGCGTGCCCCATACCCCGTACCGACCATACGGCTCCCCATCCAATGCGCAACGACCTGCTCAATACTCCCCTGCCCCGGCTGGACGACCCGGATACCCTGGCAGCCAACCTTCACCGCATCAATGCCGCCCCAATCAAGGCTCTGCGCCCTCACCCCAGGGAGGACAGCGACCACCACAAGGACAAAAGGGCACCAATGGTCAACCTGCCAAACCCAGCCCAGACCCGGTTATCCAGATGCTGGCCACCCGAGCAGCCGCGGATCCAGATCTGAAGGCGCTGATGCGTGTCGTGGCATCCAGCCAGGCATCACAGGAGCAGCTCCGGGCTTTCCAGGCACACATTGACGAACTCAACGCCATTATCAAGTCGAGAGAGCAACAAGAACAGCGCCAACAGTCTTCTGCGGGGACGCCTACCCCTGCGCCCCAAACACAATCCACACCACAGCCTCCGCAGAAGCCGGAAACTACGGCAAAACCGACGGCCGAGGCTCAGACACCTTCGAGCACTCCAGGCCCAGTGAAAGTCAAGGACGAGCCGACAGGAACCAGCGCTACAACTTCACAACCCGCACCCGCACCCACGCCATCCGACCCAGCGCCCTCACCAGCACCCACACCCGCACCAGCACCAGCGGCAGCTCAACCTGCGACACCTAGTGCTGCCATCCAACCTATCACATCTACACCAGCTCCACAGAATCAGAGCCCGGCAATACAAGCCACACCTGTCGCGACCCCACAGGCAGGCGCGCGGCCCATACCACCTTCTTTCCAACAACCTTCCTACGGCACTCAGCCTCCGCTTCAATCCCGGCCACCAGTCTACGGGGGGCCTGGTGCATACCGACCCCCTCCAATGCCCATTGCCCCACCGCGCGTGAACTACAAGTCCGTAGTGTTCGAATTCACATCTCCATTAACGCCATACGGAAGCAGTACCTCAGGCCACGCAGGCTCAGGTGACCGCTACCTCTTCCCCGAAAACACCATTTTGGAATGGCTCCCTGCCGAAAACACAGTCATTGCATCATTCTTGATCGTCCGCAAAGTCGACCCAAATACACCCTTCCCACTGGAGACCGCAACAGAAGCCGCAGCCAAGAACAAGGCCAAAGGCAAAGGCGCATCCAAAGCCAAGGGCGACAAAAAAGTCAAAGACGAAAAGGGCCAACCAGCCACCCCAATCCCAGGCCAACCTGCGCCAACCGAAACCCCCCAAAAACAAGAACCCACCGACCCTGCAACCCCAGGTATGCCCACGGAGGCCAACCTAAAGGAATACTGGCAACCAGTAACCTTCCGCATCCATGCGCCTAATGCCAAAATTCTCGAGCCGCTAGCTCGCGTAGTCAGACCTGCGGAGGAAGTCCGAAAATATATGAATGAAATCATGGACCGGGCAGAGCGTTCGCAGGATGGATACCTGGCTATGCGACTACCTCGCGAAGAAGCCGAGGCTTTCGAGTCGGAAGGTACACCCGCTTCTGGTGCAGGCACTAGGAGTCGATTATCCCGTGTTCAGCTGGCTGATGAATCCGAGGTCGAGAGTGGGTTTGAGGAGGAAGATGAGGAGGAACTTAAAGATTTCTATGATCCTCCTAGTGGGTTGGCGCCGATGAGGTAGAATCTATAACGTATGCCATTGTCTTTTTTTTTATAACCACAATTCGAGTTTAATTATGAAACCAGAACCTACAAATCTGCATTGTTAAGTTATAAGAATCAACCTTGGAGAATAAGATCAACGTCTGGAATCCCCAATAACCCCCGCCGCCTCCAAAAGCCATCTCGCATTCTCATTCGCACCCTGATCAGCACCCGCAGACCCAAAATTGATATTCCGCCTCCGTTCCGCATCTCTAGCCTCAAACTCCCACTTCGCACGCTGCATCTCTACAGCACTAGAAGAAGCCTCACATCCTTCCGGGTTAGGGACTATACCCCATATTTCCAGGGTATACAGATCGAGTTTCGTCTTGGCGGGAGTATCTGAGGTAGATGGCAAGAAGACGCCATCGTGGCCGACTGGTGCGGTGTGGAATTCGACAGTCTCTAGGTTCCCGTCTATGAGGAGGGATCCTGCACCGAGGGGTTTGGGGGTGTTTTGCTGGGTGTGTGATTTTGCAGGTATTTGACAGCCGAGTGCGATGCCGGTTGTGGGGGAGAAGTAGGCTGGTGGGGTATTTGGTTTCTTTATTGATGGGGATGGGTTGCCTGGGAGGAGGATGTGTTTTGGGGATAGTTGGAAGAGGCATGGGAGGTTGGGTGTGGTTGAAGAGGATGTTGTTTTCCATGCTTGGGGGAGGTAGGCGCCGAGGGTTGTTAGTTCGTCGTTGGATGAATCTGATGGAGAGCCTTGGAGGATGAGGAGGGTTGCTGATTGCCAGGTGAGGACGTGGTGGGAGAAAGAGCTTAGTGAGGAGCCGTGGGCGTTGGTAGAGAAGACGGGGTGGAGTTTGACGCCGCTGCGGAAGAGGTTGAGATTGGGTGATGAAGGGAGGAAGAGTGAGAGGTGTGATGTTAGGGTTGGAGTTAGGATGGTGGATTCGAAGCTTCCTGGTAGCATGATTGTAGTTGGTGGAATGGGCTCGATCTTTTCTGTGTCTCCCTCTGTCTCTGTCTCTGTTGCGAGTCCGCTTTGACGGTGCTGGGACAGGTCCAGGTTCTTGCTGAAAAGCATATGTTCGAAAAGAGCAGTGAGCGGGTCGAACAGATATGGTAGAGAAGTCGAAACTGTTCGAGCAAACGCTTTGTATGAGATCCCACCATCGTTCTCCTCGGGTGAGAATGCAGAAATAATACTGTCTGCTTCATTTTGCATCGCCTCCATTCGCGCAGTATCCAGGTCAGAGGTATACACTTTCAGAGATTCCAGTGGTTTCAATGGCGCAATGACGAGAAGTAGCATAAGCAGTCGCCGGAAGGTATCAATGAAAATTCGAGTCTCATAAACCGTTTTGTCCACTCGATGGTCATGCTTGAACACCTCAATAGCATCAAGGGATTCCAATGCCGCCAATGCAAGATCGTCATCCTCATCTTCATCATACTCATCGTTTGCCGGTTCATCTATTGAGAAACCCGGCGCATGTGAATTTCCAACGGTAGCATCGACTTCCTTGGCCGTAGCCTCCTCAGCTTCAGCGGGCGAAGGTAACTTCCTCCCCACGTCTGCAAGACTGCCAAAGAGCAACTTGATTCGGTCCTTGTGTCCGCGTTTCAAGGCTTTCCCATAACGTTCGGTCAGAAGTACAACCACCTTGACCATAGCTTCAAAGGTTAACACACTCGGCGCCAGCGTATTTTGAAAAGGGAATGCCCCCAGATATGACACCATCCGAAAGATCACAGGGCCCGCATCCAAGGGCTGCTCCTGCGACGCGTGAATGCCATCTGGGATTCCGAGGAAGTCCGAGAGTGTTTTCTCATTCCAGTACCGCAAGCCCCCTTGCTCAGAGGCTCGGGGGTAAAAGTTGTCTTTGAAATGAGTGAGTTCCAATGGTGTAAAGCATTTTGTGGCGAAGCGCTCAGCCAGCATGTAGCTTAGTTCTTCTGCTTGTTGTTAGACATTGATTTATGATGAGGTCAATGTTCCAGATCCGAACAAATCATGGCCAGCTGAAGCTGGAATGTAGAGACACCAAAGTATTTCTCTTATTCGATGTATCTGGGCGTATGTATACTGACCTGGTGTTGAAGGGGACTCGTTTGACTGAGCTGCACCCATTGTGACGAGACCCACTGTTTAGTATCAAGTGCCGAATTGTGTCGAACTTGAGGTGGATAGGAGAGCAAAAGGAAATGAGTCTCGGCCAACGGCAAGTAACATAAATAGAGAAGAGACAAAAGAGAAGAGAAGTGTACGTAGGAAGTGACGACGTCAAAAGCGGAGTCAACACGGAATGCCAAGATCTGACGGTTGACTTCTTTATTTAGCAGTTAGTTAGTAGTATTTACATAGTAGTTAAGAGTTAGTAGTATCTATTTAGTGGTTGTATAGATTTACTATTTACTATAGTCTATAATTTGGCAAGTATATTCCTTTTTCGCTAGATACAAGGCAAAGAAATTCGTTGTGAACCATTTAAAGCATAACAATACCAACACCGCCCATCTTAGACTCGTCGGGCAGGTTCTTCTGGTTGATACCACCGGCAATAGGTGCAGCCCGGTAATTGTAGAGATAGAAGTGCAGCTGGCCATCACCAGCACCAAACTTAAGCTGCTCCAGGAAGAGGGGGTTATCATGCGAGGTCAGGGCATTGAAAACATCGAAGTGGGCCTGGGATTAAGATTAGCACGAGAAAAGAGAATGAGACCAGGAGACATACCTTCTTGGCACAGATCAAGGCATCGTTCATCAACAACTGAAGGCGCTCCTTGAAGGCCTTCTGGTCGTCGGAGAATGCGGTTTCGCTGGCGTAGTAGTACAGGTACGCGGCGCGGACGGCCTCATGCTTGGGGTGGTCGATCACAGTGGAGGAGAGGTTGTAGAAGGAGACAAAGTCGGTGATCTTGTGTGTCTCTGGGTCTTCCACGACATAGGACCATACAACCTGCTCCTTATCCGGCTGCTCCTTGTAGACCAACCAGTGATCGATTTCCTCGCGCGTGAAGGCCTGGTTCATGTCGAAGCGGCGCATATACCGCTCCAGGAGATCGTAAACAGCATCGATATCTTTCACCTCCATGGGGCGAAGACCCGGGGTCAGAGTTTCAGTGGGGAGATGGTTTTTAGTAATCATGCGAGCTTTGGTGGAACCGTGAGGGAGGGGAGAGAAGCCGACTTCGTAGAGCTTGAGCCAGTCCAGGGCACGGTGGTAGTATCGGCAGGAGCTGACGGGGGTTGGGAGGATGACACCACCAGTGTAGATGGCCTGGTAGATTCCGTTGACGTAACAGCGGCGGGTAATTTCCTTGATCAAGACGGGCGTGAGACGCTTGGAGCGGAGTTTCTTATGGATACAGAGGAAGTTAATCTCGGTAACCTTGATGCGTTCACCACGGACACGGAGCTCGGTGGGCACACCGCAGATGGAAGCGACCAGCTTGCGCGACTTGGTGGCTCGCACACCGACGTGCCATTCCTTCTTCCACCCGGGAGACATGAGGGCCCTATATTCTAGTGTTAGCGCGACACTATCCACGGCACTCTTTCAAGCGAAATCTCCTCATACCAGTGGAGGAAAGACTCTGAGTAGCTGAACCGGAACATGGCATTGTCATCTTCCACGTAGTGGTTGTTCAGCAGCTCGTAAAGCTCCTTCAGTTCTTCCGCGTTTGTCAGGTCCAGAGTGCACCACTCGAATCCATCAATCAGCGCACCGGGAGTCTGCGAGACTTTCTCCGGGTCGATGATCTTGATGGGTCCCTGTTCAATCTGTTTGTTTGCGGCATCGTTGAAGGCGGGGACAGGCTGCGTTTGCCAGAATTTGTACGAAGCCATATCCTTCTGGTTCTTCCCTCCCATTGACAGTCCAGTGAGCATCTGCGACAGGTCCATATTGTGCAACAGGGCCGCTGCCTGATCTTTGTCCATATTGGCGAGTTCTTGTTTCAGGGCGGGGTTCTGGTCCAACAGTAGAGTCGCGAGCTGAGGGGGAATCTTCTTGCCATCTGTGAATGTTAGCTATAGTCTAGAGACCAATTTAGTGGGGAATTACCCTTGCCTGAGGACTCATCCTCTGTGCGCTTAGGGGCCTTGCCCTTGTCGTCGGACATGATGAGCTGAGGAGTTGCGGGAAGAGGAATTGAAGGCCCCACGTAAAGCCGCGGGAGTGGGGGGAATTCTTATTAATGCACGCTCTAACGCTCTGCAGGTTGCAGATTGATACAAACACGTTTCCTCTTGTCTAATGCCGAGGTAAGTCTCAAATGCTCTGTACAAAGTAGTCTGAACTGGGAATGAAATCTCTAGTATAAAGTCTAAGGGGAATCGGAAGAATTGTTGAAATCCACAAACACCTAATCCATGCTATTGCAAGAAAAATGCTCTCAAGTGTTGATACAAGAATGAAAGGAGCTCCCAAGGGAATCATAAATCGCCGGGCTTAGTCTCGACAACGTCAAGGAACCCACCAACCAGGTGAATACTACCAGTCACAAAGGTCATGACGGGGGCTTCGTCCTTTTGCAGGGCGGGGCGTTCCTGGCTGGCAACTTCGCGGGCGAAATCAACAGCCTCTTCAATAGTACCAAACACATGGGTTTGGGCATGGGGATCAATGCTGTTCCACTCCTCGGCCAAGGACTTTTGGACTCGGAGAAGTTCCAGGTCATCTGCGTTGGTGTTCATGCTGACCAAGTCGGGTCGGAAACCTGCCTGCTTGTAGGTGATGTTTGTGCAGAACAAGGCGTGGGTGAATGGGGTATCATTTGCGAGAGCTGCGGATAGGGTTTCATGGAGAGCACGTGCAAGAGCGGTGCTGTCTCGAGTTTGCTGATTGAAGATCAAGATCCGGGTCTTCTTAGCAGCGACATCGGTAGATGAGGAATCGGCCTGGATGCGTGAGGCAAACCATGTCCCGGCCAGCCGGATACTTTCTAATGTGTGTCCACCATCGATGTACCAAGAGACATTCTTTTCAAATCGAGTTTCGCACCGGCCACCAAGACGGGTTTCTTCCAATCCGACCTTGAATTTAGCCGGGAGTGGGACATCCATGATATTCTCAGGGACGTCCACACCGGCCTTGCGCAGGAACTCCGCGGCACTCGCAACCGCAACTGAGGCATTGGTATATTGGAAATCGCCGGCCAGTCCAAGTTCCACCTTGCTGCTATCAGCGCGCAGCTCAGGGTGTCCGGTCACGATATCCAGCTGAGTGCCTGCTTCTTGGGCGCGCTTCAGCAAGACTTCCTCTGCGGTCGGTGGCTGCGGTGCGGCGAAGCCACGCACATCGCGTTTGATAATGCCGCCCTTATGCCATGCGATTTGCTCAATAGTAGTTCCAAGCATGGCCGTGTGATCAATACCAAGACTAGTAATTGCAGTAACCTTCGGCTGCGGAATCACGTTGGTACAATCATACTGACCACCAATTCCACATTCAATCACTGCGGCGTCCACACCCTCACTCAGGTATGTGTGGAACGCCATAAGAGTCAAGTATCGGAAGTATTGAGGTTTCGTGCCTGGGGCAGTTGGGTCTTGACCGACCGCCTTAGCGGAGTTCTCGAGACGATCCCATACCTCGAAGAAGTAGCGCGCGAATTGCTCCTCCGACAAAGGCGCATTGTCGATCTTGATGCGCTCACGCGCAAAACGCAGATGGGGAGATGTATAAAGACCGATCTTGTGTAGCTTCGCAGGCTGGCTAGGCTCTTCTTTGGTATATTGGGAGAGAATCGTAGAAATGAATGCGGAGGTTGAGCCTTTGCCTTTAGTACCGGCGACATGCACTGCGTTCAACCTGTTGAGATCGGAAGGCTACATATACCCCATTAGCTCCAGTCAATATGAACAGAGCTGACCGCAATGCACATACCTTATATCCAATGCGCTGCAGCCATTCAACAGTCTCCGGGAGCGAGCGTTCATTCATCTCCTGCCTCGTCGTGGACTTCCGAAGCTCCTCCACAATCGCATAGTTAGTCTGCAACGAGTTGAGAGCTGCAATTGCAGCCTGAATGCATCCATCAGCAATTGAGCTTCATCCCCGCCATTCTTCCGATCTCGAAGCATACCTCATATGTACGAGTCATAGTGGGCGAACGAGTTGAAACTCGCCGAGCGCCAAATTGCCAGCGAAAAGAGGTCGAGAGTCCTCTCATGAACAAGTGAGACCCTACTGCAGATTCAAATGAGCAGGGTTGTTACAAGAAACCCCAGCTCCAAAGTTTATGGTTCTGGGTTGCTTCCGACTCTCCTCGGGAAACCGTCAGACCGGGAAGGTCACGTGCTTATCTATATGTTGAGATGTATATCCCCCTGCTATATGGTATTGCTTCGTATTTATATAGGTTGAGAAAGACCCTTGGAAAGACGCCTAGGTTCAGAGGGTTCAAAGGGTCCTCCGCGCAGATACAACCCATGTGCAGCAGGCACGCCAGTTGACATAGGAAAATCTAGAATTTGGGTCTAAAGCACAAGTACAACTAGAGGTACAGTTCCTGTAGAAGACAAGGATATACAGGGTAAAATGGAAATCAGTTTCGCTCAAAGTATGCGCTTACTCAACACGCAAGCACTGGAGGCGGGCCTCAGCCTCGATGACCTAGGAAAAGACTGTCAGTAAACGAAAGAAAAAAAAATCCAAGAAAGAGAAGTGCTTACCTCGAGAGCCTGCTTGACTTCAAGAACCCTACGGACATCACCGAGCCAGTCCTTGCTAAGAATCTTGGCCCATCCCTGGAGAGTGTTCATCTCCCGGGCAGCGGCATCAACATCGCCCTGGTGCAAAAGGTTCTCGGTACGAACGAGAACGCTCTCGACATCATCACCCTCGGACAAAGCATCCTTCTTGAACATGACTTTGCTCAGAACAAGGCTAGCAGCGTGGCTGGCCACACCGGCATCCTCGGGGAGCAGGCTAGCCTTGCGGACTTCACTGGCAACCCGGCGGAAACGCTCAATGATCTGAGTAGGAGAGGGAATACCGCGCTGGTAAGCAGTGGGGTTGATGGAGGCAATGGCAGCCTCGACAACGGAGTCACCAGCAGCGAGCTCCTTGACGGCAACAAGCTCGCGCACGAAAGGACGAGGAGTCTCGGCGCGCTCGACAACGGTGCGAACGGCATCAAGAGCAACCTGCAGTTGCTGGGTCTTGAGGTTAGTGTCGATGACATCGCTCCATCCAGCGGTCAGCTTCTCAAGCTCCTTGATGTCAGTAGTGAGCTCGGTGAGCTTGCTGAGACGACCCTCACGCTCACGCTCAACGAGACCCTGGACCTCATGAATGTACTTGCGGTTCAGCTCGATGGCTTGCTCGACAAGCTCGTTCTGGAGACGCTGCTCAGCGAGCTCCTGGGCATGGCGGAGCTCAGTGGTGAGCTTCTGCTGGTACGCGTGAGCGAGCTTCTCGCGCTCGGCCTCGAACTCCTCGCGGAATGAAGCGAGGTCGGTGCCGCGCACTTCCTCAAACTGACGGATCAGCTCCCGTGCGGACTCATCAAAGGTGGCGTGAACCTTGTTGATCTCCTCCTGGGCAGCGTTGCGCACATCACTGCGGATAGCGGCAATCTTCTCGCCAATCTTCTCGAGCTCGCCCTTAGCCTTGGCAACTGGGGCGGAGTACTTGCTAGAGTTCTCATCGGCGCTGATGACAGTAACAATGTCATTGAAGGTCTTGACCAAGTCCTGAACAACAGAGTCGTCGCCATCCTGCAACTGGAGCAACTCGATGGTGCTGGCAGAAACAGCGGGCTGGCGGGGCTCCTCCAGAGAGACCTCCTTCTTCTCCTCGGGCTTGGCGCTGAGTTCCTTGTCACTGGTCTTTGCGGCCTTGTCTTCCTTAGCCTTGGAAACAGCAGCGGAGCGGTCTTCGGGCTTGGCGGTCGCGGGCTTAGTTTGGGCGTCATTGGCACGGGCATCGTGAGACGCCTTGGCGGCAGTCTCAGTGTCAGCCTTTTCTTCGCCAGCAACCTTCCAAGACAGACCACTCTTGCTGGGGATGGTGACAGGTGCACCCTCCTCTCTGGGCGCAGCGGGGAGGCGGTTTTGGTGTCTCAAGGCATTGGGGAAACGACGGTGGAAATCGCGCTCTTCGAAGTAAAGAACGGACTGTTCACCGTAGGGAATGTACTCGGTGAAGAAGTCGTGGAAGTTATCGGACTTCATGGCCAAGAAGACGCTGCCGCCATAGGCAAAGCCTGAGGTGAGGATCAGGTAGATCAAGAATCGGCGGAACCGGCCGGTCTTGCGGGGGGCAACTGATTCAGGTGAGGGAGGAAGCTTGGATTCTGCAGGATGCTTGATTTAGAATCAAACAAAAAAGCTTCAATTGTGTCTGATGAAGGGGCGTCGTCATACCTTGTTCGGCGGCCTTCAAGACAGTCTCGGGAGGCACACTGGATTCAGAGGAAGGAGTAGCTGGGGTCGCACCACCAGTAGTAGGGGGCTTAGAGTCGGCGAAGAAGCGCTGCGCGTTGTCAATATGAGCATCAATGAAGCACGTGTATATGGTCATCCTACCTGGCCTGCGAGCCGGCTGCTTGCACCGGCTTTGGAGAGCCATTGTGAGGGGATCCGTTGGCGGATAGGGTTCGACAGCAATTGCCGACCCGGAGCAATCGAGGAGCGCAGCATCACCGCACAAGCGCCAAAAAGAGTGGCTAGAGGTGATCAGAGAGATGCTCGAGTGGATGGGTAGGAAAACGGGAACTGGACGTTCGGATGCGATCCGCCCCGATAATCCTGCGGGCGGTCAGCGCATTGCCCGCCATACACCGGTGTATGCAGGAGGCAGTTGAGCAGTTGATAATAATGTAGTATATAGGGAATTTTTATCGTTCTTATATTTTAGGTCTGGATGATTAGTCTGATCTAATTAAGTGGCGACAAATACCCAAGCACGAGCCATGCAGTCCAAGCAGTATCACAGAACTACTTAAGTACGGAGTATATCGCATAATGTATGGCCTACCGGCATTTCGATTTAGTCTCAAGTACGAGTATATCCGAAAGCAAGAATCTTGGAATATGTACTTAAGTAGTTTATAAAAAATACACCCTTGCATATGCAAATCTTTCCCATCATGTAATGTACCTGCATCTTGCGATTTGAAAGAATACACCTACAGAGGGTAATCGCGGAGCTGTTGTACCATTGTTTGTACATACAGGTGAGAAAAATGTATTATTTGGGCATGACATACTAAGAATCGTGGAACAGGGGGTAACGGTAGCAGAAATTGGGCCCAACAAACGATCGGACGAAGGAGAAAGGAGAAAATGCAGACGCCAGGTTGAAAGGAGCAAGGAATACAAGAAAAGCACCGTGGAGCACAGATAGATCCTTGCCACAGTATGTCCCCAAGCCAGGTTTCACATACGTTCTTGGAGGTAAACCCTCACCAACAAGAATATATCGAGGTGCAAGAGGGTTGGGCATTGGGCAACAGACTGGGCAAAAACACAAGAATCAGAAAGAAATCCGAGAGAGCTAGATTGATCAAACCGAGAGTCTATCTCTCAACTCCAGAACGGGTGGGGAATGGTGCCAGAGCCAGGCAAAACAATACTGGCGAAATCATAGATAGTCACAGGGTGGAATTACCATTGAGTGATGCTGGAATGTGAAGCCTTCACCAGTCTCAGGCGGCGAGTGAAGGGAAGGCGCAATGGCCCACACGGGCTATAGGCGATTGCCTCTTTAGCAGTTGCAGGCGCCGGCGCCTTGGGTGCCAGGGGCCTCAGGGCGCAAGTCAACACCAGGGCGAGGGGCTGTCCGCATGTTCCGAGTGCCAGCTTGCTCCAGGGGCAGCTTCTTTGCGATGGCGGTGAACAACTCCTTTACATTCGTTGAGGACTTGGCGGAGGTTTCGAAGAAAAGTAGACCTGCTTCACGAGCATAAGCCTCGGCATCAGCCTCTGGAATGGCCCGCTTATCAGGGCTCTCTGTAACCAGATCAAGCTTGTTGCCTGCCAGGGCGATCACGATGTTCTCATTCGCCTGACGTTGAAGTTCCTTCACCCATGACTTAGCTTTGTCAAGCGATGACTAGAAAAATCACAGGTAAGTTAGTCTCTACGCTGCGGATCAAGTTATAGGCCAGGTGATAGGATAGAGCTGGGGCATACCGCTTGGGTGATGTCATAGACAACCACGGCGCAGTTGGCGTTTCGGTAGTACATGGGGGCCAATGACTTATAGCGCTCCTGACCGGCGGTATCCCAAATCTCAAATTTGACCGTGGTGGATTCATCGAGGGAGATAGTCTGTGTAAGGAAAGCGGCACCGATTGTCGACTCGCGGTAATCATCGAATTGGTCCTGAGCCACGCAGTCAGTACTTCAGCCCTTTTTCCGGCGCACGTCCTCGTGGGAATATGAGACCAGCGATTCTCGAGAACTCACTTTCACAAATCGGAGGACTAGGGAACTCTGGAAGATGGCGGTCAAGTCAGCGGCTGATCAAGAGGATCGCAGAGGATATCCCAAACCTTTCCGACGGCAGACTCTCCTGTACAAGCACTCTATTAGCAAACAACACCACCTAAACAGAGACCGAAGTCACGGAGAAGCATACCGAGAAGCACTAGCTTGAACTGAGCGAATCTTGCGCCCGGGCGGGCTCCTGCTGGTTGCCTGGAAGCCATGATGAAAGGCGGATGAAAGTGGAATAGGACACAAAGATAAGACAAGTCAGATATCCCAGGATCACCGAGACAAGTAAAAAAGACGGAAGATCCAAAGGGTTTGAGAAGTCGAAGGCAGACGGGAATAGATGACGGAACGCCCAGCCACAAGGGCAGCGGGGCGGTGTGGCTGGATTGACCAGAGTGGCCCGCGCCTGCCCTGAATGCATGTGTTTGTTAACCTCTTGTATACTCTCTCTCTCTCCCTCTCTACTTTCTCTATTTCTCACGCTATTCTCGGCTTGGAGTGAGGGACTGTGATCATGGCCCCGCCTGTTCTCCCTTTCCGGGATATCAATCTTCATGCATCTCCCTCTCACTATGCATTTACATCACCCTCATCTCGACAGGCACCAACATTGGTAGTGGACCGACCAACAGGGGACTTGCGCCTGAATGATGGACCCCTTCCAGGTGCTAAACGGATCTCCAGCATTGCAGGAATTCTGGGAATCCTAAAACTGAAGCTCGGTAATGACCACCTCGGTTAGAAACTCAGGAGGTTTGCGCTAACAGACCCAGATAAGTACATTATTGTCATTACCAAAGCACAGCCTATGGGCCGATTGCGCGGCCACATGGTGTACAAGGTTGCGGGAACTGAATTCCTTCCGATGCGCGAACGACCACTGCATGACAACGACGAAGATGCCTACCTCACACTTGTCAAGGACCTGCTCCGAAGAGGGCCCATGTACTTCTCATACTCGCTGGATATCACCAACAACTTCCAGCGTCAATCTCAGAGCCCCACCAATGTTCCCATGTGGAAGAGTGCGGACGACCGCTTCTTCTGGAACCGCTTCATTCAATCAGACCTCATCGATTTTAGCGTAGGAGCCAACGATACAAATGGGGTGCGTTATGGTCCTCAGCCTGGAGCTGACCCTTATATTCTGCCGGTGATGTTCGGCATGTTGCGCATTGTCTCTGCCAAGGTCAAGTCAACTTCATTCACTTATGCCCTTATCACCCGTCGGGCCAGACACAGAGCCGGCACAAGATACTTCACCCGTGGAATTGACGAGCAAGGTCATGTGTCGAACTACAACGAGACTGAGCAAATAGTGATCCTTAACGACTCTAAAGGTGGACTTTCCGGGTTTGGGGGTGGCCAGTCAATGACCAGCGGTAAGGCCGGCCAAGACCTCCAGGTTTACTCATTTGTGCAAACTAGAGGCAGCGTGCCGGTGTTTTGGGCTGAAGTCAACGATCTGAAATATACCCCCAAGCTGCAGGTTCGAGGGGTGGAGACTGCAGTTGACGCCGCACGGAAGCATTTTACCGAGCAGATCGACATTTATGGAGAAAACTACATGGTCAACCTCGTGAACCAAAAGGGCAGAGAAGAACGTGTCAAACGGGCATATGAGCAGCTGGTTCGCACTTTAGTTTCTTCCTCGTCCGAAAGCACTGAAACTGATGAATTGACCTCTGAAAAGCTGCATGTGCTGGAACCTGGGTCCAAGCAAAAAGAGATGGATCGTTTGCACTACGTGTACTTTGATTTCCACAATGAGACCAAGGGTCTCAAGTGGCACCGCGCCGAACTGCTGATGGGCCGCTTGATGGACGGACTGGTCCAAGGTGGCTACTTCCGCGGGGTTGAGAGCCCTGGTTCCCCCGACGGACAGTTGGACACTCGTTCCACACAGACTAGCGTTGTTCGCACCAATTGCATGGATTGTTTGGATCGCACCAACGTGGTGCAGAGCATGCTCGGCCGCTGGGCTATTACACGGCAGCTCGTCGATGCGGGTGTTCTTCGCACTGGTGAAAATGCCAACGACGACAAAGAGTTTGAAACCCTGTTCCGCAACATTTGGGCGGATAATGCCGACGTGGTTTCCAAGTCTTACTCTGGCACCGGTGCTTTGAAGACCGATTTCACTCGCACGGGTAAGCGTACTCGCGCGGGTATGTTGCAAGATTTGAATAATTCTATCACTCGTTATGTCCGCAACAACTTCATGGACGGGCCTCGACAAGATGGCTTCGATGTTTTCCTGGGTACCTACCTTCCCTCAGACTCAAGCTTTGCGAACATCCAGCTGTTCGTTGACCAGCGCCCGCTTGTCATCCAGTCGATTCCTTATGTGCTTGCTGCTAGCGTCTTTATGGTCCTGGTGGCTCTGTTCACAAGACGACTACCTGATGCTACTGTCTGGCCTCTTCGTCTGTTTATGATCTTCTGGACGCTTGTGGCAGTTTATTGCTCCCGCTTCTTGCATGGACATGGCATGCTCTATGTAAGTTCATTCCCCACTCTAAACCCCCGCCTCCGCCAAGCGTTGTCTAACTGTTGTAACAGGTCAACTGGCCCAAGCTCAACACACCGGTCGCTGGTGCTGAAGGGTATCAAGATGCCCTGATCAAAGCACGATCTGATCCGATCGTCGGCAAGTGGCTCCCTAACAAACGGCACCAGCGTGGAATCAGCAATGCCCGTCTCGTATTTTTGGAGGAAGGAAAGACAAGGATTGAGTAAAATACTCTCCTCGGCGTTCTTGGTTCATTCATTTCTTTTACCAATGCCTCTACTTCGTACACTTCACGGCTCATGTTTTATTACCTGTTCTTTTTTTCTTCTTCACACTCTGGCCCATCGGCTTTTCTTTTCCTTGACCCATCATCCTTTCAACTCTAATTGCACTGGTTGTTCAATACACATTTTCTTGTATCTGGTCGACCCTTTGAACCCTCTGAACCTAGGCATCTTTCCAGAGGTCTTTCTAAACCTATATCAATACGCAGCAATACCATATAGCAGGGGGATATACGACTATGTAGCAATGGCTTAGGGCAAATCGAAAAGGGCAAATAAAGTGATTACGTAACCATACCGCTGACGCGCATCCCCGATCTACAGACGTTACTCCGTGCAGAATAGTCATGCAATCTGATTGATTGTACGAAGTGCCGAACTCGAGAATTACTGACCTGGCGCATCGCATATATGCTCGCTGCTGGGAAAAGAATGTCCGTCTCTGTGTCGAGCGTGGTCATCTAGCTCAGTGGCCCTTCCCGCGGCAATGTCGCAACGACCGAGCGAAACTCCGAACCGATCCTCAACGTCGCCGGTGAATGAACGAACGCAAGAAAGACAAGCTTCAGGCAACACATCTCCTTTTCTCCGATCCGATGGAGGTTCGTTCCGCCAAACCACGCCTCAAATGAATGACCGAGCGAGCGGGGAGCTGGAGGGGACTACGTTGGGCAGCGGCTCTCGTGATGGAGAACGGAGGACACAGACACAAAGGAGAACGCAGAGCTCCAGTGGCTTCTTACTGGACTCTTTACCGCGATCGAGAAGCACAAAAGTCAGTCTGCATCGACCTCGCCCATCGGAACCTACCCAAGAAAAGCGCAGTGTGCCAGAGCCGGAGATAGTGGTCCCTAAGAAGCGCTCGCGATTTCCATGGAGTCGACATAAGCATCACGCATCCGAACCTGTGGAAAAAGATACGACTTCAGGTCCAACAGATACCCGGCAGGCTTCGTCTTTCGATAAGCACCCCTCTCGAAACTCTTCAGGACCCGAGGTGCAGGATAATACCGAGCAGTCGACCCCTGGCTTTGACAGGGACTCCCTTCAAATTGTCAACCTTGCCCTCAATCTCAACGAATCGCGAAGGCGCACAGCTTCTGGAATTCCCCCGGGCCCGGGCCGAAGACCAATCTCCGTTTCCCAACCTGCTGTTCCGCCAGTCGATAGCTACGGGCAATCCTCAAGGGCAAGAAATTTCCAACGTGACTCGACCTATCGCAACCTGACCCAACTCCCGGGTGATGGCATGTCACAGGGGACCCTGCCGAGCTTGGACCGGTCGTCTGTAGTGAACCTCTTGCCTCCCTCTGCGGTCGAGGATCATAGAGCGTACGAATTCTCCGAGAGTACATTGGTTCGGGCACAAAAGGCTCGTACTCATTTTGATCTATTCCATGAGTATATGCGACTGCTTCCTCTGTTACCTCCACTCCGAGAAGCAGCTAAGGATGGCTCGCCGGAGTCTTCAAAGACCCAGTCTAACCGTGGCTACAATCCACTTCAAACTATCCGAAATCGCAAGGTCAGGTATCGCGAGAAGTGTATTATCGATCCAGATGCCGAGGGGTGGCATGACGCGGAAAGGGTTCATCAATGGATCGATAATGTCGAGCGAAAATACAGCAAAACCGATCACGACCAGCTGGAATGCTTGAAATTACCACCTTTCAAACAAGGCCATCGCCATGCATCTATTGGAGAGCACGATGACATGGAAATGGCAACCTCACCTCCGGCAAGTTTGCGACGTGTCAGTCGAACAAGCAGTACGAAAGCTCGTCGGCCGCGGATTGATTGGAAAATTTCACCCGCAGAGCTTTTGGCTGATGCTGCATGGCTCGAAGATGGCACCAACAAGACAAAAGTGGTCGATAAAGATGGTTTCAAACTTTACCCTGATCCCACGCAGCTGGTCATCCTAAACACGCGTGATGACACTGCGACCCCTTACAAGCAACGTCTCTCGTTTGAGGTGGGAGATCATGGCGAGGTTAATTCGTCGCCACGAACGTCTCTTTCGAGTACTCATCCTGCATTGGCGCATGAATTCAAAAGTGTGGGCCGTGGGAGACACAGACACCGGTTCCGAAGTCATTCACATAGCCTTCGCAGTCGTAGCGGCTCCAGCACAAGGAAGCCGTCTCGATGGAATAAAGTGAAAATGCGTTCTGGTAGTGTCTCAAGCTCTTCCAGTTCGGAGTCTCGCCCTTCTATCGACGAAAGACCTCGAATGTCCCGCGAGCACCTCCGCGAACATGTCCAAAGATTCGTTGACCACGCACAAGCTTCGGGATCTCGGATATCTCGCGCCAAATCCCCCGCCGTCAGAGGTACCGAGCATGATCGGGGAAGGACACCGCAGCCTTCCGAGCCATTGACGCTGAACACAGCGCATAAAAAGCATCGAAGAGCCTCGGTTTCATCAGCGGGAAGTATGGACTACCGATTTGATCCTCGAATGTCCGTGGAGGGGATGGACAGTACCGCACCCAACTCTCCCATTCATGCCGGCTACTTCCCAAGCATAGCGGTGAACTTGTCGCCTCCTTCTAGTCGATCACCCTCGCCCGCGAAGAAAGGTTTGCGCCACAAGATTGTCTCTCGCCACGAGCGGAGCAAAAGCAAACAGGCCCATCGAGAACGGGAAGACGATGCCCCAGGTTATGAGACCCCGCATCACCAACCCACGTCGTCGCTTGACTGGAATGAGGGTGCTTCCAAACTTGATCCCAGTCCTCTTCCTGACTCTGTTTCGCCATCCTATGATGACCAGACCGTGTCGGAAGGACATCGACGCAAAGGGAGCCATGTCCCTGAATCAAAGCTACGGGGAATCTTCAAGGGCCCTGGCCGAATTGCAGAGATTGTCGGCAATGAAGTGTCCAAGGTTGGAGATCTTATTCTGAAAAAGGATGCTGATCCAGAATCTCGCAAATCTTCATCCGCCAATACTATTGCTTCGGACGATAGCGACTCGGATGAAGATCCCAGGACGGACAAGAAGGTTGGAACTTTACCGCGGAGAGAATCCGACAAGACCTCATCTCGCAACTATATCTCACTGCCATCTTTCGCCTCACCCCTACGCTCCGATGAGCGAAGTAAGGTTCCAGCTGAGGCTGATTTGGGTAGCCCTCGCGATCAATTCACCACCCCACGGAAGTATGACCCCCGTGAGTCCAAGAGGTTTGCTTTCCCGCGCAGCAAGACACTTGATTTCAGCCCCTCGCTCCAAACAGGGCGTTCCAAGCGCCACGAAATCAAAGATCCTTCTATCCCTTTCAGCTTGACCCGGCCTCCTGTCACTGGACTTGCCAAGGCTCGAGCATCGCCCGGTATTTCACCCGAGGGAAGACGGTCAGGACTCTCCGGTGCCAGTCGCGCTTGGAGTATCTCCGGACGCAGTCTCCATAATCTGAACGACAACGGTATACCTGCCAAATCCGAAATCGAGCGCACACGGGCTCTTCTCCTGTCGTCAGGTATCAAAGCTCGAGAGATAAAGCGGAGAGCCCATACTACCCGTGAACCGGCTCCACATTGGCTTCAGAGCTCTCTGGGTTCTAGCACGTCTATTCCGAGAGTGACGCGCATCAACGAATTCGACCTTGCCGCTCAAAATCTGCTACAGAGGTTCGAAATGACTCAAACTTCATTCCAACAATCCATGCATCAATTCTCCACCACCACATCCTCCCCTCTTCGTTCTCAGATCAAGAACCTGGAAAACTTGGTTAATCAATCGCTTGCTCCCCGTGTGAGGGCGACAGCGAATGATGCCGAGGATATGTGTGTCCAGCTCAACACTACGAGCACGCTCGCTGTTAAACACCTTAGCGATGCTCTTGACAAGGGCGTACGCAAGCGTCGTCGCCGATTGAGATGGATCCGCCGAACTGGCTTCATGGTCTTGGAATGGGCTCTCGTTGCTATGCTTTGGTGGGTGTGGCTCATTGTCATGGCTTTCAAGCTTGTCCGTGGTGTATTCCGAGGCTTTTTCTCTGGTGTGCGATGGGTCCTTTGGCTTTAATCGCTTGTCTGGACTTTTTTCTCTCTTTCCTTCGTTGAGTGCCTTTGGCCCTTTCTAAATTATTCGTTCTAACTTCATCGCCCCTTTTGCGTGCATATACCCTTGCAGTATGCATTTTTTTTTTTTTCAAGCCTGCTGTCTTCTTTCCCGTCTACCATACATTATTTTAATGGACTCTAGGAGCGTTTATCAACTTCCGTTCTGACATTCTGCCTGTGAATTGTATATATCTCAGCTGCATCAATTCTAATACATCCAAGGGGCTTTCCCATCTGACTATCCAAGATTCCCAAGTGTCATCTTGCCCCAAGACCACAGAGGATCCCGGCTTCAAATGAGCTGTAAGAACTCTTTGTTCTCGCCACTCTCGTGGCACTACCAGACAATCCCTTTAAATATGCTCAAAGACTTTGAGCTTTGGCTAAGCCTTTGTCTTTTTCTTTCTTGTCCGTGCATCTCTATTCAACCATTCAATCCTCTGCCATATCGGGCTCTGAAGTATATATTCAACCCTAACCCCAGTTATTCGTTTTGCTTCATCCATAACAATACTCTTAGACAACCCATCTGCTGACTACCAAACAGCTGTATATCTACTTAAATACCCACCAGGTAACTATCACAAATGTCTTCAGGTAAGCGTCCTACTGACCTCTCCAAATCATCAGGAAGCTCAATCTCCTCAGCCCTCGCCCACAAGATCCGCAGCACAAGTCACTGGGCCTCCCACACGCTCTTCATTTCCTTCATGGCCAACAACCCAATTGAAACAATTCGAGATGTCCGCGACAGACGCCGAGCCATTACCTGGGACGTCAAGAACATCGCACACCTCCGCAACTGTCTTCGAGCCTGGGTCAAAGACGAAGTCCCAGCAGATATCATCGGTGCATTCCTAGTCAACATCCTTTACCAGAGAGATTACCATCTGGGTTATCGACTAACCACTCTGGTACGGGCTGACAAGACAGCCGCACATATCGCCCGTCGTGCCCTAGCCTTCTACCAAGTCCACGACAAGGCCGGGAAACCACTGTGGGTTGAAGAAAAGGTTCCAACGCCATATGCCAAAAGTCAGCCCTTACTTCCAACCCCAGAGCACGCGGATCCACGCTGGCCTGCGTTTTTGGACGGACTGAACGAATTGCAGCTAGAAAAGCTTCTTGAAAAGCTACCCCAGGTCTCTGCAGACGCTAAAAACCTCTCCGCCATCTTCAGGGAACTGAAACATGGCGACATGTCCATCATCCAGACATTCCATCGGTTCAACGCCCATTCCGAAGATAGTCCAGAAGTATATAATCAGCTTCGAGACATTGCAAAGGCAACAAAAGATACCAACAAGACCGATCCACTATCAATGAAAACCCTCCACGATGCCCTTCCATCCCTCGCAACCGAAAAACCTCTCCCCGATCTCCCTCCCAAGAACTCGCCTCCCCCTTCGCCTCCCCCAGGTCCACCCGTGACAGTCCGGACCTTCAATTCAGAGAACCAGAAGACTCGCTCTATTTTCCCATCAGGTACGAAATGCAATGCAACTCCTGCGCGAAAGGATACCGATTCCACCGCTAGCACATTGGTGTATACTGGGGATTTCTCGACGCCACAAGATTCGCAACATCCTGCGCTTAGAAGGCCTAAGAAGTCTGAGGATCTTCGAAAGGACCGAGAGCGGGGTGCTCGACATTGAGGCAAGTAATTTGCTTCAGGTGTGTATCAATTTGACTTGATGTTTGGCTAATTTGACAGCATGATCTCTAATCATTTAGGTTTTTGTAGAAGGTAGCTTATTCGGCTACTGAACTTGTAATTTTTGCCTTACGATATATCCTAATTTTGTGGGCTTTAGTTGTTGAAATCCAAGGATTCATATACAAAATGCAGAGCTTTCCAATGGTATACCCGAACACTCGTAGACAGGACCAATATTTGGCAACTTGTTTTAATCATTGCCCACCTGCCCAGGTGGACTACTTAAGTAAAAACATCAGCATCATAGGTATGTTCATTGAGATTCATCTATTGATATACATGAGTTGGGAGTGAGATATATGACGGGCTCTAATCTTCAGACAGGAGTAAAAAAAAGTATCTTGATCTTGAAATACAGGTCCCAGAAAGGCAAAAGAAAATATGATGCCATGTGTAAATAGTACAGGGGTTTTGATGTGAGAAGCAAAGCAGTTGAGAATCCCCTTGAAGGGATTCAAATCCAAATCTGCTGCCTCTGAGATCCAACAACCAAGACCAGGCACTGCCCGGTTGGAATTGTCAGGGGTCGAAAAGGTGTTATTACAAAGTTTAGAAGGTTGTCGTTTATTTCTTGTGGCGGTCAGCCAGGGCCTTGAGGTGCTTGGCAATGAGCTCCTTCCTGTAAGAGAGGGTAGGTTAGTATGTATTCGGACGACAAAAAAGGAATTAGAAACGTACTGCATCTGAGGAGGAGCCTTCTCGTAATGGCTGAACTCCATGGTATATTCACCCTTGCCCTGAGTAGCAGCGCGCAGGTTAGTACTGAAGCCGAACATGCCGTTCAGACTGCAGTCAGCGTAGATGGTGAACTCATCGACACCAGTCTCGGTATCGTTGATAGTGGCACCACGCTTGTTAAGCAGACCAATAACATCACCCTGGAACTCAGTAGGGGCGGTGACAACCGTCTTCATGAGAGGCTCCAGGACAGAGGGTTGACTGTCGGCGAAAGCCTTACGGAAGGCCTGCTGGGTGGCGTTCTTGAAAGACATTTCAGAGGAATCAGTCATGTGAGTAGCACCATCGTTGATGACCATGCGGGTTCCCAGAACCTTGTGGCCGATAAGAGGACCCTTGTCACAGGACAGGTTGAATCCCTTTTCACAAGCGAACAGGAACTTCTCGGAAATACTTCCACCAACAACCTGCTGCTCGAACTTGTTCTCCTCCAGAGCACCAGTGGGCTCCATGTAACCCATGACACGGGCGTATTCACCGGGTCCACCGGACTGCTTCTTGAGCAGGTGGTCGAACTCAACACGGCTACCGATGGTCTCACGGTAGGCGACCTGGGGTTGACCAGTTTCGCAGTCGACACGGTACTCACGACGCATACGCTCGACGTAAATGTCGAGGTGAAGTTCACCCATGCCGGAGATAATGGTCTGGTCACTCTCGTTGTCGTAGGTCACACGGAAAGTAGGATCCTCTCTCTGGAAACGGGCCATGGCCTTGGAGAAGTTGGCACCGTCCTTGCTCTGCTTGGGCTTGATGGAGAGCGAGATGACGGGCTCGGGGACGAACATGGAAGACATGCTGTAGCCGAGCTGACCATCAGTGAAGGTGTCACCGGAAGCACACTCAATACCGAACACGGCGCAAATCTCACCAGCGCCAATCTCGCTGACTTCCTCCATCTCGTTGGAGTGCATACGCACAATACGGGGAACCTTGACCTTCTTGCTGTTGCGAGCGTTGAAGACGTTGGAACCCTTGCGGAGGGTACCCTGGTAGACACGGATGTAGGTCAACTGACCGAAGTTGCTCTCCTCAAGCTTGAAAGCAAGACCAACGAAGGGGAGGGAGTTGTAAGGGACAAGCTTGACGGAAGCCTCGTCACGCTTCTGGTCAAGGGCAAGGTTCTCAACCTCGGAGGGGTTGGGAAGGAAGTCAATGACACCGTCCAACATGGGCTGCACAGACTTGTTGGCGAGAGCAGATCCCATGAACACAGGGGTGAACTTCAGACCAATGGTAGCACGACGGATGGCCGCGCGGATCTGGTCCTCGCTGGGAACGAGCTCATCCAAGAACATCTCGGCGATCTCGTCATCGACATCGGCAAGTGTCTCGATGAGCATGCTGCGACGCTCCTCAGCAAGGGCCTTGACCTTCTCAGGAATCTCATCCTTAACCATGATATCCTCACCACTGGAGCCAACGTTGTACAAGGCCTTCATGCGGATCAGATCCACAACACCCTCAAACTCGTCCTCGGCACCAATGGGAACCTGGACAGCAGCCGCGGGAATCTTCAACTTGGTGTTGATTTGATCCACAGCCTTGAAGGGGTTGGCACCCATGCGGTCCATCTTGTTCACGAAAGAAATACGGGGAACGTTGTAGCGACGCATCTGGCGATCAACGGTGATGGTCTGGGACTGGACACCGGACACAGCACACAGAATCATGACAGCACCGTCGAGCACGCGCAGCGCTCTCTCGACCTCGATGGTGAAATCAATGTGACCAGGGGTATCAATCAAGTTCAGGTGGTACTTCTGGTCAACACCCTCCTTGTCCTTCTTCACCCAGTCACAGAATGTAGCAGCAGACTGAATGGTGATACCCTTCTCACGTTCCAAATCCATGGAGTCCATCTTGGCTCCAACACTGTCACGCCCGCGGACTTCGTGGATGGCCTTGATACGACCAGTGTAGAAAAGGACTCGCTCGGTACAGGTGGTCTTACCGCTGTCGATGTGGGCCTGCAAAAGAACTGATTAGACACGATTGCACATCAATTGGTCTTCAAGTGGGATGATACACACCGCGATACCAATGTTACGGCACTTGTCCAAACGAGCAGCCTCCACGGGATCCAGGTTGTCAATAATGGCGGCTTGGGACAAGCCATCGGGGTTGGCCTTCGCAGCCTCGAGACTATGATCAGGTCAGAGATTGTGATAGCGTATTTCGGGGAATTGAACTTACACTGCAGAAGCGGCCGCAGAGGCATTGCGTCGTTGGTCCCATTGTCCCAACTTAGACTGATAAGCCGGCGCAACCGCGGAGGTTCGGAGAGCCGTGGACGCGCATCGCTGGCGCAGCAGAGTCTGGGGTTGGAAACGGGCTGAGCGAGTCAGACCAGAGACCGCACGGGACTGAAGCCGTGCAAGAGAAGGAGACCACATTCTGATCCACCTGGATTGTTATCGCGGACGGAGAAGACGCGGAGGGAGGAAAAAAAGTTCGGGGCCAGGTACACGGCACGTGACTAGCACGGACCACATCAACATTCGAGTAACTGCAGTTTCCCTCTCCGTATAGTACTTATACAGTATATACAACCCATTGAAGACATTTCTCACGGCCTCTAGAGCCATGTGTGACAGTCTCTCACAACGCTAAGTGCTTCCCATGGAGGTGCATGCCTCACCAGATCCAGAAATAAAATGGCTCTGGAGCCATCTACAACAACTCCACATTCCTACGGAGCACTAATCACCACTCGCATATTGGAAATAAGCACCCTCGCCCACACACCTTTCGTCCCGCGTGATTCGTCAATTTACCAGCTGTGTCGATACACCGTACATACGGTAGTGTACAGCGGCCAGTTCTCTTTAATGAATTCTGCCATATTAGACTCCCCTTTCGATACTTTCAATCTATGGATATGCTTTTTTGAGTCACCTGAATGTCCTTTTATGCTACATGACAGGATTTCGAGTTCTAATTGAATAGTTTTCGTGCGTAGAAAGGAGATCAGTGGTCTAAGAGACTAGGGCATAAAAGGTGCGCAATGGGAGAAAAAAAGAGTTTAAGGAGGAAAGCGAGAAAGACCGAAACATCTAGGCATGGCACGCTCCGAACGCATAAGAGTGGGAGCTCTGAGAAACAACATTCGAGAATCAAACAAACTCAATGGAAATATACAGCTGATTAAATGATGAGCTCACAAAAACTAGGCTGCTCTTGAAAGAACCGTAGTTGTTGGACATATACTCAGACGGGAGCCAAAACATCCTCTGTGCATCCTTCATAACCCATCCTCGCTCAACGTGAAGCAGGCCCTGTGGACGTCTGTGTAAAGCAATGCTCTTGGGAGCAAATTCAACCGAGTGAAGGTCGAGAGACTGATCTTGTGAGAAAAGGTAATCATCATACTTTGAAAACTGCAACCCAAACGCATGTAATATTGGTAGTTTCATTGAGAACCCAGTCGCAATTTCCCAGATCCTTGACCTGGCAGCAAGGTATCTGCCATCGTGCGAGAAAGCGTATTCCTGTCTATAAGATGCACCATCTAGTGTCTGTACCCACTTTCCAGTGTCGACATTTAGAATTTTTGCACATAGGTCAACACTTTCGACTTCGTCGACCCGAGATGATGAGGCAGCTAGAAACTTGCCATCGTATGAGCATGCAAGATGATGGACACCATCCCATTCGATTGTGTGTCTGATTTTGGGAGCCGAAAGGTCCCAGATCTGGACACTGAGGATGGTAGCTGTAGCCAAGGTGTTATTCAGCGAGTCACATAAGAAATTGATTGCGTTCACTTGAGAATCAAGCTCTAAGGTCATCGTGCAGGCACCGCTTGCGATCTCTCGCAGATGCACAAACCTGTCTTTGCCTGAAGCAATGAGCTTCCCGTCTGGGGAGATACCCCAGCACCCTGGGGGATCTCGATCTCCCTCATCAGCATCATCATCAGTGATCTCGATATCCCAGAATCGACAGTCTGAATCTTCTGAAGCCGTCACAAGTGTTTGGCTGTCCGGAAAAAAAGGTGATTGAATTCAATCTGCCACCAAGAGCCGTCAGTGTCTTGACACGTTTGCCGCTAGAAGTGTCATAAATATCGATAAAAGATGGACCAGATGAAGCAATCATGCGGCCATTTGGAGAGAATGCAAGACAACGGTTAAGGGTAGAGTCATCTGTGATGATTTTGTGGTCACCGGTCTCAATGTTCCAGAGAGCCGTTCTGCCATCAGACGCAACTGCGAGCCAATTGCAGTCCGGTGAGAAAGCAATTGCAGTGTGGTAAGCCCTGAGGTGGTCCACGTTCTCAAAAACCCGACTGCAGGTGACATTTACGGCGTCCCAAATTTGAAGAGTGTCGTCTGAGGTAGCTAAAGCAATTTGGGCTCCATCAGCAGAGTATGCCAAAGCATAAATCCAACTGAAGTTTTCAGATGTGCTCTTCATTGTATCGGCTCCGATGTTCCAGATTGTCAGGGGTCCTTTTGGCGGGGCCCTAGCAACAGTGCATCCGTTAGGCGCGATACATATAGCATCCGAAGAATTATGACCATCCCATAGATTTCCGGTCTTTTCAGGTGAACCAGCTGATAAAATGTCGGTCATGCTCCAAACTTGCATCTCACCACGATCTCCAATCAGGGTGAGGGTCCTGCCATCTGCTGAGAACGCCACATATGTGCACTTAGTTCTAAGATCTGTTTTCACTAGCCCGGTAGCGGTATCCCAGAGTCTGAGTTTCCCATTCCAGATCCCAGCCAAAGTCTTTCCATCTGGCGATAGGGCCACGTGCAAGCCATAGTACCTTCCGTAGGCCTCGTCGTTTGAGTCAGCCTTATACCGGGGAAGTTCAAGAACCTGAATACATGGGTCCCATTTGTGGTTCAGGCCAAAGATCCCTTTAATGTAGGGAAGCCGATCCTTCCAGAAATATGTCTTGATTTTCGTTTTCTCTGGACAGAACAGAAGTGGTGCACCGTAGATCTGCAATGGTGCACCTTCAATGATTGATCGAAATCTGGAGACGACTTTCTCGGCATCCATCAAGAGCCCAACCAGCTCAGAGCTTTTGTTTTGACTTGACTGTGTCTGATTAGTACATTTGTATGAATTTGATATGCGCGACATACCTGGACGACGGATAACAACTTTCTGACTGACTGCATTCCAGCCTGGAAGTTGTTGATTAAACTCAAGCTCTCAAGCCAATGCAGAAGGTGTTTTTGAAGGAAGGTAAGTAACTCCCCATTCTCACTGAACAAATGCCCACTCCGGAGACTCTGACTGCCTATTGCGCAGAGGTGGTCGACCCAGTACACGCAAGAATATCGGATCGAAGCCAAACAATCTTCGCTTGGGGGCTCCACATCTTCTGAGAGTGTATCGAACGGAAGACCATACATGTTCACTCTGAGGATGGAAGACATTTTCTCGATTGAGCGTTGAAAGATTTCCAAATGGCCTTGACTGGGCCCATCCTTCAAATAGCCCGCCATGTAACTGGTCTCCAAATAGTCTCTGACGGACTGATGAAGTGGATACACAGTATGATCATTTTCACGAGTGCGCAGGAATGAACCGCATTTCACAACAATCTCAGAGGCAGGTACTTGGATAGGAAGACCTGCGCATACACCCAGCTCGTCTGCAGAGAGGGGGCGATTGGCAAGGCAGGTCGCAACAAGAACATTCTTACAAAACTGGGCAGTTTGCTGACCCTCTGAGTTGATCTTTTCCATCAACCTTTCATAGAGAGCAGTGAGGCCATCAGGCAAATCTTCGAGAACTTTTTCGACATTCCAGGAGTCACATTCGCGGAGTTCGCGGAAAATGAGAGCCACCCACAGGAAGATACCATTGGCCCGGCTGTTCAACTCTCCTGCTAATTTGCCAATGACGAAGGGCTGGTACATTTTTCTTTTTTGCATTTCAGAGAGCTTGTGATGGATGTATGCCTGGACCGCACGACCTTGGCCTTGAACATCGATTCGGTCTATAGTTCCCGAGGCAAAGTCTTGGAAGTCTTTGTTCAGCCTGACTTCTGGTCGGCTGGTGACCAGCCACCTCACATGATCGGTCAAGCCCAAAGAATCGGAAATGAGTTCCTTGAGAACCCTAAGATCGGCTCTATCACTAGCCGTTTTGTTGCATTCGTCAAGAGCATCGATCATGAGATAAGTAGGACCTAGAGTAGGGTCCTTAAGCATGCCCTTGAAAACCCTGCAGAGAGACCAGAAAGCATTTGTATCCCCGAAAATATCTGCACCGGAAGTCTTGTAGTCTTGCAAGATATGCGAGAAGAGATGTGGCTGCTGTAAAAGTAACAACCAGATCAATGATCTCAAGACGGCCGTGGGGGTGTTGGTTTTTTCATTGTCGTTCTCGCAGAAGAAGTAAGACATGGATGGCGCATAAACAGCCCGCGCAGCTTCCAGTTCGCGAATGATTCCAATGAAAAGCATGGTCTTGCCGGTTCAAGCAGGCCCATGAATCCATAGAACGCGGCCTTGCTGCTTGTCGGTCCATTCGACGAAGCGTTGGTACTCATGAGTGCGCAGGATCCAGCTGTATGCCTCCCAAAGAACCTCGTCTCTGATTCCTTCGATCTTCGCGATTGTATCCTTTGGATCAACTACACGGAGCGCTCGAAGACAACAATTTCGTTCACTGTCTGTCTGACTATTTTTCTGGGCAGCAATGTAGTCTTGTAGGGTTTGGTTTATGCTCCCAAGTGTTTTTTGAGTCGCTTCACCAGTGCGGAAAATCCTCCCCAGGGAATCCCGTGCGTGGTCTTGGTTGTACCTATTCGAGTCTTGAATTAAACTCTCCTCGGCATTTTTGACACCCTGAAGCTGACCCTCCCAGTCATCCAGAATGATCAAACCACTAAGGAAGTTCAGCCCCTTGTTTCGGAAAAATGAGCACGTACTTCTCATCTGGTACGAGAGAAGAGCCTGATAGAGTGCGATCGTCCTGCCTCTGAGCTGAACAATAACAGACGCATAAGACCTTTCACCCGGCTCTATGTCATCCTTGTTGAGGAGGTGCTCGATAATCGCGCAGTACCATTCCATGCGGGATGTGACGTGAGCAATGCCTTCGAGGCTGGCGCTCAACTCTTTCGCGGGGTTACAAAGGATCTTGAGGCACAATGGTCAGTATGGAGTACGGGAAAAAAGGACCGGACCCCTTGTTATTTCATGCTCACCTGTAACCCAATACACACACCCGCCCACGGGAGTGCTGCCTGGGGGATATTCTGAACAGCCAAGTCAACTGCGGATTTGCATTGTAAAACGCCATTCGCAAACTCGCCGAGCCGCTCGGTGGCCTTTGCCGACTTTTCTACCTTCTTCCGGCCCGATTCAACCAGTTTTGTCATGGTTTCCTCTCTTTTGGCGGGGTCATTCATCTCCGCCGAGACATCGGGGTCTATTGAGTCGGATGTGCCTTCTGACTGCAGTGATGCTTTCAGAGCTTTCAGATACGATTCCACGAGTTTTGGATCATCTTTCACAATTGCCTCATAGGCCTTATTCCAGACTTCCTGGTGAATAGGAAGAGAAGCTCGGTCGTCGACAGATGGCTTGGCTGGTGTCGGTGTCTTATCTTCAGCATCCTGTTTGATTCCACGTGTTGTGGAGGATGGTTCGCCTCTGCCCCGCACAGATAACTCCGTCCCATCGCTCCCTCCCTCTCCCCCTCCCTCTTCCCGGGAGGCTGGAGAACCGACCGCTCCCGTCTCCTTCTTCTCTTGATCGTATGCCCCAAGACCTTGATTTGGATCCTTCGCTTCCTGATTATCTTCCTCGCGACGAGCGTCTTTGGCCTGTTTTGGTTCGTCTCGGCGGTGGAGCCAGGAAAACAAACGGTGTCGTTTACCCATTTCCCGGAAGAGTCAAACTTATTGTCAATTCCTCTTTTGGTTTAAGTGTTTCTTCCCGTCTCTCTCTCTCCCTTCAGATTCGAAAACAACAAAGCTGGTAGACAGACGAGGAAGTGACAGCAACACGTGAGAGGGTTAGTTGTTTAGGGTAGTCGCTGAAATTTGGGAACTCAGACTCTGCTGTCAGTACAATACCGTATCGGTTAGCGGTCATTGTAGCTTGTGGGTTGGGCCACTCGTTGCTGCCCTGTAAAAGCAAACATTCGTGGATCCATGGATTTACTAACGAGACTCGCTGCGGGCCGTAAGAGGGCGCGCTAACATCGATGGGTTCCACTCCCCGGTTGGTCAACCGCTCCCACACTAGGTTCTTGACACGAATTCAATGTGGGTCTGCGTCATATCACAGCCAATCCGAAGAGCTTTTCAAATACAAGGTGCAAGAAGATTCATGGATGATTCACGGGAGTCCCGGGTTCCCGCTTTTGGTAGGTGGGTCCTCTCTCAACTGGTCAATCATGCTCCTGAGAAGGATAGCGGGGCTGTGAACTGCCCAAGGCTCCACTGCAATCATCCATGTGTGTCAAGAAGAGCGCAATTTGCACGGAGTAGCTGGGGAATGCCGTCCAGAATTTATCCATACCCACGATGTGAAGAAGAAGGTCCCAAGGCTGCTTGCGAAAACTGATCAGTTACCTTTGCACCCCAAAGACGAGAGAGTGAAACTCGAAACCCTTCTCCATCTCTCTCTCTCCACGGATAGACCTTTTCGAGCCCCTTCTTCCTTCGCACAGTGGGCCCGCGCAAAGTTTCTTGATACAGTAGAGCCCGAGACCACGAGGAAGAGAGCTGCATTTTTTATTATCATGCTTGGGTACACGTGATTAGGAACATTCACCGCCGATTGGCCTGGATTCAACAATTCAACCCTTCATGACCTTTCAAGGGGTTGGAGGAACGTGATATTGACTTACTGCATTATTGCTGCAGTTCAATCTTTCAGTGGGATCTCACACTATTGAATTCCTCGCTCTATGAATCATGGGTGATGCGATCCGCCCAAGCGACGATGAATTTGATCAGATACTCCGCAAGAGCCTAGGGCAGTGGTCCTCCTACCTCGATCTTGCTAAGGAATTCCCATTCTTTCCTTCTGGAAGCTTCGACCCAAGGGAAACTCTTGGACCAATACCACATTTTCTCGGGCAGGGAAGTCTTCCACCGAATACGTCCTATGCATGTGAGGAGCGATCGCTACAAGGTGCAAACGGTTCCCTTTTCATCAATGGGCAGTCGATATGGAGGACTTCAAACGGAGAATGTACTCTTGACCCCAGGGTACTACCCAAACAGCTACTTCTAGCTGTGCAAAACTCGATGAAGGTCGAGTTCCCGGAAAGTCAACTTCCCTCGGATCGGCACTGTTTAGATGGCGGTTACTTCAACGACGATGAAAAACATATCTCCGTTCTTTTCTTGGCCTGGGCTTATATTCTCTCTGCCCGATGGTCGGAACTGCTCAGTCGCTCTTCTGAGCATCCCTGCCAGGTAGAATTCATCCCGAAGTTTCCAAATAACACACAGGAGGTACCTACTGGTTCAGACCGGCAAGCTACGATCGAAGTCGATGTGGGCGACGAAATTGACGAAGCTGAAGCCTTTTGGTGGAACGCCATTTTACGCTGCGATAGTGGTTGGAACATAAGCTCTCTTCATCGCCACAATGTTTATTTATCGCCATGGTCTGTGTCAATCTGCGGAAAGTCTGGTTTCTCCATCACGGGGAAACTTTCAATGGAGAAAGGAAAACTTCCATCCTCGGCAACTGCACTCGAGTATATCTCTCGGTTCTGCATCCGTCATGATTTATACGATCAATGCTCAGCTTCCCTTTCTGCGGCGCTCTACATTCCTCAGTTGCGTAACAAACCACTTGCTTTTCCTTTATCAACCCACAATTTGCTATTTAACCCACCACAGAGGGGAGCATCGATTGCTGCGCTCATCAAAGAGTATAAAGAAGTGCTCCCCCATCTAATGACATTGAGTTCCAACGCCTGGGGTATACGATCAACCCTACACAGCGCCTTTTTCAACCCGGAAATTCCATGTCATCTTGTCAGCCCTTGGCTGAATCCAGCTTTCGCGATAATTGACCCTATACTAAAACAGAATGACTTTTCTACGCTCGCAAAACTTCTCGCACTACGCAATCCTCGACTCGGATCACTGTGGCTTGGTGCAATATTGACGGGCCTTGCTGCCTCATTCCTACGTGGTGTACGAGCGGGATGCACTGCGATGGATATCCATGCTGCTGGATGGACCGACACAACCCAGACCTTCTTGACCTGCAAGCTGGGAGTGAGTAATGGTGAATCAATCAGCCGAGAGGATGAAGGTCGGCTTCTTTTTATAACAAATTGCGACGAGTACCACTCACGCGTCCCTATTGAACCTTGGAAGCCTTTCGGTGAGACTCCAACATGCGACACAGAAATTGAAGTCCGAGAACATGTCCAATGTGGATCGCATTGCCTCGAATATGAGGGGTGGAATTGGCTTCTTACGGACGCAGATCCAATTCTAGACCTTGGATTGGAAAATCATCGACCTTCCGTCGAGGATCGCTCGGAGAATTGTCAAGTTGACGCTTTGGCACAGTCACATTCCTTGGACTATGAGGTTTCCTCTCAGTTATACTCGGAATTGGCTACACGCGGAATATTCGGTTGGTTAAGATCAACTGGCTATTTATTAAATGAAAAGCCCCTGTACGAGCATTCGTGGATTGACCTAGAAAGCTCTGAGGAGGAACTGGATGACAAAGATTCTGATATTGCCGAGATAAATTGTTCCAAAAGCAATTCCGTTGAGAAATGGCTCGACAATCTGGAATAGGAGGTTTTCTTTTGCTATGATATCACCGAGACAACCCCGCACATAAAGCAAAGGTGATGAGAATCCAGACTATCCAGCTCCACCATGTCCTATAAACTCACCAGAGAAGATGTGACTTGGGGTGTTGAAGAGTCTGCTGCGATTCAAGCTGCCGGGAGCCCCAATCCTGCCGTTCTTCGTGCTCTGTTGGATTACTGCCAAAGAAAACTTCGTGAATTAGCAGGATGTTCCCCTAATGCAAACATCAGTGGCGGCGATATGGGCACCTACGAGTCCCCACTCACCGCTGCAATTCGTGCACATTCCCCGGAAAATGTTCGACTACTTTTGGCCAGTGGTGCAGACCCAACGGGCATCCATATTTGGGATTTGTCAGATTACTCTGCGAGATTCATGCATGGCAGGGACGATAAAGTGGATATCTCAAGCTTCGGCCTGCCCTCTTCAAGACATCACATTCTAAGAGTGGCAGAGAGCAAGGGAATCACCGATCAAACACAATTGTTGACACAAGCCAAGCTTGATGAGCGCCATACAGGCTTTCCACGGTTCTGGACTGAGCCAAATGTCCCAGGTTGTTAGGGCACGCTCCTGCGGTTGCTGCCCCAACAGTGCGCTACTAGATATACCGGTCCCAGGCATGACAAGACGAGGTCTTGTCATATTAGGTTTTTTGACCAAGTGACTTAGTTGGCTATATGCCTGGGTATAGTGGTTCTCACACGTCGATAGATATCTTCACGGGGATTGAATCTCGGCTTCTCAGACAACTAACTCATCCAGGATGCGAGGCCGAGACAGCTCGTATCCTAGCATGAAAGGTTCTTTCAAATCAAGATTTAACTTTGGCTGTGAGAAAGAAACGATCTTCTCACTCCACAACCCCTTGTGGACCCAGTCAACAGTATGGAAGGTATGAACACACTCAGCTAGGGTAGCGCACAGAGAAATTCGTGTGGAGAGTGAAGGTACTGGTTGCTGCTGGACAAGCTGTTGAAGTTTCACAACTGGCGTTCTGGCATGATGTGGAGGCTTCTCAAGTATATTTTCCCCATATGGGCTCGCCTACCTAAGTGACTCATATGTGAGAATCTGCCTGTATGCTCATCTGTTCGAGGGCCAATCACGTGACTAGACCCCTCTTCTTCTTCACCTCTACTCTCCTCTCTGCTCTTCTTCACTTAACGCATCTCACGAGCTTCGTTGGACAGCTTCTTCTTTGCTACCATCGTTGGCTCTCTCTCATCATCATATGCACCATAATCTTAAAACCCCGAAGAGCATCATCAAAGATACATGTACTTACAACACGAACAAAATCGCCAATGAAGTCCTCATTGACAAATTCGAAGACTTGTGCTATGGCCGGCGAGAATGATCCTCTCTGCTCTGACTGTCGACAAATAGATTGGAATGATATCGTTCAGAACCCACTGGACCCCTTGTTTGCCCGGACGCAATCAGGAGAACGAAAGATCGCGCCTGAAATGGTCATAGCAGACTTCAAGGCAGAAGCCATCGACAAGGTGGGCCGAGCCATTCAGATCATGAAAAAGAGTCACACGGATCTGAAATTCTCAAGCTGCCGGTGTTGCCGAATTCTATCCATCATCAAAGAGCAACAGGGGGACGAGGAAAAAGAAATCGTCGCCCGTCGGCTTGAAGTCACAACTCTCGGGAGCCACGTAAAATTCGAGCCCCAGGAATTGAAACAAGGCAATATTGCACTTTTGCAAATTGGCGACTTCACAATGTTCGACGAAAAGACGGGCATGGGATCGGGCCATTCCCGAGGTAGCGAATGTATAGCTCTATTTGGTCCTGGAGTAGTAACCGAAAAGCACAGGATCCCCCCTTTTATCAATGATTTTGCTTGGATACGAAGGTCCATTGTTGAATGCAGTCAACACCATACAGGATGTCAAAACGCAGGCTCGGGAAATGTGTCCAAACTTCTTCTTATTGACTGCTCAGAGGAGACTTCAACTTTGTCCATAGTTCCTGCTCCCGAATCATATCAGTATGCTGCGCTGTCCTATGTATGGGGAGATGCAAACACCATCAACACCGAAGTTGCATCAGTGATTCAAGATGCGATTAAGGTGACCATGAAATTGGGTCTGAAATTTCTTTGGGTGGACAGATATGTGAGTTGAAATTTCAAGTCATTCAAACTCAACAAGCACTAAATTTCGGATGAAGTGCATACCGCAAAATGGCCCAGAGAGACACAGACAAATTCGGACTATGAATGAGATATATTCCAAGGCCTTCATCACCATCATTGCGGCGTCTGGCAATACAGCAGCCGATGGATTGCCTGGAGTCAGCACTGTTCCTCGGGTTGCCCAAATGGAAACTCAAGTCAACGGGTGCACATTTCTAGAGATACCGCCGATCTTTGACAGCTTATGGAAATCTAAATGGGCGACGAGAGGTTGGACATACCAAGAAGGCTTGCTATCAACGCGATGTCTCATTTTCACTGATAGGGGAATTTCGTACCGCTGCAGAGATACATACACCGAGGAGTCTCTGCAGCAGCTCACCCCCTACAATACAACGGTGGCTTCAAAAGGCCCGTCTATCCAACAGAGCCTGAAATTTCTTTTTGCATCAACCACAACGAATTTTCATGAACTGACACAACGGATTTTCGTGTACACCTTGCGACGTCTATCATATCCAGATGATTCCATCAACGCTTTCCTCGGGATCCTTTCGGATTATGAAAGACTCATGAAACTACCTGTTTCTTCCCCCATAAGCCACCTATGGGGTGTACCCTTCAAGGAAGATGTTCTAATCCTCGGATGGTACCATTTCTCACCCCCAAAACGCCGCAAATCAAGCTTTCCTTCGTGGTCGTGGTCTGGCTGGGAGGGCGGTGCCCTGTTTGACAACCACCAAGGCCTGAGAGGTCGATTCCTTTCCAGCAATCCAACATATGCCCCAGTATCTGTTGACATTACGGAAACCTTGGCCGATTTGTACGACTATAAATCAAAATTTCTATACTTGACAGGACCAATTGTGCCACTTAAATTCGCAGATATGGAGCAAACACAAACCATTATGAATCAACTGAAGCAAGAATCAGATGCTCCTCGCTTGCCAAACCTGGATTCGCGCACATCGCCACATCAAATCATGCTTGAGCTTTCCACGGGAACATTCTCTATAATCAGCTCAAATATGGATACTGATGTCAAGGCTAAAGATAACACATTCGGTCTTCTGCTCTTTCAACCTATATCCCCCGCTTTTGATCTCCGAGGAATTCTTGTTCTCAGGGAAGACAATCAGTTTTTCTCTAGGATTGGATACATTGGTGTGGAAAACGTTAAGAAGTCTCGACTTCTCGACGCTAACGGTGTGTCAGTCAGCGATAACCCACGCCTTGCTTGCGGTGGTAGACTGGAATTTTGTCATAGAGCAGTGCGGCGGCGAATCTGTCTCCAGTAGGGGAACCCTGGATCAGGCATTACTTCAAAAAGGGGGAAATCAGAAATTTTAGGGGCTTGTTTGTGCAAATTTCGTATGGAACTACAAGTCTATAGGGCGATAGCAGCCAACCTCAATAGTTGGATGAAGTATAGCCTTGCATATACATACTACTGTACCTTCCGAAGGGAACTTTATAAGTTCTTCTGTGACTTCCACTATAGTTTTCATCTATAGCCTAGCTTCAGGCCTCGTCACTCTCATGAGCTCGCACATTATAGGTCTGCCATTCAGAAAATAAGTATGCCTGAATGATGCTCTTTCTAGGCAATAGTCCCTTTTGAAACCATAATAGATTTCACCAGGATTCCATGTATTAAATCAAAACAATCCCGCTAGGATCCACAAAAAGATTAGAACTTAATATTGCCATCCATCTATACAATCGTCAAACACAATCTGACAGCGAAGCTTTGGACAAAAGGACAAAAACATACAACAGTGAGGATTCGCTGGTGGTCACCCACCGAACTACTAACTCACCGGCGTGTGACAAAAGACTTCACGGTTATTTTCATATAAGCAGACACTTTACTCTACATAGAATCTTTTACTGGATCATGTAAGACAACAAAATCCATCGTCTATGATACTGCTTCAGCTTTGGGCGTACTTTGATAATCAAGGCCTTTGGCTTGAGCTCCTCTAGGATTACAGTGGGAAAGTGCCAGATTGGCATCTCGCCATAACTGAAGACCAAATAAGCTTCCATGACGCAATGAGGGAGCTTTGTTGTCATGCACTGGTACTTAAGTAGAGAGCAATGCTGTCTCAAACCATCAAATGCCACCGAAAACGAATATGCCGATTCCCAAGTAGAACAACCATTACGGATTGGTGGCTTGCGAAACTATATGGAATATATATATATATTGTTGAATTTCCCGACTAGACAAAAAGCCTAACAAGTCAGGAGTCTAGGAATCTTTATGAATATTCAACATATATATCAAGCTACGAGTTTGTTAATCGGGATTGATGAGAGATATGAGTTGATCTCCATGATGATAGAGCGCCCCTGTAGGTTTATTTATTGCACTGAATCTAAGTATTTTCTGTTGTGCAGGGAGTTCGCCCAACCCCAATAAGTAGATACTTAAGTACTTAGTAGCTCGCAGCCTCTTAGCTTCTCCCTCTTCTCTTCTTCTTCTCCCCGCGCAGAGAATAATCGATCGGTTGAAGCCTTCTTTCCCTCGCCGTGCCTTCTCAACAGTTTCCCAAGCTCCCCATCCCTCAAGGCTTCCAAAACTTTCTCGATCATTTGCCAGGCCCCAAGTAAGTTGAAACCAAATGACTCATGTCACCGCATGCATCCACAGACTCATAGTTATCTCCAAAGCCATCGGCCTCAACAGTGGTGCGGTAGTAGAAGAGGGCCTTGTTCTGTTGCTCAACAAATCCAAACACATCGGAGTGCCCAGCCTCCGCATATTCCTGCCATCTACTTGCAAGCGCTGCAGATGCACTTCTGCTATCGCTGCTAGCGACAAGGGAAAGTTTTTCATGCTTGAAAGAGATCTTGACACCCGACCCATTGTGTCGCTTGGTCTGGGAAGAAGTTGTGTTTCCAGAGTTTTCAAACGGAATGTGGAAATGCGTAGTTCCATCCGTGAACTGATGAATCGTGTAATCATGAGGCTTTTTGTTCTTCATATGCTTCACGTTCTTGAGTATATGGCGTGAAATCAGGGCTGGCTCGTTGTCTCGCGTGGTGATCCCGTCGCTGGGGAAAGTGATGATCTCAACCGAATCATAACTATAACCACTGAGTTTAAGCATATCCTCAATGCTTGAAGAATAATCATTGCTAGGGAGTGATCGGCTAGACATGTATGCATTGGAAGCATCGACAGCGACAGATCCATACTTGTAGACATAGCCCACATCGAAGATCAATTGGAAACCCTCTTTAACGTCGTCAACCCAAACTGCGCATTGTTTACTCTCGTGCCTCGCGCAGACTTTCTTGACGTAATCTGATGCCTTGGAGACGAAAACGTTCCTAAGGTTCGGGCGAATAGTGTCAGAATTGATGTATATAATTGGAGATCATAAAAAAAGAGCATTGTCAATACATACGCCACTTCGAGGGTTGTACGAGCCCAGATTGCCTTTGCTACAGCTGTGCACTGTCCAGAAGTAATTCTCTTCTCAAGTTCAGCTTGAGCAACGCCCGCAGAGTGAGGACTTTGGTTTGAGGCATAAGTCCCCTTGCCAGTGGGAGCTGCATAGGCCGTATAAAAGAGAGAAAGAGAAAGTAAAGCCCGAAGAACCTTCATTTTTAGACGAAACTGAGAACAAATGCCGTAAAGAAGAAGAAGAAGTGATACTTTTTGGAGGAATTGTTGTACGAATGAGAGTCGGTGGCAAGGCATTTATACCCCCAGGGCTGGAAAGTATACAATGCCATTAACATGCCTGGAATGACTACGTTGCGCTAGTTTCAGAATGAAGCTCACTCGACAGGTGCTTTAGAGAAAATTTCTGAAGCTGAAGTGATCTAATTCCTAGTCTCCTCCTTTGATGGAACCAAGAATGGGACAGCGGGTCGCAAGCACATTGGGGGCCGAAAGGAATTTCGTGTTTACGAGCACACGCTGTCTATCAAGTGCTGCATTATCTGGCGCATTTTCAGCCTCCGAAACTAGATGATTGCATACGGCAGGAAGGTGGAGTCGTTTCCGTTTAGTTTCCTCGCATATACGAGTGGATCTCAGAGCATATACGAGTACTTGTAGATCTCAGATACAGTTACATAGACGAGCTAAACACTTGTATCCACTATCTTACCAAGGGTCCGATTGTGCATATACGAGTAGATCTCAGATATAATTACATAGACGAGCTGAACACTTGTATCCAATATCTTACCAAGGGTCCGATTGTGAAATAATCCCTCATCACGAAGTTAGTAAAAAGCTGATACACGCATTGCAATCAAAACGTCTAGCCTCTATTTTGTCTACTCCACCATTGTCCAGATATGAAGTATATACGAGAGAATTAACAATTGTTAGGCCTTCTATGAATCCTCAATTTAATAACCTGCATAAGTCAAGGCTTTCGAGCGTCGTCGCCCCAGTTTCACTTATATCTAGCCCTCCCATAACAATTAAATCTCCATTTCCTTATGAGCTTTAATGGGATAATAGGGAGTTTGTGGTTTGAATATTATAAGTTAGAATCCTTCCGCCATACTGATGCTAATGACCAGTGTGCCAGGATCCATCGGCTTGACTCGACTCACATCTCAATTATAGTGACTGAAACTAGTTTCACAAAACAAGTGAAACAGGGCCATTGGTTCTATTACATCTAATTCACTGACGGCAATTTTTTTCGAGAGTATCTGGGCAATAAATATCCATATTTTACAGAGATAGAGCGGACCTTTATAGGTTAATCTGCTCATACGCAAGAACTTTTCGTGTTGACACAGATTGCATTGTGTCAGGCGGCGTGATGGAGCTCGTTGCCGACATCGATATTATGGTGAGGGGACAATGGGGGCCTGTAGCCTGTTGTAAAAATTGTGTATGTACGAGTACGTTTTTACAGGTACATAGCCTTGTCGATGGATACTTGTACCTAAGCAGGTTTTATGAGCTCTGGTGGGTCCCACCATCTTCAATCAAAGGCTAGTACATTTACGAGAAACAAGACTTGAATTTCAGATTTTATGTGGATCACACAAATGGACCCTGCATATACGAGTATCCACAGTTCAAACGGCCCGTCTAGTACTATTCCTGCGCCCATGTTCCCCCGTCCATGGATTTATCACAGGCTTAACAACTTAAGTGGAGTAGCTTCGGAGCCTCACCGATTTTTATTCCACTCTCCTATGTATTAATTAGTATGTACGGATTACATAAAAGGAATTAGGGGCACATCAACCAATGTGAAAAAAACCCCCTCCTGTATCTAAACTCTGCCGACTCTGCCTGTCTACTCCAATTCTTTCAACTTTCCTTTTTCTCCTCGAAATCGTCCGGAATTCATCATGGAAGCGAAAATCCCTTCCGGTCTCTCCCCGGGATTGGATAGAAAAAAGCAAACGTCGGACCACCCTTTGGGGCGGATATTGGAACCCCTTGGGTTCTATAGGCATCCAATGATTCCAATCTTGTACGACACCGTTTCTAACCCTTTGGTGCTAGCTGCTAACCCGCGCCGTGAAGGTTCACGCTTTTCATTTTCGCATCTTTCTTTCTATTTACTTTCGTTTGTCGAGAATACTGTGATGCAGATTCCTGTCGTTATTACCGTCAAAACATGATGTCTGCTTTATCGTTCTTCTTGTTCGCTTATGGAATATGGGGTCAAGGCACTCGAATACTTGCAGAGAAAGATAGGCAACGAGAGGAATATGCTTTGCGAGGTGAGAAAACACTGGTGCCTGCCTCTTGAAAAGGAGACCGGAAGATAGACTTCAAGATTTGAACTGTCAGCGATAGTATTGAATAGCACGGAGTATGTATAGGGGACTGGTGTTGCCACCCCCGCTTAAAACCACCCCTTGTTTTCCTACACCACACCCCTTACCCCTTTAGGACTTCAGGACTAGCATAAGTCTTCTGCCAGTTTGATTTTTGTGAGGACTGCTACCTAGCAGGTCCTAGCAATGAGATGATGAATAAGAGTGAAGGGGCGAGATGGTTACTGCGTTGGTACCAGACTAATCGCTAAGGTGCTATTAAAGCACCTTCCCTATCGCACGGGGGCTAGGCCCCGAGCCTGAAGGCAAGAAAGGTTTTGCAACTCATGTCAGAGCCCAGGATGGAGGAAAGCATGTTTGCATTCCACCCGGGATGAATCCTGCGTTTGCCTTCTAGTGACTTCCTGAACTCAAATTTCATCTTGTGTATCTATCTTTACATAGGATTTGACCTGCAGCACATTTCTTCCTTTCATAGCCCTTCGGATCAGACAAACAGACATGTCTATTTTGGATTTTTCGATCGCTTGATTGCGTAGAGTCCCGACGAAGTCATTACTTGGGTATCAGCTCACTTTGGCAAAATTTGTTCTATTTTGCTCGCGACTCGCACATTCTAACAACATCAGCAAGGATTCACTGGTGGACACCCACTCAGCCACTAACTCACTAGCCTGATGCTTAAAGGGCGCTGTCAGGGCGAGCAACAGGTTAGCGCATCTACATAGCGGCTATCCCATCTGTACAATTTCCCCCATCTTCAAGAATGCATTGAACAAAGGTGTTGAATCCAAACTGGTCTCCAGAAGGGCACTCCGCAAACAGGCTTTCAGAGCTGCAAACAACAGGTCATGATATTTGATCTGTACTTCCTCCGTAAGAACCTTAGGCGAAAGAATATGTTGGTCAAAGGGAAACTTTTGCACAACACCCATTGCCGAAGGAATGTTCAAAGTAGACGACTGACCAAGCACCAGAACAACGAATTTGTCCTTTGATTGCGGAATAAGTCTGACAGACTGCGCAATGATATCTCGAAATTCGGCGTTCGTGAGCATGATAATTCCGATGGCAGCGTTTGCTTTGGTGTTTGGTGAAAGAAGTTTGGTCAAGGCAGAGTCTAACTCGTAAAGGACACGGAAGAATGCTCTGTCTGGTTTGAAATCGAGGCACATGCTGAGAAATCTGTCGAAAAGGGCGAGGGTCTTGTCGTGAGTTTCTGCATGAATGAACAAATTATCTAGGTTATCTGACATCCGACCTATTAGGCGCGGGAGATATTGCGCAGCGTTGCATAACGTTGCTCGACAAAGGGAAAGTTTGTTACGGGGCATCAGGTAGCCATCTGCCGACATAGGGATGTCAAGTAATGCTTTTGCAATTGTGTGAGCTGATTCGCGGTCTAGGAATTTATAGACCGCTTCAGCATTGCGTTGAGCACCATGATCTTTACCCAATCGCACCCAAGAGCCGTTAATTGGATGGTATGTTGAGATTGTTGATTCCTCAAACTCTCCCAGAGAATCAGCCGGAGGATCGACCTCTTCAAGAGAAAAAACTGTCCCGCTAGCATCTGGAGGCTCGAGGCTGTTTGCAACACTGGAAAGGGCGTCTACGTGGTCGCTGCTGGGACTAAAACGAAAAGTCCGGTGAGCAGTCGCGCTTCGAGCTTTACGTTCAGTGGTCGGGATAACGTAGCTGGTTGTGCGCCGTCTACCCTGTACGTTCCGTCGCCGTCTTTCCCGCCAGTTTCTGGAACTGGACTCGTCGGTCAAGGAGGAGAGGGAAGAGGAGCTGTAAGTCTGAGGATAATCCGCGTCGTCTGAATTCGCGTCAAAATGAACATTTTGCGGGTTCGTCATCTGTGCATAATAAGCAGGCACACGCGGAGTCCGCTCCTCGCGCTCCTCCATCACGTATGAGGGATCACGCGTTGTCTGCCTTTTCTGCTCATCCACATCGACTTCCTCGACATTTTCCAAACAGTAGATATTTCCATTTGCCCCAGGAAGGCATCCCACAGATAACCAAAAAAGGTCACCAATAGTAAGAATATTTTCAGACAACTGCCCAGTCTCAGTGATCTTGTGCTGGGTGTAATATACCTTTGAAGGCTCGCGGTCCCTGGAAGATTCACCTCTCCTCGTCCATAAAGTACCACACAAGCCATGCAAAGGTTTGAAACGATCTTCCTCGTCGTCGATCATTGTCAGTCTCCTTGTCCCACGGAGACGCAGACGCCAATTGCTTTGAAATGTTTTGCCACGGTCAAAGTCAAATTTCCGATGCCCACGGAATGCTCTCCCAGGGGAAGCCTGCACACTTCTTACACGGCCTTTCATTGATAAAGGCAATTTTCCAAGATCGGGTCGATTTGAGAACCGGCCAACGATTCCGAGGATCAAGATCCAATTTTTGTGCACAGGCAACCATGTTCTTCCCGCTCGGACAACCAAAGAATCTCCCTCGCTTGTATGAATTCTGTATGCTGTGATAGCTAGACAGAACTGCACCCAGCTTGCCGATGTCTGCGAAACATCTGTGGTTGGTGGCCTCCAGGCCAGTGTATGACCGGGCAAGTGAGGCTCTTGTTGCAGAAGGGGAACTTGAATGCGACGAAAAAGTCGAATTGTCGGCGAGACACGAATGCCTTTGGAAATATAACCTCCACTTTGTGCTTCCCCTTTATCTAACTTGTCAATGGCCTGATGTCGTTCTGTCTGGCTGGCCCTCCAGATTAAAAGAGGACCTACAAGACCTCCGAGGGCGAGAATACCAAGTAAAACGGCCGCCCAAGTCCCAATAGTAGACGCAACTTCCCAATTATCCGACATAATTTCATATATTCTTAGGCATGAAGGTACAAAATTGCGAAGTTTTTGTCTGCAACATCCTCGAGACGACCCCGCTTCAGGTACGAGCTCAGGGAACATCATGTGACATCAAATGAGTGCTGTGATCCCCAGCGCTTCCAAGGTTGCTGGGGCTTGTAACCTTCAATGTTGTACGAAGTAGCTTAGTGAACGTAATTCACATAACATGAGGTCCAGTTGCGCGGGCGACCCCACCAAAAATACAATTTGATAATGATGATAGGTGCATGTGTGCATTTCATACGATGACTTCCAACGGCATCAATTGATCAATTGATCGATCAAACCGTATGCAGTGAGCCACCTATGGTGATGGCCTTATTTGAGTCCTAATCAGGGGGATTAAAACAAAAACATACAACAGTGAGGATTCGCTGGTGGTCACCCACCCAACTACTAACTCACCGGCGTGTGGCTTAAGTACGGCTGAGCGGACGGGAAGCCCTGTTCTCCACACCCTATGGTCGTATGTACTATGTAACTTCTAACAAGTGGTTATTATTTAGCAGAATTGTAAATGTGATCCTGAATCTGTAGTCCCGGAGGCAGATTTCATTGGCCTGAGCATGATGGTAGAAGGAGGATGACAAGATGGAGAGTCTGATTCACATGCTATATCTTTCATAAAACTCCGCAATTCCAACCATAGACAGCATTTGAAGTTCAGAATTGATGTTCAGGTCAATTCGATCGTAAAATTTGCCAAAAACTGCAATGCAGACCACCAAGCAAAGCTTAAGCTTAAGAAGGATCATCGCCCATTCCCGCCAGGTTTGTACTGGGCGGTAATCACATCACCTGTAACATACAGAGATGCAAACACTGCAAACTATGGATATTCTAGCTCCCTGGGTCTTGACATCCAACTACTAACTCACCGACCCGCAAAGCCCACACAACCCGGCCCGATCCAACCCGCAGATGGGCTGGGCTTCGGGCCCGGACCTCGAGCCCACGGATGGGTAAATGGGCTCGAGGGCGAGCCCGCATGGGCTTTCGTGGGGTTCAGGGGTATAACCCACAGCCCACTGCGGGTTGGGTCGGGGGTTTGGGCTCCGGGCCCAATCCAGCCCATTGCGGAGGTTTACACCCACCCAACTACTAACTCACCGGCGCGTGGAATGTAGCGTCTCCGAAATGCAGAGCTCATGTAAAAGTTCCACAACTGCCCAGGTGCCGCGGCGTCCGGTCCGTGTTCTGCTAGCGTCATATTCGATACGAAGTACCGCTGTCACTATTGGGCTAGACATTGGCACGGGTGAGACCCCACCGTGGTGGCTGGGCTGAGGACTGGGGGCCTTGAGCAGAGTACAATTTATATAAGGACGGTGGAAATGGCTGACACCCTGCCTCTCTTCTGCAAGAGCACACTAACGCCTACCTATGCACCTACCAGAGTACTCACTCCAATAGATCCCAATTCAAGGACTGTTCAATCGGAGCGAAAATCTAACGACTACGTCCAGTAATGATAATGGAAACGCAAATAACTGACCTGGCCATAATTGGTGCTGGTAAATTCGCCCCTCTCATATCCTTAAACTCTTTTACCTTACATGTTCATCTGGAGCTTCTGCAGCTAACCACATTTAAAATTGATCGCAACAGGCTGGCACGGTCTCGCGGCCGCCAAATCAGCACTCACCCTCGATCCCAGTGTCAACCTGGTGGTTCTGGATTCCGCCGCCTCAGTGGGGGGTGTCTGGGCAGAGGAACGCTTATATGCGGAACTCAGGACGAATAACTTACAGGGATCATACGAATATGGTCATTTTCCTATGAGGGACAACATCCCCGGTTTAGTTAAACCCGGTGAGCATATGTCAGGCAGAGCGATGCATGAATATCTGAAAGCGTACGCTGCCCACTTCGGGATCCGCGACAAAATCAAGTTGAACTGCAAGGTTGATACCGTGGAATACTGCGAGGGAGATGATGGAGGAGGAAAAGAGTGGGTCATCAAATGCACAACAACAACAGAACCAGGACACGAGACGAGCAATACTATACGGACGCGAAAACTGATACTCGCCACGGGCCTTACCTCGCAGCCGCGTATTCCTACATTCTCTGGCCAGCAATCCTTCGGTGCGCCATTGTTCCACGTGAAAGAATTCGCCCTTTACCAAGACACCCTCTTCGCTAAACCCAGCAATGACAACACAGGCGACCAACATGAAGGCGCTCTTGACGACCACACACCAATAACGGTACTCGGCGGAAGCAAATCCGCGTGGGACACCGTGTACGCTTGTGCATCAAAGGGACACCGCGTCAACTGGGTTATTAGGTCCTCTGGGACTGGGCCCGCGTGGGTGAGCCCGGCCGCTGTTTTCTCGCCCTTCAACCTCCTCCTCGAAAGCCTCCCTCTCGTCCGTGCCTTGGGCTGGTTTAGCCCCTGCGTCTGGGTGAGCCACCCGATACGCAACTTCTTACATGGGACATGGCTCGGCTGTCAAATTGTGCGTCTGTTCTGGGCCAGCCTGGAGTGGGATATGGTTCGGGTTAACAGATACAACGATCATGAGGAGACGGCGAAGCTAAGACCCTGGTCTAAGCTTATCTGGAGGGGGACAGCGGTGAGTATTATCAATTTTCCGGGTGATTTCTTTGGATTGATCCGGCGGGGACTGGTGAAGGTTCATATTGCCGATATTGAGCGGCTGGAGCCTTATAGGGTCGTTCTGTCCAACGGCGGCGACAGGCTGGACACGAGGGCACTGATCCTGTGCACAGGCTGGAAAGTATCTCCAGGCATTCGGTTCTTGCCGGATGGACTCGAACAAGAGATGGGCTTCCCGTGGGCTGCGGACCCAATTGATCAGGAGCTCGTTAGGCAGGCCCGCAAAGACATATACACGCGTCTGCCCATGCTCCACACCGGCCAAAAGAGAAGGACCTACCACACGAAGGATGCGGAGGGTCAAACACACACCAATGAAACCGTTCTGCACCCCTTCCGTCTCGCACGCTTCATTGTCCCCCCAGGACTATGGGACGACCATAGCATGGCCTTCCTAGGGACCGTGACCACGTTCAACACATCCTTTATTGCCGAAGTGCAAGCCTTGTGGACGCTAGTCTACCTTAACCACGGCTCTGAGCTTCACCATCATCAAAACAAGGAGTCAATAATTAGCGAGACAGCACTACACACAGAGTTCTGTGCGCTGCGCTCCCCGGCGGGTCATGGGGTGCGGACTGCCGACTTTGTCTTTGAGGCCATGCCGTATTTGGATCTCTTGCTTGGGGATTTGGGCTTAAGGACTGCGAGGAAGGGGTCGTGGTGGCAAGATCTGTTTGCTCCGCATCAGCCGAGGGATTATGCGGGGTTGGTGGAAGAGTGGAAGGTGCGACGATCTGTATACCAGGAGGGGCGGAAGATAAAGGACACTTAAGGCTATAGAGAAGACTTTGTACGAGGTGATTCCGCATTGAGTCGAATATTCACCCACTATGTCTTCCTGTCATTTATACGTCATCCAACGCAAACTATGATACTATGGAAAGTAGTCAGATTTTTACAGGAAATATATTGAAATAACTCTCACTGCTTTTGGTTACTAAGACTTCCTTTTCATTGATTGTACTCTATATGTGGTTTAAGTATATATGGGACGGTGGGCCGGGTGAAAATTTCCCCAACGCGCCATGCACGCGACCCCTCGAGGTACCTGGTCAAGGAACTATTTCCTCCAAAGAGTTCTTATTCAGTCGACGAGAACAGAATACAAAGCAACTGAGTACGAAGTGGTCTGATCTAGGAACCTTGGTACCACGAGACATGAGACTCCCCACGTGTCCCGTGCCGTGCCGCCCGAGTTGGTTCCAAGGTTTAGCACCTGGCATAACCCTACTCCATACATTTAAACAGAACGAACATCCTCCCCATTAGAGAGAAAAACCAAAACCAAAACACTCACCGACTTTGAATGGCTCCAAGGCTTCGAGTTACGCGGTGGGTGGGCTATACCCCTTCGTATAACACCATAACCAGGCAAGCGCCGCTAATGCACGTGTCAGCCGCAGCGCCAAATGTGGAGGAATCCAAATGCCCCCTCATGATGCATGACCCTTTCCGTGAGACGGACTCGTTAGAATCCCGTTCTCCTACGAAGGGCATATTGTGACATTTTGAACCGAATCGGCGATGGAGATTCCATCACATATCGAGAACAGCTTCGGGGACGCGTGCGCTAGTGGTGATGGTATTGCCTTCCAGTCGGGTGTGAACAATGGGACAATAAACATCAATCGTGAGGCCTACAGATCACCCAACTTGAACAAGCGCTGATTGTTTATCACAGAGAGAACGAGGCAAATCCTTTTGCCCAAAGGGGCTTATAACGCCGCGTTTGATGGTGCAAACAAGGAACACACGCCGAGTTGTCTACAAGGCACACGCGTCAAACTGTTGGAAGAGATACAGACGTGGATCGATGGCGATAATCCCAGGAGGCTCTATTGGCTCAGCGGCATGGCTGGTACAGGAAAATCCACCATCGCCCTGACATTAGCCCGAACATACAAGCCTGCGATAGAAACGAAGGAACGCCAAAGAAACGTGTGCCTGGGGGCAAGTTTCTTTTTCTCAAGGGGTGGTGGTGACCTTTCATCCGCGAGCAAATTCCCTGCAACAATAGCGATCCAGCTTGCTGAAGCTTCGGGAGAGCTTCGAGGGCTTATTCAGAGTGTGATTGAAGACAATCCTCGCCTTGACAGTTTGGGTATTCGAGCGCAGTGGGGAAAACTCGTCATTGGGCCTCTCTCTTTGCTTTCCCGAAATTCCGGGGATCTTCCAACCCTCCTGCTGATTGTTGACGCTTTGGATGAATGTAATGATGGCAATGATGCTAATGCCATCATCCGTTGCCTGGAGGAAGTGACGCAAATGTCTGGTGTTGAATGCCGTGTTTTTCTCACCAGCAGACCTGAACAATCGATCAGGCTTGGGATGAATGCCGACGCATCAGTGCCGCGGCAGAATTTCGTCTTGCATGACATCGAACGATCGATCGTCGATCAGGACCTCGAACTGTATTACAGAGACCAGCTCTGCCACATAAAAACGACAATGTCCTCTGAAGAGGATATTATTTCTGAGAAAGCGATACGAAAGTTGGTTGAGAGATCCAATGGGCTGTTCATTCACGCGGCCACCGTGTGCAAATTTGTGCACGCGGGCGGGTGGCTTGCAGTCGAGCGTCTGAACAAACTACTGGAGACAGAGAAATCCGACAGCGCAGAGCTTGAGCTCAACAAGATGTACAGGGTGGTTCTGGAATATTCTTTCGTTTCGGTCACAAAAGGGCTCACCCCGGGCGAGGCTGAAAAGGTCCACCAACTGTTTCAGCATGTCGTTGGCACAATCATTGTGATGTTCGATACGATTAGCTCTGAGGGTTTAGCAAGTCTTCTTGGGGTGGAGAGGGAGCGCATCAAAAACACATTGAGTGCTCTTCACTCGGTCATCAATGTCCCGGAACGCCACTCTGAGCCCATTCGAATCCTCCACCCGTCATTTCGCGAATTTCTGCTTGATCCAAAGCGTTGTACCGACAAGTTCTATTCAATTTCGGTCTCCGATGCGCACGGCCGTCTTCTTACAAGATGTGTTGCGTACCTGATGTCTCAACTGAAACGGAATATCCTCGACATTTCAAAACCCGGAGCCAAAGCCCGGGATGTATCAATGGAAAGAATCGACCGAAAAATCCCAGTGGAACTTCAGTATTCCTCGATGTACTGGTGGAGTCACTTCCAAAATAGTGATGGCCACTCGCGAAAAGAGTTGCCACTTCTGGTATTTCTGGAAGACAAGTATCTTTTCTGGCTTGAATGTCTCGCTTGGCTTGGAAAGCTCGGATACGCTATTCAAGCGATGTCAGAAATGAATTCCATTCTCGTAAATGATTTCCACCCAGACCACGTGTTACAGAACTGATGAATCATAGACCAAGAAACCATTGCAGAGCGGATTCTCAACATCGATGCCATCCTACCATCGGAAAACGAAAAAAGCTTCACAGCTCCATGCATTCGTGCCGGACGCCTTCCAATTTCTGCTGCGAAACAAATTGATGATTGAGGAAGCGCCTCTACAACTCTATCTCTCGGCGTTGATCTTCAGTCCAAACTCCAGTGAGGTCAAGAAAAAAAATCGCAAAGAGATACCAAGCTGGATTTTGAATGAGCCTAATGTGCCAGAAAATCGTAAGAGGTTGCCTGGCGGGCTTTCAATTGCGCATTCTTCCGTCATTCACTCTTTTGCGGTCTCACCGGACAGTAGTCTTGTTGCTACAGCTTGTGGAGATTGCATGGTTCACATATGGGACGCAACAAGCGGAATGAAGAGATCAACGCTCGAGGGCAATCCGGATGGGTTGGCAAGGGTGTGCTTTTCACCAGACGGATGTCTCGTTGCTGCGTTTGCTCAAAATTGTGTATCCGTATGGAACATTAAAGCAGCCACTGATGCAACAATTCAGCCTGAGTGTCAATTTCACTTCAATCGCCAAGGATCTGCGACAGCATCTTCTCACCACCCAGCATGTGCGATTTCCCCATGCGGGAATCTAGTCGCAGTGATTGATTACCCCCATGATATCTGGGTTTGGGATATGAGGGCGAAGCAATCGGTCAAGTACCAATTTCAGATTGAGGCCCAGAGACCCATCACTGGTGTATACTTTTCATATGATGGATCATTGTTGATCTGCGTTACATTCTGGTCAGAGAAACTCTATGAGACTCTCGATGCTTGGTCTATATCGACTGGGATCAATGTTTCAAACGACGGAGCCTCCCTCGGAGAGTTTTCCCAGGCGATCATGCCTGAGACCAGGGATCTTTCCAAGCCGCCACGTCTGCTTGAGACGTCCGGTGGGGCACACCTGGTTTTTTTGGATGGCTTTCCCGACGAAAGCGAAGGTGTCGTGTTCATTCCGCTTTTTAACGATGCCTCATTCAAAACATCGTTCGTATCGGATGCCGTGGGCCTACATGCATCCTTGGAGGGATCTAAGGTTTATCTGTTGATGGGAGAGCAATTCAAAAAAGTCACTCTGCAAAGTGACTCTTCGGAATTCAAAAGCATCCAGTTCTCGCCGAATGGAAAACACCTAATCACAATCAATTCATCCGATGAACTGACAATATGGAACATGGAAGGACTTGAGTCGAAGCCCTCCCGACTTCTGGAAATTTATGATGTCTTTCGAGGGGTAGGCACCAGATTGAGCAGATCAATGAGAAGGATAAGAGGAGCTCCGCTTTATAGTCAGGGCCAAAAGCTTTCTCATCGGATTGAAGTCTGGATCCGGTCTCCTGATGGAAGTCTGTTGGCGACTGATTCTCCGCGAGGCTCTAACATCACAATTTGGGATATGAAAACTGGAGAGATGAAGTTTCGCTTGAATGGATTGACCAGTGCTTCTCTCATGCAATTTTCCGAATCAGGAAATCTTTTCGCAGTGATTGATAAGTCCATTGTTCATTTCTGGGAGACCAAAACCGGCCAAAAAGGAGACATACTCAATATCGGTCGACATAAATCACGATACATACTGGACGACATGCGAGTATCGGAGAATGGCGGAAAATTACTCTACTTCGAGGACCTCAAATCCGACGTGGAGGGGGTTTCCGACCTCGGTGTTTGGGAGCTTGATGGCCTACGCAAGATCTCTGGTTTCAAAATCCCAGTTCATTCCTCTACACCGACACGAATTGCGATCTCGCCCAACGAGCAGTTCTTTTGCTTATGGCAAAAAAGATCACCATTCATTGAAGTCGGAAGTTTCTCCTGCAATACACCTCAATTGATACCCTTACGAGATAGTCCCAGATGGGTAGGGTTCATGCCTGATGGTCAACGTGTCTTGATTTCTGGCGATACAGCCAGACAGGGAAAAGAATCGATTCAAATTTGGAACATCGAGCAGAAGGGCTTCCAGGAATTTTATACTGCTCTTCCCCGAAATTTCTGTTGCGACATATTTAATACCGAGGGTACAGAGTTTCGTCCCTGGGAGATTTATGGGCCACACTTGCAGCACACAAAATCAGTCATCTCGCCGGATGGGAAGCTTCTGGTACTCGGGCGACGCCAGCTTGACCACGTTGAGATTCATCTGCTCAGAATATCCGATCCGAAGAGTTTATTCAAGCTTATTGATCTCCCGAAAATACCCAGTCGGAATGGTACGTATGGTGATGGACATCCCGGGTTTCTCCAATTTGCTCCGTCTGGAACACACATTGTTACGGAGCGAGGGAATGTCCCGCTGCCTGATGCTACGCCTCCATCTCCATTGCTGTTCGCCACACGATCTTGGATCCAAGAGGATGGCGAAGATATTTTGGCAATTCCACCTGCATATCGAGACTCCCTCAGAGGTATCTATGACCATACAATTACATTCGGTGATAGTAAAAATGGGCCGTTGTTTGTGAGACTCGATGAGGGAATGAAATCAATGACTGCGTGATTGGAATTATTTTACGAGAGGATGTGAATTCTTGGAGGCACCTCTCTTTCTCGATTACAATTCTTTGAAACCCACAGCTGCTCAAGTGGTTGGGCGTGGGCATGGCATCAGATTTCAATTCAGTGCTTTATTCAGCAATCTATAGATCTAAACCACTCCCAGTCAAGCATTACAGCGGCAGCGAATGAAATTTGCTGCAACTACAACTTTAGAATGGTTATTGTGATCACAGGAACACGGCAAAGCGTTAGTTTTGACTTCTAATGGGTCCTATCATGTATTTCCAAGTTTAAGATATTAGCTACTCCGTACTTGGCCAGGTGTACAGAACCCGGGGTCTACTCGTATGGCATTTTCATGCAGTCAGAAAAGTGCATTCGGGTGCGATTGTCGAAATGAGGGGTACCTAAGGCTTTACGCGCCAAGTACAGTACACCGTAGGTATGCGAGTAAAATAAATAGCAAGGCGCTTCGTCAACAGGGGGCCAAAACGCGGATCTCATTTTTTCTTGAGAATCTCACCTCGTTCTTTTCAAACTCGACTGTCGCATTCACGATGGCCAACACAAAGGATTACACTGTCGGCTGGATCTCGGCCATCGAGTCAGAATATATTGCCGCAGATGTATTCCTGGACGAAACGCACAATCCACCAGCCGATCTACCGCCCGACGATAACGATTATACTTATGGAAAGATCGGGAATCATAATGTGGTCATCTCCACTCTCCCGAGCGGAGAATACGGCAAATCTTCGGCTGCTAGTGTGGCCACGAACATGATCCGCAGCTTCCCTAATATCCGGATTGCTTTGATGGTTGGCATCGGTGGCGGAGCGCCAAGCTCCGAGAACGACGTCAGGCTTGGTGATATAGTCGTTGGGAAACCCGGTGATGGTCAAAGTGGTGTATTGCATTATGACTATGGCAAGACAATACAGGGCGAAAGCTTCAAGCCAACTGGGGTCCTCAGTCTGACGCCTAGGCTCCTGCGTGGAGCGATGCAAGGACTTGCCAAAGAATATAAAATCAAGGGTCATAAGATTGGAGAGGCCGTCGAGAAAGTATTGAACGACAATCCGCGACTGAGAAGAGAATATGGACGGCCGGATCTAGCGACAGATCGGCTTTATAAGTCCGATGTGGTGCATCCGTCTGGGAGCAAATCACCTTGCCTTACCAGCTGCGGTGACGATGAATCCTCGCTCATCATCCGCGAGGAGCGAAACGAACACGACGATAACCCTAAAGTCCACTACGGTTTGATCGCATCCGCCGACCAACTTATGAAAGATGCCAAGATTAGGGACCGATTCATCGAACAAAACAACGTCTTATGTTTTGAGATGGAGGCAGCTGGATTACTCAATCACTTCCCATGTCTTGTGATCCGTGGCATCTGTGACTACTCCGACTCCCACAAAAACAAGGCGTGGCAGGGCTATGCGGCGATGGTTGCCGCGGCCTATGCTAAGGACCTACTGAATCGCCTTAGCCCGGTTCAGATCGCGCAGGAAACAAAGGTCACTATGCAGGTAAAGGTTGACAATATCGACAACAGCGTCAATAATCATCACAATACAAGTATCAAATTTGGGAACAACCACAAAGGCTTCCAAGTTGGTCAGAACAACGGCACAATCTCGCATGGAGGAGACCGTCCGAGTTGGTGAAGATTTTGCTTCTTGAGGGAGCTAGAATTCCAGCGCAATCCATCTTGTTTTCAGGGGCTGTTTTTTTTTTTTCAATTTGCGGAGAGAAGGTTTTTGCTTCAAAGAGTGTGTTAAGATTTGTTGAATCTCTGCAAAGTCTTATTAATAGTCCTGATCATCAAATCCATACGCGAGACTAGAAAAGACCCCGCTGAAGAATATCGAATAATCAACCTGCTGGGGAGGAGGCGGGCCGAGGGTTCAGATGAGCCATAATTCTGGCCGTCGAGAGGCTGGCCTGTTCACTCTTAAACGAAAATTTGTAGTCTCGCCACTATGAATCACGCTGCATGCTTTTCGTACTCACTTTTCACGATAGAATTGGGGAGTATTTTCGTCCAGGTACTTCTTTTTGAGTAATTCACGCCGATCTGGAGAAAGAGGCTGCGGCCAATCTTCTGGGCCCAGCTTGCCCGGGGTGCGAATTTTGCGGCTTGATGAGAAGGTGGTTGCCTCCTCTTTGTTTTCAAGGGCCATCTTTCGCAAGGCTGCTCGCCGAATTGGGTTGTTGGTCGGGAGTAGGATCCGATCGGGCAGACCACGCACGGATTCCATGGTTGCAGCCAGGGCTTCTTGGTGTGTGAAATGGTTGGTGGAAAGCCCCACACGAAGGTCACTGTGGTGATCTTTGAGGTGGTCGGCGACTGCGGCTAGGACCATGCTTGGAGGGAATTCCTCGGGCAAATCCATATTGAAAAGCTACCCTCTGTAACGAGTGCACAGGGTCAAGTGTACGACCTGTCAACCCCGCAGGAGATTCAGAAAGGAACCCCTATTGATTCGAATGTGATTCTTAGTTGGTCGTAGGTGTGTAGAACTCAGGAACTATAGGTTTTGACGTAGAAGATCTTGAGAAACACAAGTTGTATTCAACGGACTGATTCATGCAGAAAGGAAGAAGGATCTGGGGGATCCTTCCTTCTTCTACTGCAAGAATAATGCTAGCATGACCAGCTAACTAGCTATGACTCGTCCTATGTGAGTCATCGCGAGATAGCCTTCCCAGAATGTAGTCGGGGGAGCATGAACCCTATTCCTCAGGTGTCCCGCGGACTCGGTGCACCTTCCTTTTCTTTCCTTAAGTGTTTTAGGGCATATGATTGGCCAGAATGTGGACGGCCGAATCGGGACTAGTGAGGCCACAATATTATTCTGCCGCGAGTTACAGAGCTACTTGTACTTTTCAAAAGATGAAATTCCTGTGAAATGGCACACAATACATATCTAGATCACGTGATCAAGGGGGAAACTGTGGAACAATTGCTCCGCAATAATGCAGTTACATATGTTACGAAACTGACCTTGTTTTAGTACCAAAAAATAAAGTCCACTGTGGCTGGCCTGTATTAAAACGGCGGCTGTGCTGGCCCATTTCAGACTTGTGATTACCTTACAGAGAGAGATACCGGTGCCGTGTATCCCTTACGCGCCAAAGCAGCCACGACGAAGCGCGAAAATGATATCGAGTTACGGTATACTGATGAAGTACTTGAGGCGATTTTGATTTCAATTATCGGTGTGTTACCACATTTCGCATCGAGTACGGGCGTTCATTGCTCAATCAAACACGTCCCAGTCTTTGCGTAAAACCTCATTGGAATGGCAATGATGGTCACCTCGGTCGCGTGTAATTTTCCAAGCACGTAGACAGATAGATATGCCTGCTTGTGCTTTGTCTATGCTTTCACTTCTCGCCTGACATTTTGACTCAAGAATGATTCCTCTCTCTCGGGGCCTTATTCAATTCTTCGCCGAACCTTACGATGGAATTGACTCGATTTTTGCATCGGTTCATATCAGCTACACCACAATGTACGGATCGCTCTCGTTGGCGGAGTTCAAAGAAAAATTGAACGGATCATTAGCTGATCCATAGATACTGCTTGCATACATAATTTCGTGGTCCCGAAAGTTCGGCTCATGCTAACCGTTTCGGGCTAGCGCTATAAGCGATCATCGCCATCGGGGCCGGCTGGGCACGCTGCTTCGCACCTCTTCTCCTTCCAGCCGACTTCCTAACAAAATTTACCGATCTGATCCACCGCCACTACACCATGTCAGGAAATGGTGCCCAACAGGGTCTTGTACGCACAACAGGACAAAGCTGTGGTGACAATGAGTCACTGCACAGGGACATAAGGGCCGAGAGGCGTAGGATACAGAATCGTATCCACCAACGGGCTTATCGTAAGCTTCTTCCATTTACATGAAACAACATGTCACACTCAGTGATGACTGACTATCTTTAGGGAAGCGACAGACTCAAAGCAACCATGGGCCTACTCCTTCTAAGCGCTGGAAGGTCATCGGCACCCTGGAGGGTGGCGATGAAGAAGAATCCAGGAGTGAGGGCGTTATAGCTTCGGATGTCCATAAATCCGTTCCCCGATTCTACCACTCACAAAATTCCTCTACGGCCAAGGAACATGAAGGGGAAATTGAGTGCCGCCTAGCGCCACCTCGTGAGAGAAGACGCGCCTACCAATTCTTATTGACTCTGCACCGTGACTATGAGCGAGGTAACCCTCAAGTTGACCACTTACTCACGTTGGTCAAACTCAACGTATACCGTGCGTTCGCCGAGAACATGAATGCGCTTGGGATGGGTGTCAAGGGATGGATGCACGCCGATGCAGTATCACCATTTTGCACATTTGAGCCAAAGGCTTTCGGTCGAAATATTCCAAACTACCTGCAGCCAACTGCCATACAGCGTGCTGTGCCACATCACCCTTGGCTGAACTTCTTTCCTCATCCTAGGATGCGTGATCGGTTGATTTTTGCTGGCGATAAATTTGACGATGAACAGCTTTGCGTTGATATTATAGGCTTCTGGAATCCTGATGAGAATGACCCAGGATTGCTAGTCTGGGGTCAGCCTTGGGATATTGCAAACTGGGAGATGTCAGAAGCATTCGTCAAAAAGTGGGGTTGGACGGTCCAAGACTGCCCCGAGTTGTTTAAATCGACCAAGACCAACAGGTGGCGCACCCAACGAGGTGAAAAACGGCTCCTCCGTCAGTGATCTGCCTTTTATTCTACCTTAAATAGTCTACAGAACATCGTTCCGATATAATTTGCTGGCAAATTGAAGGGTTAGTTCGGAACTTGTCATACAATGAAGTAAACACTTGTTAGAAGCTACAATGAGCAAGAATAGCTGCTTAAGGTGGAGAGACCTATTATTGATGATAATTGCCTTGCAGGTGACTCTAAGAGGTTATTTCGAATATCCTTTTGATTTGTTTCTTAGACAGGAGGGATTCAAAACCTCACAACTTGAAGAGTCACTTCCATGAGGTAATTACATTTTGAGGGGAATGACTTGCCACCAAATGCGCTTGATGACTATCATTTGGTAAAGTAATTCATGAAGCAGGCAGACTATGTCAGAAAATTGAGGGATAACATCAACCTATTTCGCTCAGTTCACCAAAACATAGCGATAGCGAGCCTTACCCTGGTCCATATCGAGAATGGCCTGGTTTGCTTCTTTCATAGGTCGCTCTTCGATCCACGGCTCGACATTCTTTTCCGCTGCAAGCGCAAGCATCTCACGCAATTCACTGGGATTACCGATCTTCGAACCACAAAACTTAAGACCCGAGCCGATCAACGCGCCTGCAGGTAATGTGAATGGACCATCTTCCGGGTTGCCCACTTGCACAAAAGCACCATTAGGTCTCAAAAGCTTCAAGTAGTCGGTAATCGGAAGTGTGTTGGACGAAACAGTCGAAACAATGATATCCAAGGAGCCTGCGTGCTGGGCCACCCAATTTTCATCCTCAGACGTCGCAATGTAGGTGTCTGCTCCCAATTTCAGAGCATCATCACGCTTTGAAGCCTTGCGTGAGAAGGCAGAAACCCAATCTGCGCCCAATGCCTTTGCGAACATAATGCCGAAATGTCCCAGCCCTCCGACTCCAATAATACCAATCTTCTTTCCTGGTCCACAGCCATACTCCTTGAGGGGTGCATAGACCGTTGCGCCGGCACACAGCATCGGGGCAGCAGCAGCAGAGGAAATCTTTTCTGGGACTTTGACTGCGAAGTGCGCAGGCACCCGATTATATAGCGAATATCCGCCATAAGACATGCTCCCGTCGAGATAGCGACCTCCATAAGTACCTGTCCACATCTGCGTACAGTACTTCTCATTTCCAGTACTGCATTCCACACAATGACCGTCTTTACGACCGCGGCACGAGTCGCTCTGGGGGCCGACACCCACGCGGTCACCGATAGCAAGTCCTTTTACTTGCGACCCGACTCGAACAACAGTGCCAACAATTTCGTGGCCCACGCAGCACGGGTATGGAGTTGGACGCTATCATATTACATGAGCAGACTGTCAAGAAATCATGGACATGAAGCGTAGCTTACCCATCCGCTCCGCAAGACACAAATATCAGAAGCGCAAACACCGCAGTGAGTGATGCGAATGTCCACATCTGATTCTTCCCATGTCTTTGGCTCGAAAGATTGCCAAACCATTTGACCCCGAGCTGATTCTTTATCGAGGCCCATCCATCCCTCAAATCTCGGGGGTGGTTCAGACATGAAGACAAGATAAGAGTAAAGACTTGGTGGTGTAAGGAAATTTTCGTTGTATGAATTGAATTTATCCACGCATCGAAGTGATAGGTGGAACAGCCACTTTATGTTTGAATCACTGTGCATTTTGGGGGCGATCTAGATGTCAGCTCACACTGATTCAACCTGTCATCGTCGTCATTCTCCGATGCTTATTGCCGACCCAATCGACAACTTCCGATCAACTACTGTTCATTTAGGCTAGCGCGTCAGCGAACGATCTGTGGGCAGTTTGGGGAATTAAAGTTAGTAAATTTGCTTAAAGCGAAAAAGGTACGTACGGGCAGGCCGCAGTACACCAAAGTCAGCAATCGTGGGAACTGGGCGGGATTAGTGGAATTAACGGAATTAGCCGGTATTAGGACACGATCGTCAATTTTCCTCGAAAACAAACATGGCTGCTCTGCGAAAAAGGAGTAGGTACTGTATTGCCACGGAGTTCAGTCGAAATCGTGGGTCGTACTTAAGTACGGAGTATACATAAGGTTTTTTTGCCCCATTCCCCTACCGGATCTGGTTAGTGCCATAAGCAATCCTAGTATCAAATCGCAGCGTGCTTGAGAATTCAGTCTAGCTGGACTTATATAATAGATTTGAGGCGCCTAGCTTTTCGAAATAAAAGAAAAGAAGCACATACATTTCGTCAATGTTTCCGAGGTCTCTTAGCATTTTTCTGATCGAAAATGCCGTCGCCGCTGTCGAACTCTGAATTTCCTCCCAGTGGGACTATCAAAAACGAAGAAAATCAGGAGCCCTCCCTGGAAAAGCCTGCATCAAATGGAATTGATAGCAGTCCGCCAAACGGAGGAACTCGAGCTTGGTTCCAGGTAGTCGGCTCTTTTTTCCTGTTCTTCAACACATGGTAAGTCTTAACCGAGTTCCGTTGAGAAAGACATAGCATAACTGACAAAAACAGGGGTATCATCAATTCCTATGGAGTGTTCGAGACATTCTATAAGGAAAGCCTGCTTCAGGGGACATCACCTTCGACAATTTCATGGGTTGGGTCTTTACAGTCATTCCTCATCATGTTTCTCGGTGTTTTGACCGGGCCCATTTACGACGCTGGGTTGGTGATGCCTTTATTATACATCGGCTCATTTCTTCTGGTCTTTGGCCACATGGTGCTCAGTCTTTCTCAAAACTTTTGGCAAGTTCTCCTAGCGCAGTCATTCTGCGTTGGTATCGGAGCTGGTCTTCTCTTCGTCCCGAGCATTGCGATCCTCTCTACCTACTTCAACACAAAACTGCCGTTCGTTGTGGGAATAGCTGCATCCGGATCAAGTATTGGTGGTGTCGTTTATCCCATCATGATACATCTTCTACAAAACGAAGTTGGATTTGCCTGGTCCGTCCGCATTGCTGGTTTTGTCGCTCTCTTTGGGCTAGCTATCTCGTGCCTAGTGCTAAGGGTACGCACACTTCCTGCTACCCGCCGCAAGCTTGTCGACTGGCAAGCGTTCCGCGAAGCACCTTATGCCTTATTCAATGTCGGCATGTTCCTGTGCTTCATGGGACTTTACACTCCTTACTACTATATCCAGTCTGTCGCCAATGAGGAGCACATAACTTCCTCAAATTTGGCATTCTATCTTCTGCCAATTGTCAATGCAACTTCGACTTTGGGACGTTTAGGCATTGGCTACTTTTCCCAGTGGTCTGGGCCACTCAACATATTGGTTCCATGCGCTTTGGCATCTGGAATTCTTGTCCTTTGCTTGATCGTTGCTGGATCGCAGCCTTCCATGTTGGCAATTTGTGCCTTGTATGGCTTCTTCTCTGGATCGCTTGTTTCGCTCATGGGTCCGATTCTTGTGATCCTTTGCCCCCATCGTGGTGTAATTGGTACCAGGATAGGGATGTGTTTCACTCTCTTGGGCATTGCCTTACTGATTGGGACCCCAATAGCCGGCTCTGTTCTTGACTCTCATGGTGCAAATATGGTTTGGGTTTACAGTGGCGTTTTGACACTGTCTGGTGGGTTTGCGATAGCGATCAGTCGTATGTGTCAAGCATCTTGGAAGCTTGTTGCGAGAACCTGAGTCCTTCTTGCTCGATGTACTATCCTTGAACCAAAATAGAAGCCAAAATACATGATTTCCGTGGCTTGAAGCCTCCCACTCTAGAGAAGAAAATCTTGGCTATTATAGAAAAGCCTCACTTGGCCCCTGATATGTCTCATACGTGACACAGGATGTAGAGGCAATATGTCAGACTTGAACCTTGGAAGTTGCTAGTTATCAAAAAAAGAAATAGCTTCTCTGAGGGTGGAACTAGATGAATTGTTCGGGATGCATCATTTATGAGGCCGAATTCTAAAGTTGCAGTCATGACCTTGCGTTACAATCCACCTGGAGAAAGAATCGTTGTCATGGACCTATACCTATTCTGGAGGTTTAGATTCAACACTTCATCTATAGATTATATATCAATGTGGATGAACGAAATTTCCTACATGCAAATTGAATGAAGTTTTCGCAATTTTACCCAAAACGCTCAAAGGTAGATGGAATTTTCTTCTGTTATTCATGTGGGCGGACGAGCTTAAACATCAGTTCCCATTAGAGGGGCTGTATCAACATACAGATAGGGCATCATACTCTTCGGGTGACGGTCACCCTGAATGTCCGCTGCGAATGCAACTCTGTTCACTGCCTCGATATCCCCTTCGGTAAGCTCAACACTGAGACTGCTAATATTTTCGTCCAAATTTTGCGATTTCGTAGTGCCGGGAATCGGGATGATTCTGTCATAGAGTGCAGATATCCAGGCCAAAGTAAGTTGTCCCACAGAACAATGCTTCTTCAGGGCCAACTCCTCAATCTTTCTCACGATGGCCAAATTTCTGTCGAAGTTCTCATTGGAAAATCGGGGCAGGATGCGACGACGATCATTCCCATCAAGATCATCTGGGCTCCGCAGTTTACCAGTTAAGAACCCACGGCTGAATGGTGAATATGGAACAACTGTAACCCCAAGCTCACGGCATGCGTCGATCAGACCATTCTTCAAGCTGTCAATGGCGAAGGGAGAGAGCTCAATCTGCACGGCTGCGATAGGATGAACACGATAGGCGCGTCTGAGAGTGTCGGCTGAACATTCACTCAGGCCAAGATACTTGACCAGGCCTTCGTCCACCAACTTTGCCATTGCAGCGACAGTAATTTCAATTGGTTGATTGGGATCAATCCGATGACAGTAGTATAGATCGATGGCATCGCCTGGCTTTAGCCCGAGACAGCCACGGTTTTTGAGACACGCTTCACGGACATATTCTGGACCGTTGTGGATGGATGATGGCTGGCCGGGATGTTGTTTGATGCCAAACTTGGTCGCAAGGAAGATGTCATCGCGCTTGCCACTTCGCTGGAACCCACCTATCATGAGGTAATTTTGAATTAGAACTGTGTTGCTATGAGGACGGGGTCTCATGTTACTTTGCGAGGATGTCTTCATTGTCAGCATAGACATCAGCTGAGTCCCAAAAAGTAACACCTTTCGCGTGGGCATAGTCTAGGAAATTCAGACGATCCTTATAGGGCAGTCTCTTGTCGTAGAACATAGACAGTCCCATCAAACCAAGACCTAGGGAATCAAATTCGTTAGTCGAGGATATTATTCCAGCAAACTTCGAGGTCTATACCAACCTTGTGCAGACACGAGTGGCCCGTTCTTTCCTAGCTGTTTTTGCGACAGCATGACCATGTTAATAGACTAGGTAGGTAGGCGCTCTGAACGACGCGGATGGATTATGGAAATGGCAAGGTTGGTCGTTGAACTAGATACGTACTTAAGTAGTATTTGTTTGAATTTAAGCTTCCAAGGTTTCCGAGTTTCCGATTTCCCGAAGGCTTAAGTCCATTGCTTATTCGACTAACCGTTTTTAGTAAAATGGCAAATTTGCCCCCTCAAGTGAGCCCACAAGGTGTTTTTGATTCATCGATCCATCATTGAGAGGGTGGAGACATGCTCAGATACTTTGTAGAACGAAAAAGAGAACAGAGTGCGCTGGAGGGCACCCTGCGATTTTTTTTTTATCAACCGTTTTCTTCTTCCCTGTCTTCCCCTATGCCGGAATCTTTACCTGTGGCGTTTTTACTAAGTTCGAAATAGTCGGTGTACTACAAGACAACACGATGCAAGCCCAACACAATTGTCTTGATATGTGGCATGGTATATGGCAGTTCTTGGTGGTGGGCACCAGCGACTCCGGGAAGGTCGCTGGAGATGTCAACTACCTTTGGCCGGGAAATGGCACTCGTGATGATCCTTATGTTGTATCTTGGAATACAAATGACACATTCAATGCCCGCAATTATTGCGGAGCGAAGCGGGGCAATTATTTCACAGTTACCCCTGGTCACGTAATCTCCATATGTTTTGGGTCCCACTTTACAGGAATTTCATCTTTTGAGACTTACTCGTAGCTCTGTAACTTCCGGCAGAATAATATTGTGGCCTCACTAGTCCCGATCACAATCCACATTCTGGCCGATCATATACCCCAAAACACTTGAGGAAAGAAAAGGAAGGTGCACTAAGCGCTACGCTCTGCAACTGCTATCTGGGGACCAAAGGTCTCCAATTCCCTAGTAGTGAATGCGATCAGTTGTTCACCTGGACAGCGGGTACTGCAAAGGCAACACAAGTATATGAATGTTCATTTATCACCAACAGATAGCTATCTTGAGGCAAAGTGCGCCATTTCCTCGGAACACAGACAGAGTGAAGAAATTGTGGTTTCGTACCGCTAGGCTGTTGCCAAGCGCATTTGTCCAAATCATGATTTCTGATAAAGAACCCAACCGTACATAACCAAAGGCTCGATGTGACGCGAATAACAAACAATTAGATCAAAGCAGCGCCTTCATTAGAATAGGTTCGAGCACGAAGGTGGCCCGGGGCTGCCTCTAGCTCTCCCTCTCTTTCCCGACCTCTCTTCTCCGACCAGCCAATTGGCCTGCCCTTGTGAATCGAGAGTCTCTTCGAAGTGCTTCCAAAGCTTTGCCAGCTTTTTCCGAGCGGGCTGCGTCTTCGTCGGGTCGAGACATCGCAGGAGCATCAGCCTCAGCCTGTGCTGCAAGAAGTCGCTGCACAATTTCGAGATGATTCCCATCCTTGGCTGCTTCGAGCGCAGTGCGTCCGTCATAGAATCCAGAGATTGCATGAATGTCGGCCTTTGCTGCAAGAAGTTCCTTCACAACATTGAGATGGCCCTCTCCCGCTGCTTGTTCAAGCGGTGTTCGTCCGTCCAAAATGCAACGGGGTGCTTTGAAATTAGCCTTCTCACGGAGAAGTCGCCGCACAATATCATCATGGCCTGCTTTTGCTGCTACCAAGAGGCTTGTTCGGAGAAGCTCTTCTATATCCCTCTTCTTATCAATCGCGTGAGTAATGATATTGGGAACAAATCGGAGCAGAGATTGAAATGATTGTGAAAAACCAACTCTTGAAGCCTGAATTAGCAGTACCCCAAACTCCATCAGCTCACAGGAGTTAGCTCTCTGCTGGTAAATATACTCCATGAGATGCTGGTGACCATGAGGAGTGAAATTCTGAAAGATGTAATGATTGGCTTCTTTGGTCAAAAGATGAGGCTGATGTTTCTCATAGTATCGAAGCAAGGGAAAATGCCCATGTGTTGACAACCATTGTATCGCGAGCGGTACATCACCTTTGTCTTTGTGGCTTTTCTCGGCAGATTCCCATGGTCTGTACGCAACGATATCATCGCCTTCTAAACAGCGGCGAAACAATGACCAGTTCTCATCACGAGAGTCAGCTTTTAAGTCCGTAAGGTGATTGATCCAATGATTGCGAGCATATTCGAGAAAGTGAAATCCTCGCCTCTGGATTTCCGTATCGAGACGTGAAGACTCTTCGGCACCAACCAATTCTTCAGCCTTTCTCTCGAGTTCCCCGGCACTGACATACTGCCATTTGGGAGAGTACAAAAGTAGCCTGTGTCCGATTCGACCAGTTATGCCCTTCGAATTGCTGAAAGTTGAAACTCCAAAGCGAACAGGCTGTATGGGAGTATTTGAAGTATGTTTAAACGATTTCAATTGACGCTTAAAATCAGCGAAATCAAGGTAGGTCATGCAGAGGACACCGATATGCCTATCAAGTTTCTGGGTGTTGAATTCTTCCGAGATTTGGCTCTGCGTGGTGTCAAAAAGATGTGGGTTCGCGGTTCGATGAACGAATTTCACGAAGTTGTCAAAAAGATGTTGTTTCACGCTTTGATGAACGTAGTGCACGGTGTTATCCTCCTCATCTACGCATGTGAGACCGCAACAATGGCTGATAACCCTGTTCATGTCATTAGGGAAATTTCCACGATCAAGAGACTTCTGTCCAGGGGAAAGACTCAAGACCTCTTTGTACTCCCTCGTGCTCAATGGCCTCTTCATCACGCCGCAATATTGGAGCATTCTGAATGCGTCATCTCTGGTTGTTTTGCCCCGTACACGACTGAGTTTCTGATCGAAGATCTCAGAAAGAGCACGTGGGGGATGCTTCAATGCCTCTAAAATCTCATTGTCACTTCCTTGTGCGCAGAGCTCTTCGATGAAAAGACGTGTCCAAAGGAACCTGTATTTATAAGCCTATATCCATTCAAAACCACTTCGAAAGATAGTATGTCAATAGTGGATAGGAATAGTTGATCGCTCACATTCCATTGGATCCCTTTCGCAGGGCTTCTTCAATCTTTAGTTTAAGACTCTCATCCCCTAACACCAATTCCTTCTCATCTAGGCAGCGATCCAAGGTCGCGGTGATATAGCGATCCATCTCTGAGCCAATTTTTGACTCAGTCACTGAGATCCTGTACTTAGGTCCGATGGCTCCGAAGAGTGATCCTTCAAGTTCTGGCAGACCTGAATAGATGACTTTGAACTCTTTAGTGTGTTCTTCACAGAGCTGAGCCACGCATTGCGCTACCGTTCGGACTTCAGAACCTTCGCACTCATCAAGCCCATCAATGACAAGATAGTATTTCTTGTCAAAAGGGAGATTATTGAGTAGAAACTCAGTGATTTCATATGCGCCAAGGTCATTACTAGCATCAGATAGGTTTTGGAGAGTTTCGTCTTGAGCATCAGTGATCTGAAGGTCTAATATTTGACGAGCAAGACTCCCAATGATGTTCCTCGCTGACAGAGATGCCGTATCATCGGCACGGCAGAAATAATAGGCGATTGTCTCATCGGCATTGCTTGACTTATGGAGGTGAGTAACCGTATGAGACATGAGAACTGTTTTGCCCGCTCCCATCGTGCCGGGGCACCAGAGAATTGCAGTGTGCTTGTCATTTTGCCATTCAAGGAAGATGGGTTCCTGTAGCAGCCATTCCGCTGTGCCTTTAACACGCTGTCGTCGAGCTCGATTGCAATATTTGACATAATCGATGGTGGAAAGATTGTTGCGAATGCGGATTCTCAGGCGTTCAGCTTCTCTTAAGCCCCTTTTGATCTTCAACTCGTGCATCTCGGCGTATGCCTTTTTGGAGTCCCTTTGAAAGATGGTATCATTCTTCCGGGCCAATTCGGCTTTTTGGCTCTCGAGCTCAAGCAGCTTCTTTGCGTCCCTGGCATCCTGCTTTGAGGCAAGGCTGATTTGTTGCTCGATTTCGCGAGCAGATTTGGCGAGATCGTCGATGAAATCTTTGAAGTCAGACTCAAAAGGTTTCAGGATAGCAGAGAATGTTTGCTGTAATGCGGGACGTCTCGAAACTTCGATGATTTTGATACACAGGGAGACAATGACTGCATAGTAACCACACAGTGCACTTTGCAGGTTGACGCAGCCGGGATAAAGTTGCCCAAACTGCTGATAGGTCGGGCATGACTTTCCAACTTCCATGATCAAACTTGTCACCTTGTCGAAGTAAGACGCGATGTTGCTCACTGCCAAAAGAGCCGTCTTCACGCCGCCCCAGACGAGGGCGGCGATCTCAGGATGCGAGCTCACGAATGTATCAACAATGTTGGTAAACTCTTGAACTCGGCCCAGGAATGTGCTTAATCTTGGCCCCACGCACTGTTTCATAGTATCATTGGTGTTATCGATTTCCTCGACAAAGTTAAGGACACTCCCAGCATCCGGCTTTGTATTGCTGGTTTTGTATTTGCGCTTTTGATCTTCGGTCAAAATGCTCTCGAATCTTGTCAAAGCTTGCCTAAGCTGTTGTGTGGGATCCAAGCCCCGTCTCGAAACTGACCGAGACAAGGCCGTAGAAATCATCTTGCTCTCTGCAACCGCACTGATCTCAAACTCGAGAGCCCTGGAGATCGGGCTCGCCGACAACTCTATGATAGATGGCGTGAAATACAAGAGGGAAGAATTTGGACAAATGAGATCAAATCCAGCAGAGATTCAGCTGGATTTCAGTTGAAAGAGAGGGCGTCTAAGCCACAATCCCGAAGAGGGGGCCATGCAGCCTCATGAGTATCAAACGTATTGGTATTTCGAAGATAAAAAACAGCCAGCATCTATCGTCTTCGTTATCATATCTCAAGACAGAGCACATTGGGGAAGGAGAGAGAAACTGCTTGGTGATTTGACATCTAGCCTTGTTTGTATATTCTTTTTGCTTTGCGATTTTGAATCAATTCCATCGCCATTCGAACCGTTTACAGGCAAGGTCGAGTCACGAGTGGTTGTTCCTGCAGGGCCTGGGGGGCTAGGTACAAAGCTGTTACACCTGACACAGCCACAGGCGCCGCATTCTCGTTCAAAGCTCCCCAGGCTAGCGCTCTCCGCATTGCGCGCCAAGCGCCACATCGACGAGAGCCCCATAGAGCTTCAGTGCGAAAGTAGACCGGAAGCCCTGATCTTCTACCTGTGGTCGCATGCATGGCCCTTGGTTGAAAAAAACCATTCATGTTGACATGGCATAATAGTTGTTGAGGTTAGGCACAGGCTTCAGGGAAAAGCATCGTGGTCAATTCGGGCAGCCATTCGACGGACGCTGCCCAGGTGCCAAGGCAAGAAAGCGACAAGTAAGGATGACAGAAAGAGAGATGTTCGTAGATTTACACGTGACCCATGGATGAGTACAGGATAAATACTCCGGACGGAATCAATGATCATGGAGTTGAATTGAAACAGGAAGGCCCAATAAACCTGATTGCGATACTAATATACAAGAATAAAGACACAAGCGCCGTGGTGTCCAACCACCGTCAGGATTGAAGAAAGAATGCAAAAAGTGTACCACCAATCCTGCCCGGACAATCCAGAGTATGCCATCCGACTGTGCCATGCGACTGGGCTTCTTTCGGAGTATTCACACGGTGCGGCGTAGTTCTGGTCCGGCGGAGTTCTAGACTGTCGGAGCCTTCAGCTCAAAGAAACCGGGGGACGAGGCGATGCACATCGGAATAAATGTCACGGGACGAATTCCCTATTTCCCTTGCCGTTGCTTGTGCTTGGGGTTCTTGGAGCTAAAAGAAATTGCGATTAGACTCGGTTGGTTCCATTGCCTCCATGGCTCCAGGCTCGGAAACTCACCAGATAATGAAAACACGACCTTTCCGGTGAACAGGCTATAATCAAATCGTCAACACAATCCCAATCCCAGCATATCCGCAGAGCCTCTCGAGCAAAGATCATACCTTGCAACCATCACACAGCCTCTTGACGGAAGACCGAGTCTTCATGCCCCGAACCTGCTCAACCTGCCTCGCGGAGGCATTCGCCAACGCAACCGCACTACCAGTCTGCTCTTTTCCACGGAACCTCGTCAGGCCATTCTGAATCATGTGGGAGAATGGTCGTAATGAGACTGCCCGAGTGGTCACGGAGGGGAGGTACTGGCGGAGAGCACCGGGGGCGCGGAGGACGGTGCGGAGGGAGAACATGGCGATTTTTGGTTTGGAATTTGGGGAATTCCAAAATTTCAGTTGGAGGCTTTGCCTCTGTGCTTGCCGTGTGTTGAGCTGGGGGTATCGTGCAATTGCGCTGGGATGATGTTTTGGCTCCGGAGGTTCGCAAATGTTGCCCGGATGTTCTGTATTGCCGATCGCCGGATTGGACTTTGCAGATCTTATGGTCTTCCGAGTATGTAGAAGCTCATTTTTGTAATAGAACAGTTTTAAATTTTTGATGTATTTCCAATATCTGCTAATTCTACCATATGCAAACCAGAACCTATACTAAATTGTAGTATGGTAAAAGTGTCTATCACAGCCCAAACGCCTAACAAAAAAAAATAAGGACCTTGAAGCCGCTTCAATAACACGTTATAAACAATCCATCGTCTCGTTATCCACACTTTTTTGCGCTAAGCACTATTTATTCAGATCGCAGGAAAGTCTTATAGGTAGGGGAATCAGTGTGCTCGCTGAAGGGGTAACCCAAGTCCTGGAGGAATTGCTCCAGGTCTTCCTTCTCTGGAGACGGGCACTGGATTCCAGCCAAGACCTTACCAACATCACCACCGTAGTTACGGTAGTGGAAGAGGGAGATGTTCTGGTTGGGGCGGAGGGTGGTGAGGAACTTGGCCAGGGCGCCGGGGCGCTCGGGGAACTCGAACATGAAGATGCGCTCGTCGGCGACCTCGCAACGGCCTCCGACGAGGAACCGCAGGTGACGCTTGGCAAGCTCGTCGTCGCTCAAGTCGCGGCAGGGCATGCCTTCTTTCTCGAGCTCGGCCATGATCTTGGCGAGGTCTTCGCGGCCTGTGGAGGCTGAGAGAGAGATACCCATCAAGACATCTGCGGACTCTTCGCGGGCGTAGCGGTAGTTGAAGGCTGTGACGGCATGGGGAAGCACCACCTCGACAAGCTTGGCGAATGCACCGGGCTTCTCGGGAATCTTGACGGACAGGAGGGCCTCCTTCTTCTCGCCCAGAGCGGCGCGTTCGGCAACGAATCGCAAACGATCGAAGTCCATGTTGGCACCGGAGGTGACTGCGACCAGTTCACGGTTGGGATCTGGGCTGGGGTTCTGCGAAATGTACTTCTTAAGACCGGCAAGAGCGAGAGCACCGGCAGGCTCAATGATAGAGCGGGTATCTTCAAAGGCATCCTTGATGGCAGCGCAGGTCTCGTCAGTAGAGACCTGGATGACATCGTCAATAACGTCACGGCAGATGCGCCAGTTCTCCTCGCCAACAGTCTTGACGGCCGCGCCGTCCGCGAAGAGACCGACGTCCTTAAGGAAGACGCGGCTGCCAGTATCCAAGGACTGAGTCATGGCGTTGGCATCGTATGCCTCCACACCAATGACCTTAACCTGGGGTGCAATGCGCTTCAGATAAACACCGACTCCAGCAATGAGACCACCGCCACCAACCGCACAGAAGACCGCCTCCAACTTATCCAAGTTTGCCTGGCGCAGAAGCTCCATGCCAATGGTGCCTTGTCCCGCAATCACATATGGGTCGTCGAAGGGAGGGATATTGGTGAGACCGTGCTGCTTTTCCAACCGGTGTGCCTCGACCTTGGCGGAATCGAAATCTTGTCCGTGGAGAACGACGCTGCCACCCAAACGGGCCACATTCAAATGTTTAATAGCCGGGGTCCCAGAGGGCATCACGATAGTCGCGGGGATTCTCAGCTTCCGGGCCGAGTAAGCCACACCCTGTGCGTGGTTGCCCGCGGAGCAAGCAATGACACCCTTCCACCGCTGCTCATTGTTCAAGTGAGCCATCTTGTTGTATGCGCCACGCAGCTTGAAGCTGAATACCGGGAGTAGATCCTCGCGCTTGAGCATGACTCTGCTCTCTAGGCGGTTGCTCAGGTTGACCGCATGGGTCAGGGGTGTCTCTTCAATCACATCGTACACTCGGGAGGTCAAGATCAATCGCAGATACTAGAATGGCGGGGTCAAAATTAGGAATTGAGGTTTCTACCCGGACAATCCAACTCAACGTACATCTGGGTAGCCATTGGGGAGCAGGAAGGCTTCAGGGATTCCCCAATTGGGAGGCAAACCAGGAGTCTGGTTTGCGCGTTCGGAGGGGGGCGTCGGAGCGGCGGTGTACTCAGTCAAGGCCAATCCGCTCATCTTGGGGGTGACGGGGGACACTGGGGTCACCACTGCGTTGGATGAATCGTCAGACATGGTCTCTGAGGTCGCTCTGTTGGATCGCAAAGTCGAAACCAATAAACAGAAGGAATTGGCAAGCGGGCAATGACTCTTTTTTTTTGCGGGGACCGGTGATCGGAGGTCTTTGTCATCAATCACGCCAGCCCTAGACATGCAGGTACTCACTGCGGACTAAATGAATTATATTAATTATATGTGTTTGTTGAATACTTCTGCTGTCTGCATCATCTGCTCTGTCACATTTCTTTTGAGTTGGACCTTGAAGTGTCAGGGCTTGGAGTATAGATCCCAGGAATGAATGGAAATTGAACCTGAGCAGCACCAGGGACCTCTTGGCTGATCAGAATGGAGAATTCATTCAGTAGATCAATACGGAGTACTATACCGTACTGAAGTATCTACTGACTGAAGTATAAGACCTACTCTCTACTCTTTACGCCGAACCACTGAGGCAATGTGGCTGATATCCTATTCCGTGTATTCCGTGACGACCATAGAGTAGAAAAATAAGATCAAACCAGACGATACGCTTCAATCTACTTATTTCCCCCAAAAAATATCCTACAATATGTATACAATAGTGTATGAGGGGGATGCAAATCCGTGAACTTTTTGGACCTTGGAGAGTTACATAAGGCGGAAAACTTGGCGTCATACGCAGCTAGTCTAATCCAACATCGAAAAGTTGGAGTCCCCGGATTCCTCTGCACTTTCGACGATCTACGACTTCCTACAAACCCGAGTGATCCGCTCAATTCCCACCATGAACCGCGAACCAGTGCCCTCGTCTTTCGACGAGAACCCGTACGTCCCGGCCGACAGCCAGCAAAGCCACCAGCAAAGCCACCAGCCCAGGGACCCTGACTAACACAACCTACAGCCAATTCACCGAAGAGACCGGCACACAGAAGTTCACCAGACGTCTCAAAGAAGAGCCCCTAGTCCCATTAGGTACCCGCCCAAACCCGCAATACCTCCTTGACGATCCCACTAACACAACCAGGATGTGCGGCAACATGCTACGCCCTCTACCGGGCCTACCGCTCGATGAAAAGCGGCGACTCCGTTGAAATGAACCGAATGTTCCGCGCCCGCATCTACGCCCAAGCCTTTACACTGGTCGCACTCGTCGCAGGCGGGATGTACTTCAAGACCGAGCGACAGCAGCGACGAGAATTCGACCAAGCAGTGGAAATCCGGAAGAAGCAAGAGAAGCGGGACGCGTGGTTACGGGAGCTGGAGATTCGCGACAAGGAGGATCGCGAGTGGAGGGAGCGACATGCTTCCATTGAGGCTGCTGCGAAGGAGGCTGGCAAGGCTCATGAGCCTGATGCGGCGCGGTCTTCTCTTGAGCGGGCGGATGAGAAGACTGTTGGTGTTTTGGATGCTGTTAAGGCGTTGGTAGGGAAGTGAGTGTTGAAATTTGTCCTACATCATGTCTGTGTAAATATACCTGCATACATTGCGATTTTTCCCTCTAAGGCTGTTATCAATGTAAATCCAGTGATAAATAGCCCTGATTATACCCAGTCACAGTTCCAATGCGACGTGGGCCGAGGTAAAAACGAATCAAGCATGGCGCTAACGAAGTAACCATATGTTCTTGGCGGGAACCCTGTCCGGAAGGCCCGATTTTGGCGCCGAGGCTCCCATGTGAGATCGACATCGGCCTCTCACTCTGTCCCGGGATCAATGCCGTCCAGTTCTTATTTCAATTCATATTTTTGTCATTTTCAAAGCCAAATGAACATAAAGGGAACTAGGAACAAGAAAAGAGTATACGAAAACCAGGCACGAAGATCCAAGGCGGGGAAGGTGGACTCGCAAACCCTAATTTGGGGACTTTTGGACTGACTGGCTGGCGTTGCAAAGTTTTCAGACCGAATTAGGCCTTGATATGATCTTCTTTTTAGAGCATGACGTGTGGATATTTAGTCTCTCTCACATGTATTTCCTTAAGACCAGGGACATTGCAGGATTTTCCCCTGGCCTTAAAGCTTGCCTTTCTCCGCCCAATCCAACGGACTATACTCGTACTCACACCTATTTTCTAAATTAACATACTACAATACTCAAGATGCTGTCCTGGGTGAACCCTCTGCGAATCTTCCAGGCTGTGCTATCCCTAGCCACCATCGGTCTAACAGCATATGGTATGTAGCTCTCCGTCCAACCCATCCATGGATTGCAGGCTCTAACAAGAACCAGAAATCGCATCCCTCTACGACGAATGGTCCTACTCCAATGTCATCTACTTCATGCTTTTCAACGGCTGCTGGACCACCGCCGTCGTAATCCCCTACCTCGGTCTCGCCCCATTGGCCTTCCCTCGCTTCTCCCATGAATTCGCCATCCCCTTCATGGAACTCACCACCGGCGGCCTCTGGCTCAGTGGCTGGATCGCCCTGGCAGTCCTCATCCCCTCTCCAGGCTCATGCCACTACACCAGCTGCCACGCTTTGCAGGCCCTGGTCGTAGTCGGCGCAGTCCAATGGTAAGAACTCCAGACATGAGCCGGAACCGGAAACACTTGTCTAATTATTTCTAGGGCAACTTTCGCTGTGACCAACACATTCGCAATTCTGGATCTAATCAACTCCCGCCGCAACGCGAAGAACCATCGCGAAAACCCGGCTCCTGAAATGAGCAATGCCAATGGCGAGCCTGCGGCTAACCCCGAATCTGCTGTTTAAGTTGGATTTAGATCTGGATCCAGAACGAACTCCGTGTTCCATGTACAGATTCTTTTCAAGCCTGCAGGGCTTGAGCGTGGATGAAAACTGATACCCCTGTTGATGAGCCCTTGTATATATGCAGGGTCTAATAAGCCGATTGGCCAAGCCTTGAATGTAATGTTTATATGATAATAAGACCTCCAGACCTCCAGCCACCATACATTACTTAAGTAGACCTGGGAATTTCCTTCTAAAGTTAATACTTAGAAGACATCATCCAAACCTCAAATCAATGGTATTGCCGCTCTAATCAGGCTATCATCATAAAATACATGACCGACTCGATCGTCGGTGGTCATCAACATTCATCAATCATTCATTCATCCCAGATCCATCCCGTCAACCTGGTTTATCGATTTCATCGGCCCAGTCTGGCCTGGGGCATTCATCTCTTCGTGGAATCCGAGAACCTCGCCATACATGATAGTTTTCCAAATATCAGCCGGCAGATTAGCTTCGAGGAATGACCAGTCGAATGTCTCTGTTGCAACTGGTTCGTCGGTGGGGTCGTGGTAGGGCGCTAGGTAGGGTGTTTCAAGGGCTATGGCGGCGGAGATTCGGGTGTCGGGGTCGAATTGAAGCATTCGGTCAATTAAATTTGTTGCTGTGGGGGGTTAGTATAAGTTAAGAGATGCGCTTCAATTCACTCACCATCCGTATTGGCTTGAGTAATGACCTGTGACATGGGCTTTCGTTCTCGCTTTGGGAGTGATTTGACGAAATTCAACGTCTGGTCTCGTCAGCTTTCAACTTTCCACTTTTCTCTGATATCAGATGGTATACTAACATTCTCACTGGTGACATTCGCAACAACCTCCGGAGGCGGATTGCCCAGCATATCAGTAATAACACAAAACTGATTAATATGATTCTTCCCAGGGAACAAAGGTTCACCCGTCAAAAGTTCAGCAAAGATACAACCCGCACTCCAAATATCCACCTTCTCATTATATTTGCGCCAGGTAAGCATAATCTCCGGCGCGCGATAATATCTCGTGGAAACGTATCCGGTCATATGGAGGTCTTGGATGCGGGCTAGGCCAAAGTCGCAGATTTTCAAATCGCAGTTCTCGTTCACGAGGATATTACTCGGTTTCAGATCTCGGTGGACTACCCCTGCGGAATGGAGGTATTTCAAGCCGCGCTGGGAATATTAGTGGTGTTTGGTACTTGGTTGTGGGTGCGGCTCACCATGATTTGGTACATGAAGTATTGAGCGAATTGGTCTTCCACCCGCTTTGCTTTGAGGATGGTGTTTAGGTCTGTGGCCATGAGTTCCGTGACCAGGTATCTGCCCAGGTTGGTTGGTTAATTTTGGTATGGGGCATGGGTTGATTTGGGGTGCGCGTACATGTCTTCGGAGGGCGAGATGAAGATGTCGGTAAGGTTGATGATCTGGTATGGTGTTAGACAAGTAGGGAGTGTTATTTCCGGGACCACACACGTTCTCATGGTGTAATTGTCTAAGCAGTTTGATTTCGCGAAACATGTATCTGGCGACGGCTTCGGTCTGGAATGGTTCGGCGAGTTTCTTCACCGCAACGGTGCGGTGGCCTATACGATCCCTTGCGGAGCTGGCAACATTCAAAGGTTAATGTTTCATTCCTCTCCGTCTTGGAAGGTGTCTTACCAGACTAGTCCTGAGACACCGAGGCCTAAGGGCTTCCACTGGGTATATCTGAGCTGAACTTAGCGCAGTTGAGGAAAGGTGGAAGAAAATCCTCGCACCGTTGTGTCGTCTCGAAAATGGTGCCCATTATTGATTTTTGCGAGAATCTGGCCAGCTCCTCCCCGGCGGGGACTGGGATGGCGGGCATCATAGTTATACGAGTAGAGCTCGTTATAGACCAGCACCAGGAGTTAGAGGTAGCAGTGGTCAACAGTCACCTTGTTGTCAATATGATCAATAAGGTCGATATAGTCAATATGATCAATATGGTCAAATACAATCAACAATGCGGTCATTCAGGAAGCGAAGAAACAATACTCGTAGTGGCGTCTCCAACGGTGACATCAGAGGCTTTGTGGATCGACCCCAGCTCTCTCTCAGGGCTATTTGGCTAGTGGGTTGTCTTGCACGTTCCATGCGATGCGATTTGGGCCGTGCATTTCGGGGAGAATTAATCCGTCTCATGTAATTCATCAAATTCATCATCGTGTTTGTGGCCTTACGAGGCTGATTAATATACAAATCCGCTAAATAACAAAACGCCTGCCATTTTCACCCGTTGCCCCCATTTTCACTCATGAATAGGGATTGTCAGTCTGAATGAAATTCTCAAACATCGAATCCGTCAAAATAGGATCATAAAAGTCATTCGTAGGCGGAAGGGACCAGTCACATTCTTCGAAGGCACCCTCCATCTTGAGTTCATTGCCGGTCGCATTCGCGTTCGCATCCTCCTCCGACCATGTTTGAGATGTCGGTGATGTACTATCAACCGAATGACTGAGCACAGACTGGGTCATCCGGGCTAGTTGGCTGTTGATCTGGTGGTCGTCGCACTCGGCGTGTTGGAAAATAATATTCTTCAGATCCCAGACTTCTTCCCGGAGCACGTTGAGTTGAGCGAGGAGGATTTCTTTCTTTTCCGTTTCGTCGCTGAGTCGACGCTCGATGAGCTTGTGTTCACGCTTCTTGCGCTCGCGACACTTGTTGGCGGCAATGCGGTTGCGCTCGAGGTGGCGGGCGCGCTCGGGGCTCACGTGAGATTTCATGGTACTTTTGTAGTGCACTTGATGGACTTCAGTGCTCAGGTGGTGGGTATTGTAGATAAATTGTGTATTGCGTGTGTGTTGGGGACAAATAGTTAAATAGCCAAATAGTCAAATAACCCGGTCCTTCGAATAACCAGTTAATATACCACACCAACATCCCCAGCATCCGGCTGAATTTTCCGCTTTAACAAGTCCAGATGCAAATGTATGACGTCGTCTGTTGAACTAGGATGTCCGCAAGCTTCTCAACTTGCAACCTGTTCGCCGTTTCCGGTTGAGCCGGCCAATCACCCTAAGTAATGCCAGCTTGCAGTCCCACCATCCGTCGTGGCACAAAGAAATTCAACGACGATTGGCACTCGATTAAAGTGTGTGGAGACGTGGCAAATCTGTCGATTCCATGCACAGTGGGAGGTCTAGAATTTGCTTACTTGATAGGTGGGAAGAGGACCCTGCAATAGTTGACATCATTAGTATTTCTTGGAAATAAACAAACACTTAAATGTTGTAGATCGTATACTAACAGCATAGTACGAACTGGCCATCGGAGTGGGGTCATTCAGTGTGTTTAGATTGATTATACGAGCATTCCCTATTTTCGGATCTGTCTACCTCGGCCATCAGACAGCAATCTAATTAACCTTTCAAAGTCAAATCAAGAATGCATTGATCATCCAAGCAAGGTACACATCGGGTCATAAGTGGCGGACCTAAATCTGGTTTCTCACTGTGCAGGACTATGTAGTAGACCTTGAGAAATCAGGGCCTGACCTGAGAACCCTCGAAGCCGGGATATTAATAATCGGCCTTGGAACTCGGTCCAAATGCTGTACAAAATCACTTTAGAACATCCTATGAATACAATCGAGGTTTAAAAGAACCGGGTATATACACAGATCAACCAGCAACCTGTTCATCAATATACCGCTTCATAGTCTGAAATTCCGATTTCCCAGTCTGCCCAGCAGTTAGCGCAAAACCCAAACGAACGAGGATCTCCCTACCGAAAGAAGATAGCGGATATGTTGCTAAAGAAATTAGTCCACAACTCAAAACAGTAGTTATTTCAACGTACCAAATCTGTTAATTCGCGATGACGCTCGAATTCAGCGCGCGCGTAATTGCGCAGCTCTGTTCTTGTGGAGGAGGGCGGAACCTCTGCCAATTAGTCAATTCTAACCCGAACAAACCTTGTGCTAGGAGCTTACTGATGAGTGCTCGGACGATTTCTCGCCAGAATGTCAGGACCCGCTGTCGTTGGATGAACTGGTGATTGGTTAGTGGTTGTCACGGGGTGTTGGGATGTACTTACATGGTCGAGGCTGATGGATGGTTTCTTCAGCTTGGATGGGCGGGTTCGGGCGACCGCGAGGATTTGGGATGGGCGCATGCTGGGCTATGGCATTTCTTTGTGAGATTGATGTAAAGAATTGATTTGATATACAGGGAATGTCAATGGTCATGGATGTTTCTTCGAAGGGACTGAAGGCGGTGGGCATTTCTGCCGTGATACGGTCATGTGATGGTATTCATGCCTGAATGGCAAGGTGTCATTTTCATTCGGTAGTACAAGTGCAATTGGCAGTTTTTATCCAAAGATTATAAAAGTCTCAAATATTCGTAGAAATCATCTTACTCCTGCAAGGGCTCGCCCATGCCACCAAATGTCACACTCTTGATAGTCATGAACTCGTCAATACCATACTTGCTGCCCTCGCGACCGAAGCCACTCTGCTTGACACCACCGAAGCTAAAACACATTAGTACTCAAAAAAAAAGGGGAAGGAAGAAAAACTCACGGAGAAGCAACATCACTAATCAAACCAGTGTTGACACCAACCATGCCAACCTCCAGGGCCTCAGCAACACGGAAGATGCGACGCACATTCCCACTGAAGAAGTAACCCGCCAAACCAACCTCAGCCCGATTTGCCAGATCAACAACCTCCTTCTCTGTCTCGAAGGGGAAAAGACCAGCCACAGGACCAAAGGTCTCCTCCGAAGCAAGCAGCATATCCTTACTCATCCCCGTCAACACAGTGGGGTGATAGAAGTTCGGACCAAGCGCAGTAGCCTTCTGACCACCAACGACAACCTGCGCACCCTTGGAGGTAGCGTCCTGAACATGCTCGTGGGCCTTGTTAGCAGCACGCTCATGGATAACAGGGCCATGGGTAATGCCAGACTCGAAACCACCGCCAAGCTTGAACTCCTTGACCTTAGCCACAAACCGCTTGCTGAATTCCTCGTAGATGCCCTTCTGGACGTAGATACGGTTCGCGCACACGCAGGTCTGGCCGGAACTACGGAACTTGGATGCGATTGCACCTGCAACAGCAGCATCCAGGTCCTCAACATCATCAAAGACAATGAAGGGCGCATTACCGCCCAGTTCCCAGGAGACCTTCTTAATCGTAGAAGCAGATTGCTTCATCAGGATACGACCCACGTTCGTAGAACCAGTGAAAGACACCTTACGCACCTCCGGATGCGTAGTGATCAACTCACCGACAGCAGGAGTATTCTTGGACGAAGTAACAATATTCACTACACCCTTAGGAATACCCGCGCGGTGAGCCAGCTCGGCAAGCGCATTAGCCGTGAAGGGGGTTTCCTGCGGCGATTTCGCAACAACAGTACACCCCGCCGCCAGGGCAGGCCCAATCTTACGCGTAATCATAGCCGCAGGGAAATTCCACGGCGTAATCAGACCACACACACCAACGGGCTGCTTCACAGTCATCACCCGGTTACCAGGCACAGAGGCGGGGATGGTATCTCCGTATGTGCGGGGTGCTTCCTCGCTGAACCACTCGAAGAAACTGGCGGCGTAGTTAACTTCGCCCTTTGCATCGGCTAGGGGCTTTCCATTCTCCCATGTAATCAGGGTGGCTAGGTCCTCTGCGTTATCGACCATGAGTTGGTACCAGCGGCGCAGCATGCGGGCGCGCTCGCGGCCAAGTGTGGTGCGGAATTTGGGGAAGGCCTCGGAGGCGGCTTGGATTGCTTTTTCGACATCGCTGGTGTCGAGTTCGGGACATGTTCCGATCAGTTTTCCGGTCGCGGGGTCTGTGTGGTGTTAGGATTTGGTTTCTGTGTTCTGGGGGTTGGAATTACCGTGAACTTCAAAGGTCTCGCCGGACTTCGCGCCGACCCACTCGCCATTGATGTATGACTTCTCAATGAAGAGAGACTGGTCTTTCAACTGCAATTGATTCATTAGCATTGAGTATATTTGCACATTTCGCCTCCCTTACCTGTGGTGCGCTGTGTCCCATGGTGTAAAGTCTTTGGGCGTGAGTAGTGGGAATTCTAAAGGGGTATCTGGGCTGAGTGCGCAATAATTGACGGGTGACAGGGCGAATGAGACGGTCCATTGTGAAGGAAGACTCTCCAGAGGGTCAGACACCAAAAAAAGGGCGGAGAGGATCGGATCCAGAAAAGTGCGGGGAGTTGGAGAGTTGGAGACGCCTTTTAAAGTGATCACAGGCGGTGGGGAAGGGCTGTTTCGTTTGGCAACTGAATGGTGATTGCTCTTTACGTCCGAGAAGCACCGAGACGGACTTTGATCCGATGTGTCAGTGTAATCTAATATTTAGTTGAGTTAAGTGTTAAGTATTGAGAAGCTCAGAAGGGAAGCTCTATGCTGCGGGGATCTGCGGCTGTTTTGATGTCATCGTCTAAGTGAGGTCTGTAAAGCCATTCACACAGTGTTCTATGTAGACAATACATAAGTCCAAAGCTCCAGAACAACTCTACAAACTATTCTGCGGTACTTTTATTGCTTTAATCCAACAATTGGATCAGTTATTCGACAATTGCTGGAGATGGGAAATGCTGCATTTCATAGATCTGGTATTTGTGACCGTTCTAATACACCGGGCGGGATAAAAACCCAATAAGACAGGCAGAATTGATATTCTCGGCATGCTGAGCCAATCAAGCCCCTTATCGCTCTCTCATCCCCGAGATAGTGTATCTGTATTACCCAGCTCCGGACCGTCTGTGTAGATTTCTTTTTCTTTTGCGACTGAAGAGCCCAATGTCGGTATACAGACTTTCTTTCAGCCCCGGGAAAGTATCATGAGCTTGACCAGGCCCAAGTTGAGTGATATTGCATACATCGATTGGAAAAAAATATCTCGAGGGTCAGAGCACTGGAAATATATAAGCAAGTATCCGACGAGTGACGAGAAGGAAAATAACTTGAGAAGCAGATGATGCCAGGCATCATGAAGCTCCAAGATTCAACAGTGTCCCAGAAACATAGCAGATACTGGCCTAGAATCGGGAACGGAGTCAAAAATAAAAGTCAATTGGCATGGACAAGCGCCAAGTTCAAGTATTGGTATATAAAATGCTAATCTACATGAATCAAATCCTCATCCTGACGTGCATTAGCAGGACGAGACTGTGACCGGTCACTCCCAGAGGGAAGATAAGAAGGATGAGCAATCTTCAAATGCTGATTGAGATTCCAAGTTCGCGAGAAACCCTTCGTATGACGAGGACATCCCTCGAACGGACAAATCAGATCCGATTTCCGATGCTCTCCCTTCCCAAGACCTGGTCGCGTCCGCTTCGACTCTTTCCTCGGCGGCTCTCGGATCACCACCGCAGCCTCAGGAACCGGTGATGTGGACGCAGAAGGAGGCACAATTGCTGGTGTTTTTGCGTGTTTTTTCTTGTATGTTTTTGCTGTTGCTTTCTCGGAGCGAGCTTTGGGAGCTTTCTTGGTTTTCACTCGAGATTTTGGCTGTGGGGATGCTGGCACTGATTCATCGTCGGAGTCGCTCTCTGTGTATGTGTATACCCATTGGTCGTCGTTGTTGCGTTTCTTCTTGATTCTGCCTTCGGACATAGTGTGGAATTCCATGTCTTCACCGAAAAGATCGGCGCATCGCTTTGAGGCGCGCATTACCGCTGTGGAAGGGAGACCCATCATTGATGCGAGGCCCATTACTTCACTCCAGTCGCGCAGTTTGAGCCGACCCCTGATGTAATGGTTTCCTTCTAAGCTTTCCATCGAGTCGCAGGACGAATCTCGCGTTTTAGATGGCTCTGGCGGACGCTCAACCTCGGTGTCTTTTCCTTGTACCTGGATACTGGCGGAGCGGAATCGTTGTTTCTGAGGAGAGCCATGCCGAGCTGGCTTTCTGCCGCGAGATTCACTTCTGTTCTCAACTTTTCGTTTCCGCGGGCTCTCTGCTTCGTCCTCGGAGGAATGTTCGGCTCCAGATTCTTCCTCGTATTTCCTCCCTTTCATGGCGCAGTGCAGACCGTATAGAAGCTTGTCTATTTGGGTGATGACGTTGCGTGCTAGCGGACGTAGTTGCTTGGTTGATTTGTCGTCGTCTGCCTGGATGATAGGATCCAAGACGGTTGAATTCAATGTCTGCCCATATTCCTTCTTCTCCAGCTCTTCAGCCATCATATCATCCTTGTCATGGATTCTCTTGTCCATATCACTCTTGACATCTTCGTAATCCCACTCCCGCGCCCGGTATTTGTCCTTGGAAGCCTTGAGAAGAACCGCCGTAATAGATTCCTCCAGAGGCGCACTAGGTCGTGGATCCGGCGCCATGCGCATAGACCCAGTCTCATCCATGTGGTTTTGAAGACGTTCATCCGGACGGGGGACCTGGGCAGCCGGAACTGGCCAAACAGTCCATCTCCTCGGCACAGCGAAAGTCGCCTTCTCATTAGTCTCTGTATTATTTTGCACGGAATCGCGAATTCGCCTGCGAATCGCATGAGCGTTGTAGAGGTGAGCGCCCAGATCTCTGGATCGCTCTGTCATCATGGCAGTACATGCCCCGATTTCATCGGCATTGTATCTCCGCCATGAGCTTGCGGAACCCTGAAACAGATTCGGCCGCTCAGTTCCTGGGGGCAGGTCAAGGCCGCGGTCGACCACGTACCGGATTGGCTCGGACTCTACGGTGAGGGTATCCCGACCGGGGACTGTAGGCGGACTGGAGTGCATATTCTGAGAGCTGTGAGTGCGCCGTGAGCGCCTTCTCCCGCGATGAGGACTCGCGTGTCGACTTTCGTCGTTTGAATCGAAATCAGACGTCAGGGGCCGTTCTGGCATGAGCAGGTCATGATTATACTCGACTTCATCTTGCGCTTCGTCCATCATATCGGACTCAGGGATAGGACTCAGAAAGTCATTTTGCGCAGAGGGACCTCCAAAGAGTGATCTTGATTGCCCTGGTTGAGAAGAGGGTTGCGGATCGACATCACTGCTCGGTCCGCCAAATAATGATTTCGACACCTGCGCCGATTCTGGCGGGAGGAAGTCTGAGCCTGGAACATGGCTTTCGGAAAAAGAAGACATTTTCCTGGACCAGGGGCTTTGCTGTCTTGCGCACGAGGTCGAGGCCGACAGGGTGCAGATGTTACATGGAGGCCGTGGGTTGGTCAATTTCAAGTCCCCATTCAGTGTGCACGACGCGTTGATGAGCTTGTTAGCATCCGATCCCGATGACCGCCAGCGTGTGCAAATGGGCTGAGTGTTGAAGAGGTCGAAAAATGTCAACCGGTCACGTGCGTGATATACACGTTCCAAAGTTCGGTTGCCAAGACCAGCTAGGCCCAAAGAGGTAATACGGGTGCCGCGCTTCAGCCGCGAGTATAGACTGGAAGACGCGCGCGTGGCACGCATCAGCCCTGAAACGAAAAGGCAGGGGAGTGGTAAGAGATAGAATTGAAAAGCGACGTTAAAATGTATCATATAAAGTTCGAAATCAAGTGCAAGACTGGCATAAAATCCACAGGAGCCAATGAAGAAGCTCCCGGATGATTGATATCCGCAACACGAACTGACATAAACCTCGTTTCCTCGGCCGTATTCTCATTTAGACTGTGCAAGTATATCGGCGTATGAAGTCTTTCTTGGTCTCTGTGAACGCCTTTCAGGAGTTGGTGTACTTGTCTGTCGAGCACTTTCGGTTCCATCCAGCGTGTCAGCCCACGTAATCTGAGTACTTTCCTTATCCTCGTCAACCGGCGTATTCGCTCTGATAGATTCTGCAAACTGACGATCATGAGATTGGGAAGCGGATTTGGACGGGGTTGTTGGCTCAGCTCTTTGGGACCATCGGTCAACGCGCTTCCTTTTCCCGGTTGCAGAAGAAGGGGTTGGCGGAAGACTATTCGTTGACGTTGGCAGGAAATGGATGTCATCTGTTACAACAGCCAACTGTCGATTTTCTTTTGTAAGGCCAAAGATACAACCGGTCAAGAACACATGGGAATTCACACTGAGCGGCGGAAAATTTGCCCAACGCTGCCCATTCTTGAAAAAAGCCGTAACGGGAAAAGTATGAGAGGTGCAGATTGATGGGTTGTAAACTGTTGTTTGAAGACGATAGTGAAGTAAATTCCGTCCGTCGTTCAACTGTCCTCTCCGTTCAAGGACAACCCCGAGAAAGGTGACTATAGGCTGTGCAGCACCGGGACAGTGCATAAAATAGACATCTGTATCTTCTTGATTACCCGGGTGGCTGTATGGAATCAGTGAACTACTCGGATTAGTATGTTACACAGGTACCGACCGGTCCAAATTATAAGCATGGAGTATAATGTGGAAATCATCATCTTCGGACGATGTAGTCAAAAAGGCTCCAGATGAATAAACAAAAGTATTGGGTTGATAAATGTCGAATCGATTACCCTCGTTGAAAAATCTAATCAAAGTAGGGATTTCACTCGATTCAACCTCATCTGATTCGATATCTTTGAATGGGATGTTTAGGGAGACACGTAGTTGCATCGAGAGTGCTTTACCCAGGCGCGTTGGATCCGGCTCAACATGTTCGACGAAATCACGCACATGAAGAATAGCGGACGAGGGTTTATTCGACGACATATCAAAAGAAGACAATCAAGCGCGACGGAATAGAAAGGGGACTATACAATAAACGAGAAAGTCATACAGAAGGAAGAGCGAGGTAGCAACATAAAAATCCGTGACGGTCGAGACAGTTACAGCAAGCCTGCAGATACGAGCGAAAATGTGATGAGTCCTAAAGGCGAGCCAATCGTGCGAAGCGGCGGTGTATTCAAACTATGAGGTTATTGCCTAAGAACTCAAAATGACGAGGGTCAATTAATAATTGGATAGAACTGCTTCTCATCAGCAGGGATTTTCCCGCCACGCACGAATAGTCTCTCGTTGCAGGGACTCCAGCCTTTGCATCTCGCCTAGTAATTGAGGGTCAGGTCTCTGCTCGATGTCACTTTTCTTGATTGGTTGCAAAAGATGAAGACCGTCTAGAGACCGCAGACGCGACAGCTGTACGTATGTTGAGCAATATTTGCGGTGGGAGTCGTGCCGCCGATCCTTGCGGTCATTTTTCAAATCTAAAATGGCGGAGTCGAGAGTCGCACCTTGAATCTTGTAGTCAGTGAGGCAAAATGCTGGACAGACAGGGATCTGTTTCCGTCGGACCGAGTAGCCTTTCACCGTGATGGACATTTCAAGTGGAAAGATAGGCAGTGATCCGTCTTCGAGATAGCAATGGTTTTTCTGTGGACGCGCGGGTTTGAAAAAAAGACAGAGTGGTGGTCTGGTAGAAAAGATGTATTGGTCGTCCAGTTCGACAAACTCCGCTGATTGTGGAATAAGGCTCGCTTTAAAATGATGCGGATACAGATTCAGATTGGTGTCTTACCTTCAGGATCCACTGCGACGCCTACTGCTAGGCCCGTAGCACCATTTACAAGGCCTGCTGGCGTGCAAATATTCGTCAACACCATTGTCGGCATGGAAAGGGTGTAAAGAATGAGCCCAGGAAAAGGGACCTTGGCGCCTTGCTCCGGTAAGCCCAACAAGTCATCGGCTCGCAAGCGAAATTCGGCCGGGCTTGAGGATCTTGTCCGAGTATGCAAGGCTGGGAAGACAAAAATTTTCTGATGATTGGCGCGAGCAAATCGTTCAATTTGGAGACGGTTGATGACATGGCGCAGTGAGTTCAATTTGACGACAGCCGGTGATACTTGCAATTGAGGATCGGCGAGTGAAGAAATTGCTTTCGAATTAAGTGTCGCCAAATCATCGGAGGTCAGCGTACCGGACCTCGCTCGGCTTAGGAGACATCTATACGAAACATCCTCAGCCTGACGCATTTGTTCATCAAGGATCACAACGTGTTTAAACTGGGTCCAGATCAATTTCCCATCTTCTTCCGTCTCGTTCCTAGGGATTCTCCACAGGGGCTGGCCTTGGACCGGAGGAAATTGATGAAAATCCCCCATGAGTATCACTATCGGCAAGCCTCCAAAAAGATCGCTCGATGATCGATCTAAGGATCGAGCGACCTTGCAATGTGTATTTATGATACTCAATGCCGCCAGGTCTACCATGCTGATCTCATCTATGATCATGACTGTTTTCCGAGACCAAAGCCTTCGAACTCGAGAACTCACCCCAGCGCGCCTGTACCGGTTGAGCGAAATTCCAAGAGAGGTATGGTACGTGCTGCCTCCGATGGCATCAGCGGCTGCGCCGGTGGGAGCCATGATGATAACCTCTTCCCTGCGGCAAATCAAGTCCATCGCAGCAACAACCGCTTTGATGATCTGGCTTTTCCCAACTCCGCCTTCGCCTCCTACATAAATGAGAGATTGTTCACGCAAGGAGGAGTCGTATGGATTGCCAGCACAAATGAGAAGATCAGACATAACCTTTTTCACGACCAGTCGTTGTTTCTCGTTTAGTGGAACATCATTGCCGATCGCAGCAATTATGGAGCTGGCCGTTGGATTTTCGGCTACAAAGGCGCGATGGTTATACGCATTATTCAACGAACTCGAATCGGCCAATGATGGGAGTAAAGCACCATCAGTCAGTCTAATATTGAAGTCGTCAAGGTCCGATGAAAGTGAGAAAGGTGCTTCAGCCTGTAAGTCCTGGCCGGAAGTGTTGGTCATATTTTGAAACCCCGTTTGCATTTCTTGTATGGCGGCAGAAGAGAGAAGCCGAAAACCAGTGGATTGGTACAGAGTTATGTTTGACATATCAATAGGTTCAAAGTGATGAAATTGAAGGGATGAAAGTGGCAGAGATCGTGAAACGAGAGTGGGAATGCGCCGCTGTGCTTCACTCGCGTCGTTAAACCAGCTCCGACCAATTGCGAGAAAAGCAGCCAAAAGATCTTCCTTTCCTATGCTGTCATCTTTACCCTGCAAGCCTGGCATGAGTTCACTTTCAGAATCCGATTCTGGATAAGATGTTCCAGTCAGTTCCTGATCTAGTAAAGATGTGCCCTGCGAAGCGCTTCTCAGAGTAATGTCGGCCTGACAGTCTTCCTTTGACTTCCGCAAAAGATCGATATTCTTCGCGAAGGTACGAATATAAGGAGGTAGTGTAGATTCCACAGTCGCCCAAACGGACCGAAGGGAGTTGGGCGTACTAGATGCTACCGGCTGTACCCGAGGAAAGAGTGAGGGTAATTTTTGCCAGGGAATGAACAGACCAAGGAGAACCTCGGCCAAATCATTCTGAATTGCTGTTGTTAGAGGGTTTCCCCCCGGGATAGCGTCTTCTGCGGACTGAAATTCAGTAAGCTCACCCTGAAGAGTGACGGTAGCTATTTGACAAGCAGAACGAGCTAGTCTCTGTACATGCGTCCGATGTCGTGGATGTGTTTCATCAAAGGGCACATCTTCAGTCGTCGCACCCTGCAGAGTCTTTGTGCGGACAATCATGCCATATTCGAAGATACACAAAGACGCCAAAGAAGCCCCCCGCAATCTATAGTTATCGAATATGTTTGAAGGAGCGATTTTATTAGACTGATCATAATGGCATGGCTCATCTTCGATGGATTCGGATATTGGAGCACTCTCGTGGTGATCTTCGTGAATCAGAGACCGAACGTGTTGTCTCAGCCACCAGAGATGTATCCGCGTGAAGTTATAGTTCAGAGTATAGTATGAAGGAAGTTGAAGTATGGTACTCGCGACTTGCACGCCGCTGACTTCACGGTCTTGTGAGAGGGCATTAAAACAGCGAAGGGCAAATTTATTCATCCCTTTCTCACGCAACCTTAAATCACCTGCATTGGGAGTAGAGGCAGAGCTTGCGCGATCAATTGCCTGTTTCAATAAAGCAGCCTTCGCTACCATCTGAACGGGTGAGACATCATCCTTCGTCGCGTAGTTTGTAATGTAATATAGGAGAGAGAGTGATTTTGATACGGTCGGGATCCAGGAAATATCATGGTTTGAGCGGATACAGCTGGCAATGGAGGGGTTCCACGGATTGACCCAGGCATGATTCCGTGCAAGGTGAATGATGCCCCATTCATCTACCTTGGGCACGTCGACAAGGCTCCTCGGCATTTGAAAGCGACAGGAAGTGGAGGCCGGCCCTCGCTTGCGGTATTTGAAGCAAGTTGCCGTGTGATTTTTCGAGTGAAGCTGTTTCGTGCAAGCTATGGAATTACTATCCACAAAAAGCTTTTCTGCAAATTCACTATCCGATATAGAAGTGGTAGGTGACGGTGGCATTCTCGATGTGTTTTCTGAATTGCCGTCGTCGAACACATGGAGACTCTGCATGATGACTGTCTCTAAGAAACGAACCATGCGATCCGCGAAAGAACGGTCGGTGAGTATCCTCTCCCTTAGTTGGCTGAAACCGAGATTCCCCCGCATCCAAACGAGAGTGTGAAGATGTAACATGCCTCGACCATTACTCTCCACGACACCGTAATAATTGGATACATCCCCAAGAATTCCTAGTTCAGTGGGCTTACCACCCAGAAGGCCATCGAGTACAGCTTTACATGTGTAATGGAAGAACTTTGCTACGGCTACAGGGTCAGATGTAGCCGTGGCGCGCTTTATCGCTGTGTTCAGATCAGTTTGGGGACCGGATCGGCGCTCAACACCTGCAAGAACGAGCACGAGAGGACTCTGGAGATCCGAAGGGTTGATTGTCAGCCAGAATGCCGGCATTCCTTCACGAACTATCAAGCCTCGAATCTCGGCTCGCATCTGCAGTTTCTGGAAGAATGACCCCGGAACTCTCGCACCGATAGTGGTCATGTCTTTCAGCAACCTTCGGACTAGTGGGTCTGAAGCAGAACGATGCATGGCGAGCTCTTCTGCGGCTTTTACCAACCGATCATAGTTCAGGGAGGCTAGGTCGTGTGTCACAGAAGTCCACTGGCATCTTTTTATGAGCAAAGAATGTCCAAGACATGAATTGCGCAGCTGAATAACATCGTACAACAGGTACATGAATGACCGGTGCCGTGCAAACCTGCATTCGTTAGCTTGTGCTCTCTGAACAATCGAATAGAAACAACCTCCGACTGTGATGGCATAGCGTCCATTTGGCAAAAGCAGCAATCGAAACATCGACCTCCCTGTCATCTATATGACCACCTTGGCCAGTGGGGAACAGCGTCGGGAATGCGGAAGTGAAGTAATGGGGGTCTTGCCAATGATTGAGCAATAACGGTTGGCCTCGGACACCATATTCAATCTCAGGGAGGTGGTGATATGAACCGTTTGAAGGTGCTTCCTGGTTCATCTGGCCAGTGGTTATAAACTGCGGCCGCATTTCACAAGACGACTGATCATTGAAGGACTGTATGGTGTTAAGCAGACGTAGGTCGGGGCTATATCTATCACCATTCAGATCAACGGTTACGGAAGCAGTGACTGGAATCGAATCTCCGAAGGAATCATCTTGACCACCGTCTGCAGCTTGCCAATCGTTTTCGCAATTTTCTGTCTGTAGGTCGTTACCATAGCCGGCTCTTTCGTCGTGATCATCTTGATCCAGGCATATGATATCCTGTTGTAAGCCCGACGGAATGAAATCATCCGGCCAAAGCTCCATAGTCGAATAAGATATTGTGACGTCTTGGTAGAGTCGATTGTGCAGAATTAGATATTGCAACGCCGCGAGGACCCTAGTTTTGCGTACCGTCAGGAAATTCCGTAGATCTGCATTACTAGGAGGACGTCGTCCCATCCAGAAGACTTTGATGAGCTCAGTGAATTGAAGCTCTGGACTCGGTAGTATCTGAAGAAGTGGTTTCGGATCCTGAGGTATTATAATAAAATGACCGCGTAACGCATGGTAGTTTGCAGGCGATAATCGGCCCCCAGGGCGAAGTTTCAGGATGACCCCAACAGGATGGGACTTGGCGATGAGATATTCCTCCGTGAGCGTAAGATCTTCAAGCGCGCTGGGGTAATGTTGGCACAGGGTAACATTTATCTTGTTTTTCTTAGAGAACTTGGGAGTTGATCCTCGCAGAAGAGCAGCATAGCAGAGCGAGCATATGTTCCAGCGTCCAGCAGACCAGTGTTCGAGTATACAGGACCGAAATCAACAGGAGGCAACACGACCGTCGACCTTCTAGACCTGCAATTAAAGCAGCGAGTGACTCCGGGCCGTGCGAGGAAATTACTCCTGCAATCAAAGCATGGGACATATAGAACCGAATCAAGCTGGCAACTTGTGCAAAGCGAGCTTGTGGAGCGGATAGGAATAAGATTTTGGCAGCGCATGCAAGGGCGGGTCTCAATTTCCGTTGGTGAACAAGACAAGCGGCACGCAGGGCACCTCGGTGGCTGAACGTCCGATAGCAAACGTACCCGACGACTACAGCCAATACAGGAACGCAGAGATAGCATGATATAGGGCGAGCAGCTTCTGTTGCTCTATTGTGAAAGCGGGGCTCATTACAATGCGGGAAAGTGAAAGCGTAGAGAACAGAAAATCCAAGCCTCCAAGGCAAAATGTGTGGCAATAGCATAAAGTTCTACCAATGTCGGAGCCAATAAGCATCCAGTCAGCGGAGCAATAAGACAGGAGAAACCTGCATATACTAGCAAATATAGCCCTACAACCCTAAGCCAAGACAGGCCAGTCCGAAGAAGGAAATTTAGGAGGCACCGGCAGGGGTCCGAGTGTGGGGGCAGGCAGGAGACAGGGGCAAATGAGAGAAGTGCGTGGCAAGACATTCTATATTGTCCTTCCTTCCACGTCTCGCGCACCACATGTCAGCGTGATCAACAACCCTTTCTCTCACTTCGTTCGTTTCAGGGCATCTACTACGGAGTAAAGATACCACGATGCAAGTTTTGGAAACAGGGAGCTTATTGATTCATCTTCTTATGCAGTTGATTTTGCCGATATCAGTGAGGGACAGTAGCTTCTCATCATGAACTCCATCGATAAACGCATGGAGATGTCGCTTGATGTTTTTACCCATGGTTGCGATAAGTCCGGGTATTGGTTTGAAGTTGTAGAGGTTTTTCAAGGCTTGCAATGGACTCGGAGTATAGTATTTGCGTTGTAGAGAAGAGAAGAAAGGAGAGAGGAAGAAGAGAAGGAAGAAGAGTAAGAAGAGGAGAGATGGGGAGACTGAACGAAGATGGGATGAAGAGTGAGTCTAGGAGTGATATCCCTCCCTGTCTCCCCGAAACGCCAAAGTCCCCAAAATGCCAAAGTAAATGCCGTTCCCTACATCAAAGGCTCGATGGGCCAACGGCGACGTCCAAAAGGGCGTCGCGTCCCTGATATCCTCCGCAGTCCAGGCGTCGTCAGCGGGGACTTCCGCCCTGGCCACTGGCTGACCGGCATGCCTCCCTAGGGAGGTAATTGTGGTTGCCGAAGAGACCAGGATTGCGAGTCGATGGTGCTTTGGCGTGCGGGTTGTCAACTGCAGCAGTGGAGGAGCAGGTTAGCCGCAAATCAATGGTAGAGTGAAGAGGGCCAAAAAATGCATCCTGTATCATACCCCGGATCCATGTAACGAGAGATCAGGTCCCTCATCGGGTCATTGGTGACCGATCGTGGAGGCGTGTTCGCGCAGATATATCGCGCGAACCAGATAAGGCCGGCCATTTCAGGATGCTCGGGGGCGTGAATACACTACCGCTGGCCGGTCCAGGATTTATTAGCTGCCCAGACGTGGGCGCTTTTCCAGCCGGCTAGGCTCATCCGGCCGGCTTGAAGGCAGATCCGGCAGCTCAGGATACCCAGCACTCATGTTGACGATAACTTGAGAAGCTGGAGGGTGGCATGTGAGAAGAGAAGTGAAAGTGAACCGAAGTGAAGCGAATCTTCAGTTCAGATGCCGGAACAGTGAGATAGATAGAATAGACTCGCAGTGGAGTCCGTCAACAGCGAATGAGGGGTCTTTGTGGCTGCGGCAGCGGTAAAGAAGTGGGTCCTTGACGCAAAGAACCAATGAGAGGAAGGTAACCAAAGAAAGCTGAGTATCGACGAGATCGTTACTCTGCAAAGGGCTTCATAACCTGATAGAGATGCGCGACTACTAGAAGAGGATAGCACAACACAAGAGTCTCTGAATGCGTGAAGAGGAAAGAGAAGAGAAGAGAGGAAAAAGGTGGAGATATAGAAGAGGTCACGTGACCTGACTTCTAACAGTCACTGACACGGGGGTGAGTTAGCAGCATTATAACGAGAAGGTAAATGAGATTGGGAAATGCATAATGTGTCGTACTTTACACACCAAGATTGGTGAGAAGTGCATCCTAGACACGCTGGCCGGATTGACCTGCTGCCCCGATAGATTCTAGGCGCTTACAATCAGGCTCTCAGCACAAAACACCAGGACCAATGCGCATTTCGCAACATCTGTAAAGGAAAAATGAGTCATTTCATTCGCGAGGTATAGTGATATTGCGAGGTTTGGGGTAATCACCTATGATTTAGGACTGGCTAGGGCGAGGCCATTTCCTGTTCTTCCAGGGGAAATTGGTGAGTCGTCGATTGATGATCGATAGCTGTGTGAGAGTGTGTCTATGATTTAGAATAGTGAGTTCGCAGCGTACAAAGAAAGAGTTCATAGAGTTGGACATACATCATGTTCCACGATTGCTCTGCTGCTCCAGTGGGACCAGGGCGTCTGCCATAGGCTTTTGTTGTTCAGGGATAGTTCGCTGTGTAGATAGCTCCCGAGGTGTCTTTTTCTCTCTGTTGTAGCCCATCTGTCGGGTCAACAAATGTCCTGTGAGTGGATAAGGCTTTCATAGATATACACTCTGGAAAACGCGGCCACAGACTGTGAAATACAGTCCATTGAGTGTTGCATATCGGTGCTGCTCACTGAGATTTTGTTCCCCACGACGAGTGACTTTCGTTGTATAAGTAAGAAGGCCATATGGACGGTAGAATATGGGCTCTTGGTGGGTAACTATGAACAAGAGCAGTCAGTCCGAAGCATGTCAAAAAGAAGAGTGAATGATGCTGGGACATACCTCAGATCTCGCGATACAGGAACCATCTATTGTCACAGAAAGGTTCATCGGCGAGGTCGAATTCGTCGTTGGGGTCTTGAGGAAATCCTCCAACGCTTGGGATCCTGGATCTTCAAATTGCAGTTTCGAGGACTGTTCGACTTCTAGGCTTCTTTGGCAACAGAAAGCCCCCTGGAGCTCAGAAACTAAGGAAGGAATGCGGACGGGAAAGCTCTCCATTCCGACTAGGAAGAGATAGAAGGACAGGAAGAGAGGGAGATTACCAGGTAGCTTGCCACGAGGCCAGAAGCGAACCACACCAAAGGATACCTAGTAAGAACCAGAATGAGGGTGAGAATGCCAATGTTGGACATTGATGGTAGATATGGACAGACTATGCATGGGTTTCCAGTGATAGAAATGGTGTTTCCTTCATTGGGGGCAATGCACGATGACTGGAGAAAGTAGGGTGATTCAGATGAATAGTTCGATGGCCGATTCAATGCAGTTGTTCGGAAGTGAGAGCTTTTAATATGGTGAAGCAGCTTTAATTGCCCTCACTCCTAGACTTACTCTTCATCCCATCTTCGTTCAGTCTCCCCATCTCTCCCCTTCTTCTTCTTCTTCCTTCTCTTCTTCCTCTTTCCTTTCTCTCTTCTGCACAGAAGCCATATTTCTTACTACAGACTCATCTAAAAGCACAATCGCACCGGAAATATGGGAAAGTCCGACAAAGCCCTCCTGCACTTCATAGAAGAGATGCCAGACGAGAAGGTCCTCTCTCTCGGAGACGGAGATGACGTCTCCTATCGCACCCGAGACTATTACTTCAAATCGCATGGAGTAAGTCACATATTCTGATGTCAAGGGTGCCACTATGCACTCAGAAATGGCTCTGACATCTTACAGGTCACCAAAGATGACCCTCCGCTGCATGTTATCGACATTTGCATCGGCTCGGCCACCAAGATCACAAGCGTGAGGAACTCAGCTGGCGAGGCCGTTGCCGCTGCAAAAGTGCCCACCGATGGCTCCCTGGATGCCGAAGAGATACGCCTTCTCCTGGAGGCTGGAATCGACCCTAAGATCCTCGACCCCTCCCGCAAGAAATAATAGAGTGTCAAGCTCGTGATGGTGTCGACTGGCCCTACATACAGCGATACTAGCGGAACCCAGGACATCTCAAGTGCGTTTGGTGCAATGGAATTTTGAAGCAGGAACACACACCCTTGCGATAGCATGACTAGCGGAGCTGGAGACTTTGAAGTGCATTTGGGGGAATAAGTTGTCAATCCGGAGGTCTTGATGATATGTGGTGCGCATTTTTGTCTGGTGGCCCGTTTTGTATTTCTCACAGAACCTAACAATACATGCACCATTGAATCAACCCAATGTGTATCGGTGCCCAATATAGAGACCCATGAACTAGAGACGTACTCAAGTAGGCTCTACTAACAAGGAAATGATTTCTAGTGTAAACCTGGTAATGATGTATTCATAACGGGCGGAACTGATTCTGGTGATGTCTGTCCTGCAAGCTTTGAATGTTGTCTTTCTCGGAAATGATGTCCTGAATCCACGCATTGATAAAATTCCACCAAAGCGAATTATCACAGTTTTGCACCGCCGTGTCCAAGTCCCTCAAGTGCTGACTCTTGTCGAAAATTTCCACCCATCGTCCATCCAACTTTTTCATTTCATCGATAAACGTACTCCGCAAGCAGGTGGCCTCGTGACCCCATAGATGGTCGTGGTACAGTTTACTTAAAGTTCCATCGCGCTTGCAGGGGTACCTGTCTGGGTCAGGCTTTGAGGGTACAGATGGGCCTTGTAGGAAAAAAGGATAGTCGCATGCTTTCCATAGAGGCACTGCGGAGACAAACTCCCAGTCTAGCACTCCTGTCAGTTCGCCATCGTCGTTGACAAGGAGGTTGTTGTTGTTGATGTCGTCGTGGAAGACGACTGACGGCTCTGGCTCCTCATGATCGTGATCCGGTGGAAAGAATCGGGGGAGAAGGTCAATGAGCAGCTCAACTATTCTCAGAGTCTTTTCGGCGTCGTCTTTCACGTCTTCCTCGTCCTCGGTGAGATTCTCGCTTTGGAGCCGATCCAGTATCGACTGATATTCATTTCCGATGATCGCAAGGCGGGCTGCAATCCAATCCTTACTTGAGTGAAAGGGGCCACGTGAAACTCTTTGGCGGAGACGTAAATGCCAGAAAAATTGCATGGAAACGATCCGATCCACAGTAAGCCATGAATCCTGGAACTCATCATTGGAAGGCAAATCATAGCTGCCATCGAGACCAAGATCATCCATCCGGGCGATAGCCGTGGCTTTGATTGGATTTCGGATATGCGGCAGCTTAGAAGATGAGGCTGAATCAAGAGTGGAACTCGGTCCTCCGTAGATATTTCCAATCCCCCGGAATTGACGTTGGAAAAGGGCGGCCGAGCTCGATGCCAGTTGACGGACCAGAAAGGACTTCGCATCGAAGGAAAGCGAGAGCCAGACATCATTGAAAGGCCTTCCTGGCATCTTGGTCATAAACATCCACTCAAACCCAATGCAGTTCTCCCGTGATGACTGAAAGTTCATAACTGTCGGGATTGGAAGTTGAGTGACTTCACGCACCCAATCCATTGTTGCGACTTCGCTCAAGACCTTGAAATGTGGATCCACGGGGAGCGAAACCCGCATGATAAAAGCTTTGCCATCCACCGTGACGTTGTAGACCTTGTTGAAACCACCCTGGGCTAAAAATCCCACTTCAACCGTGCTTGAGGGGCGTAAAGACTGTACGGTCTTTTTGATATCTTCGATCTTCGGCTCAACTGACCACAGGGGTTCGAAACCCAGTATGCCTTCCTCCCACAAGAGGCCATGTTGATCCAGCTCGGGGAACTCTGTATCAATGAGCTGATGGTTTGACTCGACACACTTCACGTTGGTAGGTTGCTCGTCGAGCTTGACAGCCTCCACACCGGTGGATCGAGGACTCGAGTCACACCCGGAGTCGATGAACCCATGGTTTGAGTCGTCAGAGTCCGCGACGAGCAAAGGGCTCGAGTCTTCGGCCCCGAAATCGATGAGGTCATGGCATGAGCCGGAGTCTGCGGCAAAAGAAGGAAAACCTGGTGAAATCTCGGAGATGGTTTTGATCGGCGATTCCAGGGCTTCAACCTCTGACACAGTCGGTGCCACGAGCGTTTTGTATGAATCGTTCGAAATAATAGAAACCATGATATCAGTATGGGTAAATGGGGATGAGGCTAGGATCTGAGAGACGAGAGATGGAAGAAGATGGAGATGAAGAGGAAGAGGTTGGGACCAGGGTTGATGGCCTGAGGTACATGGCACCCATTTATTTTTCACTTCTACCCTCTTTTACATGCTACTCATTGTATTGAAGAATTCAGAGCTTTAAATTGATCACAATGAGGCTGAATTGTATCTCACTCCTGAGTTGCTATTGTGTTAATCGTGGAGCTACAAAAAGCAACTGATCCTCGCACCGTTTCACCCATCGATCTCATGGTGCAAGCCCAGACACCGTAATTTCTAGACATGGCATATCTCAGAACCCATTCCTGGGAATAAACAAGGGCATAGAGTCCTCCCAAATAGAGTTGGTCAGAGGACGCTTGTTAGAGCCATCCGAGTCCATGAGCATAATCTGACTGTAGGGCTGAAAGGTATTATCGTACAAGGGACATTCATTCTGAAAGCCGAACATTCCAGTCGACCACATTATCTTTCCATCCTGGCGCCAAACGGCGTGCGCATCGTTAGCACCACTGCTCGTGAGTATGCGCAGGTCAGAGCCATCGGGGCGAATCGTGCAGATGTCGTAATTCGTCGAGGTGGTCTTGCGGGTGAAAACGATCTGTTTCCCATCTGGAGAGAAGGCAGGGAAATTGTCCCAGTCGCTGGTGAGCTGGGTAATTTGTTTACTTTCGAGATCGAGGACGTGGAGACCGATCTGTGTCTTATTGCCATATTGGTTAGTATCAGGGCCCCAGATCCGGTAAACGATCTTTGTGCCATCGTGAGAGAAGCTCGGGAAACCAGTGTTGATCTTGTCTCCGCCGGCAAGCGTGTCGTTGCTGCTGGTGAGGATCTCCGAGTAGTTGCCGTTCTCTGTTGAGCGCACAATCCAGCCTCCATATACACCTCGCTCTTCGAACCAAGCGCCGGCTCCGAACACGAGCCATTCACCATCTCGAGACCAGTTTGGGCTGTATGCGCCAGCCAGACTGGTTCGAACTTCACTGACACGCACAAGTCCTGTTTTGTTGGGATCGTAGATGAGTGAGATATTCTTCCCTTGTTTGTCGAATGTCACAATAGAAGAATTACCAAGGAATTTCTCGGTAATGACAATCTTCCCTTTGGAAGAAATCTGCGGCAAAACATCGGTGAATCGGTAGTCCCATTCCGGGTCCCAGCTATAAAGCTTTTTGTACAGCGGGCGTGGGGCCCAGCCCGTCTTCTCATACACAATATATTTTCCATCAGGAGACCAAGAAGGAGAGCCGACGGTGAGGTCGTAATAGGCGCCATCGGTAGAGTATATACCACATTTCCTGCCACCTTTCAGATGGTACCCGATCACATCGTTGGTAATGTACTGGGGAAAAGTCTTGATACCAGGCCCGGCAACTTCAGTACGTCGGTCCTTGCCGTCGAATCCAATCGAGACGATGGTCGAGTTCGAAGTCCCTACAAGCTCGAATCGGTGTGCATTCCATGTTTCCTCCCGAGTCATTTCGTAGAACACGATGCGTCTCCCATCGGGAGACCATTTCGGCGATCCGAGGGAATACCCAGGCCGGTGCGCCGCGCGACGAAGATCGGAACCATCAGGCCTGATCACGTATAGCGCCAACTCTTGTGTGTGCTCCCAACCAGCAAGACCACGATACGTGATCGGTCCATGACCATCCCAGGCTGTGTTGCGATCCGAGGAAAACGCGATCCATTCGCCATTCGGCGACCACGCAGGACGAAAGTGACCAGCCATCAATTTTTCGTTCGGGCGGTTGGTGGGTGTATCGGTGAGGTTCCACGCGGCGCCCGTAATCAAGTTCTTGACCCATATGTTGGCTATATAACTGTTTGCCGTAGAGACATATGCCGCGAATGTTCGATTGGGCGATAAAACGACACCGTCTTCCACTGCTGGTGACTCGAGAATGGGTTGGAGATCTGACCCATCTGGACGCACTCGATATATATCAGCGTTTCCGTCACCGTTTCGTTCACCTGTGAATGTGATCCATTCTCCGTCTGGAGAAAACGACGCGTGGTACTCATATATCGAGTCTTTCAGCAGAAGACGCTCGCTGGAGCCGTCCGCGTTGGCAATATAGACCCGCGAAATCCCTGGGGCAATGCGGTTCATCAAGAATAGGCCCTTTGTTTCGGCTCTAGGTTCTGAGTCGGCCAAACAGGGACCAGCTGCCGGTTGCGATGACACGAAGCCACGAAGTCCCTGGACGTGAGAATGATGGTGATCGTCAGCTGAGGCTCCGGCATCTCGAGCGTAAGGGCATCCGGCTAATGTGGGGATGACAACAAAGCTCACGACGGCGACTATGTAGAGATGCATGTTAGTTAGACGCTTTGGTAAACACAAGATACTGGGAAGCGATGGAACCCATTCCTGGGAGATGAATCCTGCGGAGGGAAAGTACAAGGTAGTATTTGTAGCCTTGAGATGTTTATTTTTGTCCCAAGCCTGACTTTGGGTCTCAGTGCTGCTAATCGTGAGCAGTATAATATTGACTGTGATGTTTTGCGCTTTTAACTTTGTTTACCTATCCTGAATTGAGTTTTGCAGTATCACTTGACCTGGAGAGCAATTAAACACACCCCTAAGGCGTCAAGGATATACAATCAGAGCCGAGGGGTTAACTCAGCGTGATAAAATACTTTTTACCACAACCCGGAACGAAGGAAATTGCGCCGATACTGCTGGTAACATTCGCCACTCTATACCAAGCCCCGGATGACAGTTCCCTTCTCAGAATCGAGGGTCTCGGGGATCAACCTTGGGAGACGTCCACCGTAAATGGCCAAGGACCAACTCTTCTACCATCATTGGACGATCAGGGCACCGGTCAGTGAATCCAATACCGAACAACGCGCCATATCATGGGTGAAACTCAAAAACCAAGTAGAAAAAGGGACAAAGTGTCTGTATTTATGCACCATAGCTGACCAATCTTAAAGATGTATGTAGTATTCTGTTCTTCTTGGTCAAAGTGGCATGACATTTCTTGAACACCTGCCGCGGGTCTTTGTTCTGGTCATACTCCTATATACTTCCACCGGAAACAGTCGGCATATATGACCTGGATTGCATAGAGAACTGGGCTTGTTGTCTCAGATTTTGGCAATGAGCTCATGTGTAGTGTGTCGTACTGCTCGAACAGACATCATGGGAGTCCCTGCATGGATGGTTGGAACTGAAACCGAAATTGTATGCAAGTATAGTGTATGTGCTGGCTTTGTCGAACCTTGTATATGAACAGCCCTCGATTTGAGTGTTTTTCTTTGCTCGACTGGAGGTCCGGTGTTATTCTCGGTGTCACGCTGAGCCTCAGCTATCCAATCATTTAGAGTATTCAATAACGATTCCTGAATTTCGATCGAAGGACACCAGCAGGGTCTTCCATTTCGCCTGCCCAACAGCGATATTTTCGTCCCCGCTCACAAATCTCAGAAACCCGCCGTGTGTCACAACGACAATGTCCGGCCGACTGGTGCCCGCCAATTCCTTAAACTTCTGTTCGAGTCGACGCTGGATTCGGGCACCGCGCAGCTCCAGAGACTCAAAGTCGTCGGCATACAAGCCTTCCTTTCTCGGGAATACGATGTCCAAATCCATGATTTCCCAGGGCAGATCGTAGAGCTCCGAGCGCAGAGTCGAGATCGCTGAACCGGTATCGCATGGTCGAGCAGAGTGTGCCTGGACATCAGGTTCGAGGACCAATTCAGCTCCATCGGGGGCTCCCGCGCCAGAGCCATGTGCGTAGTATTTTTGATCGATGGAATTCTGGAATCCGAGACGCGCTGTTTGGAGGGTGCGGCGAAGTGGTGATGCCAGTATGAGTCCAACGCTTTCATGGTACGGGAAATCTCGACATAAGTCTTGAGACTGGCTGATGCCGTTTTCTGTCAATTGGGGATCGAGTATTGTAGTGTCGTGGTTTGGGTTGTGGGTACCCTCCGCATGCCGTACGAGATGTAACCGAAAAGGCATTTTGACCTTGGCGTGTTCCTGAAACCGATCCCCACTGGACAGTGAGATGGTTAAATTATAACAAAACCCTTGGTCAACTTCATTCCATCACGTCTTTATAGTAGATCTCGGGCTAGACTTCCCGAGTTGGTACCTTAGATGCCCCGAAGCTTATATCCGAGCTTAATGGGACCTCGCTCCTGTGCTCAAACCCGAATCGGGCACTCACATCCGAACGGACTGGATCTCGGGAGTAGATCGGGTTGTCCGAAGCAAACTGTCCGAAGGAGGAAAACACCACCGAGTCTGGCGTTTTCTTCCTCGATTTGACTAGCGACGCGTAAAATTGCGAATTTTCAACCAGTAACGTTTAGCCATCTTTTGAGGCTCCGGAATAAAGATGGCTACGAAGGGGCAGAGCGGCCAGGTCGGATGGTCCATTGCATGTATTCTTAGTTTTACACAGATCATACACTGTACTGTAAAATGTACCATAAGAAGTAGGTTATGTGACAGGATCCACTTGTAATAAATGTAAAAAGCCTGGTTGGTCTAGTGGAAAAGGCGCTGCGGGGGCGGTTCTAAGCCATCCCGGTTCTGAACCGTGTGGTGGCCTGCCTTTCGAGAGACCCTGGTGAATCCAGGAGGGTAGTCTTTTTTTTTCTTTTTTTTCTGTTTTTCCAAAGATGAAGACTTCATTTGGCAAAGTCTATTGTATTGATAATTCAGGTATCTCTTTCTGTCTGCTAGAAGCTAGACAAGGGAAGAACCACTCAGAAATGAGGCATATTGGGGTATCATCTGATCTGGCCGCTCTGCCTCTTCGTAGATGGCAGTCCGTTTGATGGCAAAAATCTTCCTCAATTCGGTTGTCAAACCTATGTAAATTTAATGAGTTAGATACCTGGAGAGCCTGCTGGGATATGTTGTTAAATTTGGAAACAATTGAACTGTACGGGGTAAAGTTGGTTTTGATGTTTGGCTTCAGTACGGAGTAGGAGTGTGATCGATGCTTGTTTGCCTTGCGCTACTTTCTAACTCTCCCTTCCCCTTCTTCTCTCTTTCCCCTCTTTTCCTCTCTTGCTTGTAGCAGCAACAACACACTTGGTTTCATTGCTCATGCGCCCTCAGTAAGTTCCGAGCCCGAGCACTTCTTCCAGTAAGAAGAACTGCACAATCTAACCGACTCGAAGAGGCTCATCAAAACTCACCAACCAACAAACACCTCATCAAGATGTCGTCTGCCGAAGGTGGACGAGACAGTGGAGGAGACAACAGAGGAGACACCGAACGCGACCAGATCCATGCTACTCGAAGGAAATTCGCCACAATACCCCAGCCACGTCCAGCAAACCTTGACAATATCGACCTCGACCCCGAGTATCGCAGGCCACAGGCGAGCTCCGACGGAGCTGTTGAAGTGAAGGCAGAATGGACTGATCAAGGCCATGACCTACCTGACTGGGATAAAGGAACCACGATCAATTGGCCAGGAATTGACAAACTGAAGGGCGATGGAACAAACACGGTACAATGGAGTCGTAGCCTCCTCACCAGATGCGAGGAGTACCGCTGTGCCCAGCTTCTTCAAGACCTGCCACCTCCCAGTGGTAAAGGAAAGGCACGTGACAATTGGATGGAGTGGACCCATCAAGTGAGCATTTGGATGCAGCGAATGATGGAGAGGCCAGCCATCGACAGGATCATCAGAGGCCAGGGATCAGTGCCGCAAGAGTCGGATAATCTCCTTCGAGCCATCAACCGTTTCGTTCAACCTAAGAGCAAGATGTCCGACATTATGCGTGATTGGGGAAATTATGTCAGCATGAAGAGGTCCGACTATTCATCCATCGACAAGTACATCGATGCAGTGGCAGATCAAATTAATCGCTTGAGGAACCGCGATGTATGCCCCCTACCAGCCGTCTGCTTCGCGGGCATATTCAACGAACTCAAAGATGAGATACCTGGCATGTCACTCGCCCAATTGGGAATGGAGAGTCCCAACCTCATGAGGAACCCCACGACGATGACGTGGGAACAATTTCGTTCTCAATGCAGGAAGATCAGGGAAATGGCCAAGCAGGTGACACCCACGAAGACGAATGTGAGCGACGCTGGCCAACATAATCAACTCCACCCGGAGAAGAAACGCTGTTTACCAACGAACCGCGTTGGAGAGAAAAACTAGCCCTCAGAAAATGCGGTGGACGGCTTCACCAAAGCACTGGGGGAACTTCATCGCGCTGGAGTAACCTCATTTCGATGCATTCGTGAAGAAATTGGATCCACAGACATGGGAAGAGCGCGGTTAAGAACAGCAATGAATCCGGGGAATTGAAACGAGAATCAGCCAGCATCTTTTTCCTGTTTAGGACCAGTGCGTGCCAGCCCTGAGAGGGATTGTTGAGATATCCATGGCAGGTTCAGACCTAGCAGTGAAGATCTTCTCGCTCTGCTCTCTCTGTTCTTCCTCTCTAAGTCTACTCAGTAGCAATACAATTCTTTGATTCATCCTGCGCTTTCGATAAAATAAAGTTAGGCTTCATTATGTAGGCTAGAACTTGCTGTCAGCACGGACGCTCGGAAGGTCCGATGCGGGGGCTGATTATTTAGCGTTGGGGCTTTGTGCGCCACGAGTCTGACAAGCTGGGCTTGGTTTTAGCTGAGTTGCGCTTGCGCGAAGTTGCGCGAAGTTCCGTCCCAAGGGTGCATTAGTCCAGGCCAGATGTTCCTGCTTCTAGCCGGGATCGGCGGGATCAGCGGACTGCCCAGGTGGCGGGCGCTGGGGAGAATCCTTAATTACTGGGATCTTACATCTAAACTTGTGACTCTATGAGATCAATGAATATGAATATTGATTTGTACATTTAGAGGGATCACTGGTTGTCTCTTCACCCGATACCTGCCAACGAGCATTTCTGTGTTCCTCCATACTCGTACTGGCCGGTCAGTAGTTTTTGACGATGAGACCAATTGATGGCCGGCTTCGCATCTTCTAATTTGCTATAATCGCACTAGAAACCTGCTCCTCCCACGTGTAGAAGTTGATTGCACTCCACAATCGTTCAGACACTAACATTTAGCCACCCTGTCATTGGTACGATGATCGCCTAATCTAGTTTCTGGTTGGCCCTCGAATCAGTATGTGTACTCAGTACGTGCTCGTACAAGTACCCCGTATGTCAATTTGGCCCCTCCATCTTAGCGGGGAGAGGGCGGGGTGTGGTCCACGAATGGGATCTCGCCAGACATTGTCAAAACTCAGGCGGTTTTATGGTGTACTCGGTCCTGCAATATGATATAGCCGACTATGTAAAGAAGCTTGCCGATGATATCAAGACGGAAGATTCGAGGGCGTAGAAGGCTGGATCACGGTGATCGAAGAGTCTCGAACAAAGGGGAAGGCTTGTTTGAGCCCAAATATGCGGGCGGAGCTAGAGCGCGTCGATCCGTCGGTACGAAGAGGACAAACCACGGTTGAGGGTCGGCACTGTGGGGGGCCCGAGCGTTTATCTGGCGCTAGTGTAATTTACGACTCGATTTCGGGTCTGGGGTTGTGTAGGGCATTGTACAGAGGACCATGCTGGCCCTGTTGCCAGCGAACTATCTACGTGGAGACCACAATGTTCGGCATGATATCCTCCATTGGCAATGTGAAGAAGTTTCTCATATCAAGATGCAGTCGTCAAGAAAGGGATAGCAATAATGGCCAATAATGAAGGAGAGTGGAGCATGATCGGCGTGTGTAACACAGAGAACCCAGTTGGACACGGCTAGGGGGCAACAGAAAGCAGAGTAAAAGCATTCACCACATTGGATTCAAGCTAGAAGCTAGCGCTACGTAGTTGGACCCATCTTACTGCATAATGCTCCGTGCTGTGCTCATCATGCTTAGTTGTTCAGCTTCTCGGACTCCCGAGGTCCGTAATTTTGGGTTTAAATCGCAGAGATCGAATCCCAAGCCCCTGCCGCTGAGCTTGTTGCTTATTCTGCTCACGTGTCTGGCGCATGAATTGCGGATTCGCATTCCGCGTTCGATGATTTTACTTTCTCTCTCTTCCTCGACAGTAGCCAGCATCTAACACACCCGCGTCGCAAGAATGGGTAGAAACACTCCAGGTATTACCCATGTTCTGCTTCTATGCCCATATTATAGATCGCTGACCATCAACAGAGCATGGCGATCCTGATTCTTTGCCGAGCTCAAGCCAGCCGAGCAAGTCAAACAGCGAGGATGGTCCTACACCCCCGGCCAACGTCGATGACGCCGCGCTGGTTCGCAAGATTGACATGCGCGTAATGCCAATGCTGTTTGCGATTTATTTCGTCGCGTTTTTGGATCGGTATGCTCTCCGATCTGTCCCTTCGATTAGCCAAGACGACCCACCCTTCAATCGGTGGGCGCATGGCAGCCCTTGATTCATGCTGACTCCGTCCCAGAGTGAACATCTCCAACGCGCTCACAATGAGCATGCCAGAGGATCTGAATTTGTACGGCGATCGTACAAATGTCGCCCTGTTGATCTTTTATATCCCATACGTTCTGTTGGAGATCCCCTCTAACATCCTCATGAAAAAGCTCAAGCCCCATATCTGGCTGTCTGGGTGTATCGTGGCATTTGGCGTTGTCATGCTCGGTCAGGCCTTCGTTCATAACTACGCAGGTCTGATTGCGACTCGCTTCTTCCTCGGATTAGCGGAATGCGGTATCTTCCCTGGAAGCTTCTATCTGATCAGCTTTTGGTACAAGCGTGCCGAGGCACAGAAGCGATTCACGATGTATTGGTCTGCCGTGATCTTTGCCGGTGCCTTTGGTGGGCTCATCGCCTCAGGAATTGCCAAAATGGATGGCATGCGTGGACTGGAAAATTGGCGATGGATCTTCTTGCTGGAAGGCATCGCGTCTATCCTCGTTGGCATCGCGGCGTTTTTCTTCTGCGCTGATTTCCCACAGCAGGCATCCTGGTTAACCGAGGATGAGAAGACTGCTGTGGTTGTGAAAACTCGCAACTATAACGATGATGATGACAAGGTGACAAAGTCTGATTTGGCCAAGAGCTTCAAAGACCTGAAGCTGTGGCTGGCCACAATCATGTATTTCAGTAAGCCATCTATCCTTCCGTGAGTTTCTTGAGCTAACACAGGGAAAAAGCAATTGTGATTCCAATCTACGCCTTCTCTTACTTTGCTCCGACCATCATCAAGTCACTTGGATACGGAACCATCCAGACCCAATTGCACAGCGTGCCCCCCTTCGCCGCTGCCGTGGGACTATGCGCGATCACCGCATATCTCTCCGATCGATGGGCCATCCGCGTCCCATTCATTCTCTTTGGTGATCTGCTGATCATCATCGGCCTAGCAATCATGTTGACCATGCACGGCGCGAGTCACTTCTCCGCCGAGTATCTTGGAATCTGCTTCATCACTATGGGAGCCTTCACCTCTGGTGCGGTCATCATCTGCTGGGCCATGATGAACATGCATGGCCACAAGGAGCGTAGTATTGGGTCCGGCGTGGTGATCGGCATTGGTAATGCGGGTGGTATTGTCGCTGTCTTTTGCTTTACCAGTGACGATGCACCCTTGTATAAGCGCGGATACTGGATTTTGATGGGTGTCACTCTCGCTGGTACAGTGAGCACCCTGGCATATCTCTTGGTTGTGTTGCGTGAGCGGCGTCATCAGTTACAAGTAGAAGGCAGGACGGACAAGGAGAGGATTGCCTCACTTTAGATCGATGTTGAGCCCCTAAGGCAGCAACTTCGCCTGATAGAAAATCGCTAGAAATAATACTTCTCTAGACCAATAATGTTACCCGTGACATATACATATCATCCTCTTCAAGCTCAGTGGCACCACTCGCTGCAATCATACTAAGGATGTTCATTCTGTTGGCATTCTTGAAAATGCCACACATCGCAGCGCAGTCCGAGCCACACGGTCGCGTCCGAAATTTGTCCGCTGAGATTCCGAACCAGTATGATCCGATAGGTTGATAGCATCGCCCAATGCTTCAGTGTATCGAAGCACATTGTCGCGACCCCAGACGCGGTCGGGTCGATTCGTCCCGAAGGCCCCCACTTCTCACCTCTGCACTTCGCGTTGAGTCTCCACTAGACGAAGGCCTCCTGAGCTTGGCATACTCCTGGAATCATTCTGCGGAGTCTTCTGAGTCGTGGGTCAACCTGGATCGGCCCCTCTTTCTCCGACACCTGTTGACTTGGACGTGCTTGTTGCCCCGCACAACGTATTGCGTCCAGTATGCAGAACGACCAGAGGGCTGAACGAGGGCCACGGGGCAAATATTCAAAATTAATCTGCCAAGGTTGCAGATCAAGGAAAATCAAATGCGTCCTGCCAGGTTCTGCAGCTACAAGCGCCTCGGGCGCAGCTCAGCCGCCGGAGAGTTCTTGCGAACGGTGTCGCAATCTCGAACTACCGTGCATTGTGGAGCGGACAACTTCAGGGCGGCCATCCGCGAGAGGCAGACAACGCCAATCTACTAGAAATCTTCGATCGGCATCCCTCAATCAGTCAGAGAAATTTGATGAAAGGGCGAGTTCGCCTTCGGATCTTGAAGTAAATGACTATTTATTCTCCAAGGAAAATGACGCAGAGCAACCTCCACTAAAGGAAACGGGAAAATCCCAGCCATCCCAACGGCCTGGGAAAAGGACCATGTTCCGAGCCATGATAGACATCAACGTTTTCATATGTTCTGTGTTGGAAAATGATGTCAAATTCGGAAGCCAGTTGATCCATGCTACGTCGCGCTGGAGTCAACCTCTTCCTGATCTCATCGGCGATGACATGGCCGCTTTGTTAGACACTCAGTGAGTCAAGTTTATAGGCACTTGCATCGTACATTCTCTTAACAAGATCCAGGTTATCCTGGCACCGATTGTTCCTCCCAAGTATTCCGAATCTGGTGAGCTTGAGAAATCGGCTGGTCTCAGAAGAATTATCATCTACCACTCCGGCCACCAACCTTCTTTTCGCTCTTCTCTGCTTAGCGGCCCTTGAAACTGCGGAGGGGATTGCACAGCAGCATCCAACCACGAGGCAAAGTCTCCAGCTAGCCGTTTCATCATTTGGGCAAGATGTCATGGTTTCGCCACCTACACATCGGGATTCCATTGCTATATTCCTATTTATGATCGAATTCCGACCAACAACCTTGGCAACTTCTCAATTCATCATGCACAAGGCTGTCAGCCCTGAGATATACATCCATCTTGCCTACAGGATTGCAGAAAGACTCTCATGTCTAGCCCAACGTTCAGCATTCTTCTTCTTTTACCTCAAAACTCCCGGACATTCAGAACATGAGCGATGCCTTTCCTACTCCGTGGAGGCATTGAAGGTCATATCCCTCAATTGTCACCTTGAAGGGTTCTTGTCGAAGACTGTTCCCGACTTATACGAAATACTGGATCAAATCCAGCCACACATCGATGCTTATCGGCATTTACTTAGTCTTTGCGTGTGTTCACCCAGAACAATTTTCCATATTCAATGGATCATGGGATTTCGGATCATGATAACGTCACTGATTGAAGCAAAGGAGAACTGGACTATGCCTAAAGAATTGCTCAAGGCTGTGGAAAAAGCGGAAAAACTTAGCATGGAGCAGATTGAAGTCGCTAGGTTATTCATAGGACACTCGGTTGAGAAGGAAGGAGGAGAGGATATACCGGTTCTCCTTCCTCTCCTCAAAATGAGATTTTACAGAACCTCCGCAGGGCTTTGTGGGCTGGGCTTATTCTACGCAGCAGTGCAGCGAGCAAGATCCACTAGTGGGGAAAACCACGGGGATCCAGACGTGCAACCAAGCGAATCCCTCCAGATTGTTGATCAAGTCGCTGCAAGCGCGATCAGCCCACCCGATGCCCCAGGGAATCACCTCTCCGTGTTTATCGAACGCTTCGGAAAGACATATCCCGACAAGCTGATACGCGTCTTGGAGGCCTTCCTACAATGCACTGATTCCAAGCTCGACGGTATTGCATTCAGAGCTCCTCTTCAGCAATTAGTGTATGAGGTCATCCATGTGTGCAAGAACCTGGTCGAAAACAACTTCGTGCAAGTTCGGGTTGGCGGACGTCTGGCTCCGAGTTTCGAGAAGCAGCTTGAGCTGTTCTCCAAGTGCGCAAAATGCATTGGGAAGATGAGAGCCTCGTCTTCCAAGAAGGAGTCTGCTTTTGCGTCTGGCTGCGTGTACGTCGCTTGTAGCAAGATCATTCTTGGGCTACGTAATACCCTTGAGCGACTGAAGACGGAGGTTGAAAAACGAACACATGATGCAGCCTGCGATGTACCAGCGAATGCGGTCGTTTCTCCCGGAACAACTGATTGTTCTTTAATAAACATGGACTTCAACCCAAACTCTTGGGATGGATGGAATTTATGGCCCGAAGCTGGGTCTTTGAGTCCCCTTGGGACTTCCATGGACATGTTCAACCTTGTGCCAGAGTGGACTTTTGAAAGTGATTTTGAGGTTATGACCCGTTTTGCGATGCGATGAGAAACAGGAATGGCTTGGGGTTTTGATCAGGCAAGGTATATTTTCGCTCTCGATCTTCTGACCAATAACTTCATCTCCAGTTGGAAAATTGATATATATCGCCAAAATAATCAATTGATGCTGATATTTAACAAAGACAACCAAACAAACAAACCGCTGAAACGCGAAGACAAAATGAGGCCGTTCCCGCCGAAATCTGGATACAATCCTCTATCAAAACCCATTCCCACGCCGCTTATACAAATCGACCAAAAACAAACCAATCGACAGAAAACTCATGCAGCCCGCGTAACACCATAGCTTGTCCCTGTCTCATACCGCATTACATCCCGCTCTTTCTCCATCTCCTCTCTCATTTGAGCCTTATGCACAGCCCGAGATGTCGAGATCATCTTATGTGCTGACCAGACATCACGACACAGGTTGATTGGGTTCAAATAAACGCACCAAGCGCGCAATCCCATCCAACCACCGTAGTAACACTTGGGAGATTCGGTAGTCAACATCTCCTCGTCACCATCGGATTGAATTTCCTGGTATGCTCGAGGACGTAGGTTGATGCTTTTGTAGGAAATCGCGTAGGGTTTCGTTGGGTACGCATATAAGATGAAGAAAGAGATCGGAACCATTTGGAAGCAGATGATCAGATTTGGGAAGCCGATTAGTACATCGTTTACGGTGAGTTGTCGGCCTGGAACGATGATTTGAGTGCCGGTTAGGATGAGAAAGATGATATATTTTGGTCAGTCATGTTCTTGGGTTAAGTTCTAGACGAACACTTACCTTTTCTATCCAGACTAGTCCGACGATCAGCTTGAAAGCAACTAGCTTGGTGAGTGGGTGATGTTCTTTCATGTAGCCCTTCATCTTAGTGTAGAATTGAAGGATCGCGTTGACGGCCACCGATGTAGAAAGGGAGGTGACGACCGTGATCTGTCGTCGGGATTAGTTTGGGCGTTCGCATATATCGTGATAGATGTGAATATTACATACCCAAACATGAGCAAAGTGGACCTCATTGCTCTCAAGACAGAAGACACGAAGTGGCTGAGTCACCACCTGCGCGATGGCGGCAACCCAGGTGATGATGGGGTATTGCAGAACACACCACCAGCTCAGCTAGAAGGATGATTTTGGTCAGCAATCTGCAAGTGGGAAATGATGAGCCCAAGACACTCACACTGAGCAATGCGAGCCCATTTCTCTTCTTCTTTGGCTGCCATTGTCTCTTCGTTTCCAACGACGAAAAGAATTCCACCTTGTCCTGGTCGGTGGGAGCCATGAAGTCACAAAGCAGCATGAGGAAGGCATAGAGAGCAATGCCCTGGAACACCTCAGTGAACCCTTGTATGTAGAGATATGCATCGGGGAAGCAGATAGAGAGAAAACATAAGAGCTGATATGATGGGATCATATTGACAACTCGCATAATCCTTCGAATCTGTTAGCTTCATACAAATGCCATATTCTTCGAGGAACTCACTTCAATTGTTCGGAGGGGTTACTCATGCGGGCTGCATGTCGAGCCATCAAACCCAGTGTCACAAAAAGTACTACTACCGTGCAGGCACCAGAGAAAATCATGTTGATTTGATAAAATGTGAATTTCCCCACAAACGGACCACCACCAGCTAGTTGGTTTGTCAGCCTGGCATCCCAAGATCTTCGAAACTCAGTTACTGCTCACCACCTGAAAGGTGATCGGGGATCGGGCAGCCGCCGGTACCAACACCTTCACCTCTTGCGCGTAGCATATTCATTTCGAATGGGCGAAGGTGTAATCAAACGAGAAGCAGATCAATTCAAGAATGATCGGAATGAAGCAGAGAAGTAAACGGCGTCTTTCAGCGCAACGACCTTTTATCTATCTTCTTATGGTTCCAAAGTTTCAGTCTTGACCTGCATCGCAGAGCACACTGTCGATCACAATGCTAAGTCTTGGCCAACCCAAATTCCCCTTTTGGTACTAGTCTCGGGCTGCGAAGACTTGAATTTCAGCCCCCGGATGCTCCACCTTAGGCGGGGCCAATAGAGGTTGGCAATGGATGTGTGATCGTCGGGGGCCGACTCCGCCACGCGCAATCAGGCGGAAATAAGCATTAAGTATCAATGCGCAGGGTAGATGTATCTCGCTCTCGTTAACTCACAAATTGTATTATCTGAAACATGGTGATGATCATGAAAGATCATCATTTGTGGTGACCTTTCATGTACTTCTAAAGTTCTAAGTTACAATAGATGCCCCGCTTGTCTTGGCTGCCAGGGCTAACGCACGTCGTGATCTTTTCGCCCTTCAAGATTTGAAATTATCTGATGGGTCCGTTTCATGTCCTTTCTTAGACGATGTGCTATTTTTGGCCTATACTTAAGACTGGCTTAAGTCAGTTTGATTCCATTCACTCAGCTATCTGCTAAGAGATTGTGGAAATGGCAAGGCCTGCCTTGGGAGTTGAATGCTGCCAATCAAATTTTATGTTTTCAAAGTATACAACGTTAATTTGGTATAAATGAAGAAGACAGAGGATTTCCTTACTGAATTTCGGAATTGGTAGGGTCTGCAGCTTAAGCTTATCCATATGTTATATAGCGTAGTATAAGGTGCCACCTTGTTTCTATGAAGATCATAGTAGTATATCTGTGAGGACCACCATACCCAGGCATATGGCACCTGACCACATGACCAAAAGACCTATATGACGAGAGCTCGTCTCGTTATGCCTGGGACTGGTATATATGTGACAGGACCACGTCCTGACGTGCGCTACTATATACACCAGTCCCAGGCATGACAAGACGAGCTCTCGTCATATAGGTCGTGTGGCCGAGTGCTCACAGTTTTATTTACTATAGTAAGCATCTTTATTTGGTGTGAAAGATCAAATCCGACTCCATTAGGTATCTAAGACCCGCTTTCGACATATTGAGCGAGACCGACGTCAAATTTAGATAGAAAATGAGGCAAAAGTGGTCAAATTGGTGTAACAAGCAGATAGGGAGAGCTGAGAGGTACAGAGTTGGTGGGTGTGAAGGTAAGATGGGAGGATGGTATTGCAAAATTACAGGGGTGACTTGAGTTTGTATGGAAGCTATATAGTACGTAAGGCGGTATTGTAAAATTCGGGGACGGTAAGCATTTCCAGCTGACCGCCTCCTAATCAGGTTAGCGGCGTGTGGTAGCAAGGATTTGGGGTGTGGAAGGATTGGACCCCTATAAAAAACGTTTCACCGCTGACACACAAGAGCATGCGTTTGTTCGGCAGTCCAGTTGTTCCTGCAACCCTTTCCGGACCGGCACCAGCAGCAGTATTTTGCAGTCTTTAGAGGTTAAGGCTCATTCCTGGATACAGAAGCGAAAAGTATAGTAAGTGCTTTTTTCCTTCCAAGTCCGTAAGACAACATTGTTCCCGAGTTGATCGCCGCCGTTCGGCGCCCAGTCAAAGGGTTGATGCCGGATGCCCAGACCAAATAGTAGTTATATAACTTGTTCCTACTGTACGCAATGCTCCTAAAGTCCCGTTGCACGCTCTTGGTATAATGGCCAAGTTTGCTATTTATAACTAGACTTTAATAAAGCGAGCCACTCGAAATGTAGGTGTTTCCAAGCACAAATGCATCCCAGGTGATTTTTCGACTCTTTCTTTCTCTTGTATCATTGAATAGATATAACAGAGAGCCCACCCCCCCATAATTAACACTGTCCTCCCAATCTTCAAGATCCAGTGGGAATCTGACTTGCTCCAGATCAACAATCATGACTTTACTCGTATCGCAGAGAAAGAAATTGTCCAGACGCTGGTCCAAATATTCCGCGCCACACGAATGTAGCAGCCACATGGCGTTCTTTAGTAGACGTTGAAGCTCATCCAAAGATATAGAAGCTTTGCTATGCGCAAGCTCATGGAGTGTTTTACCGACCACCTCAAAAATGATGATAATAGGACTGCCGTTGAAAGTCCCTTAGTCAAAAAAAGTGGGAATAACTGATCCTTATAGGCTTTTCAACCTCTCATAGGCTTCTTTTTCCTGCTCGAATTCATCGTACCAATTATCTTTCATTTTTTTGATTATCACAACGATCGGAAGACCGTGTAAGTCCTAGCATATGTCTAGGTTCAGGCGATACACTTCGCGACGTAGATCCAAGTTTTGGACAGTTTGCGCACGAATAGGGACCGTATTAAAATAAAACACCTTGCATTTTATAAGAAATAATACAGAATGAGAAAAATTGCATAATAACTTACCTGGGGTTCCATTTCCTCAAAATCTAGGTCCCTAGCAAAAGTCGCATCACAGTTGTAAATCATCGAAAAGCGGAAGAGGGAAGGGATAAGCCATCCTACTTAAGGCCCAACTAGACTATAGTAGAGAAGCGCTATGACTAAACAATCAAAGGATCATAGATCCATTAGATGTTTGACAAGCGATATGTCTGAACGTGAATGCAAGGGGCACACCAAAAAAAAAAAAAAAAAAAAAATACCAAACTTAATGTCTCATTATTCAGAAATCCAACTTAATAAAATATCTCATCGCAACGACCATATGAAACAATTCTCAATATCACGAATCATTTCATGACCATTTGTCCAATACCAATAGCCTTCCAAACAGCCATTCAATCAAAGGTGCCACCTAAAATCACGTCTCCAACCCCTTAGAGATCGATGTCTATTCCCATCAAAATCGAACCACAAAATTTCCCCAAAGAACCATCTATACTCCCGAATTAAATTGTCAATTGTAACCTGCAAAAGCGCCCGTTCCAATACACCTCCAACTATTTGAAAGCTCAATATTCCACATAATCGACGGAATCCAGTCCAACATAAAAGATAAATGGCATACTGCATGGTAGGTATATTCTCAAGGATCGATCCAATAGAATAAGATATCACGCATACATCTATTGTACACATCGCATCCCTAATACCATCCCGACTTCCAGCTCTAAACTGCACAAGGACTAGATTATTGCCATCGAAAATGAAGACATAAGGACATCTATACTTCCAAGCGTACCTAATAGCGATTTAGAATTTTTCAAAACTCTTTTGGAAAATGGAGAATATACCCTCAGAGCTCCTTCTACAAAGCTCGAATCACCGCTCCGAATAATCCTCGTTCACTCGATTTCCATTCATTTAGTATTATCGAGCGAGGCTTTTTGAATTCTCCAATGATAGCCGAACGGCTCAATGATTGATTGGAATGGAGCATCACCATCTGGAAATCTATATTATGGACGGCATCCTGGATGCTAGATTCGGATCTCTGATTCATCAGAGGACCACCCATTTGAAGCGTCGTTTCGGGGCTCTGAAATGTAGCTACCGTTAAGCCTGAAAAGGCCAAAGCAACTAGTGATATTACATCTTAATAGAAAACCCGCACCACATCCGCTTCATTTTCCATATACTGTAGAGTATTTTTCGAACGATAAGCAGGAGTTGCAAGCCCTAAACAATCGGCCATTGAAGGTGTCCTCTAATCAGGACCAAGGAATCTGTGGATATCATCAAAGCTGGTGGGCCCCTGCCTTTGTCCATAGTAAATAATATGTTCGAATCTCGGGAATTCATCTGTCCATCGTTTGGCGCTAGTTGAAGTTTCATTATCGCCCCAAACAGATGGAGGTATTGTTGAGAGAGCACAGGGATCGAAAGAACCGATTGTATTGATCTCTGGGGAGAGAGAAAGAAGAGAGGAGAGAAGGACTATCGAAGTAGGATCTTATCTACAATCGGAGATTGTGGCAAACATCCCTCACAACAAATATATGCGTTAGGAGAAGGTCATATACGGTTGGCATGTTGACAACAACTAAATGTGAACAGAGAGAAGCGGAATAATAAGTTCAACAAATTAAGATGCGAACTGTAAAGTATTTATACAACAGGCAGTTAGCGCGGGGCGCTTGGTGCCTCAAGGCTCGACCATAAGTCAGGCTAATTTTGGTACAGCCCAATAGTTTCTCTAGTGTAGACGCCGAAGAAGTGTACTTAGTCGAAGTTTGAGACTTAGGAGCTAATAGACTAAAGTCTGCCTTCACATATGAAGCTCGTGACCGTCCTGCCAAAGGCACAATACAAATAATATCAATAAACCATTTGCAGAAGGGCTCCGAACGTCATAGCAAGCGAATCAAAGTGTCTTAAATGATAACACCTTCATACGGGTTTACTTCAGTATCAGTAAAGATTGTCAAGGTATTACTTCTTCGCGCTATAAGTTCGTATGTAAGCGTTCCAACCCAACCGAGGTACGAATGGACACATAAATGCGTGTTGGATTTTTCATCTTTGATGCACAAAAGCGCCTTGAAATAAGAGCCTGTGGGCCTGTCGCTTGCCACTGAATACCGCCGATCCCATAGGTTAGCGCTTAAATCCAGGCAAATCAGCCCTTCAAACACCCCCATTTTGAGTCAAAAACTTGAGCGGCAAGGGAAACCCATTTCTCGCGAAACGTAGAATAGAATCTTTCAGCGCTTTTTTTCCCGGGTCAGTAAGATTACGCTGTTTTTCAGCTTTTTCTTCTCTCGACGGCCGCTCGTTAGCGTGATGCCCGAGGGTGAGAACGTTAACAAATCATTTAGCAGACTAAGCGGTACAATCAGAATAATTGCTTGGTTTAAATAGAGCCAAAATGTACAGTATTATCGTCTGTTCTAATTTCTTGTAAGATACACCATCTGTAGTACTGCGAACGTACTGTAAAATACCTGGCCCATTGTACTGTAGAAGCGAGCTGAATTGATGTGCTTAAAATAGCACCCAATCAGGGCTCGCACAATTCAGATCCACTTCCCGGGAATCAAGCCGCAAGAGCAAAAGGTCAAACTGATTTCGAAAACTACTGTAATGCCTACCTTGCTGAACAATCAAGTCAAGCATACCCTTGTCGGCACATATGCACCTAGCAAGTGAGACTAACATCCCTCAAGTAAAGGGAGTCCCTCAATTAATGATACATGCTTTCTGCGACCAAATGAAGCCATTTACATTGGTTGTCAATGAGAGGTGAAAAGTGAAGTGATCGATCCCAAGGAAGCCCATTGAGAAAGAAACAGCTGGCGCGGTTACTTCTTCTCGCACAGAGGTCCGTACAGTGTCGGGCCTGTGATCTCCTCCCAGCCTTCAGACCCAACACAACTGTAACACCAGAAAACCCCATCCGGGTCATATTTCTGTTTGACCGAGTATAGCCAGTTGTACCGACTTCCGTAGAAGTCCTTTTTCCAGTCCGGGTCATATGGATCAGCTTCATTGAGATATGTGCCTGTACCAGGAGCAGCAGCCTTCATTGCCGAAAGTTTCTTCGTAGTGGCGTATTCCCTGACCTGTCGCACTCCCATCATTCCGCTGTCGAATGGTGGTACATCGAAGTTCTCTGCGAACATATATGTCTTTCGCCATGAGGGGTGGACAGCGGTGTTCGGTTGGGGCTTTAGGACCTCTCCGCCACCGATGAGGCAGAACTCGAACAAAGATGCAATTGCCTGGACCTTGGAAGTGCTCTCGGGGAAAATTGCTTGGAACATGGTCGTGAGGTTGTTGTGGTTGTTGACCAGGGCAGACTTATCAAAGAACCGTGAGATCATCACAGGACTAGGGTTATTCAATGCCGGTGACTCGTGGGTACCACTTTCAAAATAGTCCTTGAACGTGTCGTATTTCTCGAACGTCGAGATCACAGTCAGCCTGGTTCCGTTGAAAGGCTCGAGTAATTCAACAAGCTCGGTATTGATGACTCTCTTTGCATCTTCGATTTCAGTGGATAAGCTGGAAGATGAGGAGTTTGCTGATAGCAGCTTCGCGAGATTGTGACTGTACGCAGACTTGGTGCCAAGGATTCGGTTGAGCTGCGCATTTCCGGAGAATCCAGAGTCCGACAGGGTGGGAAATTTCGAGAGAACCGTCACAGATGCATTGATGAGCGCTGACAAATTTAGGCTCGATGATGCGATAGTCAACGAGTGCTTCAGCACGGGACATGTCGGATGCACTTTGATAGTGGCCGATGTGACCACCCCAAAGGTGCCGCCACCACCACCACGCAGGGCGGTGAAGAGGTCTACATTCTCACAAGCACTGGCAGTAACAACCGCACCCGAAGCAAGGACAACCTTCAGTTCGAGAACTTGATCTGTGGCTAAACCGAAGTCGTGGCTCACGGGTCCATGACCACCTCCTTGGAGATAGCCTCCAACAGCGCCGACAGTCTAATCCTTGCGGTCAGTGAGATGTCTATGATAGGTGAGATCCGGCATTTACCTCAGAAGAGCCACCAACAGCGATGTAGCCATGCTTGGCCGCAAAATTGTATACTTCCTTCCAGATATATCCGCCCCCTACAACAATTGCACTGCCATTCCAGTTTGAGTGGCATGAACTGTTTGACGGCGTATAATGATCTTGGAATTGGAGCTTGGGTTTAATGTGCTTAACCCAAATAGACAGACTGCCATACCCCTGGGATCTATCAAATTGACATCATTAGTCAACGTCGTTCAAGTGGAAATGGGGCAGGATGCTTTACCGTCCCCTGACATCATGACCGGTGTTTTTGATCACCAATCGAAGGTTGTTTTCCTTCGCGAATTTAATACCAGCTGCAACATCGGCCGGTTTGGTTGCGTTGACACTGTAGACAGACGCGCTACCCAAATCGCATACCGGACTTCCAGCTATCGAGCCATTGATCGGGGCGCATGTATCGACGACAGGATACGCGAACCCAATTGGCGATGCTTCTCGGAAGGCAGACTCTTGGTAGATTTTGCTTATCTGTTGACACTGCGCGGGGCTTTTCTCCAAGCCGTCGTAACATGGTTTGGCGAGAGGTTCGTTGGCGATGAGATGCCCGTCAACTGTCCTGTTTAAACCGTTCCATTTCTGGATCGAAGGCCAACAATCATCCGTTGGGGTCTGCATGCATTGAGGGATCAGCTTTATTTTCGTGACTTTTGATAAGGGGATCTATATGGAAGTTCATGACTTACACATCTGCATTTGGCCAAGGCAAACGGCGCTCCGATGAGGACTAAAAGATGTGAAAAATGCATTTTGCTTGATGATTGAACATCTGTATAACCAACTGAAAAATGTCGGCCATCTTATATAGATGTGGACTTTACTGCGTGACGCAGTTCCGATCCTCACGCTCGCGCCATGATTACTCGATCGAGATATGGAAAATCGAATGGCCAAGAAGAGATTCGCGGACCATGATTCGCCAAAAAAAAGTGGTTTAACCAATGAGGGAAAACTTCGCCCAATTATTACCCGAAATAGCGCGCAAAAGAAAGTCCGCTGCGGGTAGACGAGTTCAGCCAAGATGATCTCACATTGTGGATCGCGCAACTTCGCGCAACTTCGCGCAACACTTTGCTAACTTGAACGATCGGATCTGTTATGCGGCTGAATTTTTCCGTGGAACTGGGGTTCGAGAGATCGGGAAACTCAAACTTTTAGGAATGATTCGCCACGGATGGGGCTGGTTACGGCGAGATTAATTGTTGATCATCACCTGGGCAGGGCTCAGGGCTAAATAAGCGCATCTGTCACGTGAAAACCATCCTGTCCTGTCTGACCATAGGAATGTGAAGAGAGGGGTTTTTTGTTTTTTTTGAAAAAAGATGGAGATGAAATCTCAATGAACTTCATTTATAGGCTCCAACAGTCTCGTGCTTGCTCCTTCTGGTGTCACTGACTGAAGACTAGCTGGCCCTTCTTATCTTTCTGCACTTCTCCTTGCTGGGTTTCCAACTGACGCGCATATTGCATGTTCGCTTCGACAAACTATAGTGGTGCTATGAGCAACCCAATTGACCACGCGCTGGCGGCAGCGACATTCATGTCGGTCCTTGTCATGATTTAAACCACCCGACCAGCCGGCAACCGGCCTCCCAACACCAGTTTCCCCCGATTGACGAGCGACTTTGGCAGTCCATGGACCCAAACCATCGGAGCAGGATCCTTTTCGCTAGACTTCAATGGCAACCCGAAAATTGGGACTACTCTTCACATGAACAAGCAGGACGATGCCTGGTTGGTGCTTCATCAGTGTGCGTCTTGCAAAATTTGGGCATAGTGTTGAGGGGTATGGTCAGTACCAGCTTGACTGGTGCTGAAGCGACCGGTGCCGGAGCGATGCATGAACTGCTTGACTGCCTTGCGCAATGCAGACACGTCAACCACCCAATCCGTTCACTTTTTGCTCGTTTGTGAATGGCTAGCCCGTTGTCTCTCTCTTCTTCCTCTCTTTTCCTTGGGAGGGTATTGATTCGCTTCGACTGCCTCCATTCTTCACCTGCAGGGTCAACATATACGATTCCGACAAACCGACTTCCCGGACGAGATATGAAGCGGGTGTATCTCCAGGGACCAACCGATATATCAGATACAAACAGTAATTGGATTTCTTCGACATCGAGTTTCGTTGGATTCGACTGGATCCCCGCTACGAGCCATCGTTGCAGATGCTGAGATTCATCGCGAATATAAGACGAGATGACGAGTGCGAAAAACGTACCGCAAATGCCTTCGTGTTGAGGATTTGGCATGATGCGGTAGAGGACTTAGGTATGAATCACCATGGAATCCAGAGTGTACCGGTAGCTCCGGAGAAAAGATCGGCGGTTTTGTATAACCTAGAGAGGATTGGAGAAGAGCCTGATAGAGTGCGATCGTCCTGCCTCTGAGCTGACCAACAACAGACGCATAAGACCTTTCACCCGGATTTTTGTTTGGCGTTTGTGAATCTCGAAAGCTTTGTCACGTTGATGTTTTGGTTTAGATTGAGTAACAGACTCAGTTTGGAGTATCGGCGGTGATCATTTTGAGTATGGGAAAGACGATTGCGAAAGGAAAACATGCCGGGTGGAGTCTGGGGGTTTCTCTGTCTCTGTGATCGTCCGCGGAAGGAACATCGTCTCCTTGAATCGCTGGGTTATCAGATCTTGGGAAAGAACGACTTCGGGGTAGACTCGAACTGGTAATTCCAGCTGGTGAACAGTGGAAGGCGGAAAAATGAACACAAAAAAGTGAAACATGAAAAGAGGCAGCAAACAGGGCAAACAAGAAGACCATCAAGAACAAAAAGCGGCATCAAGGATGATTCAAATCCCCAGCTGGAACGATTGAAGACACCTGAGATTTGAGGCGGCAAAGCGTTTTGTCATCACGTTCCTCTACTCTTACGCCACAATCTCACGTTTTGCGCCACTACCGATTCAATCAAAAACGATTCCTAAATTATATTTCCTCAATTAAACTAAGTGTCAAAGCCAGTGCTAAGCTGCAGATAATAGTAAAGACTAGGCATCCTTGAGATTGTTCACGGGGTCAGGCAGACTGCTAATAGCTGCAGCTTACAGGGCATTGAATCGCTCGTTCGGGATAAACAAACGGTAAGTTGCATTTATCTTGGCATGTAGTGGGATCAAAAGGGAGATTGGGCCGCTACTTCCTGTTGGGGAAGGAAGATGCCAAGCGCCATCAAACAACAGCCCGCTGCGAGACCCACTTATTCAGCCGCATACCGGCCCGCGGGCAGATCCATGGATCCTCGACGGAGTATCTGAGTGGATCTCATCTGATAACATGTGCTAGAAAAGGTTACGGCCCCAAAAGATTGAGAACAATCATGGGTACTGGAAAGCCACATGAGAAACGCATTTGCCATACGCCTCAGCTAAGGGAGAAACAAGGGTGAAATCCACAACCATGTCAAACTAATCCACGTTGAGAAGCCCGGGCCGGAAACTAGGACATGAGGTACTGAGTACACGGAATCGTTATCAGTCATGGAAAGTATTAACGTCAAAAGAAAAGGCAAGGAGACGAGGTACGAGATAGTCAGTATCGACACGGGTGCGAACTGTCTTGTTTCTGATGTTTCATGATTTCCCTCCCAGTTCTCAGGTCCTGTTCCAAGGTGTCCTGAACGTGCTCGCCCAACGAGTAAGAACTCTTTCCAAATATGGAAAAAGGAAAACCCTTGACACTGGGTCTGCAGAGGACTGACTGGGTGATTCGCAATGAGTTGGCATTTACCAGCGCACTCGTAGACGCACACACCAGTGCATACTGCCCGGTCGATACATCATAGTCAGAGATTCAATGCGCTCCTTTCAGCGCTAGCCCTCTCAGCCTCATATGTGGTGCGCGGGAATACCGAATTAGGCCACTCTCATTTGATTCACCAGAACCTTTCTATCTGCATCACCTACCAGCTCCCTGTTCAATCCAGCGGTCACCTCCTTCTTTTGGACCAATCAATCAATACCAACTACCTCCAGAGTCCAGGTCCCCATCAGGGATCAATTAGAATAATGCAACAGTCCTAGAGGTATTCTATGTAAGCCATGGTGGTGAGATGCGAGGGCCAAGTCAATGGTATAAATGACCAGTTCCCCCTTCCTCAATTCATTTCTCTCCTCCTCATCAAGTCCATCTCAAGCCATCTGCAACCAAACATAAAATGAAGCTCTCTGTTGTCTTCCTCGTCAGCGCACTAGCCGCTCTAGGCAGCGCTGCTGCTATCGCTCAGCCTGACAATCTCCTCGAGAGACGCTGCACTGCTTGTATGTATCCTGAAGTCCCTACTTAAGTAGCAACTTTGTGAAGAGAGATGGGGGCATCGAAGCTGATTATACACCAGTGTATGGCTTGTGCCGTGTTGATAAGGACTGTTGCTCCGGGAATTGCTTTACCCACACGAATCGTGGTAACTGCGCCCCCAAGGGAGTCTAGGTAAGTATAATTTTGGTGCTGTTGTCGACATGTTCCTTGGGATGGTCGTGCTGATGACGAATAGGAATTTGCCGGTGGTTGACCACGGTATTGAGCATAAATACTTAAGTATATTTTCAAGGTTGTTATAGCTAGGCCTTCCGATTCAAAATGCAAGAGGTATGGATGGGAACTCACGTCCCCAACCCCCTGTCTTTGGAAAGTTCGTGGTTTAAACAAAGTTAGTCCGTCGTGATTATAGGTCAAATTGCGCAGTAAAGTTATAATTGATTGAAAGTGGACCGCATGTTCGCTGCCACATTGTAGGCAACATCCTGGCATGTATAATTCGCGGGGCTCTTCCCGAAGTGAAGTCTGTATATTGTTCAAGTGATACTCAAATAGGAACTGAGAAATGTCTTTGTTTATCATCTAACCCTAGAACACCAAGTTAGACTATGTCACGGCGTAAGTTTTGTTCCACAGGTAAAGTTTTGATTGAGCTTGGTTTCAGTACTAGCTAAGTACGGGGTAATTGACTGTGATTAGCCAAAGGATTCATGAATGATCCGATTCTGAATTTACGGAATACTGCATGGATGATTTTACAATGGACTAAGGCCTACCTCCTGATTTAAATCCAGCCGAAGGAGTCCGTAAAGCCAGCTAGAAAACAGACTGTGAATTCCTTAGGAGTAATCTATTTTTGGTTTTTACTGTTTGTAAGATTCGAAAACCGGCCAAGGCTTACCCCTTAGCTTAAATCTAAACTAAGCTCATCTTTAGTACCAACCAAGCAAAGCCCAGGTTTTGTAACTGCCCGTGAGTGGTCAGTTTGCGTAACTTACCGTATTGGGATTTCATTCAGGGAAGAGCCTCACCCCGCCACTCAAGCAAGTGTGTGGTTTGGGTATTGTAAACATACCCCGTAGAACATGTAAGATAATTCCTTTTTCGCCCTCCGAGTCAATCAATTTGAAAACAATTCTGAAGTGGGGTTAGCTTCCCCTTTTCGTTTTGTTTGCTTACCTGGGCTAATGTACGGAGTACTCCAATGAGATCGGCTAGATGTCCTGCCGGCTTGCTGGCCCCCAGACTAGACCGTCTCTTTGTCTAGGCTCCAACGAAATTCTTGGCTTTAACACAGCACCAGCAGGAAATTTTGGTCCCTGAGTTATTCACGACAACTGCAATCATACTGCCCAGGTGAGCGAAATGATGTTTCGCGGTGCCGGGCACATCGCCATAGTTGCCCTGCACATTCTACCGTTTACGAGTCATGTTTACGCGCTTGAGTTAAATGTTGACAGTCAGGGTAAGGATTTGGATATCCACAATTCATATCTCATCGTCGAAGTCACCGAGTCGCTGACTACATGTGTTTCATTTGTGCGTAGAGTCGATCAAAAATGCCGGGAGCACCGCCGCCTCCAACATGATGAAATGGTACAAGGAATTTTCTACAGACAACCCGGGGTTCCTCTCGAGATCCTGGTGGGAAGGCGCTGCTTTGTTTCTGGCATGTCTCAATTATTGGCATGCTACTAATGACACGACATATAATGAAGAAATGAGCATCGCGTTGCAGCATCAGGGAGGTTCGAACGGAAACTATCTGCCTTCCTGGGCGATAGGCACCGTAAGCGCCCCTGTCAGAGTCCGTCGTCTCCGCTCTGACCATTCCATAGGGAAACGATGATCAAATGTTCTGGGGCCTCGCGGCAATTACTGCAGCAGAATACAACTTCCCGAATCGACCGAGTGGAGACACCTGGCTCACCCTTGCCGAGCGCGTCTTTTATAATCAAAAAAGTCCACAAGGAGGGGGGTGGGAGACAAGTATCTGCGGGGGTGGCCTTCGTTGGCAGAAAGATGTGTGGCAAAGTGGTTATACCATGAAGAACGCAGTGTCAAATGGTGGCTTTTTCATGCTTGCAGCGCGTCTCGCTTGGTTCAAACAAGCAGACGGCGCCGAGTTCGCCGAGTGGGCCGAAAACGTGTGGGATTGGTCTACCAATGTGAATTTGGTTAACAATAAGACCTGGGGGGTGGCGGATAGTGTAAGGGAAGGCACTGGAGGTCCCGATGGCTGCACCTTGCCTGACCATACCAGGTGGACCTACAACTATGGTGTCTATCTCTCTGGCGCTGCTTATATGTATGCCTATGTAAGTACTATTTTGCCATCTCCCAGCTTTTCGATAATCCGAAACTGTACATCCATAAATCCTGTTTTGACATTGCAATAACACTCTCTACTAGACAAACGATAGTAAGTGGCTTGACATCACAAATGGCCTGATGGATTCATTATTTGCTACATTCTTCCTACCCCAATACGGAGGTGTGATCTCAGACCGGTGCGAACCTACGGGCCAGTGCGACGAAGACGCGAATCGGCCAATTTTCAAAGGTCTCACAATATCATGGCTGGCAGATATTGCATTGATCATCCCATCTCTCAAGGAAAAGATTCTACCAAAACTCCAAGTCTCTGCTGAGGGTGCTGCAAAGGCATGCACCGGAGATAACCAAAACCTCTGTGGTAATCGCTGGTGGTACGGCAAATACGATGGACAGAATTCAATGGAGAACGCAATGAGTGGTAGTCAGATGATGAGTGCTATCATGGTGAAATTTCTCGACTCTTCTTCAGTACCGGTCTCAACCGCAACAGGGGGAAACGGCACCAGCGACCCGCATGCTGCTACTGACAGTGGCTCGGGGCCTGCACAATTGCACCCTATTACAACGGCGGATAGAGCGGGGGCTGGAATAATGACTGTGCTCTTCGTGGCTAGTATGATAGGTGGGGTAACATTTTTGTTCAGTGGCTCTTGAGCTCTCGGTTTTTTGAATGGGAGTTCGGATGCCCGGGTGGCGAATTTGAACTGGCTGATGTATATTTTGAGATTCATAAGTTCAGAACTAGGTAAAAGCCGATTCATATCTTTTCAATGTACAAGGCTCTTGATATTGTTTTTTGTCGTTTGGCAGGATCCTCGGTTCATAATCACGCCCAAACACCTAGTGTTCGCAATTCACAAACATTTTATCTATACAAACTTACCCAGTCACTCCGGGTTCAAGAGATTCCTTTCTATCCCTTCAGAGCCTCGACGAGTTTGGATTTATTTTACTTTGCCACAATCCTTTTATGCATCTCTTTCTTTCACGAATGGAGTTTCGAAGTCAAGCCCAGCATCCTGACGGATGATACCATACCCAGAGGATGAGTCCAAGGGCTGATCACCGTGCGCCTCCGAAAAGGCTTTGGCTCGCAACATGTTTTCCAAGGCCACCTCCGCAACCTTTAGTCTCGTTCCAGCATTCTCGGCAGAGCTAATCCCATGCGACACGTCTTTGATGCCGAGCTCCAAGCTGGACCAAGGGGACTGGCCTAGTTCGCGACATAAGCATCTTCACCAGGCACAAGGGCTCGTGGTCTTACCTCGTTCAGGGAGATATACGCCTTGGGTCATCCGGGTGGAAGAGGAATGCGCAACGCCTGGAAAGTTCAACTCAAGCAGTCTCTCAAGAGTGTCAGTTCCAAGGTCGCTCTTTTCCGCGAGCACTTGTGCTTCTCCTATGATCTCCATTGTGCCAGCAACGATGAAGTTCCTGACTGATTTCAGCACAGATCCCTACTTGAAAGCAATCACAGCATAGCCTTACCCCAGAGTCTTCAGCATACTGGCTTTCTCTGGTTGATCCGATACAACCATCACATCACGCGCGATGACGCCCTTTCCGAATGGCGCGACTGTTGCAACGGCATCACGCGGACCACCCATTGCCATCAAAACCGATCCACCTTCGGCGGCCGGCGTGGCTCCAAATACCGGCGCTGATATTTTTCATGAGCATAGATGGATGATACGGTTTCTGTTGACTTACCGGCAATGAATGACGCGCCTCGATCTTTGAACCTGTCGTTGGTTTCTCTCGTTATATTGGGATGGACAGTAGTCGTGTCAACAACAATTTTGTTGTCGAGGTTTGAGCCATCCAAGATCTGATCGACAATGGAAACCAAAGCTGCATCGTCACTGGTCTTGGTTCCCTATTAGCAACTACATTCGAAGTCTAGGCCTGAAGACCGAAGAGCCAGTGCTGTTCCAGCTTGGATGCAGCACTAGTTCGATCTCACTCACAGATATGAATATGAGATCACACCCAGCAACCAAGCTTGCAATTGAATCGCATGCTACAGCTCCGAGGGCAATGAGGGGTGTACCGCGGGATGCCGTCCGGTTCCAGATTTTCAACGCCGGCTTCCCTACTCGCTGGAGGTATCTTTGGACATTGCTAGCCATAGCCAGGCCCATACTTCCGAGACCTAGCATTGCTTAGCAACCATTGGCTACCATGGGCATAAAGCGAACATCCGTTCCAACATACCGATCCATCCTACTTGGTTTGTGTTTGGCGCCATTGTTTGAGTGGTGACTGTGTTTTAATGTTCAATCTTCCAACAATTGTGAAAACTTGGCATATCTGAACGTATCCCACCAAGGGGAGAATTTATGTCATATTGCTCGGATGTGAGCCGAGGCTGAGTCACCGATCGCGGGGCCCCGGCCCCGGCTCCCGGGGAAGTTCTCATCCGACATGGTTTAGCTGGGATAACCCCTATCCCCTATGCTGGCGAGATCCAATGCTAGGATAGATGAAGATATGCTTCATGATGACCAGAGGGTTGACTATGCTACCAGTCAACCTCTGTAACAGAGATGAGGCTGATCTTACTGTGATAGGCCCAATTCTGAGCTGCTCAAACGATCAATGCCTCGCGTTACGATTCTGGGATGAAAGACACAAAGCACGACTCAACATGAAGTCTTGGTGTGCTAACAATCAGATCATGAAGTTTATTCAGGGTTAATCCAGGGTTGGGGGCTTGCCCTTGAATACCCGGGCGCGGCGCCCTCAGGGCGATCGGCCAGAGTCCGCTCTACAGCCACTCCTGAAAATTACCCGACTGGGTAATACTCCCCGCCATTTCGATTGATATTTTGAAGTGTTCGATTGTCAACCTGGTGTCACTAAGAGAAGAATAGGAGAGAGATGACGGCCTACAACGCTCACGCTTAGCCCGTCCTCTTGGTGACCTTGTTTCAAGATAACTGACATATTTGTAGATTGGTAGCATCGAATTTAGGTGCACAACAGGATCCTGAAGCAATGATATTGTTTCTGACCAAAAGACCCTATCTTCTTGTTGGTGCATACCAATACGGCGCACAATCTTGGCATACGCCATCTTATCGCATATCCTGCCTGGCTACTCAAGCTCGTCCGGTTACTTCCCTCGTCAAATTCTCTCCACTGCAGGACAGCGGGTGCGCTATTTGATGTCATGTTTCAAATATCAGCGCAATCATTTTGCGATCATTCTCTCCAATCGATAGCCACTTAAAAGTACGGTGCTGATCTTTTGTCGACCTACTCGAAGCGGGGACAAATCAAACGGGTAATCGTCCCCGAGGTCTCTGCCTATCAGATCATAGGGGTTCCCCTACGGCAGTGGTCGCCGCAGCTGCACCAAACCAGTTAACTGGGAAATGCCTCTCAAATCTATACAGACAGAGAATCTGGGGATGGGGTTTTGCCTGCATCTTCCCCGCATTTGATGCTCTCCACTGGCTGATGTCAAACTTGTATACTATGCAGGCTTACGGCGAGGCTATGGGTTGGTCTGAGCTTCCACTGCAGAGCGCAATGCATGGATGCTATATATTTCCGTCTCCTAGGACTCAGAAATCGAGCTCTACTTCAACCAAACTCGGTTTATGGTTGTCTGCTTATCTTCTTCGATTCAATTATTCAAACCATCATGGAGAAGGCTAAGCCGCTGAGTCCCTCGGCGGATCATGTCGAATCGGTCTCTCATCCGGGAAAGGATTTTTCTAGAGAGCTAGAAGATATCAATTCCATCCCATTGGGATGGTTTGTATGGATGGTGGCTTGCACGGCATCCATAGCAGGGTTATTGTTCGGGTACGTTGTCTCATCCGGACCCATATGACAGACACTGATCCTGGTATAGATATGACACAGGTATCATCTCCGCCGTATTGGTATACATTGGGAACGATCTTGAAGGACGACCTCCAACACACAATGAGAAGGAAATGATAACCTCTCTTTGCTCTGCTGGTGCTTTCTTCGGTGCAATCTGTGCAGGCCTCACAGCTGACAAGGTATGGAACTCCGGCCCCGGGCGAAATAGTTGAACGCTGATTAAGCGGATGACAGTTTGGACGGAAAAATCCCATATATGTCGGATGCGCCTTATTTACAATCGGAGCCGCACTCCAAGGCTCTGCTTACACCATCCCTCAGATGGCGGTAGGTCGCTTTGTTGTCGGTCTGGGCGTCGGTTCCGCCGCGATGATAGTTCCCCTTTATGTGGCCGAACTGGCTCCAGCACAGGCACGAGGCCGGTTGATTGGTCTGAACAATATTTGTATCACGGGTGGCCAAGTTCTGTCTTACGCGCTGGGTGCAGCTTTTGCCTCTGTCGACCATGGCTGGAGGTACATGGTTGGTCTGGGAGGCGTTCCATCGATCATTCTTGCGATCTTGCTACCTTGGTGTCCACAATCCCCACGGCAGCTGGTTTACAATGGACGGATAGATGAAGCCAAGCAGGTTCTTCGAAAGATTTACGGACACGGCACAGAGCGACAGATCGAACTCATTTTGGGTACGATCCAAGATGCATGCGATGAGGCGCGTCACATGAACGAAGGCGAAAGCAAATGGGATAAGATCGTCCAGTTGCATCGCGTCCCGGCCAACATGCGAGCACTGTTTAGTGCCTGTGGACTTATGGTCTTTTCACAGATGTCCGGATTCAACACATTGATGTACTATTCCTCAACGCTTTTCTCAATGGTTGGGTTCAGCAACCCTGTGGCGGTTGGTCTCATTGTTGCAGCTCCAAATCTTGTCATGGCATTTGTGAATGTACTGCTGGTCGATCGTCTCGGCCGTCGACGACTCCTGCTATACACCTCATGGGGTATGTGCGCTGGTCTGATTGCGGTTACAGTAGCGTTCGCTTTCCTCCCTGTGGACACGGAAACACTCGAAGTACGCGGCAGTGGAACACCGCGCGAGGCCATTGTCGTGCTCGTGTTCTTACTCTGGTTCGTCATCTTCTACGGTGTGTCGGTGGGTAACACGGCTTGGATGAGTGCGGACTTTTTCCCTCTTGAAGTGCGATCAATGGGTACCATGTGGATGACCTGCTCTACCTGGGTCAGCAATGTCATTGTGTCCAGTACCTTCCTGTCTATGATGAAGTCGATGACGCCTTCCGGGACATTCGGCTTCTATGCTGGGATCTGTGGCCTTGGGTGGATATGGATATATTTCTTCTATCCCGAGGTGTCTGGTTTGCAGCTCGAAGAAATTCGTGAAGTATTTGAAAGGGGGTACGGCAAATCGATGAGGAGTTCCAAGAGAGCACGAAATGTCGAGGGGGCGTAGGCGTGCATCTTGGGGACCAGGTAATGACAACGCGTGTATAAATTTGTAGTTAGGAAGTACTTCCCTGAGTGTGACCGAAATGTCAATATACATAGATTGTACGGAGGACGAAAGATCCGAATACGCGGAGTGCACTTTTCCGAAACAATCCACTTTGTAAGCAATTCTTCGGGTATCCTCGGAAAATGGTCACATGATCCAGACCTCATCTATCAAAATGTCATTGTCCTACTAACCCTTACTATATCCACCATTTTGACCTCACGGATCTACCAACTTTTCAATCCCACATGGTTTGTCCCACCTGTCCCACCTGTCCCACCTGCGGTCAGGTGGTGCCTGCAAACCATCCCGCTGCAGTCCATCCTACTGCAGTCCATCCCGCTGCATTCCATTACTATCATCAACTCTAGCAATGGTGATAAAAATGTCACAATTCGATGCAGACGCTGTGGTGAGCCCAAGCGGCGGCCAAAGAAACCCCAACATGACCCAAAATCCCGCAAAAAAAGTTCACTTCGAACCAATTGCCCATTCAGAATATATGCCAAGTCCTACAAGGGGGCGGCTCCTTGGACATTTCAAGTACGGGATGGAACGCACAATCACCCAGCTGAACCTGCATCTATTCATCACCAAGCACGTACATTGAATGAACAACAGATTGAGCAAATTAGGTCTTCGGGTGATATTTCACCACGACAGGTCGTCGAAATGGTGCAAGGCTTGAGCGACACACCACCCACGAGGCGGGACATACTTAATAAAATTTACGCGATTCGCCGAGAAAACAGAGCCCCCTGTATTTCAATGGAGCAACCGGAATCTGTATTGCCAATTAACGAGAACGGCGTATCAAATCAAGTTTCAGGTTCCTCCCAACCACAGAACTAGATGTCGTCCATCCAAAGCGTTTACTTGCGGCGCCAAGTATAACCAAGTCTTTATACTTCATATTTTCCATACGGAGTTTGGTGCAATGAAAAAGGGCCAAAAAAAGTTCCGGATTGTCCCGCATGTTGAGAGACCGGTCATGCATCGAAGATCTGTGCTAGTTGGACATGCGGTCACAATGACCAACTCTTCATAGAATACCAATGTCATTTTGATATATGAGGTTCTGGATCATGTGACCTTTGTCCGAAGACTCCCGAAAAGTGGCATCCAGACCACATTAGTAAGATAGTGTGCTGCGCCTATCAGGCCCCCCATCAATTCCTGTTTTTCTTTTGCAACAAACTGCAGCTTTAGCGACAGCGATCTCTGATCGTTTATTTTGATCCCTTTGGTCCATATGTTGAGAAGTGACGTTTAATTTTGGTTCAGTCGTCTAATTTAATCGAGTCTAAACAAGGCAATGAGGCTTTTATCTACCTCTTCTAAAGTTGCTTCTGACTGCGAAATACACCCATTTTATTGCCTCGATGCAACAGCTGAGTGGGCGTGGCTTTCGAAGATCGGGTGAAGACGAGCACCTTCGCTATCGGCGACATCGGAGAACGTCGTTTGAGCATTGAAAGGGTGGTACGGGAAGGGTCTAGGAGAACATCATGGCTCTGTCAGTTATCCCTACTATGGGAAAAATGCACAGGTTCAAGGGATATGGATGAGAACCATCGGACTTACCCGTACTCAGGCACGAATGTAATCGGCTCCGAGGAAGTAGCAGTGGCATCGATAATTTGTTTCCAGACAGTTTCAAAATATTTTCTCTCCTCTTTGTAAACTTCGTGTGTCGGGTCTGGGCATTGTGACGCCTGTGTTGTACCCATTCGCGCGTGAATATGTCCCACATGCGGAATGATTGTGCGGATCGCGGATATATCTTCCTCGTAAACATCCAGGAGACGTTCGCATACCACCACGAAGTGGGAGAAATCAGCGGTGACACGCAGCTTTGGTACCTTTTGCAGGATCGGTGCTGTAGACTGGGGACTGAAAAAGGCCGTGTTTCGGTGAGTCTCATGGCACACCTTGCCTGTGAGCCCTAACTCGGCATCGACGTTGAGAGTGCCACTGTAGAATTCGACCGCCTCATCCACCGTCCATCGCTCACTTTTGTTGTTAGTGATTTGCACATTTCAATGTCGAATGTAGTTTCCTGACTCACTTTCCAGAATGCGCATTGATTTTGTATGGTTTCAGACTTTGGGCAATCTGGAGTTTAGATCGGTAATCTTGGAGGAGATCTTTGGGAGCAGGACCTGGGGGCTTAGGTCCAGCGTAACTAGGCCACTGCGCGTGTATCCTGAGATCAAGTCAGTTTCAGTCCAATCTCTCTAAGGTCGAACGAGGGAAAATTGACAGGACACTTATTTCCAACCCAGCGTCGTCAGCAATCCGACGAATGGTCGGAAGATCTTCCAAATCAGTAAAGTCCACCTCGACACCCGCTATAAAGCACATCAGAGTCAGCAAAATTGAGCGTGGGTATTGCTGGGGACTTCAGGAGGTTCCATGTACCATATCCTTGCTTCTTGAGAGTCGGGAACCATTTCGCCCAATTCTCGTAGTTGGTACCAGGGCTGATACCCCAGACCGTTCGGAAACGCAACACGGATGCCATTATAACTTCTAGTCGATATATCTTCGAAGTTGACACGCGAAACTTCTTCTTTTTTTTTTTTGAGGGGCATGTTGAATATTTATTTGGGGTAAGGCCGGGGCCAAATCTCTACTTTGAGCGATTGTCCCCAAGTCGCCAGTTTTGCAGGAAATTTCCCCTCGCAACCCACTTCAGACATGATGCAATTGAGAAAAATCTCCTTCAGTTCTCTGTCAACCCCACGCGAGATCCATCGATGTCTCGGCGTCCGAGTCTCGAACGGCGTCGGGGAGAATTGCCCTGTTTCAATTGGGAAATATTCCCCGCACAACACCAACTTTAATCCCACGTTCCCCCCGCAGACCCTTCGTATATCACTTGAAACGTCACAGCTGCAGTCCAATCCGGGTCTATCTCATTGGCTCGATGCGGCGACAAAAGAAATGCGATCTGCAGCCTGATACGATCATGGGGTAAACAGCATAACAGCGCACATTTGATGTGGATTTCCGCAAATGTAATCTAGGGATCTCTGCGCGGGTAAATTTGCCTCGGGTCTCAAATTCCGACTTCTTTTTCTCGGTCTTTGCATAGGTGGTTCTACTTGTAGTATACTGACTTTCGTTCAATCATGTTTAAACAACGTTCGAGATCGGTCACCCCCTCAACAGAAAGAGCCATTGGCTCAAGTTGTGCCCAGGCGCCCCCGGGCCAGTCTGAATGCTTACATTTTACCCCGCCAATTCTACTCCGTACCCCGCGATCATACCCCGACTGCACGATGACAACGTGAAGGGATATTGGTCCCGCCTTATCTGAATGCAGTTATAAACCCCGCGCGACCAAGATCGACGCGGGTGGAAGATCTGTTGGCAACACCTTGCTGGAACAAGGCGATCATTTCCCTTTCCAGCCATCCACTGGCGAAACTAACTGAATCAGTCAACCCTCGCCGAACTATGTGTCCAACGTAAAGTTGACCACTACTGGCATCTCGAGATCTATATCAGACTCGACGCCACTTGGCTTTTGGTGAGAATATATCTTTCTTTTCATTTCAATCGTCAGCACACCATGTACGCACTCGCGTTAACGCTGGCTGTGGTCGGGTACTTCTTTGTATACCCGGTCATCTACTACTTCTACGACCCCAAGGGACTGAGGAAATACCCCAATTTCTATCGTCTCTCTGGAATCTCCGATCTACCTCTGATCTATGAGTCACATATGGGCTTCCGCTCACGTAACCTCCTCGAAGCCCACAAGAACAACCCTGTGTTGCGAATCGGTCCGAACTCTCTCTCTTTCTCACACCCCAACGCCATCAAGGACATCTACGGCCACAGCTCCAACTGCACCAAGGATCGCTTCTACTCCGAGACTGCGGGTAGTCACCACCACCTTGCAGATGTCGTTGACAAGAAGGACCACGCCCGAAAGAGAAAAGTGCTATCAAGCGCTTACGCGGTGAAGAATCTTGAGGAGTGGGAGTTCAAGGTGGCCGATGTCACTGGGAAAATCATCAAGGCTTTTGACAAGCACTGCACCGATCCACTGCCCCCCAACCAGAATCCAAAGAAAGAGGACCTGAAAATAGACTACCGGAACTGGACTGTGTTGTGGACTGCTGCTGCCATCGCCAATATCGGTCTGAGTGAGGATCTTGGATTCCTTGATGAAGGATCTGACTCAATCAAGTCCGAATGCAAGGATGGCACCATCAAGGATGTTTCTTTCCGTGACTGCCACACCGCTACACAGACAGCGTCCTTCCGGTTGGTCTGGGCTTACGACTGGTTCCCCACTATCCGTCGGATCAGTAAATTGGTCTCATCGAGCTATCGCCGCTGGTGGAAATTGGACGAGGATTGGGGTGGTATCGTCTATAACCGAGCGACTACACGGCTGAAGCGATATGAGAACGGCGAGAAGTTGGACGACTTCTTCACAGCAATCATGGCAGACAAGAATGGCACGCCAAACAACCTGGAATGGGGCGAAATCGTTGCGGAGATCAGCATCATGATGAACGCTGGACATGATACGACAGCGATCGCACTCCGAAACGCTCTCTTCTTCTTGTTGAAGAACCCGAAATGCATGGAGAAACTGCGCAAGGAAATTGATGACGTCTTGGAAGAAGATGAGGTCGTTGCACCGTATGGAAAGGTGAAGCATCTACCATATCTCCGAGCCTGCATAGATGAAAGCCTTCGAATGATGCCGCCTATTGTTTTCGGATTGCCTCGCCGCACGCCTATGGAGGGCACTTCAATTCTGGACAACTATGTTGCTGGAGACACATCGGTTAGCATTTCATCGTACGTGATGCATCACCAGGAGTCAGTCTTCAAGGATAACGCCACCTACAACCCGGAGAGATGGCTGGGAGAGGAGGGCAAATCCCTTCAACCATACTTCATTCCCTTCAGTACTGGAGCACGAGGTTGTATTGGCCGAAACATCAGCTACCTGGAACAAACCGTCTTCATCGCTTCCTTGGTTCACCGATACGAGTTTGCTTTGCCAAGTCCTGATTGGAACCCTGAAGTTCGTGAGAACTCCAATCTGACCCCTTGTTCGATCATGGCCAACCAATTTGGTCGATACATCTCAGTATGTAAAACGAAAATCAGGATGATCATCTCCAAGATTGTCCGAGTCCTGAGATCCAAAGACCAGTCTCGCACCTCCACCCCGTTCCCTGCGTCTGTTTTCCCTCCAAAGAAACAGAAGCAACCCGCAAGATGCTATCAAACACAGCCAAATCAATCCCAAGCTCGTTGCATATCCTGTCACATACAGCGGCGCCTCGGATGACAGGAATATATTGCTGGCGACAAACCCACCACAGTTTCCAAATCCGATTTGCATAGCAGTGGCAACAGCTTGCTTGTAATGTCCACTGATATTATTGCTCAGCCATCCTATAAGAATAGGCTGGGAAATGTAACCACCTCCCGTGACGGCAAAGAGCGCGAAGTACTTTGCGCCCGCTGAGAGTGATTGCTGTGCGAGTAAAATGATGTAGCCAATGGTTGCGATACAGCAACCTGTCAGGACGAAACCGAATCTGTGTTTCATCTTGTCGCTCAGGTAAGCGGTGCATATCGTCATGATGGCTGCCACAATATAAATGGGGATGCTCATCACTTGTGACATCAAGGAAGTCCAGCTCATGCCGCGGAGAATTGAGGGTATGAAGAATGAAGCTGCGTATCCTGTATTCAATGCACCAAGGTACATGACTATTCTGCATCCATTCGTCAGAAAAGTCACCTTCAGGTAGATAAGATCACATACCCAAGATAAATTTTCGTATCACTTAAAATCCTCCACACGGCAGCCCGGTCCAATCTGTTCATCGGAAACATATCATTCTCAGATCTGAGGCGTGCAAGAAGAATTGTGCGCTCTCTTTCATTCAGGAAAGTTGCCTCCTCGGGCCAATCGACAATCAACAACTTGGCAATGAGCCCTATCACCACGGTCGCGATTCCTTCGAGTATAAAGATCCATCGCCATGAAGAGTATCCACAGACGCCCTCCATATATGAGAGTCCATAAGCCAGTAACTAACGCTTCACATTAGTATCAGATCATTTTGAAGGGATGTGGAGGTCTTACCCCGCTAATGGCCCCAGAAATAATACTTGCACTGAAAAAAAGGTTCAGTCGCCATTGGAGCTCGAAACGCTTGTAGTACGTTGAGATCAGGTAAACGCAGCCTTGGTAACTGTCAGTGGTAGGCCTGGGCAGTTAGTTCGAGCTTCACTTGCCAGGTAAAAATCCTGCTTCGAAGACACCTAGCAAGAAGCGACATGCCATTAAGGCAGACCAACTCTGGACGAATCCCTGTCCAATAGTCACACAACCTGAGTTTGCAAAATGATTAACCCAAAGTGTACTTTTCGTGAAGACGTGAAGATAATACACCTACCCCATGCCGCCATGATCCCACTAATCCAAGTAGACGGGGCTAACCTCTTCATGAGCAAATTGCAAGGAACTTCACACAGAATGTATGGAATGAAGAAGATAAACAGGGCGTAATTATACTACGGACCCTCCATCTGCAAATCATCTTCGAGGCCTTGTAAACGTGCGTTTCCGATGTTGATACGATCCAGGAAGGCGAGTAAATAAAGAAGCATCAGGATCGGTACGACATGTAGGTCGCACTTCCAAATTACCTTGCGCTCCTCTGCGGTGGTGTAATCCACCCGCAGAGCCTCCGTCTCGACATTATCCAAATGGAAATGCTCTAACTCGGCCTTGCTCGTTGATTTCATCGCAGTTGATTCCATCACGGTGTTGAGTTCGAAGTAGGCACGGCGCTTTGTTTCATGTGGTCTTTTGGTGTGAACATATGTCGGGACTTGATTTAATTATGCTGGATTCGTATGGATCGGAGCAGGGAAGCCACAATGCAGGATACAGCTTACCCCTCAATGATGGAAGGCGTTGAGGCGGTCTTTGTTGCCGACATTCACTGCCGTTGAGACATGAAGGCAACGATTGCCATGGTTGATGTTGATCGTTGCCACCAATCTCACCCAGGACCCGCCTAAAAAGCCCCAGAGATATATGCCCTTCCCCGCATAATCCAAGAAAGCATAGTTTAGCTCAATAGTCAAATGCGGGGAGTCGGCATCTGGCCCGAGTCTATCGGGAACTACCCGCGACTCGGAAGGAAGCACTGGGTGAAGTGGGGGATTTAATATCGATGACCCTCAGCTCGTCATTTGTCCAGGTTTACATGCGTCAATTAACATGAATTGAACTCAGACATTCTGGTTGGGAGATTGGGGAGATCGCGCTATCTGGCGTTGGATGGGGGTGCAGAAAGGAAAGACCACTCAAATTTGATGTTATTCGTAAATTCACTTGCCAGGTAGGGTATTGGGTTGTCTATAATGATGAATAGGATATTGGAAAACAGCTGAAGACAAGGCTATGAAGCCCATATCTGATGGAAGAAAGATATGATGATGTATGGAGCCTCGGCGCCATTATGAGACTCTCGGTTCTGTTGAAACCGCTCAGGGTGTATGGGTAGTTCCACCAGGGTATCAGAGGATTAAAAAAGATTTGGCAATAGCAGTTCTTCGTCAAGATTCTGCAGAAACTGGGCAGGGAGCATGATATCACCGAGATCCGCATCCCAATTATGAAAGAATGGGCTCTGGAAGCCGTACTCCATTTGCCCACTCTGCATCATGCTAGAGGGTAGTTGGTTTGTCTGTTCATTTCCCATGTCACCTGCAGGTGCTTCACTTGCTGGTGACTGCACTGGGCCATTGTTTGCTAAAGATAATGGGTTAGATCTGTGAAGTCCCACATGAGGAGGAAGATTGAGAGTATCTCACCATGACGAACTTGCGTGGTGTGACTTTTCCTAAGATCATGCAAAGCGATATGATAATCTCTGGCTGATGGGTGTACTGAGACCATTCTGTTCAGAGTCTCAAGGCACTCGTCCCAGGCGTGTTCCCGTTCTTCCTGGGGTATGCCGGGAAAATCGGTACCACTTGACTCAACAAGAACTAGAACGATGCCTGCACTTATGAGATCTAAAATGTGACTCGGTTAGCTGTCCAAACCTTCACCCACAAAGTCTGGAAATACGCACAGAATACTCCATACCACCAGGCACCTGTTGAATCTTCGATCGTTGCTTTTGAAAGAGACAAGATAAGATCGCAGGCAGCTCGAACGCATCTCACAGCTGCATTTTGTTGGTACATAACTGTCCAGGAATTTGACTGGCCAGTCCGTGATTTGCCATTGGAGCAATACGTGCTAAATGTAGGGCGGTATAAAAGCAGCTTCAGGTGCAAAAATCTGGAAAAGGTCACCATCTGGATTCATGTTGCTTGTTCTAAATCTGCTTACCTGGCATGTAAAACATTTGACTGACGACGGAATGTCCGATGCGGTCTTGGGGCATTAGAGAATTTCCATGTGAAGACCTCCGGAAGTGACTCTTCAAAGTCCTCCAATGATCGGTCGATCTCCATTATGGCTTTGAAGTCGGTTTCGGGCGCAGGTGAGGATAATTCGTCTGCCGGCTCGTCAACGTTGTGATATACTGTCAATAGGACCTTCCACAGAATCCCAATAAGTTTCATATTCTGATGTAAAAATTCGTTACTGGATATAATTCCGTCCGGTTGTTTTGTCCCTTCTTTGCTCACTGCGAGGTATTTGTCGTCAATCGGCGAGGGCAATGGGACTCGGGAATAGTTGTGCGTCATGGGTGGACGACCTGTGGTCATGCTGACTATTCTTTGGACAGATTTAGCCTTTATCTTGTTCTAGGAAACGGATAGGAGACTTACACGTCCATTTGCACGCATGCGCACCATGCTCGCCATCGCATCTCTTTCTCCAGAGCCGAAATACCCTTGAATTGACGACGATTGTGCAATCCAAGACCTACTGCCATCCTGTGCGCCATACCAATAACGTTCCAGCATCTCTTGGGATGCGGCGTGCACTGTAGATATATCGAAACCATCAAAAGGGCTTGGACGTGAGCCAAACTACCACTATCGAGGATATCGACGTTCATCAAGCTCTTCATGCGTTCGTAAAACATCATGGAGGAATTGCGTTTATCGCGAGACTCCATGTCAGAGAATTCGCAAGCAATGGCGAACATCGCGTTTAAGGCACAGTGGAACACGCTTGATGAGCAATTCCTACCGCCAATACCCACGTCTGGAAGTAAAGTTTCTGGGTTGATGGCTTTATTCGTCCAGATACTTTCATATGTAACCATAAAGCTTTCTTTGTGTACCCATGGGTAGAAGATATGGTTGTTAGTGAAGTAGACGTCGAGTAGCCTGTCCGCTAATCGCCTTGGTGGGAGTGAGAAGTCGTCCGAAATTAAGGTGGCCATGTTTGGAGAGAGCGCTCCATGATGGCGAGTCATTGATGATTCCGGTGATGCATTGCTCGCCATATCTTGACGGTTGCCGGATTGTATAGACTTCTGGCCAGGTGAGCTTTGTGCATATTGATGAACCAGTGACACGAGAGATGATTGTCCGTAGTACTGATCCTGGCAGGTTGTGTCGGGTGTACATGGCACAGCTGCTCCCATAGCTGCGAGTGACATGGGAAATGTGGTTCCAATAGAGTAGCCTTGTCCCGATCGACTGTCCTGCGCTGGATTAGTGGGCTCAGTCTGACGAGGGGACCTGGACGGTTGCGCTCCCCCCAAATCTGCAACGTGGGAGTGTAACGAATGCAAGTAGCTGGGAATTGTTTCATGGTTAGCTCTCAATTGCGTCGGGGAACCAAAGAGAAACGAACGCCTTTTCAGTTTGATATTTGGCGGTGTCTGCAATGACCAGATACTCGCAAGCTTGACCTGTGATTCCCTTCTTCAGACAAGCACCACACGTTGGTCTTTGTCCATCACAGCGGACTTTGCGCTCGCGGCAATGTTGACATGCTAGCGCGACTCGTCTTCGCTTGGGTGATGGAGCCTGCGTCGGGCTATGCTGTGGATTTGACATGGAATGTCAGTGGACACCAAACACCGAGCCTAACCAGATCAGGCTCAAGGCCGTGCACGCACACTGTTGATATTTGAGTCTGGCATGTTGGAAATCTCAGAAAATCAGACCCAAACTCGGGGTGAGGTATAACGGGAAAGTCCCGGCTTTTGTAAATGCTGGGCTCGGGAATTACCCGTGGGCTAACCGTATTGGGAACCATGACATCATCCCTTGTCTGCGACTTCCAGAACAACTTTGTTTTCTTCTCAAGTCTACTGTCCACTCAGCTTGCATCTCTTCTACTTGTACGGAGTACGTAGTACTGCTTCCGAATATCGCATTCATTCAACACAATACATTTGCGAACATGGCCAATCACACAACGTGCGCATCGATAACAGCCGACGTTCCTCCGCGTACGATCTCGATGGCCTTCTGGAGCGCCGGGACTAACTCACTTACATCCTTCACCCTAGCAGCATGAATGTTCCCATCACTGGCAGCTCTCGCGATGCCCGAGTAGTCTGGGCTCGGGTCGAACGAAATATTGAGCTCTTGGTTATCGGCCCTCGACCCATGTCCATCTGGGTGAACTAGCAACATTGACCGGCGGGGAGCATTCCATCCTATAGGACACATCGGATTAGCAGAACCTCTTTATCGGGGTGAGGATGGGATTATCGATAACTCACCTTTGTTGTTGAGCACGATAGTCAGGATCGGGATTTGGTATCGGTGGGAAATCCAGTATACACTCGACGGGACGCTGAAAAGGAAGGTTCCATCGCCAACAAGTTGAACCACCAGTGGTTTCTTGTCAGGATCTACAGCGTCCACTGCAAGCTTGATTCCCAGGGCACCGCCACCACTCCATCCAAGTCCGCCTCCTCCGCAATTGATCCATGAGCCTGGATTTGTGGCTCTGATTTGATCGGCGATGAGAACCGAGTTCGTGACCGCTTCAACAGCGTATACTGTGTCACTAGGAACAAGCTCTTTTAACTTCTGGCACAAGAAGGAAGCGTTAAAGGAAGTCACTCCGGGAGAAGACGCGCACTTTTGATCAAGAGTTGCAATCAGCGCCTGATGTTTTGCTTGGCGTAGCAGAAGTTTCTCCTGTTGCACCGGTGTCTTCAAAGACGTTTGAAGATCAGTTGAAGAGCTGATATAAGACGTCAGCTGACTCAAAGCTGTTGTAGCATCCGCCGCATATCTGCGAACGGCGGGCACATAGAAAAGAGGCATCATTTTTTTCAGTGGATCAATATCGATATGGATCACTGTTGCTGTGGCTTTCGGCTTGCATTGAGTAGGAATCCAGGGCACATCACAATCAACGAGGAGTATGAAGTCGGCAGTCTCAACACTAGGGTCTGATCCATATCGCATGCCTAACCAGGCTGGATGATCGGCTGGGAAACACATGTCACACCCTCCGGTGTCCAAGACACGTAAGCCAGGAACATCATTGGCTAGCTTGACCAATAAATCCACTGACTCATGATTGCGGCCGCTGTAGCCGGTTATCAGCAATGGTTCTTCGGCTCGGGCAAGCTGCTCTGCGATCAATGCCACCTGTGATGGTGGAAGGGCGGCCGCCTCACAAGGCCTCCAATGATCGGGCTGAATTGGATATGGCTGGATGTCTTCTTCCATAACCTCACGAGCTCCCATGAGGTATGCTGGACCCATTGGAGCACTGGTGGCAATTTGCAGAGCGCGGCCGACCATTTGCTTAATGTTTTTTCCAGTCTTGATTTCTCCGACATAGCGACAATATTGCGAGACAATTTGCTTCTGGTCAGGAACATCCTGTAGCCAGTGACTGTTGATTTATTGGTCAGTTTCAGACACAAGGTACTGCCAATTCAATCCACACTAACATATATTCGGTTCGAGACCCTCTCATCTCTCCCTCCATCGTGAAGGGCGACAGACCCGCAAAAATCAGAACCGGTGCCCGGCCTGTTGAGGCATTGTGAATTGCTGCACCAAGGCCAGAGGTTCCGACGTCCACATGAATGATGACGCACTGAGGCTTCTGGGTGACTCGTGCGTATCCATCTGCCATTGAAAGCGCGACCATTTCATTTGGACAAGTGAAGATTCTTGGGAAATGATCTGGACGCTCTTTCAGTCCCTTGGCCATCGCCTCCATGATGCTGGGGTGGTCAGAGCCTAGGTTCACAAAGCAATTGTGAACCCCCAACTCCCAGAGCGCCTCAAAGAAGGCATACGATGCTGTGTACCTGTGATAGTCTCAGCACACGACCTCTATCTCGTGAATTTCCAATCTTACATTTTCCTTATGGCCCGTTCTTAATTCTCTTTCTTCTGATTTTGGTTTGCGTCTCGTTGATGAGAAGCATCATTGGGTGGGTATATATATTTCTTGATCCGACCTCGGGAGTCAGCGAACGTGATAAGCTGCCGGGTACTTCCCGGGAGGGCTCACTTGGCCCGACTGTGGCAATTTTGAAGCCAATTCACAATCCACTTCTCGTGGTGCAGGACACCTCATTCAACCGCTGTGAGAGCATGGAATCGGGTGATCGGCTGGAGTCCTCGGGAACACGCTCGGGAATTACCCGGCCTATGGAACTCCACTATCTAAAAGTGACCATATTCATCTTGATGGATATATATTACTGTGAAGGGGCCTGAAATGATTAAGTTGATTTGTTGTTTTTGTCGTCGGATTCCAATCAAAGCTTCGGATCCCAGAAGCCAACAAAATGTTGCGAAATCTGTCCACGCCCGCAGTTAGATCGTACCGGCAAATCTTCGGGATAACAAGACATAGCCCTGGGAAACCGCGATTGAATCTTGTCAATTCCTCGAAGCGCGTTTATTCAGTCGACACATCCCATGTATCCCATCCTCGCTCAAGGTCATCGGGATGGTTTAGGCCTCTCGTCGCTGCTTCTATTGCGTCCACCATCACAGGCTGTCTGATCTTTTCCATTGGAGACTCACCCTCTGAGAATACGTACCAGCGGAAACCACATTATGCCACGCTTGAGGAAATGGAGATGGTCAGTTCACAAAATTACTTCGCCGTTCTATTGAGCATCAGTCGGTCACTAACGGAGCACTAAACAGGCCATCAAAGAAATCCATCGGGAGCTCGGGGAAGATAGTATCAGCACAGATGATGAAGACCTGAAAATGCACGGCTATTCAGAATGGTCTTCAATTAACATCGATCGTCTTCCTGTGGCTGTTGCGTTTCCCAAATCCACCGAGGAGGTTGCTGCTATCGCACGAGTTTGCCACAAATACAAAGTGCCTATGAGTAAGTACAAAACCAGCTCACGCGCGACTCAAAAGCACTGATTCCATGTCAGTCCCGTATTCGGGCGGATCGAGCGTCGAAGGCCACTTTTCAGCCCCATTTGGGGGAATCAATGTTGACTTTATGAACATGAGCGACATTGTCGCATTTCACCCAGAAGAGTACGCTATTTCCCTATTCGCATTGATTAACTGCCTTTCCAAAATAAAGAGGGAATATTGACTGGATGACTTAGTATGGACATTGTTGTGCAGCCCTCTGTGTCATGGATGGATTTGAATGAGACCATCAAATCTAGTGGACTATTCTTCCCAGTTGATCCTGGTCCACCGGTATGTGGTTTTATAAGTGTCATAAATACAGAACAGCTTCTCATTACAGTTATGCAGGCAAAAATCGGTGGAATGATTGCAACAAATTGCAGGTACGGAGCCAATCCCTGAAGTACCAAAAAAGCGAAATAGGTATTGATTGTTGCAACCAGTGGAACGAATGCCGTCAGGTACGGCACCATGAAAGACTGGATAGTCAATCTGACAATTGTTCTTCCCGATGGAAGGATAATCAAGACACGAAAAAGACCACGGTACATTTTTCAGTCCCATTCTCGATTCCGGTTGTTTTTGACGACAATTTAGCAAATCTTCAGCCGGTTATAATCTGAACGGTTTATTCACAGGCTCAGAAGGGACACTTGGGTTTGTCACCGAGGCTACGTTGAAGCTAGCGTCTATACCACAGAAGACTGGCGTTGGTGTGGCAACATTTCCAACGATGAGAGATGCCGCCAACGCCGCTACACAAATTGTCCGCCAGGGCATACCTGTCGGAGCTGTCGAGATCTTGGATGATGTTCAAATGGATGTTATCAATAAGATGGGAGCGACTGGTAGAGTGTGGAAAGAATTGCCGACTCTCTTCTTCAAATTTAGTGGTACCAACGTAGGTGTCCATGACAATATTGATGATGTTCGCAAGATCGTCTACGATAATCAAGGGAGTGATCTTGAAGTTGAGAAAGACCCAGCAAAGCAGGCAGTGCTTTGGTCTGCTCGAAAGGAAGCTTTGTGGAGTATGCTTTGCATGAGAGAATCTGGACATGAGGTTTGGTCTACTGATGTGGCTGTACCCTTATCCCGACTTCCAGATCTTGTTGGTACGTTCGCCTTTGGCTGGTTGATTCAATGGGCTTACCGACCAAATAGAAATATCGAAGCATGATCTTGAAAGTTTGGGCTTGTTTGGCAGTATGCTCGGCCATGTTGGCGATGGAAACTTCCACGAGACTATCTTGTTTAATGGCGCCACGGAGCGTGATCTGGTGTCCAAGTGTGTTCACGATATGGTCCATCGCGCAATTCAGATGGAGGGTACATGTACAGTGAGTACACCATCTTCGCACCTTTTGGATTGAGATTCGGAGGGGCTAATTCATGCACAGGGCGAGCACGGCATTGGGCTAGGCAAGAAAGAGTTCATGGAGCAGGAAGTCGGGGAAGGGAGTTTGTCTGTGATGCGTGGGATCAAGTTGTCTGTTGATCCTTTCTGGTTGATGAACCCTGGGAAGATCTTTGACCCTCAGGAAATTTAGAAGATTAACCCCTAAATTATTCTTTGATCTCTGGGGAATTGTATCTATTCACGACCGATCATTCAACTCTGAAATCTCAAATGCTTCCCCGTTGGTATTAATTTCTTGGCATGCGCTATAGCAAGAAAAGATTGATGAGGTCTCGAGGACATACGAAACTGGGTAAATATGCATATGTGAAGAAGAGTCGGCAGGTCGCAAAGTTTTATATATTTTTTGGTTTTCTTTTCTTGTAGTGTCGCCCTGTTCATGGCCCCATTCGGGTGCTACTCACTCTATAGATTCACAAAACAGGCTATTCCCGGTGGCCATTCGCCCGTGAAATTATATTACCTCGTTTGTCTTGAAAATTTTAGTTGCGTAATTGACTTGCTCAGAGTGACGATGTTCGAACGATTCGGGATCTCTTTTGGGCGGCGGCGAGTGGAAACCTTGAATTTGGAGTCACTTGAGTATGATCCCTCACGCCGTTTTAGAATCTTGTTCATACCTCTTCGCGGCTGTATGTTAAAACCACACACACAGAGACACACACAGAGACACACACAGAGAGAGAGATGGCGAGAGAGACAAATACCGTCACCATGGATTTACGCAAACAACCCGGAACGTGGTACCTGTTTAGTCCTTGGCATTACACTTCCAATGGAGCATTTTCGGGGAAGTTCACCTACAAAGTGAACGGCACAGCCTATCAATGTCAATCCAGTATGCTTGTGGATGTTATATTAGCAGAGTACCACTTTCGATATCAGTCACAGTTCAAGGAAAGCGTGTGCAACGACTTAGAGACCGCCAACAAATATAGTCTGCTCGAACATGACCTCTATCTCAAGGAAAATCGCTTGCCAGCAGGGTCTTTAAAGAAGCTTTATGACGATCTGCGACAACATCCTTGCTGGTATCTTCGAGAAGGACTGGTCAAGGATTGTGCAGCCAGGGGTCGTTGTTGCGCCCGCGAATGCGGCTGTTGTGAGAAAAGGCTCCATACCTTACCTAAAAAAGGCATGAGCGGCCATTGCTCTTTGGCATGCCCATGCTGTAACAAGAATATTGGAGATGACACCCTGGAAACCATGTATGATAAGTTCAAAGCAGAACTTACGAGCAAGAATCCAATCTGTCTTGATCGTTTGGCGTTCCTTTACTTCGGAACCTTGGAAAAATGTCCACATTGTGAAGTTCAACCATATCCCAATGAAAAGGGAACTCAGCCATCTCGAAAAGAAATAGGAGTTCAAACATCTTTTAACGAACAGGAGACTCAAACGTCTCTTGAACCACAGGAGAAGAAGGGACTGAAAAAGAGAAACCCAGTGATGCGCCTACTGTCTCGGAAATAAAGTCAACTCGCATCTCGATAACGAGGGGACAAAGCAATCCACCGACGAGGCAAAAATCACACTGTCCCCAATTGTGGGCCAATACTGCTGGGCAAAATATGGAAGATTAACCGTGGCTTTATCTTTTTCGATTTCCAATTCGCCTTGGGGGTGCTTAGACTCTCTCGGATATCCATGGATGTCTTCGTTCTATTAGCTGCTTCAGCCACCATCAAATCACTATGACAGGTTGACTCGAAGCCCCAAGCAATGGTCCTTTTGATATACCGAGGGAAATAGGTTGGGTCAAGTCTTGCTGCTTAACAAAGAAGTTAGTTGGTGTCATTCGCTGTTTCAGAACTGTCCACCAGTCATCCTGAAGTCCAATCGTAAAAAGCAACAACTTTAGAAGATCAAACGTTCAATTAGACATCGCTACATTTCTCCCGTGACACTCATGCTGGAAATGCTTGCAATACTACACTTTCTACAACTCGCAATTAATGATCTGTTCATGGGAAATGATCCTTCGCTTTATGCTGGTTGCCTATCTGTATAGCAGAAAGTCTCATATACCCCATTCCTAACTCGTATCATCATCATCCGTGATTCTTCCGATGAACCAAATTCGTGAGTAAAAGCCTCGGGGCTTTTTAAGTCTTCACGGGGCAAATCTGGGAACCCGCAAACTTGTCACTTCCACAGATTGCTCCATCGCCACCTCCATCGCCGACACACTATAATCAGAAGTTAGTTCAGGTGCTTTAAGGTGTTTTGATATATTCCATAAACTAACGCTTGTGCCATCATCGCAGTCCCTGTTGATGAAACCTGGTTAGTGATATTCAATCTTGGAAAAATGAAAGGATTAGAAACGTACCAGTTGCTAGCGGCGATCTTGCAAGAGTTGCCGTTGCACACCTGTTATTCCAATTGTTAGGATGTGACCGTAGCTGCAGTTCAATCAAGACATACACCACAGTAATACCAGCCGTTAGGGCAGTCCCGCTGGGCAAGGACGGCGGCATCAGCTGGAGCTGCGAGCACCAAAGAGGTGCTGGCAACAATAGCGAGGATAGTGTTTGTGAAACGCATGGTGATAGTTTGCTTGTTGATCTTTAGAAGAGATACTTTGTAGATTCTGAATGATTCAACAATGATCGAGGACAATGCTGCTTTTTATAGCTGAGAAACGAGGCTCATCGCCCCCAATGGCCCCATGGCCAAGTCTCTCCAGCGATTCTCTACTTGACAATATCTGAGTTCCAACTTTAGAAACTGGTGTTTTTTCTCTCTGATCTTTCCTGAGAGCGGAGTTGCTTGCATCCAACATTCTTGACGGGGGCTAACTCTGCCTTGTCGATCATGTCTATGCTAGGATAAACTTGGTGGGTTTTTGAAGGCAATTGGCCAGCGTAAATGTCTGGTGGATCTAGTATACCCGAGAAAAATCCACTCTACACTTGTGGTATCGTATAGATTCTCTTGTTCTACGAAGCATTTAAGATAAATATTAAGAAGAAGAATGAAGATAGTAATGAGTGGAATGTGTATACAAATCACTAGCCTTGTCTAAAGAGAACATACCGAGGTCTTGTACAAACCCCGCTTATACTATGTATCACTACAGCTAGAATAGGCCTGGTGTCAACGCCATCATGCAGAGCTTCATGTTTAGCGAGGTTTGATCCACCCTCATTCATACCTAAAGTGGAACAGCTCAGCCATGCATCCATGAGGCGTATGCTTGGTCTAACGTCCTTTTGCAGAATTGGAAAAGCCTTACGTGGGGCCAATAAGCAATACCTGACAACGTGGGGGCAGGATTCTGGTGTGAATAGAGGGGGTGTCTACTTCGAGCGGCCGGGGGCGGGATTTATCCCTCGGATTAGCGACTAGGACAGTATTTTTTTTGGTGTTGTGTTTCTTTGCAGAGATGCAGTGTAGATCCCCCGGGGGCGGGGGCCAGGCACTAGTTTAGTAGGGGCCGGGGAATAAGCCCAACCTGTGGTGAGTCGCCGGTAGATGATAGGCGAACGCTTCATATTATCTTTGGAAAGTATCTGGTGCTCAACAACCAAGTGTTATACTTATGAGTGCTTTTAGATAGATAGTGCTTCCAATACTCCTATGACATGCTTATGCTGCTCACCCGCCGTTGTCAAAAGTGTGCCTGTTTAGTTAGTCTTCTCGGTGACCATTTGCATGAACTTGAAATAGACTAGCGGAAAAGCCGGGTATATCTTCAGAGCAATAAGATCCCAGCAGAGGAGCCGCTTGGGCGGGGGGTGCGCCGATCCCCGGCTGCAAGCCACTCAACAGTGATTTCGGATGTTGGTAGCCAACTCTACTACTGTACCATGACAAAGTCCAGGCTGTTTCTAGTCTGATGACATGGCAAAAGTGAGCTAGATCATGACTTGAAGCCATCATTGAACAAAAATCGCTCAAACTCGGGACATCTTATGCAAGTACGGAGTAGCCGTGAACTTGGGAGGACCTTGCAATTGCCTTGGGCTAAAGAGGTATGGCTTAGAATTGGCTGTGCCTTGTGCAAAAGGACTCATAGATCTTGTGAAGGTTCAGCAGCTACATTTGGTCCAAGATTCCTGGGGGTGTGGCTATCCCTCTAACATAGAGCCCGTGGACAAAGACATGCCAAGAAGACCTTCATCAAGATGTTATAGACTTCAGATGCATTAAAGGGCAAACGAACAACGTACCCTTGGAAGGGTTCAGTCTGAGTTGGGAGTACCATGCTAAGATCGTCCTCTACTTCGTATGCAGCGGTTATATACGTGATTGTGTGCATCAAAAACCACAAAGTAAACTTGGATGGATGTTCTGGGGTGGAATCTTCGCTGGTCAAAAGGGGCCATCTCTCTTCTAGGAGAAGCAGTGGGGATCAATGAAAAGCGCCAATCATATCCAGCATATATGTCCATTGATGATATAATCGGCCCTTTTCATCGATCTCCAATGCTTCTCCCAGAAGAGAGATTTGATCCAATAGCATTCGATGTGTTTCAGCGTTGATTCGAATGAATGTCATGATCCGATCAAAATCCAAATCAGCACAGGCAGATGAAACATGTTCCGCAGGCGCACTGTCCATAAGTGATTCTATACGTCCATAAATCCTCCATACTGTATAGTATGGTACTTACTTAGATCAACCATGGTGACAATCTTATTGTAGATGAATCCATATTTGCGAAAGATCATAACATCTTGAATCATCGCATATGGAACACCTTTGCCGGGTCCGCGTATGGGTAACATCGGCTCTAGAACCGGTGTCAGAGAAGGAAAGCTCTATTCAGGACAAGTCGATTGAAGAGATTCAGATTCTGGTTCTGGCGAAGACCAAGAATACGTTTTGTCCGTTTTGTCTGGATTAATCCAAGGAAGAGTATGTCGACGAAGCGGAGGCGGAGAAAGAGAAGTTTCTTCTGGTTGAATAATCATAGACAAATCCATGGCTTTAGTGGTCGACTTTATATGAAGGAGTGTATATAGAATAGAAAGATGAATTGAATTCTTAGTCCCAGATCTTAATTCCTTTATAGAATTCCTTTATATCCAAGATCAATTCCAAGATCAATTGACTGGTATAGATCAATGGAAAACGTACAGTATTTTGAAGAATTGACCACTTAGAGTAGTAAGCTTCAGCTTGATTTGTATGATCTGTATGATCTGTATTTTTGACGATTTTCACCAATGACAGCTAAGGATCACAGTTGGACATTCCAGTTAGCGTTCTCTTAAGCGAGAGAGCCATAAGACCTGTCAGTTTGTCTTGAAGCGAGATCTAATGTATAGAGTTGATCTTGGGCGTTGGAAAAAGTAAGCAATTTGGGGGGTTTCCGGCGATTCCCACCAAAATGAGACGAAAAAATCCCCCAGAATGGGGTCATGTGATCGCCAAAGGGGGGGGGGGGGGGGGGGGGGGGGGGGAGGGGGGGGGGGGGGGGGGGGGGGGGGAAAAATACAAGAAAATACAAGGCGGGAGTTGCGCGCATCCGCCCGTTTTTTTGTTGGATTTTAA